TAAACTAAATAGTAAGATTAAATAGTAAGTTAAACGCTATTATATAAATAATAATATCGTTCCTATATATAAAGGAGATTCGTTCCTTATCTAAGTAGTCTAAGTAGTCTAATTACTAAGTAGTCTAATTAGCCTAAGTAGTTAGGCGCTTAGTTAGGCTTTAGCCCCTAATACTTAGTTCGGGTTACGTACTAGGCTACGCTAGCGGAACGTATCCGTAATAATATCGTATATAACTTTTCTTTTTAAATATAGTTCGAAGTATCTAGATATCTCGTAATATATCTTTAAACTTAGTAATCTAATTAAATCTAAGCTGCTTTAAGTATATATTAGCTATAGCCCTATTTATAAACTATTATCGTATTCGAGTAGATATTATAGAAAAGCGTCTATAACGCTATAGTATACGTAAAGATTCTTATTAATAAGATACTAGGACTCGTAATATTATCTCTTTATTAGAGCCGAGGGTATCTATAATATATTATAGTAGCTAGTCGGTATATCTATAAAGAGCCTAGATAATACTTTTCTTAAAAGCTATAAATATAGTACCTCGAGCTATTATTATATTAAGATATAAGGATATAAAGGAGATAGTATTAAGACGCGTTAGTTTGTTAATACAGCCGAGAATAGTATAGTGTTAGCAGTTAGGCTAGCAGGGGTTGCTAACGTTTGTACTAGGGACTGTAATAGAGGAGAGACCATCAAATTTTCAACGGGCCTATTGATTGGGATTAAGCTTTGCGTGGCTATTCTTAGGAGCACAGGCTATGAATTCGAAACCTCCCAAGCACCCCCGTCATCTCAATATCATGGCGCGGAAGCCGGTTGCGAGCGGGCCTCCAGAACCGTGTTGTTCGTTTGTGCGGGTCGGGTGCTGCCATCTCCCTCTCAACAACAGCAACGGCCGCCTTCTTTGCACGTCACCTCCGCCCAGCACCACACTCCATCGACTGGCACAGCTCGACCTGGGCATTCCCAGCCAGACGGCACCCCATTGCAGACACCTTGCCCGCCTGAGACAATAGCCACCCGACCAGCGACTGCTACTCTACCACTTCCTGCTCGGACTGAGCACCGCCACTCGTTTAGCATTTGTAACATGGACAATTTGTGACGGACCGCCCTCTCTGCATCGCCTGGGGCTTACTCCACCACCGCACCTCGACGTCGATACACTCATACACCATGGCCACCGCTGCGACGGAGAGAATAGGTGGGCACGCGATGCGGAATCACCAGTCTGGCTTCGATGGACATGGGTCGAGGCAAGGAAGCCGGGTCACGTCGCCCAGCAGCAGGAATGCAACCTCTCAAGAGCGGAACAATGGCGAACTGCCGCGTGCAGCATCCTACACCTACATCCCGCACGCCAAAGAGCAGCGATATGGACACCCGGCGGTCGTCGATATCAAGGCATTCTCCGAGTCAGATTACGTCGCCCAAGACGATGCCGATGACATCTCGCCGCCGGACACTTCCCCACCGGATTCTTCGGGTTGGAACACACCTGACGAACACGCGCCCGCCATCGCCCCTCCACAGGCCCGAGAGATCATTGCACATTTGCAAAAGTCGCCCACCGCGAGGCGTCACGACGCCGCCAGTGAAAGTACACGAAGCAGCGTCGAGTCTTCGAATAGATACTCGGGCACCAGCGTGGCTTCGACGCAGACAGCGTCCACCGTCGCCAGCACTCCAGCCTCGAGTCAGCATCGCCCTTCCATAAACAAGTCTTTCTCGAAACGCTTCTCGCGGCAGTCATGGTACCAGTCTGCACCTTCCACGCCTTCGCGCTCACCGTCTCCGACGAAAGAGGAACAGCCAACCAGATCAGGATCCTTGGGGACAGATGTTGGCGCTGTGCCGGAGGTTGCAGCAGATGGGCGTAGGAAGTCATTGATCGCGCGGACATTGACGAACAAGGCGACGAAAGAGAAGAAAGAGACTGCACAATCGAGCGACGATCAAGAGCCGAGCAGACCCACTCGAAAGGGCACATTCTTGCGGAAGAAGAGTGCGCAACGCAATTCTTCACTGTCGCAAGTCGCTTCCAACGAAGTTCCTGCGCATGCCACCCCTGGCGAGGATGCTGTACCTGCATTGCCTACTTTACCGAAATCCTTCTCAACAGATCGGCTTCCTATGCTACGATCCCAGTCTGCCATGTCAGACCGCGCCGCTCCAGTGCCAAGGTTACTGTCTTCTGAAAAGCTGCACGGTCCCAGCCCGCTATCAACGGCAACGAAGAAGAAGGATCCGCTTTGGAGCGAGTTTCGCTCGCTGGATGCGGACTATGCCAAGTTCTCATCAAAATCCACTGCGCTCAAGGCCAATGTGGTGCGGAACGCATTGATACCCTTTTTGAGGACTTACGCTGGCCATGTTTCTAACAAAAACCTGCGACCGGAGGATCTGGATCGCAGGACCAATATTTTGAACAAGTGGTGGACAGGCCTGATCGAGTTGTTACATGGCCGCAACAACCAATCCATCTCAGGGACGGACAGGCCCGCTATTCTCGATGGCATATCTGGTATCATGGAGAGATCAGAGTGGAGGCTGTCACCGTCTCCTTTCTGCCCACTCGCGGAACGAATCAGGGTGACGCTCTCGAACGGCAATCGGTCAAACACCTCCCTGGGATCCAGCTCGTCCGACTTTCTGACTGATTCTGTTCATCACAACGTTCGCAATATCTTCATCCAGAACTTGAGCGCGCAGATGGCCTTCGTGGTGGATAAGATGTCTCTGCGCAACGCTTCGGCAAGCTTGGTGACGTTTTGTGGCAAGGCCTGTGCGTACGCTTTCATGTTTGTCCCTGGGATGGCCGATGTTATGGTTCGCCTGTGGGATCTGCCTATTGACACTCTACGACGGGTCCTTCATGAGAATGGCGTTGGCAAGTTTGAGCAGATGTCTGAATATTCCGAGGACATCGTTGCAAAGTTTCCGCCGGCGGTGCAACAACTTGGCTTTGTGTCTTTGATGAAGCATATGAAGAAGCTTCGCACTCCACCGCCTTTACCTTTGGGGACACACCATATCGAATGGTGGGGCCATTGGGGAGAGCGCTGGAGTGGGAGAGAAAGTGACTTGTTCTACGTCTTTGTGAAGCATTTCCACATACTGGCCATCGATTTCCTACCCTCGGACTCGACCAAGAAGAAAAGGATGTGTGCACCGGGCATGCTTCTTGTACATGCGCAAATCCTTTCGAACCTGGATGCAACCATTCACCGCGATGCCAATCATTCACAGCAAGACTCTACGACAGCGAACTCATCGACCACGTTTGACGAGCTGCTGGGCGACCCAGATGCGGTCGCCTCAGCACTTCCTGTACCACCAACTAATGCTATCAGGTTAATGGCCGAGAATCGGCTTATAATGTTAATACGAGACTTTTTATCTGAGCGGACGGCGGATCATCCGGTTGCGAGAGAAGTCTTTGCACAGTCGTTCAACGATCTTTTGCAGGCAGCCGCTCGAGGCACGTCGATGTTTGACCATTCGGCTTGTTACACACTCCTGGACTTCCTGGAGGAGGCGCTTGTCATTCTGGTGCGCTATGAGCAGCTTAGGGAGACGGAAGGACCGCTTCTCAATTCTGACTTCTGGCACCTCGTGTGCAGGAAGATGATCGACAGTGAGAATACCATGACGGAGATTCGACTATACGCCTTTTTGTACACCATCTGGAATATGGTGGTCGCGAACAAGTACCGAAAGGCGAATCTCTGCATGGAGTTGTTGCTCGATCCCGACGTTTTCGAAAGTCGGTTCAATCACTGGTGTCCGATGGTCAGAGCATACTACATGCGGTTGTTGTGCTGGCGAGTCGGGCGACACGATGGAGAAGACGGGACCGATATCGAGCTTCTGGATACTTTGGAATGGCGGCTGCAGACGACATGGTCACACTACGTTTTCTTGGAGGAGAAGGCGTCGCATGAAGAGACCTTACGACCCGTCACCAACCCATGCAACCCCGCGCCAGGTCGCAGGCTGGTCATTGTGAGAACGGACAATCAGATAACACCAGGTGGATCCTTCCTCACGTTCGACGGACTCTTACGCGACTCGCCATCACAGATGCAGAAACCCGCTTGGAGGCGCACATCTTCAGCATCGACACTTCTCGATGGCATTGAGACTCGACCGGACTCATCATCTTCGACGCTCGATTCTGAAAGCGATTCTCGCGAAAAAGGCATTGGCGGTTTCTTGCGGAAGATGATTGGCGGCGGGTCCAAGGCTCGTTCCAAATCGCAAGGTCCTTCCAAGCGAAATGGGTCGCCGTCGAGCGCTCCACCGTTGCCTGAGGGGGCACAGGGCATATCGCGGGCAGCAACGGATGGGCAGCAATCGGGTCGCGAACCAGAACCGCCCAAACCGCAGCACCGAAGCCTCAGCTTCAAGTTCTCGCTCGAGTTCCACCCCAACTACAAACAGATGCCTCCCATGCGTCTGAATCGGCCACGTCTACCGACACCCGCTCAGGCTTATCTTCAGGCGCAGAGGCCGGGTCTGTGCGAGTCTGCAGTCGAAGCTCAGGAGCCGCGCGGCAAGAGTGTCGCACGGGCAAGATACAGCGGGCGAGCGCTCGCCGAGTGGACGATGGTGGTTGGGGAATGCCACAGTTTCTTTGAGAGGAGGAAGAATGAGGGTGCGCCTGGGAATAGGCATGTCGAGACGCCAACGCTGGGGGTAGAGGTCTTCAAGCCCCGGTCGTGATTTGTTGTTAGTGAGAGCGATTTGAGCGTTCGCGTTTGTTGCATGATGATGTTGGTCTGCATATGGGAGGGGATGTTTGTTTGGGCATTTTGAGGGAGTGGTATGAGAGCATTTCACTGGCATGGCATGATGGCGGGTTCGTCTTCTTCTCCTTCGCTTTTTTGGCATATAATGTAATGACGAGGGCATCGATCGAGACGGCAGAATCATACAAGTATATATAGACGGGACGGACGGGGAAAGGACATGGTATGTCCACGGGAGACAGGATACATACTCCCAATCTAAGAGACTTTACAAGGTGTGGAGAATGCCACGTTGATCCCATATTAAAGGTTCGTTCGGTCATGAGAGAAAGTACTCTGTAGTAGGTGTTTCATCGGTTGTTGGCAGCGTTGGGCAGCGATGTACGTCCTGAGTGACCAATCAAGGAATAGGCGAAGATGGGGTGACGATGATGGTAAGAAGGGGCGTGAATGGGGAGGCAATTGGGGCTGTAGACGTCTAAACGAAAGGGTAGTATGACATGTATTGTGAAGGATGTGGGAGAGAGGTGGCAGTGTGAAAAAGGATGAGAGCAGCAGCACGTTTGCGTGCCTGATGATGATTGCGTGGGAGCCTTTTGTATGCAAACTAGCTCCTCCTCCCGCCGGCTACTGCTGATGAGGTCGCGTTGGGTTCGTCGTCATCGGGGGAGTCGTCGTAACAACTTTCGCGGCGATTGATATCGTTCAGTTCTTGTGAGCTTGTTGTTCGTGTTGCTGCTCTTTGTCTGGCGAGAGTCGAATCGCATTGCCAGGCGGGCCGTGGGAGCAAGCAAGCAGTCATCCATCGATCAGGCCGTCGAGCACCTTCACCACCGCCGCTGCTCTTCTGCGACGGCAAGGTATACCCGCCGTTGGCCTGCTCCAACACAGAGAGCAGAGCAGAGCAGACTGCCGGCCTGTATCGAAGGTCCCAGTCATTTGATTGATCGGTCAATCAATTCGACTCCCCGCCAGCCGCCTCCAAGACCGCCGCCCAGCATCACCGTCTGTCTCGCCCACGCGCGCCGAACACGACACACCCTCCGCTGCACCGCTCTGTTCTTGCTGGGCGTGTCTGATGGAGCCCCATGACTCCCACATCCACCCCACCACTCCCTCGTCCGCCACCGCCGCCGCCCTCCCCCCGTACGACGCTTACCAGCAATCGCCCTCGACGTCAATAGCCTCCCGCACCGCCGCAATCCACCTGTCCACGCCCACCGCCGACTCCGCGCGTGCCTCAGCAGCAAGCATGGACGACATGGACGTCGACATGGACGCCGACCCCTTCAACAAGCAGAAATACACCCGTCCGCCCAACGCCTCCCGCCTGTCGTCGCAGTATTTGCCCACCACCACCAATGCTGCCGAAGAGCAGCAGCAGCGGCAGGCGCGCTACTCGCCCATGAACACGTCCTCCTCCACCACCTCGCCGACCAGCTACATGAGCCCGCCCACCACCTCCAATCCCTACGCTTCATACACTCCTCAGCAGGCCGCGCGACAGTCGCCCAACCGCCAGAGCCAGTACACCTCGCCTACCCAACAGCGCTACTACGCCTCCCCGCCTTCCTCGTCGCGGGCGACCACCTCGCAATTGCCGCCTCTGCAGCCCAGCATGTCGCCCAATGCCTACTACCCGCAGTCTGCGACACAACAGCTAAACGCCGTCTTCGGCAACGAGCCTGACCCGCAGAAACAACAGCCGCCCACCCAGCAGCAACCGACCCCCATGTCTGGCACCGAGCAGCCCGTTCCGCAGTTCTCACGAGTACAGAGCGTGAACGATTTGCAGCCCAGGATCAACGCTCAACCGCCCTTTCGACGAGCACATCCCGAAGGCGGCTTCATCAGTCCGCTACAGGCGCTCACCACCCATCTTCCGGCCACGTACCGAATATGTAACCCCACCTTCCAGTACGAATCATCACGAAATCCGCGAAGAGTGTTGACGAAGCCGAGCAAGGGGGTCAAGAATGATGGATATGATAATGAGGAGAGCGACTACATCTTATACGTGAATGACATCCTCGGGTCTGAAGAGACGAATCATAAGAATCGATATCTGATCCTGGACGTGCTGGGTCAGGGCACTTTCGGGCAGGTGGTGAAATGTCAGAACTTGAAGACGCAGGAGGTGGTGGCTGTGAAAGTGGTCAAGAATAAGACGGCGTACTTCAACCAGAGCATGATGGAGGTGTCGGTGCTGGATTTGCTCAATGGGAGAATGGACAAGAATGACGATCACCATATATTACGGCTGAAGGACACGTTCATCCACCGGCAGCATCTATGCTTGGTGTTTGAGCTGCTGTCGGTGAATTTGTACGAGTTGATCAAGCAGAATCAGTTCCGAGGGCTGAGCACGACGTTGGTGCGGGTGTTTGCACAGCAGTTGCTGAATGGGTTGTGTCTATTGAGCAAGGCGAAACTGATCCATTGCGATCTGAAGCCGGAGAATATCCTCCTGAAGAAGTGAGTGTTTAACGCGAATTGGGGTGAGAATGTCTTGCTAATGTTCGCACAGCCTGGAGAGTCCGATCATCAAGATTATCGATTTTGGTTCGGCATGTGATGAGCGGCAGACAGTGTACACCTACATCCAGTCACGATTCTATCGATCACCGGAAGTACTATTGGGCCTGCCATATTCTGCCGCAATTGACATGTGGTCGCTTGGCTGTATTGTCGTGGAACTCTTCCTTGGTCTCCCCTTGTTCCCTGGATCATCAGAGTACAATCAAGTGTCACGGATTACAGAGATGCTGGGTCTCCCACCTAACTGGATGCTCGAGGTTGGCAAGCAGTCGGGCGAGTTCTTCGAGAAGGTGCACGATGAGTTTGGACGTAGAACGTATAGGCTCAAGTCGATGGATCAGTACTCGAGAGAACATGGGACCAAGGAGCAACCGAGCAAGAAGTACTTCCAGCAGACACGATTGCCGGACATCATCCGAGCGTATCCCATGCCGAGGAAAGGCATGAAGCAGAACGAGATTGAGCGAGGTGCGTATTCGAAGAGATGACGATGTTGACGGCGCTGACTTGTTGTAGAAATGGCCAACCGTGAAGCCTTCATTGATTTCGTACATGGCTTGCTCAACATAAACCCTCTGGAGCGATGGTCGCCTCAGCAAGCGCGAACGCACCCTTTCATCACGCAGCAAAAATTTACTGGTCCTTTCCAACCGCAAATGAACCTCAAAACCCAAAGCCGATCACCCGCTCCTGGTGTGCAGCAACAGCAGCAGGCTGAAGCATTGTCAAGACAACGAGCGCAGCAAGCACAGGCCGCGCAGGTACAGCAAGCTGCCAATGCGGCTTACGGTCAGATGCACATGAGCCCGGGTTATCCTACCAGCCCGCACGTGGCTCAACAACAGCAGCAAGCGGCAATGTATGGAAACATGTACAGCCCGAGCCATCAAGGAGCGCCGCCCCCATATCCATCAAACCCGCCTTCAGCAACGGCATATGGCCAGCAAGTTCCCATGATCCAACAACCTCCTGCCGCAGCGTCGATGCACCCGTACGCCCAACAGCAGCAATCCAACCTTTACGCACAGGCAACCACTCGAGCAGGACGACAACGAGCGAGCACAATGGACAATAACGGCATCCCGCCCGCCTTACAGCGAGTCGTCAGCCACCTCGACCCCAACGCCCCGATCCGCCTCCAGCCCAGTCCGGCATATTACCCGCCTCCTCCGGAAGGACAATCAGCATCAGACGTCGGTAGCATCGGAGGGCGACGAAGAACCAGCCGCGCCGGAACGGGACGACAGGGTGGAGGTGGAAACGGTCAAGACCGAAATTTCGTGAGGATGTTGGAGGATCGGACGCTGGAGGAGGGGTGGAATAGTGGTGGGAGTAGTGGGAATGGGAATGGGTGGCATGGTGGGATGTAGGGAGGGAGATGAGAGGAAAGGAAAGGAAAGGAAAGGAAGAAAAATTGCTTTGATTGATAATGATACCATTTTTGAAGATGAGAAGAGAGAGAAGTGGGAGTGGGAAAGCGAAAGACATACGTGAAAGAGCTATCGTTACTTCCTCCTCGAGAGATTGAAAAGAGAGGCTCCTTTCTCAAAGAAGAGATCGTCTGCTCGATGATTCACACTCAGCGCAGCACGTGCGAAGGGACTATCTATTCCGACCATCATGATGGGGAATGTGGAAAGAAATGGACCCGAGCTGTGAAAAGATGCGGTCCGCGGGCAGAAGGTGATGCTGAGAAAGAAAGAATGGATCCACCCCACGCAGCGAGGAACTGGGAGGATCGAGCGGAATCGTGTATCCAGTCAATGGTGCTTCACTGGTCTGGTCTGGTGCCTCAGACCAAAACAGAGCGTTGGTATCGTCGCTGTCCATCGCTCGAACGTCCAGGGGGTTCGTAGATGGTACATGTAGCAGCGATATGCACAACGAGTGTGGAGAGTGAAGAATATGAATCATCGGTCTCTGAGAATTTGAAGGAGGGGGAGGTGGAAGGCGGAAAAAGTATGGTATAGTGGACATCGCTGGGATGGGATGGGAAGGTGATTTGTGTTGTAGCCGCCGCTGTGGTGGCAAAAGCGAAGACTATTCTCGAAATACCAAATATACATACTTCCACTGTCTGCCTGGTTGATGTTTGCGGTTCTTGATGGGTTTCTTCTTTCTCTTCATATTGGTGCTGTCTTGAGCTCCTTCCTCCGATCGGTTGCTTGCCTTGCAGTCGCTAGAGCTGCTTGTTCCGTTTGAAGAGTGTGGCGATGCATGGAGTGTATGCCTGCTTATAGCTTTGGCTGCTCGTAATCTGCGATTATCCGCTGGGATGCAGTCGTAGACCATGTTTCGTGCTTAACGTTCCCGCCATCACGTAGTTCTGCCAACATCTGCTTTGAGATGTTCTCCATGATGAGTCTGCTGCTGCGAGGGAGTATGATCATCGTCGAATCCCTGGTTGAGCTCTTTCACTTCGCGACCTTCACCTCCTGCGCTCCCAACACCGGCGTGGCGACGACAGCAGGAGTGCCCGCCGGCGGCGTATCGATAGGGGTAGCATTCTGCGACACCGGCACAGGCGTGACAGTAACCGGCAAAATCTCCGTCTTGAGCTCGCGATTCTTCTTCGGCTTCGGATCAGGCGCTATCACCAAACACACATTAGCACAACTCATCTAAACAACTCAGAGCAAGAACTTTCTCACCCTTCTCATTCTCCTGCACATAAAACCGCCTCAACAACATAATCGCCTCCTCGCGAAACAAGCCCCCATACACCGGATAACTCCCATCGACACCCGGATCCGCATGGATGTTCATGACGCCGCCGCACCCGCCGAAGCGGTCGTTCAGACACCCAAAGTACACGGCCCGGATCCCGTACTGTCGCAGCGCCGACGCGCACATGATACATGGCTCGACGGTGACGTACAGGTCCGTCTCGCGGATGATGGATTGTGGGTGGTGCGCGATGATTTCGGCGAGGGCGACGAATTCTGCGTGCCGGGTGCCCTGTTCACGTAGATTAGTATCAGTGTCGATATTCTCTTTTTCTCGGTTTCTGGGTGTTTGTGGTCACGTACATTCAGCGATGCATTCGTGCCATTGATTCCACGGCCTATGACTTCGCCGTTGTGCACGAAGACGCAGCCGACGGGGGTTTCGTCGGAGGCGAGGGCGAACTCGGCCATTTCGATGGCTTTGCGCATGAAGCGTTCGTGGTAGTCGCGGTTGGGGATGGGGCCGAAGACCATGCTGGGCGGTGTGGTTTCTATCTTTTCTTCTGGTGTGATGGTGTGTACGACAGTTTGTGGTGGTGTTGGTGGAGATGAAGTCCAGCTGGTTGTGTGGTGATTGAAAGCAGGATTTTCTGGTAGCAGTCACTCTCGCGCCATGCAAACATTCACCGTTCTGGAAGGATCGAGCGGAGTGAAAGAGAGTAGTGTCTGTGTCTTTGTGGTGGTGCAAAGGCAAGCGCAGTTCCAAACCGTGGAAAACTGGAAAGAGTGAAGTCAGAATTGAGAAGGTGCGGCCGCATGTGACGAAGGTCCGTGCGTGACGAGCTAAAATTCAACGCCACACGTTCTCGCCTGCTTCGATCAAGGTGAAAGGTCTCCGTGTTGAATGATGATATGTAGCCTACATGCTAACAGAACAGATGCATCCGTACAAAAACATCGAAAGTCGATTCGACCACATTTTCGGCTCCAGGCACTTGCCGCTTCGCAGGAATATACGGCAAGCTGCCAGCATCAACGATCCCTGGATCATACATCAGATACTCTACGATCATCGCGCGAGCCACACTAGGGTCATGTCCATCGTGTTGGAGTACCGTCCTCATATACTGGACGCCTCGCTCGTGTGTCCAGCCCAGCTGCACCATATCACGGTACGCCATCTGGGCCTGCCTCGATCGACGCTGCGTGTGGTGAAGCGCGTTGTGGATGGAACCGCCCGGGTCGACGTAGCCTAGCTTCTCGAGATCTCGCGCCAGGGAGTGGATTGCTCCGTCACGGGAGCCTTGGGCCTGCCAGCGGGTCCGTAGCGAGGTGATGATGGCGACGTTGCGATGTTCCCTGGTACTCTCATCCTCAAACGCCGAAGAGACAGGCGGCAGTAGCTTCAGCTTCGTCATCTGAGGCTGAGCGACAGAGTCGTCCGGCGAATGCTGCTCTTCTTCAAGAATAGGCTGCAACTGCTCAAGGCCCGTCGCTTTCTCCTTGATCCAGGCCGCCGTTCTCTTCCTATGGATCTTTCTCTCCCGCTTCGCCTCCCTCTCCCTCTCATTTTCCTGTATCTCCTTCAGCAACCTCCTCTGCGCCTTCCTTCCCTCCCCATAAACCAGCGGCATCGACACGTTAAAGATCCCCAGCAGACAGTACGCCTTGTCCTCCTCTCGGGTCGTTTCCCGACCCACCACCCATTGCTGCTTCTCCTCAAAAGATAACCCTCGGCTGACACAGTAGTCGTACAAGACCGATTCGCGGATCCCCGTAATCTCGTGGATAATCCCCGTCAGATCGTTTTCGCTCCGGACAAACCCCTTCATGTCCTTCCTCACTCGCCCCTTATATCCAATCCGCTCCCAATTCCTATCGACAAACAACACCGTCGCCGGCGCCAGAAGTTCCTGCAAAGTCCTCAAAACCCCCCCATCAGCCAACAACCTCAAAGCTTTCCATCTCTAATCATCGAAAAGACTCACCACGCCCTCGTAAACCACACACTCCTCCGAAACTGCCCCACCCCTCCCCCTCCCCCACTTACATCCACATCCCCCAAAAACGCCAAACAGCACCTCGCCCGCCGATACCACCGAAACATGGAATTGATACTCTCCTGCAACTCCGCACTACTATTCTTATCAATGCAGCACGTATCGATCCACAACCACTCCACCCGCGCTCCGGCCTCGGAAGAAGAAGAAGAAGAAGAAGCGTCTCTGACGAACTCGCAGAACCTCTCCACCTTCCTATACCCCCTCCGCTACAAATCCCTCGCCTTCTTCTTCAGCACGCATTTGTACGTCGCCTCCTCGTCCGCGGGCGTCAGCCAGCGGTGCGAGGCGATGATGTACGCCGGGACATCGTGGCCATCGTGGAATTCTTGGAATTGCAGCGTGTGGACGTTGAGCAGTCTCATGGTTGGTGGCAATGGCGGAGAATCAACTTACCCCCTGCCGCGATTCTTCACCATCCATCGTGATGGAGCTGTCGGACGTGTCGATGGTGTTTCTTTGTGCGGGTAGATGAATGGTGCGTAGGGCATCATTGAAGGGCTGAGGAGCTGTGCGTATCGTGGCTCAGACGGGACGCAGTGTACTGCATGGCATTGCATTGCATTGGCGTGTGTTTCTCGCCTAACGTAGAACGGACGGAGGTCTTTCCCTGTTCCCCCTGATTAGCATGCGGCAACAGACAGTGGACAACGACAAGAAGAGAGGAACAACTTTTGGCAGTAACATTTGATTTCCAGTCCCCCTAGACTTCTACATGCCAAACAAAAAAAAAGGAACACTCTCAACAGGCCTGTAGAAGACCATATGCTCTACGCAGCAGCGACAACAATCAACACACACTCTCTCTTCCGCGTCAGAGCAGATCCTCCCAGCAAAACAAAACGGAAAACAACAGCAGCAAAGACTTATTCGCGCGCTCGAATTCCCAACAGCTCCTTCGCTGAAAACATAAATGCCCAAAAAATGAAAAACCCAGTCAATCACGCGTTCTTCTTTCACCTGTCCGTGTTGCTCGCGCGTCCCATAACCATTTCCCTTTCAACTCAAAACTCCAGTGAGCCGATTTCCCCAAAACACACATCGAAAATGTAACTCCAGTCTCTTGTTGTTGCGGTACCGCTGTCTTCGCAATCGTAATCCACAGAATCAAAAGGAAAAAGCCGTCAGGTGATACTAGTATATCGTCGTCGTAGATGAGAATGAAAGGAGAAGGTCGTGGTCGTGTGTGTATGCAGGGCTAGTTGGTCTCACCGCTCATCCATTGGCAGTGGCACCCTCCAGGTATAGTTCGTTTTCGCTTCGTCTGGCTGGCCAAGCCGGCGCTCTCGTACGCTCCGTAGCTTGGGTCTTGTTCGTTCAACTCCACGATGATGGGGTTGCCGTCGTTGTCTGCTACCCAATTCGCACCCCACGAGTCCAGGACCTGGTACTGCTGACAGTATGGATTCTGCGGGTTGTTCGGTAGTCGTCGCTCCTCGAGCTTGACGATGTATGGGAAGACCTCCATTTGGCTCCACGCGTCGTTCGGGTTTTGCCTCTTCTCTTTCGCATGGTAGCCGTCTTCGAGTTCTTTCCCGTAAAAGCGTCGTTTGGCTTCGTCCACACGCGCACTCGCCCATTCATTGAAGTCAGAGGCAGCGCCGGTGAAGGTTGCGGTTGTGAAGGGTGCCGTAATGGTGGTCGTGATAATGTCAGGAGGTGGGGTGGTGGGAGGCGTGGGAGTGAATCCAGTAGTGGTGCTTGGCGGTGGTGTAGTATGTGGTGGGCTCGTAGAGTTCGCGGCGCTGGTAGTTGAAGCAACACTGCTACTGACAGAAGCAGCCTGCTGGATATAGATGAATCCTTCAAGGAAGGTACCATTCCACACACAAAACCATGGCTTGTCACCGGGCGTGGCAACCTGCTTGCGGTGTGACCACTCTTCTGGGACGATGAATCCAGGTGGGTACTCTCCTCGTTTTCCCTTCTTGCTGTCCGACGGCACGGCAATGGCTTCCTCCGGTACAACGACGACCTTGTCGTAGAACTGTTGGAAGTAGAATGCAGGCCCATTGCTCTTGTCATCGTTGTCTTGGACTGTGAGGAACTGAGCAAAGGGCGTGTTCATAGAGCTCAGCTGAGCCCCATATGCGATGGTGGTGTCGTTGGAGGCGTAGAAGACGCTTGCGCCGCTGGGTTTACCCGGGCCTGGGATCTCCACGGATATACCAAGGGCGGCATTGGGGGTGAGGTTGCAGTCCCATGCCACTTGTTGTGCCTGGCTGGGGAGACAAGCGCATTGCGTTTCCTCAGGTTGACCTAAGGTGAGCGCATACGTGCCAGTGGGCGGTGCGCCTGATGTCGGCGATGCGATGAGACTAGCATCGTATAGCGACGTCACAACGGTGACCGTGGCCCTAGTGATTGTCAGTACTTCGAGTGCTTGTCGCCAAAGGCACGTTTCACTTACTTGTCTCGAGCATGGTTTCCACCCGCTACGAACCCTCCAATCACACCTCCCAATACTGCTCCAATGAACGTCAACACGGCGACACCCAACAATATCCACCAAAGGGGGATGCCGCAGAACCGTGTCTTTCTCTTCTCTTTCCACGACTTTTCCTTCCAAGACTTCTTTTCGTCAAACGTGCTCCCTGTCCGTGACGATGATGATGATATGAGATGGGCGGTGGATGCCCGCGATGCGTGTCGTTCTAATGCAGATTCGTCTGTCATTGATTGCGTCGGTTGCGGTGTGGGAGAGGGTTGTAATGCGGTGTGCATGAGAGGCATGCCGGGATCTGTGCCAGCAACGGGTGCGCGGCTATGAAGCGCAGTCGGTAGAAGAGGCATCTTTTCCGGGCCATCTTCTGGATATCGACTGTAAGGCGGTAGCTGTTCGGTGTGTCCGTCTTCGCCTATGATATCTTGATCTTCGCCATCGGGCCCTAACCGCCGGGTGTAGTTCTGGCCCAAACCTGGAAACCCAACAGGCACGGGATTCTGTCGCATTTGTACCGTATCGTCGTCATCATCTTCGAGATCGTCGTCCACTCCTTGCGGATATAATGCGTACGGATGTTGTGGTCTGCTTTGCGAGTATGATTGCCGTGGCCCGGGTCGTACTGTCGAAGTCGTTCCCACACTGAGAGTCCTCGCCACAGTGCCTTGTTGATATGCGCCATAGGGATGGCTCGGACCCGCGCCAAATCTAGGACTGTTCGTCTGCGCGTATACATGTGAAGATGCCGATGAAGTCGATCTCCGAATCAGACTGTCCGGCTCGAATTCGAGGCTCTGCTGTCTTTCGTGCGATGAGTCCTCATCGTCGGGACTGGCGAAGGGATTCAGATAGCCTCTTGACTTTCGCGTCGAGTTTCTCGAAGGGCCATTGGGAGATGTGGGTGTCACAGGACTCGTGGCATAGTGTGCAGAGACGGTCGTCGGTACCGGGTAGTCTGTGACGTCGTCTTGGCGCGACTGAGCGTCTTCTTCCCGGTCGACATTGGGCCTGAAGCCATCCGCGACGCCGTCAAAGTCGTCTACTTCGAACTCGTCGCCGAATACGTTTGTGTGCTCGTGGGTAGGGGTCGCGTCGCCGTCGAGGTACGATCGTCGGTCCATGGTGTCGCAAATGGCCGGCCGACGGCCGTACACAGCCTCCCTCCCCAAAATGCCTCAGCAACACACTCCTGAGCGGCGGCGGCGGTCCTGGCGGTCGGTATGGAACAAATATCGAGGTCGGCGGCGGTGTTCAGGGGGGACTAGCGAGCGAATGGGTCGGAGTGGTGTGGTGAAGGGGAAAGTCAGCCTGAGGGTGTGGTGTGGTGAGAGGGCAGCAGGAAGCGACGGGGTCTGAGGCAGTTCGAGAGGAGCAGAAACGCCAAGACGGAACTAAACTAGCAGGGGCAAGTCGCGCCGCTCGATCTTCCCCGTCCTGAGCAACAACAAAACACCACGGCAATTGTTGTTTTGCTGCGACAAACACGCTCGCTCTACCATCCACTCAACCGCACGATGCCACGCTTCTGCACACAACCATCCATCCCGAAGGACGGCGAGGAGTGAGCGCGAGCGTCCGGATGCCATCACTCAGATTTAGCGCGGAATGCTAGGCCAATAGCAAACTAGCAGCAGTCTCTAAAAGGCTTCGCTGCATGGACTTCCTTGGCGCAGCTTTAGTCACGGTCAGCGACCCGCGCGCAGTTTGGCGAAGGAAAAGAGATGGACGACAGGCTTCTTGCGACTATCATCGATTTGCTGCCGGAATTTCTACGCTGCTACTGTGGAAGCAGTCTAGCGACTCTCCAGACCGCCATGTTCTGGCCTCGCACGAATCAACTCGTCTCCGGCCCTTCCACCATATCCACGCTGCCATGCTGCAAAGGGGAACTATGATATCAATGGCGGTTTTCGTTCCGCGGAACGACTTCTATAACTTGGCCGGTCGACGGTGAGGATGTAAAAGCTCGCCCGGCCTCTATCTCTCAACGCCCCCGTAATGGTCAAAGGTATCCCACGCAGCATGCTTGTGATCGCACATGAGAACAGATTTCGAACTTTGAAGTGCTCGGTTGCACCATCTCAACGAACTGAAGGCCAAACGCTAGTCAAGTTATGCCTTGACCTCGTAGAACCTCCGGAACATGTCGTCCACGTTGGTGAGGTAGTAGGTGCCTGGACGAATGGTGTCAGTGCTGCCCTGGGGCTTGTACTCCTTCTTCAAGTGCGCCTTCTCGCGGAGGTTGCACATCTCATCGTACACTTCTGGAGCGACAGTGCGGCGAGACTCCAATCGGTTGTGCAGGTCGAGCTTCTGCTTCAACTCCTCGGTGCTTCCCCTGATCTTCAGCGAGAACATGGACGCAGCAAGACCAGAGCCGTAGGAGAAGATGGTGACGCGCTTGCCTTGCAGGTCGTCGGACGAGATGTTGCTGAGGAGCGAGACCAGCGAACCGTAGACAGATGCGCAGTACATGTTACCGCACATGGTTGGGACTTCGATCGATGGCTGCACACGCTGTGCGAACCGCTTCTTGGCCAGGCCCATGAAGGTCTTCTCGATCGTCTTGTCGGTGATGGATTGCTGGTAAGGAATGTCCTTGACCTCAGCAGGCACGTCCTTGAAGATTGGGTTCTCTGGGTTCTTCAGGTAGTCGTTGTACAACAGTCGCGCGTAGCTCTTGGAGACGAGTTTGCAGGTTGGTGCGTGGAAGCACATGTAGTCGAAGCGGTCGAGAGGGGTCTCCTGCTCAGCGTGTACTCCATTTGCGTGTCCGTTCAGCTTGCTCTTGATCTGCTCTTCCCGTGCGTTGTACGCCTTGTAGCACTCATCAACTGCCTCCGTGTAGCACTGGATCGAGTACTGGCCGTCAACAAGAGGGTACTCGCTGGTCAGGTCGGCCTTGTAGAAGTCGTAAGCGTGCTTGACGAAGCTTCCTCGCTGGCCAGGCTCGAACGCCAATGGCGCATCTGGGCCGACCAACATGGCCACGCAGCCAGCACCTCCAGTCGGTCTGGCGTTGCCCTTCTTGTAGAGTGCAATGTCTCCCATGACCACGATGGCGTTTCGGCCGTCCCATGCCGACGACTCCATCCAGTTGATGGTGTTGAACAGGGCGTTGGTCCCACCGTAGCAGGCATTGACAGTATCCACACCCTCGATGTTTGTGTTGCCGGATGGAGCAAAAAGCTGCATCAGCACAGTCTTGACCGACTTCGACTTGTCCAGGAGCGTCTCAGTGCCAACCTCGAGGCGGCCAATCGATTTCGGGTCAATCTCGTACTTTTTCAAGAGGGAGGAAACGGTGGTGAGGGCGAGGGAGTAGATGTCTGGTGTGAAGTCAGCCTCTGAGCCTATGCGCTCTTCCTGGATTTACACACCTTCCCGGTCGTCGCAGAAGCTCATCTTGGTTTGGCCCAGGCCAATGGTGTATTTGCCCTGGCTGACACCATCGAACTTCTCAAGGTCTGCTTGATCCACGCACTGAGGAATTGTCAGTGAGACTGTTTTCTGCACTTTTGCCGGCCTCCACTCACTTGGCTGGGAAAGTACAGCTCAAGGGCCTTGATGCCCACGTCTCTCGGCCGGGCGTCCATGCTGGCGGTGTTGTGGTACGAGGTCGTGTGGTGAGGTTCAATGTTGTTGGAGTGCGGTGAACAATCAACAATTGTCGGAAATCGCAGTGTGTGGGGCAGAGACAACAATCGCAAGGGTCTCGCTTCGCGGTGGTCGGAGTTTCAATGCTCTTTCTTTGAGAGACGAGCGGGTGGGTGAGGTGAGAAAGGAAGAAGACGAGATAATGCGAAGACGAAATGCGCGAGGGGACGCAGCAGTACTTTTTGTTTGCGGCAAATGAACTCTGACGATCAGCGCAAGACGTATGGGCTCATTTTCACACGCTGCAAGGTACCGGATCTCTCGTGTGTGGCTGCAGGGCCCTTTGGGGGAAGAATGGCCTGATTTTTCCTTCGTCACCGGCGCCAACACCTTTCGATCCCTCAACCAAACCAAGACTAATTCTCCGGTGCTTCAACACTCTCTTCCATCTCACGCTGTTGCCTCCACGCGAGCGTTGACCATCAGTCAGACAAACAAGGCCCTCCGTCATCGTACAGGCAAACGATTGAGTTGCTGCCCACGCCCAGAGACTGTGGCGTTTTGCAAATGTACTTGTGAGAGGTACTTTTATGTTATCTGATGATCAGATTGTGCTCGAGATTCGCCGGCGCCCACTCCACTCGCAATGCCGTGAGAAGTGCTCCGCCGGCCGTCCTACTACTTCCTGGCATGCTCTTCTCTCATCTCGTCCCTCGTGTTCCCACACAGCAAGCATGACTTCCCGTTCTCACTTCGATCGTCAACTCTTAACTCATCAATCACCAGCCACATTGATGACGTGAACTGGCAACAAGGTTCAGCCCGTGCACGAGTGGTTCGAGTTTCAAGAGCGAGCATCTCCTTTTGGGTCACTCTACCAACCACTTCAGCGAGTCTCCTCCTATCTCCCCGCTTCCAAAACTAATCAGAGACGTTTCGTTGGAGCGTGGGTCTCCAATTCGGTATGCATAGCGAGCGCCCTGATAACAACGCGGAGCCATTCTCTCCAATCCGCTGTTGGGAGATAAGCTGCGGTGTGCCGTAACGAGAGCAGAGTTGCTACCGATTGAGCACCAACTGCGCCTAGCAATCAATCGAACCTGGAATCTGGTGCACCGTCGTCCTGGCAGGTGTGACCTCGCATGCCAGCGGCTCTATACGCTATGTATTTTCCATCATTGGGACGTGGTGGAGAGCAGCCTCGACATACTGCATCGGAAAGCGTCTACTTTCGACCGCAAGTGTGGACGAGTATCTTTGATTGGGACGTTCAAGAGCTTCCCAAGCTCTTGAATCTGAATAGCACTAACCGAGCTCGACACCATGGAGTCTTTGCGTAGATGCCCCCGTCCCACTTTGACGAACGAAATCCGTCGATGAACAACGCTTCGAAGTTTCATTCCTGCCATAGCGCTTCTTTCAAGAGAAATGAAGATGCGGCATGATCACCTGTCTTCCTCTTGCAGCCCCTCGTGCCATGGCGATCACTGCATGAGACTAAACCTCAGCTATGTGCATGGGCTTCAGCCATCCTCGACTTCGCCCCTCAAGCGACGCCTAGGGCGGCCTCAGCCGTTGATGAAAGGCTAGTAACTCTGAAGAGTGTGATGTTCGTCAACATCGCACATTCTTCCTTGAGATTCAAGTTGTGAAGAGGTAGTGTCGGTCAAGAACACCCGTTGTAGTGATACCGCCATGGAGAGCTTCACTTCATCCTCCACACTAACTCCAAGGAGCAATTCCGCCTCTCTTCCTCTGAAGGACTTTCCATATCTGCAACGCTTGGAGAGGCTTCAATCTGCTTACCCAGCGCTCAAGTCTCTTCTAAACAAGCTCCGAAACCAACAAGACGAGGGCAGACGCCTCGTAGCCAAACGTTACTCCGACTCAGGATTGCACGGCGGCTCCCCCGGAAGATGTGCCATCATCACCTTCAAAGGTGACGACGCAGACCACGAAGTCTTTTACTCGGCAGAGGACCTCAAAAAGTATTTTACAAAGACATCAGACGACTACGCGAGCCCCAATGGCGAAAACGCAGAGGCGGATGAGAATGGGGTGTCAAGCCCTAGAAGGCGTCTGTTCATCCTCGAGGATATGGATCCGCCCATGGTGGACATACTTGGACAGGTGAGTTGCAAGGCCGGCAAAACGCATGATCTTACGTGCAGCCAGCGCAGCGCTGTGCTCGAGAGGAACGCGCTCGCTGACACATGTCCAAGGAACTCCGGATCAATCCTGTCATATTTTCTGAACAGACAAATACCTGGAACTCGACAGACTCTCAATCAGTTCCCTTCCGTTCCCTGGCATCTCTGCGCTCACCCAAGACGCTCTTCACCCTTCGCTATTATGAGATCCGCACGCTGGATGATGAGGACTCGGTGCGAACGGACAAGAACCAGATGACGCATGCAGTCAACCGACGCAAGATCGAACGATGGCGAGATGTTGACCTCCCCAGCGTCGAGCCCGATAAGCGACATGCCCTGGTCAGGCGTGCGATGAGCTTCTGGACTTCGGAGGACAATGAGAACTTAGAGCCTAACAGTAGCTGGGATGGTGAGTCTTTCCCGCGAGTCTGGACGACTGAGTGAACTTCTTTAGCACTTATCCTCGTTGACCCTCCCATGGACTCCTGTGCTGACTGCGCGCTGCACAACGGCCAAAAACATCCTCGAGACAAGTCCGAAAAGCAAGTGACCCTTGAAGGCAAGCCCAGTCCAATATGCACCGCCTCGTGCCTGATGTTGGAAGACCCGAATCCGTACAAGACCAGAAAAGATCTTTGGGCTTCTCGAGGCTGGAACGTCGCGCCTGGACAGATTCACGAAGTCCGTCACAACAGTACTCCATATCACGGAGGTTGTGTGTCGCTCGTCAGGCCATCATTGACAAATGATATTGGCGTCGCGAATTTGGCGTTGATGGAGAACCACCGCCACACTGCGTCGCCGCTGGATGAGCTGCTATTCCATATGACGAAGTGCAAACAACCTCGTCTGGTAAGTGTTCCCATCTCCATGGACTCTTAGAGCGCACCTTGATGTGGCGACTCATAAGATACATCCTGTGCATCCTTCACTTCGGCTGACCATGACCAGAATGCCAAGACCCTGGACACGCCAGTAAACTCGGCATTTTACATGCTCAACTTCATCGCTCACCACTGGGCTCACCAGATTGATCTCATCGCCTATGGAGTCGGCAACGGGGAGTGGTTTGCTGATGACCACGAGGCCGTCTTCGAATCCAGACCATCTCTAAAAGAATGGAAGGCCGAGCTTGCGCAAGTCTCCCTCGCCACCAAGGACATCAACTACATGCGACGTCAATTGAGCCGGTTTGATCGAGCACTCACACTCAACATGGAGCGAGTTGGTGTCAAGGTACATCAAGCCATCAATGAAGATTTACCACCCGCGCTTCGGAATGCTCAAGAGGACTTTCTCACTATCGCATCACGACTGGGTCCTTTGAGAGAGCGCGTCGATGATCTGACGGCCATCGCAAACGAGGTCGCAAGTCTTCGAGCGGCATTCAAGAGCATCCAGGACGGAGAGCAGAGCTTGAGGTTAAGCCTTTTCGCGGCGATCATCTTCCCGCTGACGCTCATTGCCAGTATGCTTAGTATGTCTGACACTTATCTCCCAGGACGCGAGCACTTCTGGGTCTTCTGGGCGGCATCGATTCCTCTTGCACTTGTGGTCGGAATTCTGATGCTTGGGTTCCGTCGCCCTGAAAAAGAAGCACGACGGCTCTGGCAGCACCATGTATCTCCGAAGCTGGCAAGCACAAGACTGGCCAAGCAACAGCGCAAGACTTTGGCACATGAAAACGTGTGATCGGGATCGTCGCCTTGACTGCACCGCTCGAAGGAGTACGCATGACGCACGGACACAATTGTCAGCAACTTGCTGCCCCAGACCAACACACCTTCAAACTTCACATCCCCATGGGCCAACTTCACTCCTCCCGGGTGGACACCAAAGTCCCGCAAAGCTTACGTGCCTTTCATCCAAACGCATTTCCAGTTGTCCGAACGCGATTGTCGACGTTGCGTCACCGGTGTCCGGTGATGATTGTTCACGCTGACACGGAGCATGGAAGCAGCTCACGTTCCGAGTGTTCCGGACTGCGTTAACTAATCAGGACACGCCCTTGGAATCCCGCGAGGCCGCCTTAGGAAGGGATGGCGAAATGCATCTGCATCTCGATATCAATGAGGAAAAAGAGCTTGAAGCAGTGAATAGAACGACTCGAGATAACAAGATTGAGGCACTGCCAAGAAGAGTACCACATCCCAACATGGGGGAGCTGGTAGAGGATTGCATCTCACAACCATCGACGCAGTCAGACCCAATCACCGCTGCATTCATCTCTTCACATCACGCGAGCTGATGAGCGGCCTCGTGCTGACACTGACACCGAAACAACCACATGGTTTAGGATACGATTGCCAATAGCAAGCCGCCGTCCTGGTTCTCCTCACCTCCCGCCCATATCCGTAGTTACATCGCCTAGGCACGCTCCTTTCACGTGGCACGTCTGGGTTTGCTGCATGGGCGTATTCCTCTGCGGCGAGGGGATTTGGAGAGGGCGAGAAACAGCTGTAAGAGGATGGAGGGGAGTGAGGAGGGGGGCCAAAAAGACCGCCCGATAGGCTTTTTTCTTCTATAAGAGCCTTTGCCCTCGACACGCTGTGCGAACCTTACCTTGCTTCCGCCTTCTTGTTCCTGAGCGAACTATCTCTGCTTTCCCTGTTCCATCCTCTCTCTCCCCCCGCAGGGTCTTGGGAGTCATGTCTTATGCGTTCTGGAAGAACAATGCCAATCGTGGCCAGGGGTCGGGCAAGAAGCCGCTGGGGATGGGCTTCACCACCCATGTGCGTTACGATGCCTACAATCCGAGCCACGATGCTTCGACCGAGGCCAGGAAGTCGTTGACGGATCTCGACTACTCGCCATTGCGTCGTGTAACATGGGCTTCGTTCTTCATGGCTGTGTTGGTCTCGATGGGTGGTTTCAGTAAGTCCGAACCTTTGAATATGTGATTGACTGGTGACTAACAACAAAAACAGTCTTCGGTTACGTAGGTCTCGCCATATCTCGAGCACATCCGCCTCCATACTAACAACCAGCAGGACACCGGTCAGATCTCCGGATTCCTGGCCATGCCAGACTTCCTGGAACGTTTCGGCCAGCGTCACGACAACGGTGAATACTACTTCAGCAATGTCCGCTCCGGTCTCATCGTTGGCATGCTATCAATCGGTACACTCATCGGCGCCCTTACCGGTGGACCCATTGCAGACTGGATCGGCAGAAGATACTCCATCACTTTGTGGAGCATCATCTTCTCCGTTGGCCTCATCGTCCAGATCTCGTCGACCCGTGACTGGGTTCAGATCATGATGGGTCGTTGGGTGGCTGGTCTTGGCGTAGGAGCGCTTTCGCTGCTTGTGCCTATGTATCAGGCTGAGACGGGTCCGCGTCATATCCGTGGTGCTTTGATTTCTTGCTACCAGGTTAGTATCTACATTGGGAGATGGCTTGTGCTAGCAATCGCTGATTCAATCCAGCTGTTCATTACCTTTGGTATCTTCCTAGCGGCAGTCTTCAACTTTGCTACGTACGAGCACCAGCGGTACAAGGAGGCCTCCTGGCAGATCCCAATCGGCATTGGTTTCGTCTGGGCCGTCATTCTGGGCGGTAAGTCCAACAATCAGCCACCACACCTTCACTTGACTAACGAATTCCAGTCGGCATCCTCCTCTTCCCAGAAACGCCCCGTTTTGAATACCGAAGAGGCAATATCGAAAAGGCCAAGGCTACGATGATGAGAGTCTACGGCGCTCCGGCAAACCACTACACCATTCACGTGGAATTGGAGGAGATTGAGCAGAAGCTTCGAGCCGAAGAGAATAAGGGCACTGTGGTTCAGGAATGGTAAGCATTAAGAGGAACATCCTACTTTGAAGGGATGATCAGCTGACGGGCGAGTAGGATCCACATGTTCTCTGCCCCCAAGATGGCATACCGCATCATGCTCGGTGTCTTGATCCAGATGTTCCAGCAGCTTACTGGTAAGTTGCGCCCTCTTGACACGGAGGCACAGCGGTGCTGACGAGTGTAATAGGCGCCAACTACTTTTTCTACTACGGAACTGTCATCTTCCAAGGAACTGGCATCAACAACTCCTTCGTGACGCAGATGATTCTCAACGGCATCAACTTCGGCACGACGTTCTACGGGCTCTACATTGTTGAGCACTACGGCCGTCGCAAGTCTCTGATCATTGGTAGCGCTTGGTATGTCTTAGCCATCGTCACGATGACAACGGGGTATGCTAACGCTTGTACAGGATGTTCATCATGTTTTTAATCTTCGCCTCAGTAGGCCACTTCTCCCTCGACCGCCAAACGCCCAACAACACCGAAGGCGCCGCAACCGCCATGATTGTCATCGCCGCGCTCTTCATCTTCGGCTTCGCGACGACATGGGGCCCTATGATCTGGACCATCTGCGGCGAGCTGTACCCATCCCGCTACCGAGCCAAGGGCATGGCCCTCTCGACCGCGAGCAACTGGCTCTGGAACTTCCTCATCGCCTTCTTCACGCCCTTCATCACGTCCGACATCGACTTCCGTCTGGGATATGTCTTTGCGGCGTGTAACTTCCTAGGTGGTCTGATTGTGTACTTCTTCGTTATTGAGGGACAGGGCCGCACGCTTGAGGAGATTGGTATGCCACTCATCCCTACCCAGCCTGATTCTTCACAGCCTTGCTAACCCGTTCACCTAGATACCATGTACATCTCCGGCGTCCTCCCCTGGAACTCCTCCAAGTGGATCGCACCACCACCAGAGGAAATCGCCCGCATCCGCACCGAAGCAGGAGTCCACGACGCCCCGCTGCCAGACAGCGAGATCTCTCGCGCTCCAGTCAACGGCAACACGAATGGCTTCCCCAAGGAGAGCGGCGAGACCGATCTGCACAACGAGAAGCTCGATGACGGTCCTGGATTCACTGCTCCAGTTGCACCTGGCAACGAGGGTCTGAACAAGGAGACGGTCTAGATCGGAGATGCTCGACGTTCTGCCGGGTCACAGCCTCGGCGCTGCTGCTGCTCAGATGATACCTCGCAACGGTACTTGATGTATTCTACTTAATGTCTGTTAGTTGATGAATACCCTCGCTCATGCAAAATATACCCCTACTCATATCACATGGAGTTTCCTCTTTCATTACCTGATCAAGAGCTACACATCCGATCCCGTACTGTCCAGAGAGCAGGCGATAAAGTGAGCATGGCGTTGGAATATGGTCATGGTGGTGTCTGTGAATTTCTAGCGCTATCCTTTGTCGTGAAAGTTTGCCTCCCCTTCGTCAGTGGCTTTCCCCCTTTCTTCAGAAGAAACCGCTGTCCCGTACGAGCGATGTCGGCTCGAAAACGCTGTTCACAAGCCTGAGTTTGAGCACTGCAACACCCACATCTACACAACATACCGATACAACGGACTCTTATTCCCCATGTCCGCCGACTCCCCATCCGTAAATTTACCCCTTACATCCTCTTCCGTCCACCCCTCCCTCTTCCTATTCTCCCTCTCATAAGCCCACTTGAGCACAATCGTACTCGCAATCGCCGCCAACAAGATCCCTGAACAGAACCCATACCCCAACCAATAGTTCGGCGCCTGATGTTCTTGGAAGATATTGCTTCCTATCAGACCTCCCGTATTGCCGATTGAGATGAGCAAACCCATGCCTATGGCGCGTTTCCGGCTGGGGGCGAGGTTGTTCCCGATCCAGCTGAGAATGCCTATCAGGCCTGGATATTTCCCCGCTGGGATGAAGAAAAGCAATGCGTACGTCGAGCCCGGGAAGCGAGGTTGAGGGACGGCTAGGAGGCCTAGAAAGCCGACGGCTGCGATGGTGTAGGGGATGACGATGAAGATCCAGCGTGTTCGACGGCGGTCGGAGAGCCAGGAGAAGACGACGGTGGAGATGACGCCGAGGGTGTAGACGGGTACGGTGAGGAGTTGCGCGTTGGCGGCGCTGTAGCCTAGGTCGTGGACGATTGTTGGTGCCATGAAGGTGAATCCGAAGAGGGGGATGCAGTTTCCTCCCCAGACTATTACGGCCTATGAAGAGCGTGTTACATGGGAGACGATGAGGGGTGATGGAGGGGCACCTACGACCCAGATCTTCCACTCGAAGAATGCTGATCGGAATGTTTTCCAGCTGAATTTATCGTCCGTGCCTATGCTGCCTGAGCCCGTCCCACTGTCCTGCTCGAGGCGGCGGTTGATCGCTTCGGCTTCCCATGGCTTTAGAAAGCTGGCTGTCTGTGGAGAGTCGGCTGGGAGCCAGTACAACCCTGATCCAGCGACGACTGTGAAAATGCCCTCCAGTATAAAGCTAATGTATCGTCAGAGAGTCTTGGGAGAAAGTGTTGGTGGAGTTTTGGCATACATCCATCGCCATCCAGCGTACCCTCCCGCTCCATCCATATGCTGTATGCCAAAGGCAAGTAGACCAGAGAAGGCGCTGGCAGCGGACGCGGCGCTGAAGAAGATTGCCAGCCTGGTCTGGACTTCGAAACGACAGTACCTAGAACCTTCAGCTTCAGGATCAGCACGATTTGAGCACTTAGACATACCATGTTGTAAGGAGGTACGAGGCAGCGGGAAAGAACCCCGACTCAAAAAATCCAAGCAGCACGCGTGTTGCAATGAGTTGCCCGTAGCTTTGAACCAGCCCCTGACAAGTCATGACTACGCCCCAGCAGAGCATGAGGAAGGAAATCCATAGTGATGGCTTTACGAGCTTCAAGACGATGTTCGATTGCACTTCGAAGCGGAAATAGGGGAAGAAGAAGACTAGTCTTCAGTGCTGATAGTCGTCTGTTGCATATTATACCTGTCAGGGCCATATTGTACTGAGCACCTGTAAGGTGTAGGTCGTGGTTCATTCCGGCGACTTTGGCGTTGGCGATGTTGGTACCTACGGAGCTTTCAACAAGATTGTATGCATCTGAATGTCAGAACCAGTACTCACGATCAAGGAAAGATAGGAGATAAAACAGTGACAACAGAGGCAGCAGTCTCCAGTCGACTCTTCTCATGATCCGCTTGGTTTCAGCATCACTACACCGAGAGCTCTGTTCGAGATTCGTGAGGTCAGTCAATTTGTTGATTGCCTCCGGATACACTAGTGCTTACGTTTGGGACGTCCAGGCTATTCTCATCTTGCTGCCGGGTGGAGACCTTTTCCAATGCCTCCACGTCGCTCTTCTCGTCTATCGAACAGTGCTGTGACATTGTTGGGGAACAAGCAGAGTTGAACTTACCTCAACTGACGTTTTGGGATTGCCGTCATTCTTAAAAGCTCTTGAACCATGACCTCACCGTTTGACATGGAAGCATCTCATCGAGCTCTTGTCCATCGAGAAGCAAGGAGAGGGACGATTATCGTGCCTGAACGACATTGTGCATTGCAGTGGTTGCACAAAGGTCGACGAGTCCGGTGGTGGTCGTGATGCTCGAGCGATCTTTTCTCGGACTTCCCGGGTTGACGCACATAATTGAGAAGCTACGATATCAACATCGACGGACGAACATGATTCGTGAGGGTGCTGTGTGGTCCTGGGCCACGGATTTGAGGGCCGAGACCAGAAGCATGTCGATCAGTGCAGTAGTTGTACGTGGTGGCTGCAAAAGTCGAGCAGAGCAATCCGAGAAGTCTTCCAATGGAACACTCTCACAACCTTGAGTGACCTTCGTAGTAGTGGTCGAGCATCAGTTCATAACACTCAGAGTCGTGACTCTGCCCTGGTCCTAACGCCAGACCTGCAGATACCGGTATGTAGCACTCGCCGACAGCTGTATAGTTCAAGACTTGGGCGCGTCCGCCAGGGAGTATTCGTGGTTCTGATTTGTCTTCGCTGCTTCCATTTCCATCTCCATAGCCACCGATTTGTCGGGGCGAACGTGTGATACGAAGGACAGTCGAACTGTTTTGCAACATTCATGCAAGCGGTCGTAGTGGTTGTCAATGCCGTCATCCTGTGAAGCCTTATCGTCGTTCGTTCAGCAAAGGAACATGCCCGGCACTCGGCCCAGTGGACGTTTCATTCATTAAATCTCCTTTACGAGTGGCTGCGGCATTCCAGTCGGACGCGTGGCCATCTGAAACATGCCTTGTCGATGGCGGCCGGGAGGATCTGTGGCCGGGAACAGAATCTCATCACATGTTCCTCCCATAATCAACAAAGTCATAATGAGTTGTGCAGGCCGGCTCTTGTAGAAAAGGAGGGACAAGCTGTCGAAAGTCTCGAACCCGGCTCATCACCATGGAACCGCTCTTGTCGCCCGCCGCGAGATCGACCGCGATCATCGAGCCATGTGCTTCCACGAACTGTTTGGCGCGTCTGGTTTCGGCATCGGATGCGACAAGACGATCATCAAACAGTGCGGCGGCCGGCAAGCAGCGACCGAGCAGCCCTATGTGATGTCCGCCACATGTTGTGAGTGTAGATCACTATTATGAAGTGTGAAAAATAGCAGGAAAAAGGGTTTAAGTTCAGCCGGACGCCGTTGAACTTCGGCTGTTCGGGCCAAGCTTTCAACTACACCTCTTCCTCCACGGGCGATACCATGAGCCGCCGCCATCACAACGATGATATTCGCCATCAACGGAAGCGTCAGGGACGAAGCTCCAAAATCCAGACACCGCGGATGCTGGTCTCCAATACTGAGCGAAGTCCTGCTCTGGTATAAGGGCAGTGATGGCCTCGAGATAGACCCGCAGCCGTGAGAGAAGGACTCAGGAGGAAATTGACGTTGATTCCGGCTAGTGAGCAGTATTGAGCACAATTCGAAGCACATCCTCCTCGATGATGCGTTGCAGGAAGCGCTAGGAGTCGGACCTTTGTTGTTGGGGCCGCAAAGTACGAAGTCGTCTCCAACGGCCGCGAGAATTGATAGAGCGATCTGCACCGTTGACGCTACTTGCGGCAGCCTCTTTGGAGGCATTTGTACCGAAAGGGACAAGTCGCTGACGGCAACGCGTTAACGCCGAACAACCGGATGTCGTGGCCATGCGATATACCTGCTGGACAGCGCCCGCCTGGTGAGGTCCTTTTGTCCTCGTTAGTGATTTTCTCGACGCCAACCCCGGTGCTGTACCGTTTGAGTCACTCGATCTCGTTCGCTATCGCCATACACTCGTTATACACAATGGCCTTCGTTTCGACCTGTGCTGCGCTTGTCCTTGCGCTCGCCCAAACTACTTTCGCGGACGACTCTTCGAATAACACCTGCCAGTCGTATGGCGTGGACTACGAGAACGGTGGAAGCTACTTCCAGAACATCAACCTGAACAACACATTCACTGCTTTCCAGCAATTCAGCGGATGCACGAACGATACAGCCCACAATGTGATTGTCGATCCAAACGGTGACCAGAGCGAGTGCTCCGAATCAAGCATGCAGCCCAGCAACACCGACATGCTAGTGACATGCAGCAACTGGACCAGCAGTACGCTTTATGACGGGGACTGGTCGCTGCTCATCGTCAGCAACAACGGCAATGGGACTCCAATTGCATACCAGCGCGATTTCAGTCTCTCCGTTGGCCAGCCACAAGCAACAGTCTCTACCGATGGCCCGACTGTCACGAACACCGTGTCCACCACTGTGACAACGACCTCCACCTCGACCAGCATCGCCGCTTACACGACCACTCTTGTCGGTGGCAGCAGCAACAGCACCAGCTCCGAGACTAGCTCCTCGCCTAGCACTTCCTCCTCCTACTCTGGCTCGTCCTCGTACGACTCTTCGTCGTCTTACTACTCGACCGATTCTGCCTCATCAACATACTCCGGATCTTCGTCATACTACTCGACCGACTCTGCCTCGTCGACGTACGCCACTTCATCATCTTCCTACTCGTCTTCGACCTACTACGGGAGTGATTCCGCCTCTTCGACGTACGCCTCGAGCTCTTCATACTCATCGGACTCCTATGCTTCTGGATCATCGACGAGTGGATCTAGCAGCGCTTCATTGGGAGTTTCTGTCTCAATTCCAATTGGCGGGACCACCACTGGCTCTGACGGCACAGCAACTGTCACATCCTTCTCTGCTGTTACATCGATCCTGACCCAGAGCGGCAGCTCCTGCACCGCGAGTAGCTCTGCCCCAGCATCTGCTTCAGCATCGCCAACTGCCACCGCGAGCAAGTCGTGGCACTATGCTCCTGATCCATTGGCCAAGATTGTACCGTCTATCCTTGGCACTGAGCTCGACAACTTGGTCGCTGGCCTCATTGGCGCAGTTGAGACCGTTCTCGACGACCTGAAGCCTCGAGCCACCCAACTTCCCGCGTCTGCAAAGTTCAGGAAGGCTATCATTGAGGGTCGCGCCATTGATGAGGAGCTCAAGCGGGCTTTCGTCAAGGAGCGGGCGGCATTCTTGCACGGTGCCGATGCGATCGCCAAGAGACACCCAGACTCCGAAACGTCCACTGTTTACACTGGATCAACTACTTACACTACGTACTCCACAACCACTTACACGGAGACCGCAACGGCATACGCGACTTCAACCAGCACCCAGCTGAACCTCCTTGGCCGGGATGACTCCTTGGCCACCATCACGACCGTGATCCCCACGACGTAAGTACTCCGCCCTAAGTCCTCGGCCCGCTCAAGGGAACGCATTTACTCACAAACAGCTAGGATCATCTCCACCGTCTGCCCTACGCAGTAAATAACCGCATCGAATGAAAGAGCCAAAGCCTGTTGGCATTGTTTTGCACTGGGACTTCGCGCGGCGTTTGAATTCGGCGGTCGATTACTCTATCTTCACGAAGCAGCATGATCATTTATAGATATGAGCAGAAGCATTCGCTTCTATTAGCAGACGGACGGACCTCTGAAAGAGGTTCAATTCACGACTAGATTAATGTATATCAATGGGTGAATTGATTCAACACCGGCCTAGCTTTCATTAGACCGCAAGTCATTCCGTTTACATCGATGTCGACTGATGATCTGGTACAGGCCCCGTTGGACCCGTCCATCCGGCAGACTTTGGTACGTCTCGGATCTAACAAGGAGCACCTAGTTCCCTATAGCGTAGGTTCCTCCATCTAGGGCACGAAGCAACATGGAAGAGCTGATCAATGGCCAATGACCGAACAACCTGGCACCAGTCAGCACGACCATGGGCGTAAGCTTCCTTCGGCGCAAGACAGTCCAGCTGAGGTGACTGGTCTGTCGTTTGACATGATTTCTGACGGATGAAGCGAATGCTTGCTGAGCCAGGCGGATGACATACTACGATCGGCCTGGCAGAATCCCCGACTTGTACGAAAGAACGGTAGAACGAAGGCAGCTTTGTAGTATTTGAGTCTCAGGTTCCTATCGATGTGAGTTTTGCATTGCTGACTGAAGGACTTCTTTTTCCCACACGCGATCATGGCGCACTTACTCTTTGACAGCAATTCTATCGATGGCATTCCAATCTCGCTCCAAGTCGTCATAGGCGTTTGCGTTCTATCTTTGCTGGCTGGTGTCTATACATTCCTCACTTCTGACCGACCAATTGCGGGCTTCCCGGTCCTAAGTGTCGATGGCCTCAAGCCCAAGATCAGCTGGTACACAAAGGGCAACGAGACTCTAGAAGAGGGTTACAAGAAGTACACTGGCAAACCTTTCCAGGTCGCGACCGGTACAGGGTACGTACAATTAAAGCGATTAAGGGCCATACAGCCTTGCTTCTGAATAAAGCGTCCACTGACTTGGCAAGACATCGAATCATACTTCCCAACCGTTTCGCGAACGAAGTGCGCAACGACAACCGCCTCTCGCTCAATGGAGCCTTTGCGCAGGACTTCTTCGCACACTACCCTGGCTTCGAGGCCATCAAGGTCGTGTTCGAGCATGAAAGCAACACTCTCATCCAAGACACCGTCCGCATCAGGCTGACTCAAAGCCTTGGTCTGATCACCGGCGATCTCGTGGAAGAAGCGACCGACGCTGTTCATGATATCTTTGGTGAAGATGATCAATGGAAGAACATCAACGTCAAGAACCATGTCATTGGGCTGGTGGCTCGAATGTCTTCAAGGACATTCTTGGGAAAGCCGCTTTGCCGCAACAGACAGTGGCTGGACGTCACAAGCCAATACTCGATTGGTGTCTTCCTCGCATCGAGAGAACTACGCAACGTACCGGTCTTCGCCAGACGCGTGATGCAATACTTCATGCCAAGCTGCACGAAAGTGAGGGAGTTGTACCAGACCGCCAAGGGCCTCATCACAGCAGAGGTCGATCGACGAACGATAGCTGCTCAACAGGCGTTGGCGGCAGGGAAGAAGCCTCCCAAAACCGCTGATGCCATCGGCTGGATGGTCGAGCTGGCCAAGGGGAAGAACTACGACTTGGTCGCTGGACAGCTGTCTCTCTCCGTGGCCGCTGTTCAGACAACCACGGAGGCAATGACCCACTTGCTAGTGGATATAGTTGAGCACGGAGATATCATCCAAGCGCTGAGGGAGGAGATTATCGCCGTGTTGCGCGAGCACGGCTGGTCCAAGGTCGCCCTACATCAATTGAAGCTCCTCGACAGCGTGATGAAAGAGTCTCAAAGGATACATCGACCTAGAGGTTTGATCCAGTCCACCCTCGTTAGACATTTTCTCAGGTATGGCTGACATTCAAACAGCAAATCTAAATCGCTACGCCATCGACGAGGTCGTCCTCTCGGACGGCACCAAAATCCCCAAAGGCAGTCGCCTCCTAGTCGAGACACGCATGTTCGACCCCGAGCTCTTCCCAGACCCTTACACCTTCAACCCATATCGATTCGTGGAGCTACGAGAGAACAAGGATCGCGGAAATGATTGGCAGTTCGTCACTGTCAATCCTGAGTTCATGGCGTTCGGTCTAGGGACGCACGCTTGCCCAGGGTAAGTCGACATATATTCTGCCCTGATTACGATGATGCACTGACAGTCATTCGTAGGAGATTTTTTGTCGCCAATGAGATGAAGATTGCACTCTGCCATCTGTTGCTCAAGTACGACTGGCAATTTGTGCCTGGCAAGAAGCCTGGTCGATCATTTGAGATTGAAGCGAACGTCCTCTTCAACCCATCCGCCGAGCTACAGATCAGACGGCGGAAAGAGGAGGTTGATCTCTCGGTGATGGGAAGCTGAGGAGGATATCGCGGGAAGGTCTCCAGCGCGGGGCGGCTGTTTGATCACAAGACTGTATACTTGTATGTTCTGATTTCATCAAGAGTCATTTCTCGTTGCCAAATATTTACACAGTCTCTCTCCTATGGTCTGCCATCAGATCAACCCCCAAAGACCTTGTTGAACCACTTATCGAAGAAGTTCTTGTACGGCTGTTGTACGAAATTCCGCGTATACTTCCATACTGATCAGCAAACACGATCGGGATTTGTCAGAAAAAGAAGGAATCTGTACTCACCTCATCAATCTCACCAACCTCACCCTTGAGATCCACCGACGTAGGATCAAGAGGCCTGAACTTCGTCCTCTTGATGACCTTCCACCCAATGAACAACACCGGCGTCAGGAAGATCATGAAATAAGAAAAGACGAATGTCGAAGCTTCCCATGATCCAGGCAGGAAGACGGTGTAGCCGCCTACGACGGCCATTACCGCCGTCCAGATAAGTCCGTAGTATGCCACGTACGGCTGACCGATGGATCGATAAGGCAGACTCCTGCGATCGATGCCTTGTGCTTTCAAAGCACGCATCCACATCAGGAACGTGAAGCACATGAAGCTGAAGTTGATGAGCTGCGAGGCCGTGATCCTGGATGAGAATTCGGTGTCAGTACGAGACAGTTCCCACGATACAGGGTTATTCATGATACTCACAAGTTCACGAACCAGCCCAGAACCTTCGCGGACCCGGCGCTGACTTGCAAGAAAGCTAGCAAGCAGATGGCCAGGACAGCGATCACGCAGTTGTACGGCACACCAATGCTGTTGGTCTTGGTGAAGATCTTGGGCGCCTTGCCCTCGAGGGCCATTCCTGTACCTAACGTCAGCAAAGACCCCAAATGAAATGAGATCTGGATTCGAACTGACCAAACAGCGAACGAGATGCACAATACATGTAGCTGTTGCCGGCCGAGAACGCGGATGCAAGGACTAGGGCGTTCACGATGTGCGGAAGTACCCCAATTCGGAGCCGGTTCATGGCAACGACATATGGGGAGGCCGCGGCACCAGGTTCATCGTTTGTGAATGCTGCCATCATTTCGGGGTCTAGACAACAGAAAGTCAGTAAAGAACTTCCGTCGTCCATTCTTGCGATGCTCACCGTTGTACGGCACGAGGATGCCAACGCAGAGAGCACCTAGGACGAAGAATGCCGTGAGTCGGTAAAATACGGCATTGAAAGCCTTTGGCATGACAGTCCGTGGGTTCTCAGCTTCACCAGCAGCCATGGAGACATAATCTGGTCCAGCAATCGCGAAGGACGCCTGAATCAGGCATTGCAAGAACCCCAAGAAGTAGCCAAGATTGCCATCATAGTAGAGGGGCTTGAAGCTTCCTGGGTTTTTCCAATACCTAAATCCAAATCGGTCGCCTAGTGGGTTGCCGCCGAGCATGACCACGAACGTGAAGAAGATCAAGCCAATGATGAGCAAGACTTTGCCGAGCGCTGCCCAGAATTCGACCTCGCCGTACCATTTCACGTTGACGAGGTTGATCACGCCGTAGAGGACGAGAACGATGGCCACTGTGGCTCCTGTTGGTAACACGTCTGACCAGTAGTGGATGATGACGTTGCAGGCGGTGATTTCGAAGGGTACGAGGATTGCTTCGAAGACGAAGAAGTTCCATCCTGTGGGCTCACGTTAGTTAAAAACATCATAGAGATTTGCAGCGATCAAGATACCGGCGGCGAATCCGAAGGCCTCATCGACGTATCGTCCAGCGAACCGAATAAAGGGCGACGAGATTGGCAGATATGTCACCATCTCAGCCATGCACATTGTCACAGCGAGAACGACAGAGCACCTGCACAGTTGTGAGTTGGATTTCGCATGGAGACGCGATGTAGACTGACCAGAAAGTGAAAGCAATGAAGAGACTTCCAGGACCACCGTTCATCAGGCCACGTCCTATCTGGACATACAACGCAGTACCAATAGTGCCACCAATACCTAGCAAAAGCTTGTCAGACATCGCTCACGATCAATGGATATATTTCCAAGGCGTTCCAATACCGATCAGCTGGATATGGCGCGGCTTCAGCTTCCTGTGCGTCTCGTCGTGGATACCACTGATGTTGTACGATGCAACTGAACCACGACGCTCGGCGACCTCATTGTCGTAGGCTGGAAGCTCCTTCTCATTGCTCACGCCATACTCTTTTACACTCGCTGTCCCGATATCGCCAGTATCGTTGCGCTTGAACGGCGCTCTGCTCTTGAACATGTCCATACTGGCTTCCCGTCTTCTCAGAGGAGATACTCTTGACACCCTGTACCACAGGGCAATAAGAGAAACCAAGGCAACGTGAAGCTGAACAAGAAAATGCGAAAAAATGAGCTAAGGCGAAGTCGTACACTTATCCATGTCCTTCGCCCAGGGCTTGGGTCATTGATAAGACCGCCCGCCTGGCGACCAGCTTTTCCCAAGGGCCTGGGTGACCGAGCTTGGAGAGATCCAAGACTTTGATTGTGGCGTGGCACCCTGGTTCTGTTCGTTCTAGGCGCGGGTGTGCGTTGCAGCTACATGCCAAGATGGCTATAGAGATGGTGCATTCGCCTGGTAGAAGGCTAGTGAGAATGTCGAACGATGACAAACTTGGTATCATTGGGTTCGGCCAGGCCAGGACAAGCGAGCTATCCGGACGTAAGTCCTACTTTTCTGTTGTATCGACTATCACCATGTGAAGAGAATCTCTCTTGCCAAGCATAGTGTTGCCCTGCCACGCCGCTACACCCCCACAGTGAAGCAATCGGGCGTCTTGGAAGCAGTCGGGGCACGCGATCGTGGCCGAGGGGCGCACACGATGATAGGGATTCCATGTCATTTCTTTGCGTGTAGGTTGCATAACAGCGTAGCGCTGAGGCGATCCTGAGGCGTTTTCTTCGCTTTCATGGGATAATGACTGCCGGTCAAAGGCGCTGATTGTGCAGGCTGCTGAAGCGGCTGAATTCTGCAGGACGTGGCGTTTGACGGGATCCCTGTTGCCATGTGACTGACATGCTAAACCTTCGATGAAAGGGCGTAGTCTATGGGGCCTCTGGAAGCATTGGCGTTGCTGTTTGTGGAAGAATGTCAAGGACGAAGAGTTGCGACGTGATCTTCGCGTTAGGGTGGGGGCCGTGAACAACTTTGCACATTTCGTATTCCGTACTCATTTCACTCACTCACGTGGATCTACCAATTTGGGAAGGCACCCGTTCATTGATCAACCAAACAACGTGTGCAGACCCGTCTTCATCATAACATCCATCCAATGGCCTCCTGTTGCTGCATTTTGCCCGTAGTCATACTCAGACCAGATAGCCTTGATCAAATTCAGTGCCACGCCGATGGGACGTGGTGGCAGTGATCTCAGCAGCGTGCTCAACCTGTCGACAATAAACTTCCTAGCCCGAGAAACCTCAATCGTGCACTGAGTAAGAGGGAACACCTCTGGATCCGCAACCACAGGGGTATCGAACCTGAGTCCCGTAGCTGCCGAAACGTAGAGAACGGGCTGGATACACCGTGTGCCCGACTCAGGCGGTATCCGTTCAAGCACATCCACAAGGAGAAGAGTGAGCGTTGTCAACGCTTGACTTCTCTCCAACTCCCCATTATCTTCCATGAATGGCGGCTCTTGGCTTGGGGACGCATCGTCTAAACGGACTTCGAGATCAGGGAAGGTGATGTACAGCTGCAGCAAGGCTGCCAGTCGATAAGCTTCAGCTGTGTCCAAAAGGTGGGTGACTGGCGTGCTGTTATCGCCTGTTTGCAAAGCTGGCGCTGGCATGTCACTGTCTTCAATATCCGAAGCAAAGTTAGATTGCATCAGGTGTTGGGCAAGCTCACGGGCGACTTCAATATCGCAGAGGCTCTCGCACAGAGCATTGGCATTGTGCACGCCAGTACATACTCTGCGCGTGTGGTGGTCACGACAAAGCGCCATCACCAGACCGAATTGCTCCTGGACTTTTCGTGAGACGCCTGTCCAAGGGTGAATTGTTGCATCGTGGTCGTCGTCCTTCTGGGGCCCAAACGCAGTGGTGCCCACGGCTGGTTCCTCTTCAATGGAATCCTGGTCACCGTCCCATCTCATTACATGGCGGAGCCTTGTCCTATGCTTTTGGCGCATGATCTCCAGATCCTTGAAAGCCGACTCGGAGCTCACGAAGTTCAGGAGCATCTCTGTATACTTTAGAGCGTGATGGAAGTGCAAAAGCTCTTTTCGGCTTTTGTCGTCAAGTCCGCCGCCAGTGTCTTGAAAGCGTATGAGGACTGTTCGCGCTCCGATCACTAAGGGTTCACCCAGTTGTTTTGTGTCTGTCCAGCATAGCGAAGTCGCCATCGCAAAGATCGCGAGAAGCAAATCAGTCGGAAGACCGCCGTCTAACGGAGCATTGAGATCATAGTACATCGCCATATCTCTGTTGATTGCTGCAAGAGCATTACCAGAAGTAGAAGCGAGGACGGGCTTCAGATGTGGTAGACTGTCGACTAGGCAAGCGGCGGACATGCTCTGCAGAGCATAGAAGACCGACTCGGAGTTGAAGCAAGTGTTGAGAGCAAGTTGGCGATTGGGGTTCGATTCCGAATCGTATGCTGACCACATCCCACAAACATGGGTAAACCAGTATTCGATGAGCGTCGATGGAAGATCGACCGGCGTATTCGGTATCCTCGACTTCGCTCGTTGGATTAGTTGATTAGAAGCCCTTCGTTTCTGACGATTCGATGGAAGATTTGGCATGCGAGTAACTTCTGTTGCAATCTCTTCGAGACATTCTTCAACCACTAGTTCTTCGTCTGGATTGTGTGTATTCGCTGCAGGTTGGCTGACATCTGCGGTTCGCTCGTGGGCTTCATTGGCGGCAGGATCGACGGCAGGAGATGTTTTTGTTTCGATAGAGTCAAATGGACCATTGCTAGGCGATCTTTGAGGGCTCTCTAGAGGAGACTCGGGAAATATGAGCTTCATCACATCAACATCTGGCTCCTTCGAACCGAAAGGAAGCACATCAATTGGATCCTGCGGTTCCTGTTGCTCCAATTTCGGTGTGAGTCCTTTCGGCTGTACAGAATGCCTAGCTTGGGAGGAAGACTTCGTAGTTTCAGTCGATGTGACCTCCTGAAAATCGGCAGAACCATTCCGTTTACGCTTCCTCGATGTCTCGTTGCCGGCGAAACGCAGCTTTTCATGCTTGTCGGAAAACTTGAAGTCTCGAGCATACCCAGGACACTCCCTCCCACGGCGAAGGCATTGTAAGCATGCTGGGTGGGTCTCATCACATTTGAGCTGTACCACGTTAGCGAAGACAAGGACTACTATGCTTCTTCAAACTGACCCTTCTTGATTTACATCCTCGACAGCCATATCGTGATTTAGTCTTCCTAGTCGCCGAACTGTCGTGCGGTACGGCGCCTTTAGAACCTGACGTTGCGCTCGTGGACACTGCAATCGTTTGAGAAGGATCGTCGCCTTGCTCCATCTTCATGATCGTGCTGCCCGGCGCGACCTACGAATCGCAATTCACTGGCCTGGCATCTTTATCCCCGTTACTCGAGAGCTGATAAGACAGTTGATGAAAGAGAGAAGGCAGGCAGACAGACTAGAAAGTCCTTGTTACTCTGGTCGTAACGACCCCGCCTGCTCACGTTGGGCGATCCTAGGCGGTACTGTGTCACTGCCGGCCGGCCAGAATACCTGGGCGTAGGCCATTGGTCGTTCTACGTTCTACCGCAGCTTTCTCAGTGATGGCTGACGTAGATAAGAGGCAGCTCCTCCCATTGGCTGTGTGAAGGGTCGAACGGCGGCGGCGCTGAGAACTCGGCATTTGTTCCTTCTTCCAGAGTCCAGACATGAGTCTTGTCTTTCCCACCACCACTATTGATGAAAGTCGCTCCAATTCTGTGGTCAATTGAACGGCTTGCGAGGAAGGGGATGCATGTGTTGAAGCAAGCTCAGGCGATGTCATCGATGGCCCCACTCACACATGCACCCCGGCATTCTGGCTTCAGTGCATGAGCATAGAATCCTCGACGTTCATCCGGCTCTGTGCGACTGAATATATGCCAATACTCTGGCATGCTGTTCCAATACGCGCACCTTGCGCAAGACTCCATCCGTCTGGTGCAGATTCATCCGAGCAGCAACCCCGCCGACATTCGTTTGACGCTTTCGCATCTAAGCAAGTATTTCAATAGTCCAGCGAAATATACCGCGATTTGGTATCCACAGACAGCTTCCTCGGCAGAGAGAAAGACCGTCACACTCAACGGACGAACAAGAAGCGTTCCGTTGGAGGTCTGCGATGTTCTGAGCGCGATTCGCGAGCACCATGACCGAAATGACAAGTATTGGATTGACGCTGTATGCATCAACCAGCAGGACGAGATCGAAAAGAGAGCCCATATTCAGCAGATGAAAAAGATTTTCTCGTCCGCGAATAAGATAGTCTTGTGGCTTGGAGCGATTGACGAGGCTGTCGAAAAGGCGTTCCCAGCAGTGGAAGCATGCGCTGTTCCAACTACAGAACATATCAACGCTGCACGATCAATTGCGAACTGGAGCGCTTTTGTCGAAGTGCTGCGCAGGCCAGAGTTGCAACAAGAGGCTGCTGTGATGATGAGTGGGAGGTTTACATGTCGACTGGAGGCTTTCAAAGATCTCGTGAAAAGGACTTCCACGTCAACCCCTGTCTCTGGACGGCAGAGTGCTGGCAGCCTTTGACAGGTCCTCTTGAGACATCCTGGGCATTCCCTGGAGTCTGGTGTTGTCAATCCTCACATCTGCGCTTTGGAGTGGGTGGTGCCTGGAGTGAAATCTCGAGGCCGCGGATAATGCTTCGTTGATGTCCTAGGCGATTTTGACCGAGTGGAGTCTTCATTCAGGGATGGCACTGAGAGTAGCGGATCTTGTATAGTACGAGAGATGATGAAGAGGCGGCGCGATGGAGAGATGCGAGTTAGGAAAGAAGGAGGAAATTGGGCTCGTTGTCGATAACCGTTTAGAGGTTGTTTCGATATATTAACCATATTGCGTGTTATTTTCGCGCCATTCCTGCTCAACGCTGTCAACAGCTGTGCAACTTCTCTTCTCAACTAAACATCGCAAAATACTTCACAGCCTTGCACGTCAATGGACTGTAAGGCTGCTGTTGCGTATCACAAAGCCTTCCACAGCCTCCACGCCAACGAGGCCACCACAATGGGACTCGTCCACCTCAGAAGCAGCCCCAACGCATCCCGCAGGAACTTGGTGTAAACGACCTTCAGCATCTCGTCATGCTCTGCACCTTCGTTGACCTTCGGAAATGGTACATCCGGCACCGGCTTTCCCAAGAACGCACACAATGGCTCCCACCCTTGATCAAGCTGGAACTCCAGTAGCCTCTCAGGCTGGTCTTTGAGCACCTCCCGAATCTCCGCATAATGCCTCCCATAAACCTCCTTGGCATTCTCCCGGAATTCTTTCGAATTGCTGGCATGAAACTGGCCTTGCATAACGCCACGCCAAACTACGGGTATGACTTTCTCGTACTTCTTCTCCACCGCCTGCATGACCTTGAAGCCGGCTGGAGAATCTGTCCCGGCGATGACAGCTTGCTCAAAAGAAGGGAACCACTTGTCAAAGTCCCGCTCAATGAGGACGACTTTCGCATTCGGATACGCAGCAATCAGTTCTGGCCCGAAGCAGTTGGCTGGCGTGTCAGTCACGCCTGATACGTGGCCGAGCAACTTGTCCCAGAAGACACCATCGAGCTTGATGGACCTGTCGCCGAAGTACTGCATTCGTTAGCATAAATCGAGACTCCAGGACCAGCATACCGACCTTGGCATTGTAAGCCTCCATCCACATGTCGCAGTCTCGTGGATTTTCGTGCATATCGAATCCATGCGATGTCGGAAAGCCCAGAATCGTCAAAGCCTTTTGCATCGAAGCAGTCCCCGTGCGGCTCATGCCCAAGCTGAGCACTCGCATCGACACTACACGGCTGCATTTATGTCGATCGATATCATCCTCTCTGAAAAGGAATGGGAATTTAGCCTTGGTTGCCGCGGTGAAGCCGAAGAAGAACTCCCACGCGGACATAATCGAATATACACAATACTGCGGGAAGATCCACGAGTCGATGTATCGTGCAAGCGACAATGGATTAAGACTGTTCCCTAGCCTCAGACCGATCAGTTGATGTTCGTCAGTTGAGAACAAGATTCCCTCGTTCAATGTGGTTCAATGCACCAGAGGCGGTAACGAGTGGATGGAAGGTGTGATCATTTCGAAGAGAAGGCGTATTGCATGGAAGTACTAATGGTCGGCCGGTGTCATTCTGGCGAGGAAAACAAGTACGGCGGTGGCCCTAATGAAGCTGGGGAAGCTGGAGAGCTGCAGGATTCATCGAGTGGGTCCAAGCGAGAGTCGACATAAAAATGCGAGGGCTCACTGAGCTGGACGACCAGTACATTGCAACTTATATTGATGGCAAACCACTGTGCTGACTGAGCCTTGCAGAAGTCCCCAACTATCAATCACCATCATTAGCAAGGACCTGGAATCGTCGCGCTGACTTGGAACGGCAGAGACACCGTCGTTCACTCCTTCGACACTTCAACCTCTGTCTTTCGCCACTTCTATCTCCATCTCTGAGTTCTGCGATGAAGACAAGGAAAAATGGAGCAGCTCTCGCCACGCCAAAACTGTCCGTGGTCAAGTGGCAGTCGCCATACTGGAGATCGATGCTACGACAAGAGTCTGGCAACTCGCCCACGATACGTCAGATGTTGGACGCTATCAAGCAAGGAAGAGCAAAGCAGAAGAATGACGCCGGCGACGAGGGCAAACATCTGGTCAATCGTCCCGCGCCGCCGGGCATCCGTCTGTCTGTGTGTCTGTCGCGGTCGTCACAGTCCACTGTCGGCCAGCTCACTGCATTTCAGAGGAGCGGTGGACTGGCACCGATTCGCTGGGACTGAAGCGCTTGTCGACCTCAACTTCCTCTTCCGGCCTGCTGAACGAGTCGTTCTTCTCTACCGCGGCGGCTAATAACATCTTTGTCGCCCAACGCCGGCAAAACATAAGCATCGTGGCGTGTAGTTGCATACGGTAAACGAACGTGTTGCCGAGACCCAGATCCATCCACTCACACCGTTGCAGCTTGCTGTTGCATGTTTCAAATGCATAGCCACCTCGCTGTGAGAGTGATCCAGAGGCACTACGAAAGAAATTCCGAGGCGATCATGACAGCGCTGCTATTGGAAAATACCGTCGGCTCCACGACAAACCTACCTTTTCCCCGCCATATATCGCGTCTTAGAGGCATGATGGGGTTCGAGGGCTGCAATGCACTGTGCACTGTGCACCGGTCACCTGCTTCTGGCGTTTCAAGCTCCCAAGGCCCTCGCGCCTTCTACCATTTATGGCGCATGCGTTCTCGACTAGCGTCATAGCTGCACATTTTGGGCAGCTCGTCCACTAAGTCCTTCGAATTCGCAAAGGGCAACAGAGCCAACATCTGTACTGCAGTGCTAGCTTGGCACCAGAGATCCTACGCGGCTTATACTTTGACTGATACGGGTCGGCACTCTTCTAGGACTTCCTTCCCGAGTGGGCCATAGACCCCATGATTCGCTCTATGCACGAAGCATGGCTGTCATGGGACCTCTCCAAGATGGTGCGGACAGGTTTGTTCGGGAATGGAGAGGTGTGTAGTCCGAGGAGAGTTCTCTCGCGCTGGACCTAGGAACAATGATCAGCTTGTCCAAAGGCCTTCCGCGGGTCTTCAAATGCTGCATGGGCGCGATCATATGGCCCCGACGAAGAATACTTATAATGGCTGGTAGGTACCGCTCGATCACAACGGTTTGAACCACCTATCAGGCTGCATTACGCATTGTTCGTCCTCATTCGCCATGGCCATCTCACTTCGTCTCTTATTTTCATTCTTTTCGATTGTGGCTTCGGTATCGGGGCTGACTCCAGCGCAGTGGCGTCAACAATCTATATACCAAGTCTTGACAGATAGATACGCTCGGGCTAATGGCGACCAGTCTCCGTGCAGCAATCTGGCCGATTACTGTGGCGGGACGTGGAAGGGTGTTACCGCCAACCTCGACTACATCCAGCAGATGGGCTTCACGGCGGTTTGTTACCCCAGCGCCTGGTGAGGAACGCCGCTGACGAGCAAAGATCTGGATATCGCCCGTTGTGAAGAACCCCATCATAGCGTCGAATGACCTTCCTCCGGATGGCAATTCGTACCATGGGTACTGGGCACAGGACGCATATTCTCTCAACCCGAAATTCGGCACTACTGCAGATTTGAAAGAACTGTCCAGCGAGTTGCACTCTAGAGGAATGGTATGCCGATGCGAAGTCATCTGTCTTTGCTCATGTATTCTGACGAACCCTAGTATCTGATGGTTGACGTCGTTCCTAATCATATGGGATCGGTCTCGTCCCAGACCGCTGTTGACTATAGCCTTTTGAATCCTTTTAACAAACAGTCGTATTTCCATCCTCCGTGTGGGCCAATCGACTACCACAACGATACAAGCATCAAGCAGTGCTGGCTCGGGAGCAACAACGTAGCTCTGCCTGATTTGAAGACCGAAAATTCAACGGTAGCAAGCATGTGGGGCGATTGGATCAGTTCACTGGTGGCTAACTACTCAAGTGAGTGGCAGCTTCATAGACTCGTTCAGAAAGAGGAAAGGCTGACAGGTGGGCACAGTCGATGGCTTGCGTATCGATACCGCACAGCAAATCAACACTGGCTTCTGGAATGACTTCCAAAACTCAGCAGGGGGCATCCACACCCTCGGCGAGGTCTTCGTCACCGATGCGAAGACCATGTGTCCGTATCAAAACTACCTTCATGGTCTCCTAAATTACGTCTCCTTTGATTACATTAGGAAAGCGTTCCAAAGCACCAGCGGCAGCATCCAGAACCTCGTCGACAACGTCAACACCATGAAGGGAACTTGCCACGACGTGACCCTCCTCGGCAGCTTCATCGAAAACCACGACAACTCCCGCTTCCCCTCCATCGTTCAAAACAAGGACATCGTCCTCATCCGCACCGCCATCACCTTCGCCATGCTGCAGGATGGAATTCCAATCATCTACCAAGGACAGGAGCAAGAATATACCGGCTCGGACACGCCCGCGAACCGCGCCCCGCTCTGGACGTCCAACTACAACAAGACTGCGAATCTGTACCTCCACATTCAAAACGTTAACAAGCTCCGTACGTGGGCGATCCATCAAGACGCTACGTGGCTTACCTATAATGCCTATCCTATCTATAATGACACCCAGACGGTTGTCATGCGGAAGGGATACGACGGCAAGCAAGTCGTCGGCGTGTACAGCAACAGCGGATCCAGCGGCGCGACACGCACGATTACTGTTTCCTCTGCGAAGTCTGGGTTTACGGCTGGACAGAAGATTACAGAGGGTTTGAGGTGTCAGGCTTTGACGGCGGATAGTAAGGGGAATTTAGGGGTTGTCATCTCGGGTGGAAGTCCGAGTGTTTTGTATCCTACCGCTGGGTTGGCTGGCAGTGGAATTTGTGGGCTGTAGAATGGAGGACGTGACTGAGGGGAGAAATTGTGGAAGGACAGTCTGACATGGCTAGAGTACGGTGACGGCCTAGAAGACTCCCATTATAGAATTGTGTGGTATAAGGAGCCTGAAGCCACCTGGAGGAACGAGATCCGATCACGCTCTTCCTTGTGAACTACAAGTAAAAGTGGACGCAGTGAAACCCGCTACAGCCCACTGCTCGCGAACGATGACATTGATATTCACGAAAAAGAGCTATGCTGACACGATCAGAAACCCCCTGCCCATCGATCACTCTCCATCTTAGCAAGGCCCCCGAACCGTCGCCCTCACAACCTGAAACTGCAGAAACACCGTCATAAGCAGCTCACAGTTCCCCCCCTTATTCCTCGCAACAACCGAATTGGTCGCAAAGTAATCCAGGATTTTCTCGCTGCCATACTGCCCATCGGGAGTCCCAGCGTTTCTGCGAATGACACCGCCATCCGGGTCCGCGAACGTAGTGAAGTACACATTGCCCGTCGGGCCGTAGTTGAAGTCGTCGAGGGCGAAGCCGTAGTTGTAGATGACCTTGATCGGGCCCGTCGCTCGGCCGGTGTTAGGGTCGACGGGGACGTATCCGTAGGTTCCTGTGACGGTGCCGGTGAAGTAGAGTTTACTCTCCTTGTACTTCAGTCCGTTGGCGAGGAGCGTGCTCGACAGACTGCCGCCACTGGCGCTCAACAGGAGGCTGTTGACCAGGACGGTCGTGCGGTTGTTAGGGATGTCCACTAGCCAGATATTCCCCTCTACGAAATCTGTCGCGGCGACGAGGCCCTTCTCGTGGTTGATCACCGCCACACCGTCGAATAACCCGCCCAGACTCGCCCCGCCGACGCGGTGTGCGCGGACGAGACTGCTATCATACGCCGGAGCCTGGTAGTCCCTCAGATCCACGATCCACATCCCCGTCGGTCCGCGGATCAGATTACTCGTGATGTTCAACGGATCCGAGATATCGACCTGTCCGACTGCCACGGCGAAGACATCCGGGCTCAGCTCATCGATGCCTAGGACGTCGATAACCGCGTCTGGGAAAGTGAAGACTGTGCGGCGTTCCTGGTCTGGGCCGAGTTCAGGGTCGACTTGTGAGAGGACGTTGCAGGTTAGGCATGTTACGAGCATTTGGCCGTTGCGGCGGAGGATGGTGTTCTCGGGCGCCATCGTGGGTGGGAATTGGTAGATGATTTCTACTGAGGGGTTCTGTCTTGCGACATTGTGGGCGTCCAGGGATGTTGGCATAGCCTGGCAGAAGCCGGCTATGAGAAGCCCGAGAGACAGCAGAAGAGGCGCCATAGTTTTGTGGAGGGAGTTCTACCAGGGACGAGCAGCGACCAAGCTATGGGCGAAGGGTTCGCACCTATAAATGCAGCATGTCGCCAATGCGTGCTCGAGACTGTGTCAATCGATAGCGTGGTGGAATGCACTGCATCGAATCGATTCTGCGAACGTGTACAGAGAGTTGCTTCTCGCAGTGCTGATCTACGGGCGGTTCTCCGTTCTGAAGACAGTGAGCTTCCTGATCTGGACGCGGCCGAAAGGTTGAAGCTGTTGCTTTTGCATAGGGTGGAGCCTTGTGTTTGAACACAAGCAAGGTCAAGTCTTTGGTATCAACGCCGTGCGATGTTCTCTGTGCCTGAGTTTTCTCGCATATGGTCAGCACAGACACCAGTGTCCCTTATCTGCATGTTGTTCAGTCACTCCGAAATATCATGTCGTTAGTTCGAGATCCGATGGTATGAGCCAAAAGACAAGTCGTACGTCAGGGAGCGTCAGAAAAAAGAGAAGAGCCTCAAACGCCGCCTCGGTCAAAGTTCAGCCTCCCCAAAGTCAAATGGTAAGCTTATAAGTAACTGCATGCATGTATGAATCGCCGAGGTCTAGTTACAACCCGTCCTCCCTCGTCGTGTCGTCTGTTCATGCATGAGCGGCTTTAATCACGTCTGCCGCTCTCTCTGCCAGCGCATAGAGCGTAGCTGTGAGATGCCCACTGACTTGGAATGGAAGTACAGATGCATCTACAACTCTGACGTTCGCGCTTCCGTAGACGAGATGGTCGTCTCCAACAACACCCCCCATTTCCTTGGGCATCATGGCTGCGGTGGAGATGTAGTGGAAGTTGCTTCGGTATGTGCTCTTCAGCCATTCAGCCCATACCTCCTTGGGAGCGTTGGCAGGTACGACATCAAGGCCTGGAGATGTTTCGGTTGGCAGGAAGTTCTTCAAGGGCGCAGTGTTGGCGTTTCGTCTGGCGGCTTTGACAGTGCCGACCAGCTGGCTGACGTCGTAATCGAGTTGGAAATAGTTGGGGTTGATGTAAGCCGGAGCTGAGGCGTTTGCCGAAGAGATGTGAATGTTGCCGCGAGAGAAGGGCATCAGACCCCAATAACTAATTGAGCCAGAGCCTTCGGACGGAGCTTTGACAAGCACTTCGGAAATGACGACTTCATCGTCGAAGATCATGGAGTGTTGGATCTCAAACAGCTGCTGAATAGCGGTTCGGTTTGCTGTGCCTCCTGAGTCAGCTACAGCTTCATCGGCCCAGGCTGGAATGGATGACTGAACGTGTTCTCTGAGCTGTTCGGTGTCGTCGCCAAAGATGTCGTGAATGTTCAGGTATGCCACGTAGTCGCTCGTACCAGTCAAGTTAAGATTGGCGGTAGTGCCGTAACTTCCAGTGGTTTGGTCCTGAAGATTCTCGCCTACATTGGGGAGGTCGATCTTTGGCTCGATGCCGAATTGCTTGAGGATGCTGAAAGGCCACGTGAGTTAGCACTGGCTATCTGGTGGGAACATGTTCTTCACTTACGCAGGATTGCCGACACCTGAACGCTCTAGAATGAGAGGAGACACAAGCGATCCCGCTGAGAGGATAACATCCTTGTTGGCCAAAAGTTGCTCCTCAGCTCCAGAGGCATCTTTGTACGCAACGCCACTGGCGGAAGGTAACGTGGTGTTCGACTGAGCCTCCCATGTGATACGCTGGACAGAAGAGTTCAGGTAGAGATGCAAGTTAGCACGACCGCTGAACGGGAAGTAGTATGCTCTTGCAGCGTCTTCGCGTAGGTTTGCTGAAGGGTCAGATGTCTGAGGGTACACATTCCATCCACGCATGTGGCCTCCGTTGGGATCTTCGTTCCAAGGGAGTCCCATTGCTGCATAAGTGGTGTTCAGAGTCTGCGAGAAGTTGTTGCCGACCATCTCAGTGGGCCAGCCAACAGTCAGAGGTCCTTCGAAGCCATGTTGATTGGCCTCATATGTTGCGCCAAGCTGCGACTGAATCTCGGTCGGGCGTTGGAGACCTTCGGCTTTCTTGTAGTATAGAAGGAGGCTATCCCATGAGATGTTGTTTCCGAGCTTGGCAAATGCATCGATCTGGCTGGTCTCGGCACGCAAGTATACCATTCCTGGAACTGTTAGCATCAACCTGAGACCGTAAGTTGTATCAGCATACCATTGATGGTGCTAGTCCCACCCAAAGCCTTCCCTGCTCTCAGAATCTGGCTCTTGTTTCCTGCATGCTCCTGAGGTGTACTTTGAAAAGCGTAGTCGATATCTGTGCCGAAAGCCAGACCATAGCCCGTTGAGCTGGTGACATTCGGGTTGCCGAATACGGAGTCACCGGCCTCAACGACAGCCACAGTTAAATTGGGGTCCTCGCTCAGTCTGTTCGCAAGCACGAGGCCGGACGTGCCACCCCCGACGATGATGAAATCGTATCGGTTGGCGTATGATGGAAGCTGTGAGGGTGCTGCCAACGCCGAAGCCAGGAAGAGGGATGTGGCGAGCAGTCGAGCCATATTGGCAATCAGGTTCAGTGAATTGTCGTTAGGTACCTGAAAGTCAATTGAGAGATCAGTCAACGAAATGAGGGGCCTACCCTGGTCTTGTACATGTGAGAATTAGCTGTCATTGTGAGGCCTGTGATGGCGCCTTCCGCTTTCGCAGACAAGATCTCCTCTCCGTCGTCTCAGTTTTGCAGACATTGATTATGAGAGATGAAGTTCTTTCGCAGAGCCGAACAATTTCCAGGGTGGATCGTGGCAAGGCTGGGGTGCTGGAGGTATTTCGGCCAGCGGATGCGTTCCGGATCCTGGCCAAGAGGGCAGGAAAAGGCTTCATCTTCGACTAGGGACCGCAAACTGTGAAACTGCATGGATGCAGTGTCGTCATCGATTATGCGCATAACGAGTATCTGCATATCCTGTCCACGAAACATCGCTTCTGCAGACTCCTCTTACTGGCGGCAAGTAGGCTCTTCGTGAGCACCTCTGTCGTGCAGTTGGATTCTGTAAGGGAGTTTGAGCGTCCTTGGTCCAGAATGGTCCTCTAACTCCAGAAATCTGTGGCAAGGGAATGCTTTACTCGTGGTCAGCGACCGGCACTCGTCTAAACCAGGTGGCATTGTCTTGCGTGTTGGATGAGGCCAGTAGTGGACCAGACACGATGTTTAACTCGCGAGAGATACACATTCGCGTTGCACCCTTGTGGTACCATGCGATCCACTACGTCTTCGTCCATCTCCTTACAGACGTACTGTTCATAGGCATCCTCACATCCGCGGCAGCCATGGCCGAGCTCGATACGACCGTTTGCCAGGCATGGGAAATAGACAACCCCCATTCCCTCGCAGACATCAACGGGTCTACTCTCCCTCTCGTCGATTGCAAGTGGGTCCTGCGAGAGCGGGTGTAAAGGAGCTCGTCGATACCAATTCATGACATCTTCCTCGAAATCGTGATCTACAGGGTGCGCTTGTTCAAAATCCTCAAATGAACCGTGCTGTTTGATGGCCAGCTCTTTGGCTGCTCGTACACTAGTAAGTCTTCTCGCTTGTTGGCGCGATTTGCGTTTAGGCACGCCGTAGATGCCGGGAATGCTCCACATAATGGGCAGACGTTTCAGACGGTGGTCCTGAATACCGAAGCATTTCTTGGCTTTTGGCAGCGATATCGTCCAGAGAGATTGGTTAACTATCAGACATGGGAAACAGCATCGTTGGGCCAGGAGGAGATGGAGAAAGGAGCCATATGAGCCACACGAGATGCATTTCTCGGAACAGAGGGCTGTATACAAAGTCGCGAGAGAGTGAAGGCCGAGGATCCGGGTTTTGGCCAGCACGGCAGGAATATCCTTAGCAGTTGATGTAAAGGTGCGTAGGAGTATGTGTGAGCGTATTACTGCCAGTCCCCGACATGAGACACGCGAGAAACGTAGCAACGACAGCAAGTCCATGTGCGCCACGCATTCATGAAGCATCTCAAGTGGGAGCTTATCTAGTTTTCCAAGAGACGACGGTTGATCCGGCGAAAAGGCTGGGAATTTCCATTCCGCAAGAGTAGGGTCGGATATTGTACCTTCGCAGATTTGCTGAGGGCGCTTCGATAGCCGGGTAATGATCTCCTCATCCTGAATGGCCATGGTACTTGGCTTGATTATGTGTCTATATTAGGGAGAGGAGGTCAAGGAGCGGTGAAGTTGCGAATTTTGATTCCCTTGCATTCCCCCGCACTAAAATTTACACACCCAAAGCATCCGCACTCCTGTCGTCCAGCTACTCGCGGTCCAACTCTTTGTCTCTAACTCGCAGTGGACAGTTATCGTTGAGGATATAATCCACTAGAGTCTCTAGACCTTGTAAGTCACCTTTTATAGTGCCCATATGTTCCTTGTCAACCCACCCTTTTGTCGCCCCTCCTTCGAAGTCAATCGCAATCGCATTCCCGTCTGTGTCGATAATGACGTTCCCAGCTATCACATCCCCCCAAACAACACCCATAGCATGCAAAGACGAGACTGTCGCTCGGATTCGTGACACCCACTTTGCCCGAGTCTCGCTACTAGCCCTTTCAAGGACATGCCATGTAAGATGGTGGCCAATGTCGATCCAATAGTAGAGCTGGCCTCGTAGGACATCTTTGCCGTTGACCACAATTCCGTACAGCCGGGAAGTGCGCAATTCATGCGCAGGCACCCCTGAAGCATGAATCTTAGAGTATTTTTCCAGGCCAGCCAGCGATTCATTTGACATCCAAGAAGGCTTCCAAAATAGCTGTTGGCTACGGACCATTACCTTGGTGGCGGGAACATCAAAGATGGCGGTGGGGTCTTCGTACAAGACCTCCACATCTGACATGAGGAACCGGGGGAAAGGTAGGTCGGCGGGGGTAGCATCGAAGTGGCATTTGTCTTCTTCGTCCTCCTCGGGATCTTCTTGAGTGATCAAAGTTGGAACCAGCTCCTCATCGTGGAAGGTGGCACGAGTTTGGTAAGAGTGGTGGAGAGCAATATCAGCAAGAGTAATTCTGCCAACATGTCCCTGCCGAGGTACGAGCTTTCGAAGCGCCGGTAAAAAATACGAGGCAATTTCTTCGCAGTAGTCGAAAGCATCAGCGATATCGTCCGAGGAGTCAGAAAGGAACTTCGCCTTGCTAGAAACGAGCTTCTCCAAAGCTTGTGGCGAGCGATAAAAGTCCTCAGTATTGACGTAGATGTTCAATTGGGTGTTGCGGATTTGGACATAGATAACAACCCCCTCAGGACCTGTTCCCCAGCCAGGAAGTGAATAATCGTTCCGCGGAATGCTGTCTTCGTCCATGTCGACATAGGAGTCGAAGGCGGAGGACGAATAAAGGCAGTTGTCTTGGAATATACAGTAACCTTAAGCGAAGATTTCTAATGTCTGGTAGTTTGCACTAGGCCATTTTGGGATATCATCGTAATTCTCTAAGAGTTGCTAAGAGCCCCTCGCTCGACGTCTCGTGCAATCGGACCGCTCGATTCGATAATTCTGTTCTCCAGAAGTGATATACGTTTCAACGCACTCTAGCAACTTTCGCCTGAGGTCGCTGTAGTTCGGTGTTAAGTCGATGTTACGGCCAGCCAATGTATCATTGCACAGAAAGATCTGCAAAGCGCTTAATGATGCGGCCGATAGCTTATGAATCTAAATTGAACATGCAGCACACTCGTTTCAAGAATGTCTCGGGGCTGGCGCTTGTTGCTTCGTTGAGCAGCTCTCGTGAACGTTCACTCATCTGTAACACCTTATGTCCAACGGTCAGACGCCCAATCCTCCCGGTTGCTTCCCAAAGCAAGCAATAGACAATATATATTTTGTGACTCTGCCAGAATCCAGCTCATCTTGCATGCAAACGTTCTTCCTGGAATTCTCGAAACAATATACATCAAACAGTTCTTCATTTCTAGTAAAACCATTACCAACTCTTGGCAATAATTCGCATCCCAACCTTGAAGGATGTGCAGAAGAGTCGAAAGACATCGTTGGTGTGGGCACACCCAGATAGTTTGGCGACCTGGACCACGTTCTTGCCCACGAGCCATTCGGGAGAACCGGCGGCGCCCCGGGCACAGACTGCTCCCTTGCTCAGAAACCTATCAAACTTTCACCGAGGCGACTGGCAAGCCATGCAGGCTGATCCAATGCCGAATCAACTTCAAGGTCACCGCCGGATTCATATGCTGCCAGTGTCGTTGGCGGAACCGCCCCGGCGAAGACCAGTGCCATGGCCCCCCGGAAAGGCATCAGCCTCCACGAGATGTTTAGGACGTACGGGTCAACACTCGCTGTCCGCACTTTGTCTGTCACCACCTTTGCTGGCCGAACGGATATGATGCTGAGTAAGTCCTTGGGCCCCGTTCTCCCCGACGAAAAGTACTCTCTGACGACGCGTAGCCAAGCGGTAGACCAGCAGCCTTAGCGAGCGACGGAGTGCTCCGAGTACTGAATTGGTCGCTCCCCATTTCGCAAACACGCCCTCATCGACGAGCAGGCTTAGCATAACTCCAGTCCTGATCAAGCCTACTCGTCAACATGGTACGCAACGGACAAGCCAGAGTGACGAGAGCTTTTGCGAAATGCGGGTCGGGAGCGAGAGGCGGATCCAGTGACGAGGAATACCGTATTTCCACGGCCTATCTTTGTATCATTTAGCAACCAGGCGCCCTGACATGTACTACCATGTGCGTTCCATCCACACGAGAGTGATATCCATCTTCACCACTAAATCACAACCCTCGCTTCGGTGCACCCCATGCAAAATGTGTCTTCATTTCTTTCTTGACGAACAAGTCGAGTTGACGTTCATGAGTATCCACAAGCCCACTTTTGCTCTTTGCGCTTTAATAGACCACACGAGTACAAGCCAGATGCTTCTCTTCGGACTGCAAACAGTATTCGCACATGGCGTTTTCCTTTGGCTTGCTGCGGAACACGGTCCAGCGACCATCCGAATGCATATGCTTCACCGCAGCAAACACGTCCTTGCTCTTCTACGTCCCGCTCTTATTGCGAAGTACTTCTCGAAAGAGCCGGGTACCTTGACGTACGAGCAGTCGTGTAGCTCGGTCTTAAGGAGTAATTCTGACCATTCTTAAAAGACAAGGTGTGGTCCAGGCGAGAAGACATGTCGCGCGCTTAATGTGAGTGGTCAAGCCCTCCGCCAGCTGGCGGATTTGAACATTCACGTCGCTTCCGGACCCGAATATCCCTTTGTTCGATAAACAGTCCGCTGCGAGTCACAACCACAATCTAGGCGTGCTGGCAGCATCAAGCTGTCTTCGGCAGACGGATTTGGAGAACATAGCGAGCTGGTCTGAGCTCTGAGGCTAATCGGCAGTCTTTCCCTGGTCGACCTTTTCGTCAACATACTCGTTACAACTCACATGATCACTAGACGTATACCGACACAACGACACGCAGAAAACTGTTCCGTCTTCTCTTCTCGGCTCCAGATTGACAGAACCACAAGCCTGCAGGTCGACTTTGCTTGAAAGCCAGTTACACAGCGAATTTCCAGGACCATGTTCACCATCGACTAGTTTCTTATTTCTATGTCTTCAGATAACAAATATCAAGAGGACGGCTTCAGTCAGCCGATGCCGAGAGATAGGCCAGCATGTAGGCTGTGGAGAAGCCCTTTTCGTTTCGCTGCAGAGCTTCCCATCTTCAAATTTCACCTTCTGTCAGATCTACTTGAGGCAACATGACGACCAAGGCACAGACATTGACAGACTTCTCTGAGCTGAATGAGACATTGCAAAATGTGACTGGTATCCGTACCGAGCAGTCCGGACCATATCAAGATCCTGATTTCAGTTTGACCCACTTGAACTACTTCAAGGACGCAGATGCTGCACCGCCAGACCAACTCAATAGCACTCTATCAGAGCACGAACTCAGGATAGCACGCCGGAACGATGACTCCCCGAATGTTGCAAGGACACCGGTGCAGATCCGCAACATCCAAGGATCGACATCTGAGCACAATATTGCTGAACATGGTTTCAAGATTGGTCATTTGTCCTCGCAAATGAAGAACTGGCAAGATGACGAGGAGCTGAAACGAGTCTTCTTTTCGGAGGTCGACGATTTGTTGAAGAGAGAGACTGGCGCAAAATGGACGTTTCAGTACGAACATCACGTCCGCACAGCTACTCTAGAAGACGCGCTCGCCAAAGATAGCACAGGCGCTGTTGACATCAACGGTCCAGTGCGTCGGGTGCACATCGATGAAGCTCCCAAGAGCGGTCTGAACGAGTACAAACATCACATCAAGCCTGACGACCCTGGCAACGAGCATCTACGTGGCAGGCATGTTGCCATCTTCAATATATGGAAACCCATCAAGACGGTTCAGAGAGATCCACTATGCCTATGCGACGCTCGTAGTATTCAAGATGAAGATTTGCAGAGCGGAAAGGTAGGTTGAGACCTTTTGTGGACTCAAGTCTCAACTCACATCTGCATGTGCAGGTTCAAGTGCCGATTGTTGGCGAGATTGAGAACTTCGCAATTCGACCGCCCAGAGATCCTGGGACACATAAATTTGTCTACGTCCGAGAGCAGCGACCTGACCAGGCTTTGATCTTTCGGATCATGGACACCAGGATCGATGAGAGTGCAGCGAAGAGGAGCTGTGGTGTAGCACGTACGTATATCACAAGGCACCAGATCTACACTCTATCGCTGGCATATAACTGAATCTTCGTCAACAGACACCAGCTTTGTCGACCCTCGAACGGAGCATGCGCCTCCAAGAGAAAGCGTCGAAGTCCGAAGCTTTTGCGTCTTCTAGCGCAATGTTAACAACGATTCAGTTCATGAAGATGGAGAACTCACAGTTTCAGGGTAAAAATAGCTTGTGATCGTGATGAAGAACGAACGACACAAGACAGCCAAGCTATCGCCAAGTTTCGGCGAAGGTAAGTGAATGTTCGTCAACCAGAAAGCACATTCAAGAATCGCCAACCAAACCTTCAATTACGCCATTGCCATCGCGTGAGATGAGATCATGGCCCCAAGATCAATCAATCAAGTTTTCCAACCCTCCTCCGCCAGGAAACTTTTCAAGCTACTGTGAAGGATCTAAGCCTTGCCGTCATAGTATCGAGATCCAGAAACGAGAGCTCTCCAGCCCAAAGACGCAATTTGGCTGTTCGATCGGATCTTGCGAGGAGCTTATTGGACAGAGAGCTCGACGATTTCCAGGTTTTGCAGTGGGCACGCGACGTGCGTAGTTGGCAAGATCGCGCTAGTGCCTCGAGAGCTGGGAGAGCTCCGTCGTGGGTGAAGATGACGTTTTGTGGAGCCATGGTGTTTCGTGAAGAAGGTATATATTGATCGATTCGACTATAAAAGAGTTCGACTGCTTCGACACGCCCAAACACATAAAACAAAGTTTTCAACTACACACATCAACAACAGCAATCATGAGCGGACTTATGGACAAGGTCAAGGACAAGGTCAAGGGCGCTGGTGGCTCTGGCGACAAGCCATCTGGCATTGAGAACACCGCCGACAAGCAAGTCAACACTCGTCAGTACCTGCCTCCCATTTGCTGTCCAGTCAAGTCACTCACACGCTTCTAGAAATTGACAACGCCACTGACCGAGCTGGTCTTGGTGACAAGTACGACGACAAGGTAAGGCATACCCGCTGGTGTAGATACGACATTGCATGATGCTGACAACTTTCTCGCAGATTGACAAGTTCGCCGACAAGGAGGTCAACAAGCAGATTCCTGGTGGTCAACAGTAAACAACAGGGCCATCGAACGATGGCATGAAGCATGATGAGAACAACCTGTACAATATGAGATTTCCACAATGGAAGAACATACCCAGACACCCTTCCCAAGCAGATCAATGGACGACCAGCGTTCCGAGAGCAATCTGCTCGTCAGTAAGATCCTCCAACGCATCTGTCTTGTCGCAAACATCATCAACTCTCTGCCTCCGAGCCTACGCCACCGTATGGAAACTCTTCCCCCTGCTTGTGGTCGATAGGATTAGCCATCCACGGAGATTCCATGCACCCCTCGTTGTACGCCTTGAATTGTCGAAGAACGGCAAGCCATCACACAAGAGAACACAACAGTGTTCACAAGCAACACACTATCCTTTTCCAACCCACCTATCAACCTTTGTCTTCCTCTCTAAGATTACGTCGTCATTGTCTTCCAGACTATCCTCAAGAGTAGTGAACACCCTGCTTTTGCAATTCAACCTTCGCCTCACTTTGTGGACACGCTCGTAGCAATTAGTATTTGAAGTAGTCTGGGTATTGAGGGTTGAAAAGCGTAGTCACGCTTTCGAAAACGTATTTGATTGAGTCAAAACGTTCACGATCTACACTAAGGCCCCACAGCACGTGCGATTCGGCAAAACTTTGTTGTAACGATGTTGGGACGAAGTAGAACTTGGCTATAACGATATGGCCGAATGCTGTAATTTTAGTGCTCGTGGACGCATACCTACAAGACAAATTCCAGGTCGGCGAAAAAAAGGATCAAATCCGGCAGAACTGAAGCACGCCTTTTGAATTCGATACATTCACGCTATGCAACAGGAAAAACGCCGTCATGCATCATACGCACATACAATCCCAGTGTCTACTTCCTTCACAGACCGACAGCAGCAGCCAGCCCGTCGGTGATGTTGTTCAACACCTCCGAACCACCCACAAGCACCTCGAAGACATCCTTGTATGAATCCCTAAAACGCCCACAAAGTCAGCACCACAATTCTCTCTCTCCGTGGTGAACGATCAAAACTTACGCAAAGATCTTCTTCCCCTCAGGCACAGCCTCAGGACTGACGGTGAACAGCTCGAAAACCATCTGTCCCAAACTCGGGATCGTGATCGGCTCAGCGCGAGGTCTCCAGCCTAGGTTGTAGGGAAGTCGTTCCTGCTCGAAGAGACTTCTCACCCAGTCGACGCGGGTGACGCCGTCGGCGTCCGAGCCGCCCATGCTTTGCAGGTAGATGGCCGTCTCGCCGTAGCGGAAGATGAACTCGCGGAAGCCGTACGTGAACGTCGGGTTGATAGCCTCTGAGTCCCGTGTCCGGTTGGCGATGGCCTCGGCCGCGGGCTTGAGTGCCGTCTGGCCGTTTTGGAAGTACGCGAGGACGTCTTGCCAGTAAGGGTCGTAGAAGGTGTGGTCGTCGTCGAAGTACGCGTCCTGGCGGGAGAGACTGGCGTCGTGTTCGATGGGGAAGTTGTGCTGGTCGAGGTCATTCAGGTCGAAAGCTCCGCCTAGAGGGTCAGGAGAGGAGAGGAGACCGGCGCCGCCGATGAGGACGGTGAAGTCGGCGCCCATGTTTAGACCTTCGGCGAGACCTGTGAGGAGATGCGGGAGGGTCATGTTGCGGCCATCGTGGTGGATAAACCCGTGGTTGGCGAGGGTGTTAAGACCTGTGAGGTTACGCATCAGGGGCTGGACGCAAGGCTTCAACATTCGGGGGTCGTACCAGGGCATGGCGAACGAACTGTGATCCATGTTAGCTTGTATTTTTGGCGAAAGACGGATGTGCGTTACCATCGTTAGGTCCAGGCGCTTGCCAGTTCGTGAACCTGGGGTCGTCCTCAGGCGCAGGTCCAAGGCTGCCGAGCAGAGCAGGAATGTTCAACAGCTGCGCCGATGCTGTTGCTACTAGCAGAGATCCAACAGTGGTGATGCGAGCCATGATAGCGAAGAAGCGAGTGACAGCGTATCTTCCCAACACGAAATCAACGAGGAGGAATCAGCACCTATTTGAACACCCACCGATTTGCCATTCATCCTGGTCAACATCGACTGGCCTTGCAGCAGTGAGCGCCACATGTGTCGTCACGGAAGGCGGCTACAATCCAAATTCCCTTCAGTCTGGGGAAAGATGTCGCAGTAGGCCAAAGTATGATGCTTCAACTTCCCGTTCGACTAATGCCTTCGTTCTGATTTGCCGGGGTGGACCTCGCTTTGTACATCACTTACTGCATGCGGCAGGAAGGTCGAAGATAGAGTTAAGGTTGGAGAATCGCACATCGGAGATGCGAAAAGTGCCTCGGTGGTTCATGCGCTCCGGAGATCCATGCCGATGGATTGCCAGATGCTGCTTCTTCACACTCACTTCACACGTATGTACCTGTGTTTGACGGCGGTGCTGAGCTGGACTGCGTATCGTGACTGGGGTGTCTTCGCGGTGTCTTGGAATCAGGCATCGGAGACAAGGAACCCTACACTTGATCTGTGACGAGCCGATATGGCTTGACATTCCCATGCTCAGACGCTGCAAAAGCTGACAGCAAAGCCAGCTTCATAAAGGCTTCGTCGTCCTTCTCGAATTCGCGCTGTCAATAGATCGTATCTTTCCCGGATCGCTTCCGGCGAGGGTTCGGCAAGGTTCAACTTGGAAGTGCTTTCCAAAGTGATCTCTGCCGTCAACGCATTCTCGGCGCGAGAGCGTGGTTGGCTAAAGTCGCATTCTACCCAAGCTGTCGACGAGCTGCTGCTGCTGGGTTGGCTAGTTGATACCGAGGTTTGCTGAGCTTTCTTGATGCCCTGCCTGTTTTACAGACCTCTTGATGTGCCTATACCGAGCGAGCGGTGTAGGTATTGTCGTATTACTCGCTTACCTGGTTGACATTCGTTTCGTCTCGAAGCGTTGTCCTCCCACAAGCTTGTATCTTCCATGTCCCAGCAAAGGCGAAGGTCATTGCCTCAGAGCGACCGCACAGCACTGAAAACCCAGCACCATCAATCCTTATCGTCCAATCCCTCACCACCCAACTCCTCACCCAACCCTCGCCCCCTCAAAAAGCACCCTCTTATAGAACCTCCCCTCCTCAATACTCTCCAAAATATCCTTCTTCGCCTCATGCGCCCCCTCCTTCCTCGGCGTCCCCTTCAACACCTCACTCCCACACCACCGTCTCGCCGCCTCCTTAATCGCACTAACATCCAAAATCCGATGGTGCAACCACCGCACCACCTCGTTCCAAGGCTCCTTGACCAGAAAGCTCTTATCAGCGTGGACGGTATTGCCTGCTAGGAGAGCCCTCCTGCGCTCTGGGGCGTATTTCCTCACATAAGCGAGGAGTTCGGCGGCGGCTTGCTCTGCTGTGGTCGTCGACGCGAGACATGCGGCTGTGAGTCCCGAAGCGGCGTGGTGCGTTGTGCACCATTCGCCCATGGCATCTAATTGAGATTGCGAGTGGTGGATTACGGCTTCGTAGCCATGGGGTTCGAGGAGGTTCAGCTGGGCGTCGGTGATGAAGCACGCGAGCGAGAGGATCGTGTCGGTTTCGGGGTTGAGGCCGGTCATTTCGCAGTCGATCCAGACGAGGGGGTCGGTGGAGGGGGATTCGGGCATTTTTGAGGTTGGGATCGTGGTGAGGCAGGATTTGGATGGTTGTCTTGTGAGTTGTGGGTGGAAGCGTACCTTAGGGCATTTGATATTGGAGAAGTTTGAGGTTGTGATGTTGGGAGCTTGGACCAATCACGAGCTAATGGCCCCTGACGACACCTCTAGCACGAGATTTACATGTACTTGGATTCTCTTCACACGCACAAGGATAGTTAAAAATTGGTTGGGGGACGACTTGAGGCGAAAGCATGTGCGGGACATTGTGTCGGCCGCATGGTACGTTTGCTACGTATGTCCAATGCCTCGCAAAAGCAAGCTGCAGCAAGTCTCGCAACTCGAGCTCGTCTTTCGTGCTCATCACATCTTATAGCCTCATGCGTCGTATCATATCGCATCGCATCCTTCCTCTTGTCCATCTAGTGGTGCATTGAACTCCTCATCGGGTATCTCAATCGACTCAAAACGCCTTGCTCTCCAAACGCCGTGGTCCTCTCATTGCTTCATCCCTGCCCAAAGTACTCGCCATAGTCGCGCTCAATCTCAATGTCTGCAAGTTGATATGGATCTTTCTGCTCGTGATAGTCGTCGTTCTTGTTCTCGTCAATTTTGGTGTCCTCGCGCTCAGCCTCCAATGCTTGCTCGTCCTCATCGTCTGGACTCATAGCGTTCTTCTCGTCCTCGCGATCAGTTGTTGCCTTGTGCAAGTGCAGCTTGGACGATAGCTCAGCGTAGAATCCGTCTTCTTGCTTGTCGATGTCGATGTCGCCGTCGTAGTCATCGTCGGAACAGTCTTGGAGAGTGGTTTCTTCGGAGTTGCTGTGTTGGTGGGCGCTGTCAACAGTCTTGCCATCGTGAACTGCTAGGTCGGTATGAGGGCGTTCGTCGTTGCTGAGCTTGGATGATGTGGAGATTTTCTGTGGTCGGGCATCGTCCTGACGTTGTTGGGTACCACGCGTCTTATACGCTGGCCCACGGGCCCGTCGCTCCTCCTTGCTCGCCTTCCGACCAGTCTTGTACGCTGCCTCAAGGTCCTGGAGGAGAGGGAATCGCTCCTTGACCGCTCGCATAGCATCCATCATGGCCTTCGAATTCGTGATCAAGCCAACATCTCGAGGCGCTTGTGGGTGAAACGGGTCAGCCCCTGTCTCCGACAGAGCAGAACGACGACGTACTTCAGCCGCGATGTACTTGAGCGCGAACTTGGCATACTCCTGCCCGACATCCGCAGCTACGGCGGCCTTCTCGACCGCCGTCTGCGTGAGCTTGATGCCCAGGTGCTTCACCGCCACCGCTGGGCTCTCCGTGACCTTGAAGGCATCACGGGCGTCGACTTGATCATGCTGGGCACGGTCAGTTAGTATTCGCTGGGGATATCTGTCAAGAGAAGTAAGTACTTACCGCGCGAGGGCCACCCTCGGTGAGGTTCGACCATTCCTCGTCCGTGAGGTACTCCGGCGTGCTGTCCTCGTAGTCCACCTCGCTCAGCTTGAGCGGGCGCGCGTGCGCTTCGTCGAACGCATCTTGGTTGAATGTCACCCCCGTGACCCCGTTAGTGAGCTTCTTGTTGATGCCTCCTAGCAGGCTCATGCGCGTGAAAACTGTTCGCGGGGGGGCAATGTCAGTGAACTATGTTGAATGAGTGATTGGAGCGCTCTCGATGGCGGCGGGGGCGCTGGCGGTGATGCTGGCGGGCACGGCGGCAAGATTTCCAGGTGATGTTGGTCCAGGATCTTCAAAAGCGTTGCTATCCCCAGGAAAACTACAGCGTCCACGGCAGCAAGAGGGATACTGGTGGCGTGGACACCAAGAGGTGTCGGGGGATGAAGATCAAAGTGTAGAAATATTTGCCCCTGGACTGAGATTTTAGCGCGCGGCCACAGTGAATGAGCCATACCGCCAGATCATTCACACGAAGGCAACTTCACTCACTGCACCCAATCGCAAGCCATGAGTGAATGTTCAATCCTATTCCAGTGCTATACTTCCCGAGCCGGCTGTCGATTCTTCGGCCCGATCGGCCCGTGAACAATAACATCCCCCAATCCGACTTTTACAAGCAGTGAAGCGCTCCTCGTGAACCAACGTGCTCTCTTCGCGCCATCAAGTCTAAAAACAGCTATTCTTTATTCTTTCAAGCCTGGCGAATAATCTCAGCTTAGACGAATCATGTCCTCGCCAAAACGGTGAGCGCCGCCCGAATGTTGCGCCATTGCCCATCGATCATACAGCCCACCACCTTCAACCAGCGTGAGCCTTTAGTGGTGGTGCGTGACTTTGACTCCGTAAACGCCAATTCATGTCTTTGCCAGTTGCGGCCATCCACCCATGCAGAGTCATTGCCATGCGGGGCGCCAGAAGTAATGCCAACAACGCCTATGCTCCGCTCCAATCAAAAAGGTAGTCGCCGTCGTTCTAAGACGTCGGCTTCGAGTCGTGGCCAGCCATTACCGCTTCTTCTGGTCGAGGCCGGCTGCTAGGGTACTCTCCACCCAGACCATATGGAGACTGCACTGGTTGGGCGTGAGCAGCGGCGGCTTGCAGTTGGCTGAGACCGTCGCGATGAATCGGGTCTTCGCGGGCCACTACAGGAGCTGGTGGGGGAGGTCGTTGATCCATCTCGCGCCGTAGTTGCTGCTCAGGTCCGTATGATGACTCAGCAGCGGCTGCAGCAGGAGGTGGAGGTCCTGACGAGAGGTTGATGTGGGATGGCGCTGGTGGGAAGTCCGACTGGTTCTCGAGTAATCGCGATTGGAGGTTCAAGATGTACTCTCGCAGCTGATAGTTCTCGTTCTGCAAGGCCTTGTAGTTTGACTGGCAATTGGATTAGCAGTTGTCGCAACATACTTTTAGTAGTAGGTACCAACCTCCATGTTCTGGAACTCCTTGACCTGCTCTTCGAGTTTCTTGATGTACCCTTCTTTGCGCTGACGGAATGCGCGCTGCCAACATTAGTCTTTGCGACAGCGGGAAATTGGAGCAGTATGTATCACACCTGTGCTGCTCGATTCTGAGCGGCTCTCTTGCTCGTCGACAGCTCCCTCTTGCCCTTCCGCGAATCCGGCCCCAAGCCATCATCCACCGCGCTGCTGTCTCCACTCATAGCATACGGCAATTGCTGGCCCGTGACGTTGGGGTCGAGGTGTTGGTCGTGCGGACTCGCGGATTCGGAGGGCGGGTACTGGCCTTGGTCGTGTCCTGGATGCGGTGGAGCAGCGGTAGGAGGGTATGGAGGTGGAGCAGAGCCAGAGCCGCTGGCGGCCAGCAAATGCTCGCGTAAGCCTTTTAAAGAGAGCAGCAGTCAGTACAGCCATAAGGTTGGCATACTGCCCGTCTAATGTCGACTTACTCATCTCGATAGGACCGGATTCCTGGGGGAGGTACAGTCAGCTTGGGTTTATAGAATGGCTTGGTCGCTGGGTGCAGCCCAAGCATGAGTTGCTTACCTGAGCCCGAGCGTGCTGCATTGTGGGCAGGCCGGAGGCGCAACGAGTGCTGGAGATGATTACTCGCTGGTCGCGAGCAGGATCACGTCAGGTGATGCGACTGCGAGCAGGCTGGGTTCGCACTCTGCGTGTTCGCACTCTGCCGCGTCGTCCGGCGAGGAGGATGGGATGCGATGACTGGCGCTGGTTGCGACTCGGCCGGGGTCAGTCTGCGCAGGAGGGAGTCAGTAAAGAGGTCTCGCGGAGCACGCGGCGACGGCGACGACGGCAGCAGATGACGACGGGGGCCATGGCGGGCGTGGGAGGGAGGCGGGCAGGTCAACAGCAGAGGAGACTCGTACCGTAGCAGCAGCAGTTGGCTGGGGACGGGGAGGTGAGGCTTGCTCGCACGTTACTAAGCGTCACAGCTCGCCTTTTGATTCAAACGTCGCTGCCAGTCGGCTGGCGAGCTCGGTGCGCCGCTTGTCTCGTGCACCCGCCCCACGGAAGCGCAAAGTCCGAACAACACTCCCTCCAAGACACCACCAACAACGATAAGACAGAGACGACGACAGCAACGCAGCAGCCGTCGCCCTCAAACCACGGCACAGCGACAATGCCACACTGGTGAATCATCCGCGACAGAAAGCGAGCGCCCATTAAGTGATCACCTCACCATGCGTGTCCGCGCCAACCACCACGCCCTCCCTGCCTGCGCCGGGTGAAGGCCCGATTCCGAGCGTTCCGACCAAACTGCTTTGTCAGACTTTCGTTCCTGCAGGCTGGGTAGTCTCCTCTTGTCGACCAGCTCCAATTCGCGAGAGAGGGCATTTCGACTGTCACGGCCGTCCTGAAGCAGCGCTGACTACTGTTCGATCTTGACGACTAAAGCGGCCGTAACGAGGCCATAGAGCACCAAGTGCTTGCGTACCGGATATGAGCGGCACCAAATGACGTTCTAAGCTGGAAGCGAACTAGAGACGGCATTGAGTGTTGACAGTCATGTTGCAGTATGTCGCTGCTGACAACGAGTTTTGTCCGCGACATTGTTGGAACCATCACGATTGTGTGACCCATGCAGTGCACAGATTGATATCGGGAAACTGCCAGATCGTTAGGCGACTACTTCACATTCGCTATCAACAATGGTGTATGTACGTGCAACACCCTCTCCCGGCACATGTACAGGTATACCTTTGAATGCCAAGACTTAAAATCAGCTGCCTGAGCATTGTTGCGATGGCAACCAGCTTAACTTCGTTGATGCCTGGTGTCGACAGTCAGGTACCTTATCTTCAGGGAGACGATGAAGTTGTTCGCAGCGACAACACAAGCAACGCTCCAAACTCCAACAAGCCTACAATTCACGCACTTGACCCAAATTTGTTCCAGGACATTCATCCACCATGATTACCGACCAAGACAGACAAAAGGTCATCGACGGACGACATGGGCTGGAAGACTTGGAGAAGTCCTTGGTAAAGGCCCTCGGTCCTCTAAGCAGCAACATCGACGAGTTCTACAAGACCATCACTCTGCCCTCTAGTCACAAGGCGGAACTAAAGGTCTGGCGATCGAAATCCACACCAGCCGCTGACAGACCGCTCATCTTGATGTTTCATGGCGGTGGCTTCGCGGCCGGATCTATCGAAATGTGTACACGTCCTGGGCGTGAGTTTGCAGAAGATTTTGGGGCGGTGGTGGTATCGTCGAGCTATCGACTTGCACCAGAGAATCCGTTCCCGGCGTCCGTATCCGGTGAGCATAGCTCGTTGAAAGCTCATGTACATGGCAAAACCTGACTTGAACCAGACGGAATGGATGTAGCCAGATGGCTCTCCACTCACGCCGCTGAAGAATTGGGCGCCAGTCTCGAAAAAGGTTTCATAGTAGGCGGACTTTCAGCAGGTGGAAACATCGCAGCAGTAATTGCCCATCAACTGAAGCACGAAGCGCTCCAATTCCCGATCACAGGCTCTTTCATCGGCATCGCTCCGTTGCTGATCGAATCCACCGTACCCGCCCAGTACAAGCACCTCTGGACCTCTCGAACAGACAACCCCAAGGGCAATCCGCATTTTGGTTACAAAGGCGATGAGAGAATGGTCGAGCTACTGCAGGCGGATCCCGCGTCACCGCTCTATTCGCCTACGAATGATTTGGCCGGTCTGGGAGGGCTTCCTCGCACGTATTTTCAGTTGGGTGACAACGATCCTCTGCGCGACGATTGCGTGGTCTATGCGAAGGCGCTCGAGGACGCTGGTGTGCAGGTCAAGATGGATATCATTCCCGATATCGGGCATGAGTGTTTTTCAATCTGGTACAACGAAGAGGAAGGAAGTCCTAAAGAACTCAAGACCAAAACGATGGAAGGCATTGCGTGGTTGCTCGGGAGGACGTACAGCGAGACTGGATGAGTGGGTAATGACTGACGCTTAGTTGCCTAGCTTGTCATACGCCGTGACAAAAGCAAGCAATCGTCAGCAAAAACACGATACCTGCCCTAAGCAGCAGTTGCTCCCCCTGATTGATTACTCACTCACGTCAGCGAGATCCAGTTCCTTCCTTATCTGGCATACGCACTGCGCTAGCGTCAAACACCACCACCACCTACTGCTTTCTTTGCGATGTACGTGCCTGTCGTAGCATCTTTGACGACGCTACACAACCTCCAGAGCAACTGCCTTGTTCATCGTTGTACGGCAGACAATGGAGATTCATTGATTTGTGATGGGAGAAGGCTAGTGGGTGTCGTTGCTAGGCATTGAGCACCTACCGTATTTGGAGCATGGTGCAGAGGCGATGAATACGCAGCATCGGTTGGTTTCTCTTGCATGAATGTCACTTTCGTTTGACTGACTGACTGACTGACTGACTGCCTAGGCAGATCACACACCGCTATCGAAGGTGAAATCTGCGAAACAGCCCAAATTCCAACAAACATCTCCAGAAATCCGCCTCGAATTCCTCCTTCAAACCTCTCGCCGGAGCAAAAAGAAAGCCGCATCAGTCCCCGGTCCCTCCACCCTAAACTCTACTTCCCCTCCCCAGCCAACCTCGCCCCCAACGCCCTAACCCTCTCCAACCCCTCCACCGCCTCATACCTAGGCAAAACCAACTCCTCCCCTCCCCTCTCCATCCCACAAAAATCAAAAACCCCCTGACCAATCTCCGTCCTCATAGCGCCCCAATACCCCCTCCTCTCATACGTCCCCCTTGTAATCCCGCCCACCCCGATAAACACACCCTTCAGCCCCGTCAACTTCTTCTCCACGGACACGCTCTCGTAGTCGACGCGGAACGCCCACCCGGCGTGGAAGACGCGGTTGATCCAGCCTTTGAGAAGGGCCGGGAGGGACCACCAGTAGATGGGGAAGATGAGGATGAGGACGTCGGCGCGAGAGATGCGTTCTTGCTCGGCGAGGATGGAGGGGTGGGGGTTGGCGGCGCCCGAGGCGACGTCGTAGTCGTGGGCGGTGAAGCGCGGGTCAAAGTTTTCCGCGGCGAGGTCCGCGATTTCGTAGGTTGGGGGTGGGATTGTGGTGTTGTCAGGGGAGGTGAGGCCGGTGATGAGGCTGGAGGCGATTTGGTGCGTGTAGGAGCGGCGGTCTGGGTGGGAGATTACGACGAGGGCGTGCATGGTTGCAGGAGATTGGGGAAAGAAAGGGGCGAGAGTGGTGGGGAGGTGGGAAGATGATGGGAAAGGAGGGGTTGTCTGTCGTGGTGCTGGACTTTTTATTTTGTGTTGGTTACTAGAGTCGATTTGAGGCTTTGCTTTGCTATTGGATCGAGCTCTATACAAGTCGAGCCTTGCCCTCCGGATTAGTGAGACGTAGGCTCTGCGTCGAAGGACACTACCTCCAGGTATCGAATGTAATAGGAAGCCAACAAGGAAAACAAGCTGTCCGTCTTCAAAAGCCAGGGGCAATTCGTTTTTCAATGAGTGAGGGAGCGGTAATCGGCTCGGGTCATGACACCCTGCTGCCCAATACCTCAGCTTCTCAGCCTTGCACATGAGAAGACCAAGGGTCACGGCAGCCGTACGAAGCACCCATCCCCATCCTCAAAAACCCCCTAAAACACAACTCCACAACACCTCCACCCTCCCCATCCCCTCAAACCACACTAAACGCCCCAAGCCCCTCCTCCAACGCCCCGTAAACCGCTCCCTCTTCCTCTCAAACTCCCCCCTCTCCGCCATCAACTCCCCCTCCCCCTTCCCGGCCAAAAACCTCCAAACCCGCCGGAAACGTCTTCTGCGCCAGCGCCAGCGCCACGCCCCCGCCCATGCCCATGCCTACAATCAAAGCCCTCTTCGCGAGCAGAGCTTCCCCTGTGAAGGGGACGTCCGCGCCGAGTGAGGAGGCGTACACAGCTACGTACGAGTCGGGCGGAGTCGGCGGGAGAGGAGGCTTGTTGTTGTGAGGATTGTGGTTAGGTCTGTGAAGAGGCTTGAAAAGAAAAAGGGGGTTTGCCTTAGTGAAGCCGTGTGGGAGGATAGGAAAGGGACTTTACGGCGTTTGGTTCAGATACCCGCCACCGTAGGCGAGGATGTGTTCTCTAAAAGACACGACGGCGGAGTCGATCGCTGCGAGGCCGGGGATGATGTCGGAGGTTGTGATGATGGCGGCGGCTTGCGCTGTGAGGGCGAGGGCCGGGAGGAGGGTCTTTGGGGAGTCGAGGATCCTGTTGGGGTGCGGAAGGCGAGGCTTTGGTGAAATACTGCTGTTGAACGAAACACGCTCCCCGACCGAGAGGCAAAGCGATCAAGGACAGGCACTTGGAACTTATGTATGTAGTTGGCACAGCTGAAATTCATACTTTCGATGAATCATCCGGGAAAGGAATCACGCAGGAACAACACAAGGAACATTAGACGGTCACTTGCCTACCACTGGATCTCAGAGCGCATCGAGAGAGGGATGGCGGACCTCGATAAAACGTACAAGAAGAGGCAAAGGCGGTTGTTTGAGGGTGCGATTCAGGAAGTTCGGCCTCAGAACTATAACACTCCTCCGACCTTGACCTTCACACCGCAAACCGGACTCTCAGAGTCCAGGGACGGATGCCTGTATGCAATGATGACAGCTCCTCGAATAATCATCAAGAGACCTGTTGTCTTCACTTACTGACGAGGAAGTTTCGTCCGTGACACCTCTCCTCGTTGGAAAGTCGTGCGGATAGACCCTACAATCCTGTCAAACGTCTCTGTCACGGCCGAGGAAGCACCTCAGACGGCTTAGCCTCGAAAGATTGCTTTGCTCTGCTCATGGGACGGGATGGAATCATAATTGATGACTGAGCCTTAGACTTCATGTAATCACTACCCTCAATCCCACCCAGCCATCTTCTCATTCTCTTTTCACGCAGCAGGCGGAGGACGATACTCCTCCCTCAACACCCACTTCGCCCTCCCGCGCCCGCCCTTCTCCATCACCGCAATCGTCTTGAGCATCTCCCGAAACTCCGCCGTGCGCTGTTCCGTCCGACAGTATCGGTTGAAGTGATCAATCAGCATCTGCGTGTAGGCCGAGCCGCCGTGCGACACCAGGTAATCACGTATGAGCTTGAGAAAGTCTACGCCTTTGGGCTGTGGTCCGTTCGCGTTGGCTCGGCCTCCTCGTGCGGGTGTTGTCGAGCGACTGGAGTCGGCAGATGCAACGGCGGCTGCTGAAGAAGATGCGCCGCCGATGTGGCGGTTTTGCAGATTCGCGAGCACGGAGGCGGAAGATGGGCCTCCTCTTGTGGCGCCACCTCCTCGACCTCCGCGCATACCGCCGCGACGAGGAGGCGAAGGGTCGCGACCTGCGGTGCCGTGAAGGCCAGTCCAGGTGACGGTTCCAGCAGGGACAGCACGTGCCAACTCTCCCGCACGTTCGAGTTCCTTGGCTGCTCGAGCGGCGACCTTCTTCGCCTCGCGCTCGATCATTACGGGATCAGCTCGAACGGTCTTGCGGCCATTGATGATGGCGTCGTGGTCCTGAGCGCCTTGTACACCTGTTCGCGCGAAGATGGATGATAGAACGCGGTCTTCCTTCTGCTCGCCGCCGTTCTCGGCCTGCTTTTCATCTTCATTCCCTTGGAAATCTTCCTGTCTCGAGATGCCAAAAACATCCTTAATGGCAGCGCCTTCTTTCGCCTTCTCGCTCTCATCTGGCGGCGTCGGTAAGGGTTGATCTTGTTTCGATCCGACGTTCCCAGATAGCTGCACTTCTGTGCCTTTGAAGATACTTCCCGTCTCGGTCTCGCCATTCGCCATTGGATCGCCCAAGGTGAAAAGATCGTGCAAGTCACGAAGCTGGAACGTTTGTCTCTGCTTCGGATCTCGCAGAATCTTGTTGGTGAGGAACTGCTTGAAGATTTGTCTGTGATATATCTTCTCCTCAATCGTCCCAGCAGTCATCAGACGGTAGATCTCTACTTCACGTTTCTGACCGAGTCGCCATGCTCGCTCGCGTGCTTGTACATCCGTTGATGGATTCCAATCAGGATCATAAATGATGACTCGATCAGCTCCCGTAAGGTTCACGCCCAGTCCACCAACTTTCGTGGTGAGCAGGAACACGTGTAGATTGGGGTCCTTGTTGAACTCGTCGACGAGATCCTGGCGGTCTTTGATCGAGGTATTGCCATCCATGCGACGGTAATTGAAACCCTCCATTCCCGCGACGAACTTTTCCAAGATGTCGAGCATGATTCGATGCTGCGCAAAAAGCAGCGTCTTGTGGCCGTTGCGTTTCCAGATCTCCAAGAGCGCTTTCACCACCTGCATCTTCCCGGACTTTGTGCCAATGCCGTACGTATAACCACCTTGCTTGGACAGAGTCTTGTGGTCGACAAGATCTGGATGATTGCAGATCTTGCGGAGTATGTCAACACCATACAATGCCTGACGCTTCCCAGCCATGATAGACTTCATGTCTTCCGAGTTGAGAAACCATTGATAGGCATCACGTTGCAGCTTGGTAAGCTTGCAAAAGAGCACACGTTCACTCTTCTTCGGCAGATCAGCAGCAACATCGATCTTGAATCTCTGCAACAAGTATGGCGAGATCGTGTCTTTCAACGTCTCGGCACACTTCATTGCCGTCTCGACCTGAAGGTTCGATGCGTTCGCGTATCCACCTTGCTTGATCGGTATCTCGAACTGACTCTTGAAGTTCACCAGTGTACCGAGCCTCATCGGAAAGACGAAGTCAAAGAGCGACCATAGCTCCGTCAAATTGTTCTGCATAGGAGTTCCTGAAAGTATCACTCGATTGTGCGTACGAAGCTCCTTGCAGTAGATGGTGATTGCAGTGTTGGGATTGCGGATCTTGTGGCCCTCATCCAGTACTGCATATTCCCAGTCTGTGGGAATGAGGAGCTCGGCATATGTCTGAAGTCCAGAGTACGTCGTGACTAGCACATGGCCATCTCGAATGACTCTATCCACAATGCGCTTCGCAGATTTGTGTCCTTTGCTCTGTGTACTCTTCCGAGTATACGAGTCATCTTCAAGGTCGTCCTCGATGCGTGCCTCTCTCTTAACATCGAGCATGCCGCTGCCGGAAGTATGCAAGATCGAGACTCGAAGTGGCGGCCACCATCGATGGAACTCGTTCACCCACTGCTTCATCACCGTCGCGGGACACACAACAATGACAGGCTTGGTGAGCTTGCCAGAGTAGTGCAGGCCGGCAAGGAATGAAATGACCTGGATCGTTTTCCCAAGACCCATCTCATCACCAACGACTCCGCCAACTTGCTGCGAATACAACTCCCAGAGCCATTGTACTCCTGTCTTTTGGTAGTCGAAAAGCGAAGGGTAGATGTCGCCGGGCACACGATATCCACCATCGAATATGGCATCCGTGCGGTTGGGATGAGGCATACGCCATTCATCCTCTTCTTGAACCGTAGGACCGCCTTCGTCTTCGGCTTTGATCTCGTCTGCCGAATTCGACGCATTGCGGTCTTGAAAACGTTGCCGGGCAGCTCTGCGCCTCTCGATCCAGCTCTGAAGTCTCGATTGATAGACATCCTCATTGCCGTCATCGATACCTGCCAAGTCTTCCTGCTCTGCATCCGCATCTCTTCTCGCTTTCTGCTTGCCCTTCCGCTTGATTCCAGGGGTTGTACTCAGTGGCGCGTCGTCTTCCTCGTCAAGATCATCAGCTGATACGTGTACCGCATCTGCACCAGGCACGTATGCATCTGAGTCATCTGCAGCTGGGCTCGCTTCCTCTGACACTCCCCTCGCTTGTCGTCTGGTGGCAAGTCGCCGACGCTTGGCTGGCCGCTCCGATGCAAACTCCTCGTCTTGCAATCTGCGAGCCAGTGCGGCATCATCTTCTGTGTCTCCCGCCGTACTTCCTGCAGCGCTGGTGTCCTCTTGGTCAAAGCCAGGTGCAAGCAAGTTTCGATGTGACATTGGCTGCGCCTGACCACCAGTCTCCTCGGCTTCGTCTTCCTCTTCCATTTCGCCGCTTTCATCCTCCTCTTCTGCATCGAGCAAAACATCCCCGAGACTCGATGAAGTCTTCAGCAGCTTGGTGCCTTTCTTGGAGAAAGGTGTGATCTTTCCAGTTCGGATCAGGAATTCGCGATGACTCTCGCCTGGCTGGCGTTTGTTGGCGGCATTCTCATCGCCGTCTTGAGTGCCTTCGTGCTGGTGACGATCGTTCATTCGCCGCTTGATCTGTTCGATGTCTCTGTCATGGTTTGCGATTAAGGCATTGTAATGGGCAATCTCTGAGCGATATTTGTCCTTGGTGGGCTTGGTACCGAACTCAGACAACTTCTTCTCCAGCACACGTATGCCAGATTGTAGTTGGTCTTTTTCTTTGGTCGCCTTGTCGAGACGCTTCTGGTCCCTCTCATCTGCCTGTTCTGCCAGCAGCTGATCGGCTTGCTGTCCAATATCTCGCTCGAGGTCATCTTGATCCCGTACGCCTGCGCCCAGAGCTGCCAGTTGCGCTGCTTCGTCGCCTTCAACCAGAGGATTCTCGTCTTCATCAACGTAGGGGTTGTGTTGTGGCTCGTCTGCGCTAGTCGAGGTGCCGTTCTGTTCTTCGCTAAGATCCGGTGTCTGGTGCACTGGCTCTGATGGTGCCGCCATGATTGCGCGACCGTGTTGACGAGAGAGGAGTAAGAGAGAGCGGAGTGGGAGGTAGGAGACAGGCGAAAGGGTTACTCATGGGTGGAGAGCGGTCCAGGCATCACTGTGGCTGGTGATGGTCGTCGCCGACTCGCGCAATGACTCTGCACAAAGCGACCGTGAATGAGACTCGTTCAGGATGCTGCTGCAGTCGATGGTCGCGTGCGGTGTCGACTTGGACTTCAGCGATGTTTGTCGTCGATGACGCGCCACAAAAGCTCAAGCCACGCCGAGGTGACATGACGTCCGCGTTTCAAGTCCACGCGCATGTGAACACCACCTTCAGGTACCCTTTCAACCTTGGTCGCTGCACACATCGGCGCACCAATCCACCACTCGACCACCCAGCAACTCACCGACCCATACCCAGGCGATGGCCTCTCTCCCGGCTCGCCAGCCGTCGCAACGAAGAGACTCGCAGCGGGCCCAGTCGCAACCCTCCTCCACCCACTCGCCAGTGCGATCACGCTCCGAAGACTCGCAGACCATCTTTGTCCACGATTCGCCCTACGAGAAAGAGCAACAACAGCAAGAGAGGATCCAACCAGCCACTCGGCCTATAGCTCCAGAAGACGACCCCTCGGTCAAGAGATGTTGGATATGTTTCGAAGACTCCACCGAAGACACCCCAGAGACTTCTCCATGGCGAGATCCTTGTCCGTGTGCGCTTGTGGCGCATGAAGAGTGTCTGCTAGACTGGATTGCCGACATGGAAGCTCCCAAGAATACCCGCAACAGAAGCATCGCCGCGCCCAAGATCGAGTGTCCGCAGTGCAAGTCGGAGATCAAGCTGGCCAGGCCGCGAGATTACGTCGTCGATCTAGTGAGAGGCTTTGAGAGACTGGCGCTGAAAGCAGTAGCACCCAGTGCTGTCTTCATGCTGTCCGGTGCGGTATACCATCTCACAGTACTGCATGGCGTCCACTCAATATATGCCGTCTTTGGCGCTCAAGATGGGGCTCGAATACTGCGGCCACTGCAAATGAACGCCACTCGACCTCCTCTAGAAGTGTATGTCAACGACCCGCGAACCGCATCTCAACAGCTACTGAGAGTTCTGATGGACCATGCTGTTCACTGGAGACTCTACTGCGGAATCCCACTCATCACACCCATTCTCCTCTTCTCGCGGACATCCCTAGCAGACGGGATACTACCCGTGCTCCCTATCGTCTTCTTCGCCTCGCAAGCTCACTCGCCTGACGAAGCTCTCGACTTCGCCACATGGCCACCATCAGCAAGCTTCGCTTTTGCAGTACTACCGTACATTCGATCTCTCTACAACTTCTACTATCAAAAGGTCTGGGCGGAGAAGGAGAAGCAGTGGCTGAAGGAGATTCAACCGCGAGTCACTCAGAACCAGGGCGAGGATGGCGCGGAGGGTGTTGGGGGTGAGGATCAGAACGAGGGGCAGGCAGCAGGTGAAGACGAGAACGTGTTCGAACTACATATAGATCGCGGCTTGTGGGAGAATTGGGACGACGCAGAGGAGATGGCCGAAAATGTCGCTCCCGCACAAGACGACGAAGCCGCGCCGGGCCCGAACGTGCAAGATAATCGACCCAATCCACGAGGCGGTGGCAACGAGCAAGCGCAACGAAACGCAGGCCAACAACCGCAGCAAAACCAACCGCAGCAACAGCAGCAAGCGAATGGCAACCAGCAAAACGGACAAGTCGATCGTAGGATATCATTCTCCGCATCTGCCATCGCCGAAACAGCCATAGGAGCCATCGCCTTCCCAACTCTGGCGGGTCTCGCTGGAGAGGCCCTCAAGCTCGTCCTGCCGACATCATGGACCACACCGCCAGCGCCCAATTGTCGATGGGGTTCTCGATGGGGCACTCAAACCGGCGTCAAAGGCTTCCTTCAAAACAAGTGGGCACGCAGTATCGTGGGTGGGTGTTTATTAGTCGTGGCGAAGGATGCGTTGATGCTGTATGTGCGGTGGCGGATGGCTCAGATGCATCGGGGGCGGCGGGTCGTGGACTTTGATCGGAAGAAGGGGGATTCCAAGAAGGCGGCTGTATGAAATGAGACACGATGAGTAGAGGGCACGATGGACCAGCGTGGCGTTTCTGGTATTCACTGACGACTATCTATGCTCAAATGACGAAGAATCAACAGACCACTCGACCTGAACACAACGCCCCCCTACCGCTAACCCTCCCTCCCCCCAACCTTATCCCTAACCATCCAAACCCTCTTCGCCGCCTCCTCATCATACTCCTCCCTCCACCCAAAAGCCCTCATATCCGCCTTAATCACCCTCGTCTCCACAAACCCATGCCTCTTGTACAGCGCCAGCCCCGCCGGCGTGCTCTCCAATCCCACGGGGATATTTCTGGAATCCGCTTCTTCGAGGACGTGTTGTAGGAGTTGGGAGCCGATCCCCCGGTGTTGGTGTGTGGGGTGGATGAGGAGGAGGTCGATTACTAGAGAGGACATCCCGAAACGTCAGAGATGGATAGAGATATGGGTGATGAGGACGGTGATGATGGGGTGAGTAAAATACCAACATGCGCCCCCCTCCCAAAACTCCCCTCCACCAACCGCCAACTCTCCCGCGCAAAAAACCTCTTCATCCCCCAATTCCCGCCCTCCGGCCAATCCCCCGGCGGCGGCGCATCCTCCGCCAGCAACTCCCCCGCCTCATCCCCTTCCTCTTTAATCTCAAATTGACTGACGCCGACGATCTCGCCTGTGTCGGAGTCGACGGCTTTGATGAAGTGGTTGGAGGGCGAGGGGAAGGCTTCGCGTTTGACCCGCGCCATGTAGGCGTGCAGGTCGGGCGTGTAGCCTCGTGGCCAGAGCATGGGGATTCGTGGGTGCGGGGCGAAGGCGGCGAGTTCGATGGTTATGAAGGTGGGGATTTCGGTGGGGGGGAGGGGGTGGATTGTTATGTGCATTTTTGTTTTTGGTTGGCTGGTTGGTGTTGGATGAGGACGGCTGTGAGGTGAGCACGAATGGATTGAATGGTGGTTGTGGTCAATGGTTGACAGGTTAAGGCCAATGGCTGATTTTATGTATATGTTGATCGCATTGAGTCAAGTCGTGACTCACGCCGTTGTTCAGAACTTATATGTTGACAATGCAAACCATGGACGAAGCCATCTGCATTGGAGCTTCCCGATCCAGACACCGGAGCCGAAAAATCGCACGGTGCGAGGTCCATTCGTGTCGTTGTTCATCGTAGGGCAGGCGTACGCTAAATACATGCCATAGAGCTTCCTTTCCCTCTTACCGCATTGGGTGTACGGAAAGTTTGCACAGCTCTTAGCCTACCACTTCGTCGAGCGCAATTGTCTCTCATTGGGCAGTAGACTACTTGTCCGATGAATGTTTCTCTCCCGCCGGCTTAGGTGCATCCTCCACAGCCTCGAACTCGTCGACAACATCCTTGACAATCTTTGGAAGCCGTTTTCGAAGATCATCCATTCCCAGCTCGAAGAGGAGTTGGTCAAGTTCATTGATGATGCCTTCTTCGACGTAGTGGAGTTCGGCCAAACGTCGAACGCTCCACACTACCATTCCGCGAGGACTGGTGTCGACAGGTTTGTTTGGCGATCTATCCTCTGCTTTGCCGTCATCGCCTAATAGAGCTGATGGGGATTCCAATCGAATCTCGTCCAAGGCTTTTCGACAAATTATCATGATCGTGGCATTGTTCGGCACGCACGCACCATAGACAACGACATCGCGCTTGCGGACACTATCGACCCCACGTATGGGTACGACAATCCTCTGTCGCTCGACACTTTCGAGAGCAGTTGGATGAAACTGTGCCATGCGCATCCTGGAGCGTCGAGATCGAGTAATCCTGTAAGCTGCATCGTGGGCTCCGCGTGCCGAATGTGGCCAGAAGATGCCCAACAAACGACGAGCTGCGGCGCTGCCATATGCTGCTGCAACCCCTTCGAGAACAGTGTTGAAAGTTTTGATGGGTAGGCCAAACTTCTCATATCGTAGTGGTTGTCGATAAGGCAAGCAAAATTTCTGCCATTCGCTGTTCACGGCGGACAAGATGGTGAGCAAGTTGCTAACGCATAAAGACTTCTCCTTGGCAAGCTTTTGGCCTCCATCGTATCGACGAGCAAATGTCTCGACCACCATCGTCCTTGCACGCTCAAGATTGTGTTGAGCATCCGCAGAACCCTGCGCAGCGCCAGGGACCTGCTGTAACATGACCCGAATCATATTGGCAAGATTTTGAACGGTCCACTTCCTGTAGGGGGAGTCTCCAAGGTACTGCAAGATCCGCTCCGCCGAATCCCAGCGCAGGTTTATGACTTGACTGTCGAGCATAGATCTCATAGACTCCTTCTCGAATTCCAGTTCTTTCATTTTGGAAAGGAGTTTGTTGTCCAATGTTTCCGCAGCGAAACGAATGAGAGCTGGCTGGATGTGTGGATCTTTGTACGATGACTCGGCAATGACCGGACCATCGACATCATTGTTATACAACAACCATCTACCGAATTCGTGGGCTTTGGCATCGGTGGCAAGCTCGAGGAAAGATCCAAGTGTTGTGGCTGGTATCTGCAGGTCGAATGCTGGGTATTCAATGCCCGTTAGATTACTTGTAAACAAGTCGTCTTTGGTCAAAGATCGCAGCAGAGGCTGGTTGCCCTCCATGAAACTTGCAAGCGATTTGTTCTTGTCCGTGTCTGCCCGAATTTGCATTCGCTTGAAGATTTCCAGGGCTCCTTCAAAACTTCCGGACATAATCTGGCCATGTAGAGCTCTATGCAACAGGCCTTGCATGGCCATAGACCCGTCGAGAACGTAAGCTGGAAGGTTTTGGTTGTTCTTCGATCCCAATCCCTCCCCAAGCCCAGGAGACAGCCGAGCAAGTGCCCTGACGAGACCGCTATCCTTCTCGACGCTAACGCTCATGCATTCAACAAGCCGCAGTATGAGAGAATCCCAAGTCCCAGTGCTCAAGGTCGACCGCTTGCTGTCTCTGTGTAGCAACTTCTTGAGCTCTGTAAGATGTGTGACGATTCGTTCCACATCAATGCCTCGTTCACCAACGCCCACGTTCACCTTGATGATGAGTGCGTCAATGAAAGCGTTGACGACCTCGGCGCTGACAGTCCGAGTAACGTCGAGGCCAGGCTCGCGAGGAGCATCATGTGCGGTAGCGGCTCGGGTCTTGAACAGGTACTCCAAATCGTTCCAAGGATTCATTTGACCATTGGCGTCCGCAGCGACCGCATCTTCGTACTCCCTCCACGAGAAGACATGCCATCTGCTGTTGGCGGGTCCAAAGGAGGACAACATTTCCGCGCCTTGTTCAATCCAGCCACCATGCAAGCACGACCAAAGGATTAACTCCATCCACACTTCAGGCCGCAGACCAGCAACATGTGTTCGGTAGACTGAGCCTGGAATTTCGGGTCGCAGGGAAGCGTAATCGCCTCCTCGCGCTTTCGCCTCCTCAATTACCATCTTCTCGTGAGCACGCCACGCTGCGTCGGACAGAGAAGTAAGGATTCGAGAAGACAGCATCGACAGCAGTGGAGGTTGGTGAATCGCAGACTTATCGGCGGGTGACTCGGACTGGTAGATGGACAATGGCATGACTTCCTTGTGATGAAGGTATGCGATGATCTCCAATACTTCGGGCCTTGTCTCCCCATCCCTCGCACATGCTTTGATCATTGATCCCAACATCAGCCAGATTTCACCCAACGCATCATGTCGTAAGATTTCCTCGCGCGACATCGTTTCCGGATGGAGGCCGTTGGTGAGTTCACGAAGGCTCTTGGCTTCCACCATTCCCGATGGCGGTACACTCGCTTCCAGGTTGAGATCCATCGGGGCGCTCGAGGATCCGGCCAGAGAAGGCACCTGTTCCCACAACGCATTGACTCTTGCAAAACGTGGACTTTGGCCATGGCGAGCGGGAAATTTCTCGACCAATCTCTTAATGAGCCAGACAACAGCATTCCAACGGTTTTGCTCAAATCCAAGATGGTAAAGCAAGTCAAATGGTCCACCATACTCAGCAGGAAGGTTTCGAGCTGCCAAAAGTACCTCAGCCACGTCGGCAGCGCTCAGGTTGGGTGGAGTGTAGGAAGAGTTGTATGACGCCTCCCAATTGCGAAGATGGGGTGGAAGACCGCCATCGAGAAGGGATGCCCAGGCTTGGATATCATTACCGGGACGTTCAATCTTTTGGAACAGAGCCTGTTGGCGGTCATTGTCAAAGACCGCATATTTGCGAAATATTCGTGTCCTGTCCTGCGCAGTCGATGTCTCAGAGACTTTGATGTAGTGGCGCTGCGACAAAGCAGGGAGAGCAGGGCGGACTGCAGGTCTAGCCCGACTGATGGCGCGCAGTCGAGTGAGACTCCATGCTCTCATGGGCGTAGAGACATGCGTTGATGGTGTGGAAAGGAGAATGAGAGTGGGTGGAAAGTTGATGCACTTTTCTATGGCAAAACTCGTGACGTTGGTGAGTGTCTCGCGTTTACCTGGTGGCCCGTGCTTTCCCGCGTCGTCGCCTGTTCCGAGCTTTGTTGGCTCACTTCAACAGCAACACCGACGTCACCTGACCATTTCCCATCCTCTTCCCTTCTCAACTCCTCCCTCTCTGCCACCGATTGACCTCACGCACTCTGCATATCTCGCACTCGCGGAGACACGGTGCACCGCACCTTTTCTCCCAAACACTTCGCGACCATCATGTCGGGCAACTATCGCGTTGGTACGAGCTGTTCATGCCACCTCCCACTCAAACACATCATTGACCGTTCGCAGAAATCAGCCCAACCGCCCGCGCAGGTTGCACGGCCACCCACTGCAAGAATGAAGGCATCAAGATCACCAAAGGAGAAATTCGCCAGGGCGTCACGGTGACCATCAAGGAGTATACATCAATCAAGTGGCGTCATTGGTGAGCCGACGTCTTTCGGGTACATGTATCTGTCAAGCATGACTGACATTCTCAGGGGATGTGTGACTCCGAGCGTGCTTCACAACTGGTACGAGACGGCAGAGGGCGATTTCGACCTGATCGATGGCTATGATGAGCTTCCGGAGGATGCCCAGCAGAGGGTCAAGCGCGCATTCGAGCAAGGTCACGTTGACGATGAGGACTGGAACGGAGTGAGGATGATTGCTACCCGCCTGGGGAACGCCCTACTGATCGACGGCAGGATCCTGAAATGAACCGATACAATCCCGACAAGAAGATGCAAGGCATGTTCAAGAAGCCTGAGACCGCTGCCGAGCGCAAGAAGAGGGAGAAAGCTGAGGTCAGTCTGGTATCTTCCCCGTGTTCGATTCCCGCTGACCAGACACAGGCCGCTGCCAATGGCGAGGAACCAGCAAAGAAGAAGAAGACCACGAAGAAGCGCAAGGCGGCCGACGAGGACGAGGATGACGAGGACGAGCCTGAGGCACCCCCACCCAAGAAGTCTCGTGCCAAAAAGGTCAAGGCTGAGGACGCAAACGACGAGGACGAAGCACCACCCCCGAAGAAGTCCAGGGCCAAGAAGGCGAAAGCCGAGCAGACCGACGAGGCAGATGAGGGAGTGACCACCGTGAAGAAGAAGGGCGGCAGGAAGCCAAAGGGTAAGTCTTCTCAAAACGTGGCAACTGTTGTCGCTGCCAAGCGATGTGACCGCTCGCGAGCCTGTGCTGACTGTGATGTTTTTACAGTTGAGGCCAGTGACGATATCGATCCTGAAGACGAACCAGCACCAAAGCCCAAGCCTGCAACGAAGCGCAAGGCGAAGGCCAAGAAAGCAGCCATCGAGGACGAAGATGAGGAGTAGCGACTGCAGGGCCACGTGAACAACGCTTGAAAGTGGCCGATGGAGTGCAGCAAGCGCTCTGCATGCCTATGATGCCTCGCTGGTTCGATTGGAATGGTGGCATGGATTCTGCGAGATGTTTTATTAATTGATAGCTCGATACCCGCGATGACCACTCGCTCCGCACGGAATAAATGTTGTTTGTATTCCTAAGATTCATGCTCCAATCCCTCCTCCACTTCTAAAGACCCTGCCCTCCATCATTCGTCACCACTCTGAAGATCGACCTTTGCCAAATAAGCTCCACAGATCTGATAGATCTCACAGATCGGATCTGATCAACAAAGATCCGCCCCGGCGCTTATTATGCAAGATGCAACTCTGTTCCTGCACTAGGCTCATTGCTCAAGGTCATTGACGTCCTCGTTTGCTTTCCCTACTCTACTGGCGTGATCACAGCATCACCTTTACCGAATCTCACGCCTTTGAAGTGCGCCAGCATGGCGGATGAGTGTCCCGGCTGTAAAGGATGCAGGGCGAGGAGGAAAGGCTCGCGTGCACGATCGATCTATCTCCAGACTGGACAAGTCTGCTGTCAATCACCTTGACATCAGCATGACCGCTTCACTTCACGTCGACTGCGCATGGGGTGACGTCCGTCAATGCTCGAGTGTCCCCGACAGCAGTATAAATACAGCCCAATATCTCCCGTCTCCAATCCCCTCCAGAACCACTTCACACAACCACACACCTAACACACCTAACACATCTCAACCCTCCATCATATCAGCTACATCATGTCCTCCAACGAACAAGCCCCCGACGGCCTCGCCACCGAAAACGAATACACCAGCCGCACAGGCCAGAAATCCCACATCCCCGTGCAGAGCGACGACGCCACGGTCGAAGACCCCATCGATCCCGCGACGGCCGATTCGGATCAGCAGTTAGGTACGTTGTTTTTTTACGCAGATTATTTCTGTGGTTGTGTCTTAGCTATTGTAGGAGGGAGATGTGATTCTGATATACGGGGGTGATAGAGAAAGACGATGCGGATGCGATTGATCGGTCGAATATTGTTGATAGCCGCACCAGGGCCGCCGCGAAGGGGAAGGGTGGGTATGCTGAGCCGGGGGATGAAGAAGGGCTGCCGTCGGGGGAGGATGGGACGAGTTCGGGACGGCAGTAATAAGTCGTTGGAGGAGAGGATGGCATATGTGTAGTATCGACACATGAAACGAAATGAAACTTGGATACAAGAACGAAATGTTCTTCTTGTAGTGCCAAATTGAAATTTTATCCGAAGTGGTATCTTTATTTATCCTCATGTATAAGTCTCTTAAATCCCCAAATACATATCCCCATACATGTACCTCACCGCCAACCCTTCTTCACAACGCAGCCTTCGGCATCATCTTCCCCTCCCCTTCATACCCCTTAATCCTTCTCATCTTCGCCGTCTTCACCAACCCCCAAGCCTCCTCAAACTCCACGCTAGGCAAATTCGCCACATCCATCTCCCGCCCCTTCTCCCCCTTCCGCGCTGGGATAAACGTCCCCTCCGTCTTCAGACTCTCCGGCTCCTCCACACACCTCCTCGCCCAGTTGCCCCAGCTCTTCACGCATTGCTGGGCGTTGGGGAGGTCTGGGAGCAAGAGCTGGAAACAGTGCGGCATGGCTTCGTACTGCTCGAAGTGTACTTTGACGCCTTGTTTCGCAGCACGGGAGGCGACGAGCGTGTCTTCGTCGGTGAGCATTTCTTGGCCGGTGCACATCCACAAGGGAGGGGAGGTGGCCCAGCTGTCGGCGAGGATGAGCGAGGCGAGCGGGTGGTCGAGGCAAGAGAGGTCGCAGAAGAGGTCCCCTCGGGGTGGGTCCGTGGGCCAGATGTCGTCGTGGCCGAAACGAGAGACAGCGTCGTCGTGGTTGGCGGGTGGGAGGTAGTCGTATTTGGCGTTGCCGACGATGCTGGGCATGGAGCGCGAGACGTCGAACCAGCCTGAGTTGGCGGAGACGCCTGCCGGGAGAGGGACGTGGACGTCGCGGCCGTGGAACTTGACGACGGGGACAACGCCGTCAGCTGCGCGGTGCAGTTGGAGGAGGAGCTGGAGGAGGCCGAAGCTGAGGTTTCCGCCTGCGCTGTCGCCGCCGAAGACAATCTTGTCTGCGCCCACGGCTTCGTGCATGCTGCCCTCGGGCGGGTATAGCAGGCTCAAATACACCATCAATGCATCCACCAACTGTCCCGGAAACGCCGTCTGCGGTGCAAGTCTGTACCGCACACTGCACACTCTGCCTTTACTCTCTTTCGCCAACCGACTTGTCAACGCGCGATGCGTCGCCGGATCGCAAAGGTAATACGCCCCGCCATGGAAATACAGAATCGTCGTCTCGCTCGTCCGGCTGGGCTCCGCCATGAGCCGCTTATACCTCTCCTCCTCGCTGATATCAGGCATCGTCTCATCCCTCGCCGCATCAGGTCTGTACCCCGTCCACTCCACGTCCACATCACTCGTATCAGGCCGCGTATATCGCACCTCCCCATCTCCCTTCCGCATGCCCTCCACAGCACCACATACTGCCTCCACCACATCCCCCTCCTCACCCGGCGGCTTCGGTATCACCTCCTTCGCGACCCACGTCTTGCCCTTCACGCCGGGGTCTATGAGCGTGCGCTTTTGCACTTTACCGATCGGCGGGATGGTCTTCTTGCCGTCCGAGGTCATGAGGTTGCGGAGGACGTGCACAGTCAGGGCGGTGCGGAGGTCCCATTTCGAGGAGGTCGGCGTGAAGCCGAGGGTGTGTTGCGCGGCGGCCCAGGAGATGGAGGGGATTTGGGGGAAGAGGAATTTGAGGAGGGGGAGGCCGGCTTCCATGGTGGGTGAATGAACGTGGGGAGTTTGTAGTCGGTGTGGTTGCTTACGAGGACGTCCAACTCCTCACCTCAAGGACAGGAAACGAGAGAGTAAGGAAGGGTATCAATCAACTTACGAACAGGTCATGGACTTGAATCCGAACCAACTTCTTACTTCACTATCGTTAGCTCGCGATGGGAAGACGAGGCGACGGTCATATGAACGCTCACGGAACGCCAATGACCCGTCGACCTCAACTTTTAGTGCACCGCGCTAACGTCATGCCTCGGCAGATGCAGGTTCCGAATCCGGCAATCGCATCTCTGCACAATTGCATGTGTCGGTCGTGCAAGTGAATGTCTTGCATGGAGTGGCCAGGATCCCACGTTGTCCTTCATTTATCTGAGTGAAACGGCAGATGTTGGGCACGGATGGGGAGATGTTCGGCACTGGCGGAAGAGGAAATCGCATTCGGGCTTGTGGGCGTGTCTGATGTGGTCTCGAGTGTTTACGACAAGTACGACGCTTTGAAGACTAGGAGATGTGTCGAATAAGTGCTTTCGAGGCTCGGTGCTAGATCTCGAGATAAGATCAGACAAGTACAGTGCAGTATATGAAGAACCAAGGACTGACCCCATGTTGCCAGAGTAGCTGACCTCAGCAGGACGGGCTGACTGCCTCAGGCAGCACTGGTAGTATCAGGCTTCTCCATCTCTCAACCTCTTCTCTTGCCCTCCAGATTCTTCATTTCGAGAACATGGAGAACACATTCAGCGACAAGGCCTCGTCCGACACTGTGGTCCCCCTCTTGCAAGCCTCAAACCAAAATGCTCTTGTCAACTTCGTGTCCAATACAGGACTTGCTGTTGCAATGCTATCGTGGCTTTCCACACAGGTGGTTGAATCAAGACGAAGATTCTCCACGACGACAATGTAGAGCATCGTGCGCAAAGCACGTAGCCTGATTGCTCGCGCAATGCCGTGTCTCGACTCCGCCATGAATTCTTCCGGTGCTAGTGGGACGTCTAATGATACCGCAGCATCAAGATACGAGGTGTACCTCAACCAGCCAACCAACCGCTCAATTCGCAGCGATACAACATCGCTTCATGCAGCGCCATGATACGACCCGCTATGTTCCAGTGGTGCAATTACTAGCTGGTAGTTGTATCATCGGAGGGAATACATATCACTGCGTGCGCTCCGAGTTCGTCTTCACTCATCACCGCCCAACTTCATTGAGATGGCTCGCAACTTCGCGAGAGTATGGCTTTTGGCGCTGGTCGGGCTGGTCTCTGGCTCCATTGGACCAGAATGGAGAGCAGTCAGTGCTGCAGATGGCAATCATATCGTCCGTGCCGCGATCGCTTTGCACCAACCGGGAGTTGAGAAGGCGAGAGATTTGTTGATGGAGACATCGAACCCAGCATCAGAGAAGTTTGGGCAACACCCTGACAGCTCAACGATAGTATGTCCCATTGACCTTGAAACTGATCATCCCATTTTGATCACTTGCTTTAGGATTCTTTGTTCGCTCCTACACAGCGATCCATAGACTCTGCTGTTGACTGGCTTTCTGATATTGGTATCAGCAACGTCCGACTTCGAAAGACGAGCGCCCTGTTGGAGTTCTCGGCGACAGTGGATCAGCTACAAGATTTGTTGGGTGCAAAATACTGGCTTTTCGAGCACTCTCACACCGGCGAGCACAGCATAGGGACAACTGATTACAGCATTCCCGACCACCTAAGAGACCACGTGCATTTTGTCACACCCACAACGGATCTGGCGCCAGTCCGCCGGGTGCCCAAGAAACGGCTCAAGCGCAATGCTCCGACGTACGGATCTGGTGCTGTCAATCTTACAGACTGCCACTATAGCTGGACACCGCAGTGCATTCGCCGTAGGTGATCCCCGACATGCTGCTGTCGTCTCGTGACTGATCATGATTTACAGAGCTATATGGCATTCCATTAGAGCACAAGACTGCGCCAAACAACACCCTCGGCATCTACGGCACCCAAGACGACTTCTCCCAGTCCGACCTTAACGCGTTCTGGACTCAATTCGCACCCTTCATCCACAACGGCACCGGTCCCACGATCAAGCGCATCAACAACAATGGCAAAGCGGGCGAAGAAACTATCGGAGAGATGGTCCTGGACATGACCATGGCATTCCCCATTGTCTATCCACAGACGGTCGATCTCTATTTCGTCGACGATACGGCCTCTGGCAACTACGTTGGGCTGGGAAACCACTTCCTCGACGCCATCGACGCTGCCTACTGCACCTACGACGGCGGAGACGACCCGACTCTCGACCCTCACTATCCCGATTACAACGACTTGTTCCCCGACGGAGGGGAATCCGAGGGTCTATACCAGGGCCAGCGGCAGTGTGGCCTCTACCAGCCCAACAACGTCATCTCGATATCCTACGGCACCGACGAGTGGAGCCTCGGTCAACATTATGTACAGCGCCAGTGTAACGAGTGGATGAAGCTCGCACTGCGCGGAGTCACGGTCCTCGTGGCGGCAGGAGATCGAGGCGTGTCGGGCACCACAAGTTGCATAGCCAGGAACGGCACAGGGGACAACGGCGCCTTCAGCCCACTGTTTCCTGCCGTCTGTCCATACGTGACGACAGTCGGAGCCACCCAAGTCGACTTCAACGGACAGCACTGGAACGAAGTCGCCGTCAACGACCCCAAGCACACCTTCTACAGCGGCGGTGAGCCCACCCACCACCCCATCCCTTCGTCCCCCAAACTAACCCTCCCAGGCGGCTTCAGCGCCTTCAACCCACAACCCCCCTACCAATCCCAAGCCATCACCCAATACCTCTCCACCCACAACCCCCACTACCCTAACGCAACCTACAACGCCGCCGGCCGCGCCATCCCGGACATCGCCCTGCTCGGTGCCAACGTCACCCTCATCGACCAAGGCGCCCTCACCGTCAGCGGCGGCACCAGCGCCGCAACCCCCCTCTTCGCCGCCATGATCACGCGCATCAACGATGAGCGTCTCCTGGCTGGGAAGAAACCTATTGGCTTTTTGAACCAGATTTTGTATTTACATCCGGAGGTTTTTACGGATGTGAGTTTTTCTTTCTATGCCCTTACCGACACACCGCTGACTCTCTCGCTCTGGTAGATCACCCAAGGCTCCAACCCAGGCTGTGGAACGGCTGGGTTCCAGGCGGCGAAGGGTTGGGATCCGGTTTCGGGGCTGGGGTCGCCCGTGTTTCCTAAGTTGAGGGACCTACTTGTTGGGTTGCCGTAGGGTTGTGGCTTCGCATACATACGTGCCTGGTTTGAGTCAATGACACTCACTCCATGTAGGAAACCACTCTTGGGCGCGAGAGAGGTGTATGACGACATAGATGTGATGAGTTCGTGAGGGATGGCGAGTCCTTTCCTGTCTTGAGAGTAGGACATCGTGGGAAAGGGTTGGCAGGCGCTTTGTTGCTGGACATGTTGAACATCAGTGACAAAGTCCGAAAGAGGAAAACGTTTTGACCAAACTCAAGCATGTGATGGGTTGGACGAAGAAGGAAATTGCAGTCAGGATATACTGTTACATGCCGTGCACTCTCATACGTCTCGTCTATCACATTAGCAAACCGCAATGCTACAAGCAAATCTTTTTTGGTTGGGGTATCTCGTCCTTTAAGCCTGTTCGAAGAACAGCTGCATGAAGAGACAGCAGCAGCAGCAAGAAAAGCAGACGAACCCTCCCTGTGATCCCATTTCCCTTAATTTTTGGGGCTGCTTGACCGAGCCTCCCCTTTGTAGTAAAACATGCATAAGTGTAGTCATGCTTTCGCCATTTCCATTCCTCAATCCCAAGCCGAAACCCATGAAGACGCAGTTGAATCGCAATTGAGCTGATCTGTGACACGCTCATTCTGGTAGAAGAAGTGATGGGGTGCATTCTGTCGTTTCATGAGGAATCACCCTCTGACGACTGACGCTGGTGCGGCCATTGGCTGCAAGCATTGCGGTGATGGTGGTGTGCGCTCCTGAGGAACAGGTCCCTTGCCACATCCCTAGGATGGCTTTGGGAGCTTCTCAGGGTCGGCACCACGACCGATGATCTCCTCGGTGATGAGCTTGTCACGGTCCAGCCACAGCAGCTTATACGCGTGACGGATGGTGCTGTCGCTGACGCGAGCCACGCTCTGGATCTCCTTGGCGTTCTTTGGCTGGCCCATGAGGTGACCAGCCATGTAGATACAGGCGGCGGCGGAAGACAATGGCGAGCGACCAGCAAGCGCACCTGTGGTGGTCATCTGAGTGGCCAGAATGATAGCCACATTGGTGGTATTCTGTTGCATGTCCAGCATGCTGCAGTAGCGGTTGCAGAGATCTTTCGGGTCGGCAGTGGTGCTGCCCTTGTACTCCTCGTTGAAGACCACCGCACCGCCTGCAACCATCGAAGTTCCACCGGTACCCTGCTTGTCCTTGTCACGGTGCATGTTGAACTGCTCGAGCATCTTGAAGATACGGCCAATCTCCTTCTTGCTGACCTTGGTCAACTCCATCACCTCACGGAACGACCGAGGAACTCCATTTCTGCGGCAGGCAAGGAAGACGCATCCTGCAATGAGCGCCTCTTGACTCTTGCCCTTGAAGATCTTGCTCTCGTCGGCGTCCTTGTAGAGGTATTTGGCGGTGTCGGAGACGCTGGTCGTGAGCTGCCAGCCATCGCAAAGTGCGCCAATCTGCTTGTAGGCTTGGAGGAGAGACTTGTTGCCCTTGTCTAGATTGGCTTTGTTCTGAGCGCGGTGGAGCTCCTTGCTGCGCATGCCACCATCACCAAAGGCAATGTTGGTGTTCAGCTGAGCACCGTTGAGCAGGGCGTTTGGACCATCACCAACACGCGACGGGTCGTCGTTGCCTTGGTCGTCGTTGGAGAAGGTACGCCATTCCGAAGAGGTATCGATGGAGCGCTGCTGCAGGACGAGGCCGCAGTTGGCGCAGATGAGATCGCCACTTGCGTGGTCTTCGAACAATTCAGGTGGATCCTCGCGACAGTCGCGACAGATGAGCTTCACGTTGAGATTCTCGCGCCACTCTTCTTCTTGTGGACGAATGGCTGGCTCAGGTACAGCACCCGGGGAGAGTACTTGAGCCATGATGGCGAGCGGCTTGCGCGGTGGAGGGACTGGCTTCTTGATAGCCAACTCAAACCGCTTGGTCGCGCGCTTCTTGATGCCTTTGGCGCTCTTTTGGAGCTTGTGGTTCTTGGCGTAGCAGCGGATGAAGAGTGGTGAATACGTGGTGGCGGTGTTGGGAGAGGGCGAGGAGAGTCGCAGCACGTGAAGCTGATCGCAGCTGAGGATCAGACGTGTCAGCGACTCAGTCAGAAGAAGGAAAGGATAGATGGATGGAAGTTTGCGTGGTGTGCTGTATATGCTGTGTCGCCTGCAAGTGAAGTTGCGTCTTCTTTGTCTGCTGGCAAACAGTGAAGGGGCTATGACTATTCACTCACCCTCACACTCTGAGAGTATGTGACAGCTGCGGCACCGGAATCAGGTGGTGGTCGCGTAGAGTCGACTCGCGTGAGTGCGGGCGTGTGGTATGGAGGGTAGTGATGCGGTGGTGCGGTGCGTGCGGCCGTGCTACCAGTGAAGGCGTCCTTGAGAGATGGCTGACGTCGGTCTCTCGCAGAAAGGTGGCCGTGTAGAGTCGCGCAAGTCGGTCGCTCGAGTTCAGTTGCCAGCAACCAAGTCGGAGAGCAGTTTGCAGGTGGGTTGGAGCGTCGACGGGCGGTATCTGCGACACGCGGTGCAAGAGGGAGGTGGGTGGAGGTTGGAGGGTGGTGGTGGAAGAATGGAAGTCTGAAGAGTCTGTGAAGCGGAGGCTGAGTCTGGAGCGGGCGTCACGGCTCTTGCCGCGGTGACTAATCCGCCAAGACATCTCCCTTGCGAGCAACCTGCCGCCAGACTTGAGCTTCACGAGTTGATGCGCCATTGAATCCGCCTTCACAACCGACATCATGCTTGGCCAGTCACTCAAAGCTTCGGTATGCTACATGATCACCTCTTTGATGAGCTGAACTGACATCGCCAGCGCCAATTGGTCGCCAGAACGGCCCTCAAGCAAAATGCCGTCACTCTCCGCCGAACCTTCATCACTCCCACCGCAGTGAGGCAGGGTGCGCCAGTCACAAGCAGATCACGATTCAAACCACATGCTCACACTTACTGTAGCCGACCTCGTCCAGGACATGTACCTTAAAGAGCTCAAGGCCTACAAGCCCCAACCGATCAAGGCCAACGATGCCGAGGGCCAAGTCCAGAAGTTCACCCTCCCCAAGCCACCACCATCTCCCGAAGAGGCCGACCTCCAGAACGATTTGGCCGCCTACGAGCAGCAAGCCCCAGAAGTCGAGGGCCAGTCTGGCGCCCCAGGTGCGAGCGAGCCAGTGCAGGATTGGTTTGACGAGAGCGCCTTGGAGGATGAGGAGCCAGCGCACCACTAGAGCATCAGTCAGGGCATTGGGCTGAAGAGCAGTGTGTAATATAAAGCAAGCGTCAATGCAATGCGAGTGTCGACAGCCTCAGCGGACAGCATCAAAGCATGAGGAGGGGATGTGGTCAAGACCTCGGGTCTGGGTAAGAGGGTGTTTCATATGTACAACGGGCATACAAAACATCACGACATTGCTGTCTTGCCATTTTCGCGATATTACAATCAGTGAGGACAGGACTGCGCCATCGCACGACAGCTTGACTTTGCCGCAAAAGTCACGTGATGGGATGCTTGAACGGTGAGCCTATGAACAAGCGCAGTATTCGCTGACCATCGCAGACTCAACGCGACGTTTGCAAAGCCTCGAACCAAATAACTGGCCCCATTCCCAGCGCCCTGGACGAGACCACCTACGCAAGATAACAAATTCTGGCGCAATGACGCTGCTCCTGTTCACTTTCCTTTCCTTTCCTGCACCCCTATATCTCCCGTTTTCTTTGCTTGTTGCTTTCCTTTCATCGGTAAGACTTAGCTCTCTCCTTCTATGCTCCCCCCCAAGAAGCCCGCACATCACCCTCTCTCACAAACCATGGACTCAGCACATCCCAACCCCAACAAATTCGCCCTCGAAACCACCTCCCTCCACCAAGCCCTCCGCTCCTGGCTCCGCGCACACCACATCAACCCAACCATCACCACCGCCACCCTCCACCACCCCGAACTAACCACCCGCGAACGCGCCCAAATCCTTGAAGAAAAGCGCAAAATCCTCGCACGCCAACGCGACGGCGACGAAATCCTCCTCCACCCCCCAGTCCCCAGGGACGAATGGCCGAAACGGGCGTACAATACTCGACCGCGGCGATCTTCGGCGACGGCGATGCCGATTCCTATTGTCAGGAGTCAGCAGAGGAGGGGTGGACGGGCGGCTAGTATGAGCGTTGTTGGGAATGAGGTGGTGGAGGGAGGGGGAGGGGATGGGGAGTGGTCGATCTGGGCGAAGACGTTGAGGAGGGATAGTAAAGCTTCCTCGAACGCTACTGCTGCTGCGATGCAATGGATGGGGAGGGATCGGAGTGTTTCTTGTCCGATTTACACGCCTGACGTGGTGGTTGAAGCTGCAGTCATGGAAGAAGAAGAAGACACATGCACTTCCCCTTACGATATGGATATGGACCTCGAAGCCGGCCCTCCCAGCAAGAAGGACTACGGCACCCTTCCCCTGCCTTCCTCCAGCGTCAATACGGCGAGGCGGGAGGCTGTGGAACGCGCGAGGAGGGAGGTTGTGGGGATGTATCTTGTGGGGGTTGTGGTTGTCGGGTTGGTGCTTGTTTTGGGGGTTGGGTGGGTGGTTGCTATGGCGTGGTGGGAGGAGGTTGCTGGGGAGGAGGGGGTGGAGATGTGAGGGTGGGGATGTTTTGATCTTTTTCATGATGTGAGAGGTATGATGAATGAAGAGTTATGAATTATGAATGAATGCAGTCGTCTTGGAAGAGTACAACGTACGATCATCTCCCGTACATATTCATTCCCCATTCCCAATCCTGCGTTCACAATACTTCACAATCTACACCCTCGCCGCCCTAAGATACCCCACGAACCCACCCACATACCCACTCAACCTCTCCACCCGCCTCCTCTCCCCCTCCAACGTCCGTCCAAAATTCTCCACCGCATCCCTCGTCCCCGCATCACTCCCCACCACATCCCCATGCACGCGCAAGAACACCGCCATCCACGCCTGCACGAGCTCGAAATCCCTCTTCTCATTCAAGCACCACGTCAGCGCGTCTACGAACCTCTCGTGTTCTTCGTCTTCGAGGTCGAGGGAGCGGATCTCGATGTCTGCGGTGGCTGGGGGCAGGGATTTGAGGTGCGTTATGATCGGGGTGTAGTCGTGGGATTGGGAGGAGGTTTCGAGGAGGGTGGAGAAGGGGGATTGGTGGGTGCGGGCTTGGTTGAGTTTTTGGACGCGGGTGCGTTCGTTGTCGAGTTCTGAGGCGGGATTTTCTGCTGTGATGGTCTTTTGTTGTTGTTGCGGGTCTTGGAGGGAGGGGAGGAAGAAGGGGGCTTTTTCGGGTTTCTTGGGTGGTTCGATGGGTTTGTTCCGCTGGCGGATAAGGTCCAGATGCAGGAGGTTTTGCCAGCGAGAGCGAGGGACGAGGGAGAGGGATACTAGATCAGAGCTGATTTGGTCGACGTCAGTATCAGGCAGATCGATTGCTCCGTCTTCAAGTTCGTCATCCGAGTCAGCATCTGCGGTCTCTGCGATGAGGTTGTGGCCACCTTCTCCAGAGGCTGTAGGTGCTTGTGATGTGGTCGAGTGGACAATCGATAGCAATTCCTTTTGGCCTAGGTGCCTTGTCGAGATATGTGTGAACAGGCTGCGGTTAGTCCAGATGTCGACGCCAACGCTGTCGGTTGTGGCAGTGGCTAGAAATTCGCCAGTCGGTGAGAAGGCCAACGTTGTACAGTCTGCCTTCAGCTTGAATGCGTCTACAAGATGTCCTGTCGGAAGATCCCAGAGGAAAACAAGTTGTCCGGCGCAAGCTGCCACCCAACGGCCATCGTCTGAGGAGGTGAAGTCAGAAATCCTCAGGCCACGAAGTTCCCGGACTGGCGTTCTTGATGGCCACAGTTCTCGAATGAGTTTCTGCGTCACGATGTCCACGACACGAATGCATCCGTCCGCGCAAGAGAATGCCGCGAGGTCGGAGCTTCGATGAAAACGCATCGCTGTTACACCTGTCGAGTGCGACCAGTCCAGTTGGTCTCTGAGCAGTCCGTTGCTGAAATTCCAGAACTTGACCCTGCCGTCGGCACCTGCGGAGACGACGGTTTTATTCAGGCTGTCGACGGCAAGGCCTACAATGGCAGCGGTGTGCTTGCCTTGGCCACGGTAGAACTTCTTCTTTCCGTCATCCTCTTCCACTAATCCATGTCGCTCAACGTCTAGCCTCAGCTGCTTCGCTTGCATTGGGGTGAGTCGAGCCGGGAACCGCTGTCGATGGATGCCGGATTGCATGTTGTACATGTCAATGCCGCCTTTTTCAGAACCGACGACACCAAATGTCCCACAGGGCGACATGGCTACAGCAGTCACGTTCGCGCCATCTCCAGTGTCAAAAGCCCATCTGCCAGCACGCTTGCGCCCCCAGAACCACGTGCGTGCCTTTTTATCATTCTCGTGCGCTGTCAAGACGCTCTCCCAACCAGTCATTGCACTGACTTCGGCACTCGTCTGTTTGCCCTTGCCAGCTGGCTGCCATATGGGGTGTTTGCCTGGTAGTGCTCCAATGCCACCATCGCGGTTCAGGCTGCAGGCGATGCTGGTGATTGGAGGGCATTTGAGTTCATCAAATGCATCGCGGTCACCCGACAGTAGGCCTTGCTTCTTCGCCTTCTTCTGCACAGCACCTTGGCTCAGCTCAGTGGATTGCCCGTCTCTGCGGAGGGACCAACCCCACAGACTTCTGTCATTGCTGCCAGACATGAGCCACTTGCCGTCGTCTTCTGAGCCGTCAGAAGCTGTAGGGAGGAAGAGCAGTTTATTGACGGGCGCTCCATGACCCGCTCTAGCGTGAAGAGGCCGAGGGATTGGGCTGAACGGCGTCTCGTCAACGATCCACGTCCTCAGGCTGTTGTCCAAGCCACTGCTCACGATGATCGCTTGTCCGGGAAGAAACTCCACTTTGCTGGTACCACCAGCTGCCTTTGGGGAAGGATGAGCATGAGCAGCTCTAAGCACTCCGGATTTCCGTCCACCATCGTTCAGGTCCCAAAGTGTGATGTCTCCCGTAGCTGTTGATGAAGTAATCATGACTCCTGCTTTCTTGCCGTCTTCGCCCGCACCCAGGCCGTCGGTCCGGAAAGAAATAGAAGTAACAGCAACACCCGCAGTATTGTTGAGATGCATAATGGTCTGATCGGCTCGAACATCGTGAATAAGTAGCGGTCCCTTCTCATAAGCGATAGCTACCAGGGATAGCGCCGGGGTGGGCTCGATGCAAGTGACTGAACCGTATGCTGTCGATGGAGGAAGAATAGTGTACACCAACTTCCCGCTTGAGACGTTCCAGATCTCAGCGCTGCCATCCTGTCTACCTACCAAGATCTTGTTCAAGAATGTTGGCAGGGTGGAGATGCAGTCGGCAAACGGAACTGGCGAGATGCCTCGAAGAGAGGTATAAAGCTCGAGATTTGTGCTCTTCCAGACCAGTAGCTGCGTGTCGCAAACGCCTACCACCCAGCAGCCAAATATGCAGAAAGCCTTCACATTCTCTTCACAGTCTGCTGGAAACTCCAACTCCGCCTCTTTCTTCCCTCTCTTGAAGAGCCAAACACCTCTCTCCGACGCTGTTTCATCTCCTCCCCACGCGGCGAAGATCTTGTCCTTCCATGCTGCTGTCGCGGTGATGTTCTCTGGAGTCTGAGGCCTGGTGATGAAGACCAGGTTCAGGCCTCGTCGCAGGTCGTACGTCTGAAGGCTTCGTCCGATGGAGGTGGTGATCTGGAATGTCGAGTTCCCCAAGGGCACACTCGTGAATGGGACTGCGGTTGGAGACACCAAGCCCACAGTTCGGTACGGCGCAAACAGTCGAGAAGTGCCAGGAGTGTGCTGTTGTTTGGCCAGACCGTTGCTCAGCTTCTGCCTCTTCGTAATGCGCCCATCTGCGCCGTCGACGTCCATTGCAAGTCGCGACTGATTGGCAGTCTATAAACTCCACGTTCTCGCTCAAACATTTTCTCTGAACCTCAGACAATTAAGCTTTACGCTAATGCACGCCAATCTGCGGCCGATCTGTCGTCATCACGTGCGGCGGGGCACATGCAGCTCGCATGAATTCAACCACGAACTCCAATGCCACCCGCGCATCCAAGTCATTCACTTACCGGCGAGTCGCAGCGTACACATAGATTCTGGGTGGGAATTCTGCAGCGTTTTCCGTCTTCCCCTTCTCATCCCTGCCTTCACTCCAGCCCAGCATGTCCGCCTAGCAATTTCTGCCCGCCCGAGTCCTCGGCTACTGCTACTAATTTTTCTTGGTAATTGCTTCCCTCCTCTCTCGACGGGGCCGGGTTATGCGCCATGGCAACAACATCTATGGATCCTATTTCGCGCACCACCTCGCAAGAATCCGTCCGCTCCCACTCCTCTGGCCACATCCTCTCTGCCGCATCGTCAGGATCCTCGAATCGCAAAGGCCGATATGCTGAGATCGATGCCACCGTGGGAGAGACGGACCGAGCCAGTATCTCTATGCCGCCGCCGTCGACTAAGACTAGCACTCGCTACCAGAATATCTCCCGTCGCCCCTCCAGGATTTCTGAGGCCCAGCTCTTGACTCCTCCTCACCTGGCGCACTACGAAACCCAGACGGCCATGGCAGACTCGGATGAAGCTACTTCTACCCTCGACGGCGCAGGGAGGGCTGCGCCTGGCAACACACCTGCTTCCGACATTCCTAGTGGCATACGAAGATCAGAGCCAGACCTCGACTCGCATCGAATGTCTTTCTCTTCCCTCTACGGCAGCGGGAGGAGTGCGTTGGCGAGTGGCCCAAGTAGCGTTGGCGGTGGCTCTGATCAGGATGGTTTGGGTCTCTTGGACTCACAGGTCATTGTCGATACTGACGACCAAGTAGCTAGGCCTGACGCTGGCGATCGAGCCACTACCGCTACGCAAAACCTATCCGTCACCACACAAAGCCAGAATGGCGCCCTTTCGCCATCTCTCAATGCGTCATTGCGAGAACCGATTCACAACAACCATGCCGCTTCGAACGGCGCCGCCTCGCCAACACCTTCGCCCTCGTCACAGGCTACATCCCAATCAAGACCGAATCGACAAATCCGTGGCCGAACGCCTGGCAATTCGCGTCGAGTCTCCACGAGCAACCCAAATAGCGTATCGCATTCTGCAGAACGATCGACCTTCAGTTCGAATCCAAACAAGATTGGCACTATTGGGATATGTGCGCTGGATGCCAAAGCCCGAAGCAAGCCGTCTAGAAATATCTTGAATCGGCTGGTTGGTAAAGAGAACGAGTTTGATGTCATTATATTCGGCGACAAGGTCATTCTGGACGAAGATGTGGAGAACTGGCCAGTCTGCGACTTCCTCATCAGCTTCTTCAGTGATGGATTCCCGCTTGAGAAGGCCATTGCCTATGCGAAGCTGCGTCGACCGTTCTGTGTGAACGATTTACCCATGCAGACTGTTCTCTGGGATCGCCGTATGTGCTTGATGATTCTTGACAAGCTGGGCGTACCTACTCCTCCGCGCGTGGAAGTCAACCGCGATGGAGGTCCTGTCGCATTGAGTGTAGACATAGCAGCCCGGATGAAACAACTTACAGGTGTCGAGCTGATTGGATCAGACGATGGTCGAGGCGGTGGGCTTCCTGCACCCAACGATGTACATATGGAAGACGACAACGATACATTGGTCGTCGATGGCAAGAAGCTGCGCAAACCATTTGTAGAGAAGCCGACCAGTGGCGAAGACCACAACATCAACATATACTACCCCAAGTCTCAGGGAGGCGGTGGCCGAAGACTGTTCAGAAAGGTCAACAACAAGTCAAGCGAAAAGGACGAGAATCTGGTCATCCCCAGGAGTATCACCCAGACCGAGGACTCATATATTTATGAGCAGTTCTTAAAGGTCGAGAACGCAGAAGATGTCAAGGCATACACTGTTGGTCCGGACTTTTGTCACGCGGAGACTCGCAAGTCGCCTGTTGTCGATGGCGTGGTGAAGCGCAACCCCAATGGAAAGGAGATTCGTTACGTGACGAAGTTGTCCAAGGAGGAGCAGATCATGGCAGCCAAGATCGCCGGTGGCTTCGGGCAACGAGTGTGTGGGTTTGATCTCCTGCGAGTACAAGATCCCAATGGCTCTGCGCAAAGCTATGTTATTGATGTCAACGGATGGAGCTTCGTCAAAGACAACAACGAGTACTACGACAAAGCCGCCAAGATTCTTAAGGAGATGTTCATCCGCGAAAAGGGCCGCTGGGACGGACGAGCTACTCCGAGCGAGGTCGATGAAATGGAACATCGAGGAATGTTTGCGCCAACTTCAGTGCCCGAAGACAAGACGAGCGTCTTCAGAAAGCAGACTTTCAGCAAAGACAAGGACAGCATGAGCTCACATCGGAGCACACTTAAGAGCGTCTTTCGCAGTAGGAGCATATCCCAGCTACGCGACAGCGTCAACACCGCTGCGTCACGCATTGGATACCCACACTCAGCTAAGAGCCCGAGTGGAAAGTCCAGCCCGGTTGCGTCGCCGCCTCATCACACTCTAGAGCGTACGCCTTCCTTCCACAACCGGACCCAAAGTGTCCCCGTCGCAAAAGATGAAATCCTACCTCCACCAGCAGTTCCGCCGCATGTCGATCAGATAAAGGCAGAGAATGTACGACCTGCCTCTACGGACCTCGAATCGCTGAACCACTCGGAGGCACCATCTTCTGTACCAGCGCCAGCATCCAAAAGTCAATGGAAGCTCAAGGGAATGGTGGCTGTCATTCGACATGCCGATCGAACGCCAAAGCAGAAGTTCAAATTCACTTTCCACACGAAGCCCTTCATCGATTTGTTGAAAGGCCATAAAGAGGAAGTTCTGCTTGTTGGTGAAGCTGCTCTAAATGGTGTTCAACAAGCTGTGCGTCAAGCAATGGCAGAGGGTGAGGAAGACATGAACAAGTTGCGATCTTTGCAAAATGCATTGGCGAAGAAGGGTGCGTGGCCCGGCACGAAGGTGCAGATCAAACCCATGTTCAAGAAGCCGAAAGATGATGGCAAAGCTGAGAAAAGTAAGGACGGTAAGGACGAAGAGGTCAAGGAGAAGGAGAAGAAGCAATCTAGCGTCCCCATGGCGCCCGAGCATCAAGACGTTGAAGACTTGAAGAATCAACTAGATGGAACACCCAAGGCCAGCCCTAGACCATTCGCAGGGGACGAGCAGACTGGACCTGATGCAGCTCGAGCACAACACAGGAGCGACTCGATAGGCGACATCACCATGTCCCGTGCCACCGCAGCGGATCAAAATCTCGCCATTGAGAAGTTACAGCTTGTCATGAAGTGGGGAGGAGAGCCGACGCACTCGGCCAGATATCAGGCGACTGATCTCGGCGAAAACATGCGAAACGATCTGATGCTCATGAATCGCCATGTCCTCGACAATGTGTCAATCTTCACATCTTCCGAACGCCGCGTTACAACCAGTGCTCAGATATTTGCTGCCGCCTTTCTGGACGAGAAAGAACTTGACGACGACGAGATACACGTCAGAAAGGACCTGCTGGACGATTCAAACGCCGCAAAGGATGAAATGGACAGAGTCAAAAAAAAGCTCAAAGGGCTACTACGCCAAGGTCATTCACCGCCTAAGCAGTTTGCGTGGCCTACTGACGGTACCCCTGAGCCTTATCTGGTGGTGCGAAGGGTCGCTGAATTGATGAAATTCCATCGCCGTGTCATGCGACATAACTTTGCGAAGCTTCAAAACTCAGATGCTGTCAGTTCTTTGGAGCGCTTACAGAAGATTCCAGGGCCTACGAGTTTGTCAAGTGATCCCAGCCCTGTTGGTGGTAACACGCCTAGCGGAACTTCGACAGAAAGCCAAGCCTCTGCAATCCAGCCCAGATGGTGCACAGGCGAAGACGCAGAATTGTTCAAGGAGCGATGGGAGAAGCTGTTCAATGAGTTTACGGATGCGGAAAAGGTCGACCCCAGCAAGTTGAGTGAACTGTACGACACGATGAAGTTCGATGCTCTGCACAATCGCCAATTCCTGGAGTGGGTGTTCACTCCAAGTACGGCCCTTCTCGCCGAGGAAAATGAATTGGGCAAGGCACCGGGGCTCCGCCGCACAGAGAGCATGAACGCGAGAGAAGAGTTCCGAGAGACTCATGACGGGCAAATTCCAGCCAAAGGACCGAACGGAACACCAGCAGCGCCATCGAGTGGCGCTACTGGCGATATGGATACATTGCATCTCCCTCCTCCCAGACGAACTGACACCATGAGCAGTGCAGCATCTGGAAACGAGGGCAAAGACAAGGAATCGAAGGAGCGACAGACACTCTCGCAGCGGCTGGGACTCAGACGTAAGTCGGCTGATCTCATGAGCGTCGCAAGAAACGCAGTCGCTTCGGCGGATGATCCATCATCATCGTACTTCAATCTCTACAAAGGCTCCGTCCCCGCCATGCAATCAAAAGTCAAAAACGACGTCCGTCTGGAAAAGTTGAACGAACTCTACAGCCTCAGCAAAATCCTCTTCGACTTCATCGGGCCGCAAGAATACGGCATCACGGACGCGGAAAAGCTCGAAATCGGCCTCCTGACCTCCCTTCCCCTCCTCAAAGAAATCGTCAAAGACCTCGAAGAAGTCCAAGCCTCCGACGACGCCAAATCCTTCATCTACTTCACCAAGGAATCCCACATCTACACCCTGCTGAACTGCATCCTGGAAGGCGGCGTGCCCACCAAAATCGCCCGCAACGCCATCCCCGAACTCGACTACCTCTCCCAAATCTGCTTCGAACTGTACGAATCCGAAAACGCCGAGGCCGACATCGACCCTGCGAACCCAGAGTCCAACTTCAACTACTCCATCCGCATCACCATCTCCCCCGGGTGCCACACATTCGACCCGCTCGACGTCCAGCTCGACAGCAAGCACTGCATCGGGTGTGCGCCGCGCCGCAGCCTGACGCCGCATGGGGATTGGAAGGAGATTCTGGAGACGTTAAGGGCCAAGTTTCATACGGTCAGGTTGCCTAAGAGTTTCACAGCGGTGAATTTGAGTGAGCGGCACCCGGGGGAGTTTGTGCAGCAGGGGGATTTGGGGGCTGATGGGGAGAAGGAGGAGGAGGTTGTGGAGAGGGTGAGGAAGGAGAGTGAGGGGCATAGTCAGATTGCGCCGGTGCATTGATTGTGGTTGTGGGGAGATGTGAAGGTGGGATGGAATAGGAGGAGGAGTTGTGTGTATATAGATGCATTGGGTGGTTTTGAGCGTTGCTTGTTTTTTTCGTGACGATGAGGTGATGGTAATGTCGAATGAGCACTGCATTGCATGGCATGGTGGGTTTTCTGATAGCCGGTCGATCGTTTGTTGGCCAAGGTGCATGTACAAACATGAGAAGACTCTGCGCGATTGCACGCACGTACATATATATCCACTCTGGAGAAAGAGAATTCTTTCAAACGTTGCTGTCTGTTTTGAGGATGGCTTCATGTTTCGATGCATTGTTTCGGAAGTTGTATTCTTCGGCCTTCTGGTGGATGGAAGGGAATTATTTGATTTGAATGGATGGTTGCGAGCAAGGCAGGGACGGATATACTGTCACTTGGTCATTTGTCGATTGTCTGTTTACAAGTTTGGGCGTCGAAGTGTGATAGATAGGTGGGTGATATCGGTCTTCTTGGGGTGTCTGCGGAATGGAACGGCTGCTTCTTAAGTCTGTCATGTAGAGAAAACGGTCCATCAACGGGATCATCACATGCTGTCACATATTTCGCAAATGTGTCATGAAGCGGAGAGGTCTTCGTGAGGTGATGGCGGAGTGGAATGTCTACTTCCAAGTCTGTCTTGTAGAAAAAAACGATTCATCAACGGGATCATCACATGCCGTTACATATTTCGCAGATGTATCATGAGGCGCAGAAGTCAATTGGCCATTGCTACCTCCTATTGTTTCGGCTACTTGACTACCACTGTGCACATCAACAGTAAGAGCTATCCTCCCCTCCCATAGGCTCCTCGGCCACCGCCCTTCACGCTGCTAGACTTGGATCCGGGGTTTGGAGTCCAAGGGTTGCATCCCTGTCGCACATCACAGCCTCCTCGTCCGGGTTGTTCTGTGAAAAAGGCGGATCCTAGGAGGTGAGGAGTCCAGACTTGAACTTTCCCGGAAAGAGGTCCGGTGTCACGGCTTCGTGTGCAGGCATCTTCGTGGATTGGGGCTTTGGATTCTTGTAGTGGTGTGGCGCGTTCCACAAGTAATCTCTCAGGGACGTCTTGTGTAGAGACACATTGCGCGTCTTTCGCTGTTCGACTGATCAAGCTTTGGGTTTGAGGGCCAAGGAAAGGGTTTGACAGGTGGAGTCAAGAGTGTCACTCTAACGGACGTGCACCTCCCAATACGGTCATCCTCCCGCTTCGAGCATCCGAGACCGCTCAATCTCCACCTGGAGGCCTTGCACAGTCATGGGGACAGGACACTTGCCGAACTTGCGCTGCTGTTCCAGAGCGAAGCCTTCCAAGCTGCGAAGTGCGACAACCAGAAAGCCGAGTTCCTCCCGATCCAGATCGAAAACTTCCCACCACTCGACCTCGGGCATTTTCACCCCGACCTCTTTCGCGGCGAGGTAGATTGCTGCGGTGGCGATGGCTGAAGGTTGGTGGGTGAGGTAGAGGAGTTGAGGACTCAGCAAGGCACTATTGAGGTGGGCGAAAGCTGTCTTTGCCACCATCGAGCCAGCAGGAGATTGGAAAGCATCAATCGTCTGCAAATAGTTGATACACAACGTATGTGGCAGCGCGACATGCGTTTGGAAACCAACCACGCGGAGAATGTGCGCTTCGATGTCGTAAAGCCGGTTTCTGGCGATTTCATACTCGCCATCGGACAGGTGCCATGATGAGTCCAGCTTTCCTTCGATCGAGGCGGAAGAGATTTGGCCGGGTTGCAGGCTTGAGAGATACTCAAATGACGTGAGAACCTGTCTCGGACTTATTGGGTAGGGCGACGGTTTGGCTGTGAGGTACAACGCCGCAGCCGCAACATCCTGCGTCACTGAGGGTTAGGCGTGGAGTATGAGGTGGTGGAGTTTGAGACATACCTTTGAGTCGTGCTCGAGAAGGCTGCCTCCATCGGGTCCCGTCCAGAAGCGCTTGAGGATGACGATCGCTTGCGCTATTACTTCCTGTGGCAAGCGCAGTAAGATGCCAGCCGCCTGAACGAGTCGGGCGGTTTCGAACCGAACGGAGTCCTCGACGTCCTTGGGCACTCCGTCGAGCTGGCTAGCAGAGGTCTCTAATTGAAGAGATGTGGCCAGTGGGTTCAACAGGTGAGAGGCTTCTGAGATTGGCGCCATGGCGTCTTTAGTCCAAGGCTCAAAATCAACGTCGAGTGGCCGGATAAAATAGGTCTTGGTCGGTAGCGAGGTGGGTTAATGCCTCAGACTGCTACCGATATAGGTAGGCGACGTGTATACGAGGGCTGCCAATACTCAATAGGCGTCTAGGTAGCCTACGCGCGCGGTGAGGAGGACTCAGACCTGTCCTAAATCGGCACCGGGGCGCTCGATTGCCGTGCTCGAGCGCCAGGAACGGGGGGCGTTGATCGCTGCTAGGCCCAACCGACGCGCATGCGTCTCACGTGCAGCCACCGTCGAAGGCTGCAACAGGCAGATCTGTGGCCCGAGTGGGTGTTGAGAAAGAGGGAATTGGCAGTGTTTGGCTGGAAACGATGGTTGTCGCAGGCGTGCAGCCGCCCGACATTCTTTTTAGGTCTGCGCTAACGTCGGACCGTCCCGCTGAGGCTCGTGCTGATCCTCGACTGCACTTCTCAGGGCAAAAACACTGCGCTCGTGAAACAGGCTACGTCTCAACCCATCAGCGACCCCGAAGACGTGCATCTCGGCCCTCGACGACGAAATGAACCAGGACTCCCTCCGCACGCCTGCAGCGCCTGCATGCACCGCTGCTGCGGGCCACCATTTGCTCGCCCACCGCTGTGACCGGGTTTGAGGGCCTCCGCAGGATCGTGATGGGGACTTCACCTCGCCTCCGAAACAACCCCACCGAGACTACTGCTGTATCGGACAGCGTCTAGCAGCCCGATTGACGCTGAGAGCAGGAGACACTACTCTGTAGAGTAGGAAGGTCATGTATATAAGCACTCGTTCAGGTCCAAGTCCGCTCCCTCTGTCACCGCCACTGCTAGAGTCTTTTCCCTGCTACGTCTTGTTGCATTGCATCGTCCACTCGTTGTGCTCAGTGAGCATCGTTATTGTTGTCCATTCTTTCCAGTCTTGACGACTGCACATTCTTTTCTCGGGACACGGGTGTCCAGCATAGACATACTTCCCCATCCCTCCCAACTCTGAGCAACCAAGCTCCCAAACAAGCTCTTCAGCATGAAGTATCTTTCTTCCGTTCTGGCTGCGGCCGGCATGGTTGGCTTGTCCAACGCAAAGCCAAAGCTCGATCCTCGCCAGGCTGATCCGTCTACCTGTGCCTGCACGCCTGCTGGGACTGGGGGTGTTACCCACATCTCTACGTACACATACACATCGACCGCCACCATCACGCAAACGGAGACACAAACCGAGACTGCCATTTACAGCTCTGGGACTCTGATCTCTCCAACTCAGTCCAATGGTGGAAGTCCACCAGGCTACGGGGGTGGCAGCAGTGTGACCGGCGCTGCTTCGAGCACTGGTACTGCGTTCACTCTTCCTGGTCAATCTGGATCCTACAGCTACTCTGTCGTTACCATTACCGTCACTCAGCCCGGTGGTTCTCCCTCTTTGTCGACCTCATCGACTCTTGTTCCTGCAACACCGACCGAGGTCAGCCAAACTGGAAGCAACAGCCCTCCTGCATACAGCCCTTCTGTGGTTACGATCACCATCACGAATGGTAATGGAGAGACGACTGTCATCTCTTCAAATACAGAAGTGCCAATCAAGTCGACTGGCGTCCCGTACTACCCCATTCCCGGCAACAACTCGGCGCCCATTGGCACGGGTACCGGCACGGGCATCCCCTATCCTCTGCCATCGAGCTCGTCTGAGGTCAGCCCGACCACTACGGGCCCAGCTCCACCGCCATATGGAGGATCGAGCGGTGCATCCTCTATCGTGCCTGTAGGAACATCGACCGGTGTCCCTTACCCGATCTCCTCGCCCAGCGGTGGCTCGCCGCCTTACCCAACCGGTTCGGCGCCCGGTTACAGCTCGAGCGGGACTGAAGTGTCACCTGGCTCAACTGCCAGCCTACCATCCAGCCCACCGCCTGGCTACAGCGTCACCGACATTACGACAATCTACACAACGACTTGCCCGGCGAGCAGCGTCATTACCTCGGGCAGCACAACTTTGACCACTACGTACAGCTACTCGACTGTGTCGACGGTCACCTCAACAATCCAGTCGACCGTGACTGTGTCGACCCCAGGCGCGACTAGCGTTGGTCCGACTGGGTCGACCCCGCCAGGTCAGTGAAATATGAAGCCTTGAACATGGCCACGAGCTAACATGCTATGTAGGTACTGCTCCGCCATACGGAACATCCTCTGCGTTCAACAGCACCGCGGTCGGACCAACTGGCACAAGCCTCACCAGCCCAACAATCATTACATACTCGACGTCGACAATCTACTCGACTACCGAGCTTACGATCACTTCTTGTGCTGAGACTGTGACTGACTGCCCAGCCAGCAGCACGATCGTCACTACATCTTCCGTCGCTATCGGCACCACTCTCTGCACTCTGACGCAAACAGCTGGTGTTCCACCATCATCCTCTGCTTCTGCTCCAATTGGCACCGGCGTGCCAGTTCCACCTGCTGGTTCGACGTCCGTTCCCCCATACCCTTACTCGAGCTTGAGCAGCACGGCAGTTGGACCTACCGGTACGGGTCCCGCACCGCCACCTTACTCTATCCCCGGCACTGGAGTATCTTCGAGCACTGTGGTCGGCCCCACGGGTACATCCTCGGTCCCAACCTACCCTATCTCGTTGCCAAGTTCGACCCCATCGACGTCAAGCACTGAAGCTGGACCGACAGGATCATCTTCTGTGTCGATCCCGGCCTATCCGAGCTCTTCTTCGAGCTCGACTGAAGGCTCGCCAACGGGTTCTGGCCCTGCACCACCGCCATACTCCATCCCATCATCCACAGGACCAAACAGCACTGCGGTCGGTCCTACCGGCGGCACTCGTCCTCCATTCTCTTACTCCCCTTCGTCGGGAACTGCCCCTATCGGCACTGCACCAACTAGCTCGTACCCGATCGGTACCGCACCGCCGTACTCGTACAGCCCTTCATCTAGCTCAAGCAGCACTGAAGGGTCGCCAACTCAGAGCTCCTCCAGCGGCGTTTCGCCCCCAGGGTATAGCTCGCCGTCGTCTTCAAGCACTGAGGCATCGCCAACGCAGAGCACATCGACTGGTGTCTCGCCTCCAGGATATGGTTCTCCTTCGTCTTCCAGCACTGAAGGCTCGCCAACTCAGAGCAGCCCGACAGCGCCTGGCTATGGTTCACCTTCGTCTTCCAGCACTGAGGGCTCGCCAACCGAGACTGCTCCAACCGCTCCTGGCTATGGCTCGCCATCCTCGTCTAGCACCGAGGGATCACCAACCGAGACTGCGCCAACAGCGCCTGGCTACGGATCTCCATCATCAAGCACTGAAGGTTCGCCGACTACAACAGCGCCAACTGCACCTGGCTACGGCTCGCCTTCCTCCTCAAGCACTGAAGGATCACCAACCGAGAGCAGCCCCAGTGCGCCTGGATATGGTTCGCCATCATCAAGCAGCACGGAGGGATCGCCCGTCGAGAGTACATCATCGACCAGCGCACCAGCTCCTACAGGATACGGCTACCCAAGCTCGAGCAGCTCGACCGAGGGAAGTCCCATAACCGACACGACGTCGACGTCTGCCACTGCTCCAGGCTACGGCGCACCAACCAGCAGCTCTGAGGCAGCCCCAACAGCCCCAGGCTATGGCCAGACCTCTGTTAGCAGCACCGTGATCTCGCCCACAGCCTCCTCGACCGCATCCATTCCCGGATACGGCTCTCCATCCAGCAGCGGAACCGAGATTTCTCCTGCTCAGACAACCGCCCCCACGGCTCCAGGCTACGTGTCCCAACCTCCAGCCCCATCCTGCACCCTCGCCCCGTCCTACGGCTCCGCCCTTTCAGAAGTCAGCGCAAACCTCCCGAGCGGCTCCCTCAACAAAGTCATCCCCAAGGACTCCGTCAACTCCGTCGTCGGCGGCCTCATGGGTGAACTCAACGGCAAGCTCGGAGGCAGCGCTCAACTGAACGGCGCCTTGCCCACCGCCCTCCCATCCTCCTACACCGACGCCAACGGCGAGACGAAGCCCCTCGACTACGAAGGCGGCATGACCCTCGGCAACATCGTCGACTGGTGCGCCTACCTCGCCGTCAAGTCGTACGGCGACGCAGGCGCAGTCGTCAAGGGTAGCGCGAGCGGGAGTGCGAGCGGCAACCTAGACGGAAGTGTCTCCTTCGGCATCAGCATGGGCGGTGGTATGTCCGGCAACTTCGGCGTTGGCAAACGCGCCCATGCTCGTGCCCTCCGCGTTTAAAAACTTGTGACTTTTGCACTTTACCGGCCACCGGGGACCGTGGCTGGCTGCGGATCCTTTCAGTTGGTCCGAGACCCAATACCACATATCATATGAAAAATGAAAACATGAGCAAGACTGAGATGACATTCATTGAGAAAGGCGTTCTTTGAATTTGAGAGATTGAGGGGTGTTGATATGGATGGACAAAGGGAGAAAGGGAGAGCTTTTCACATATTGTATGAATAGATATGACTTGCCTCACTCGCACAGAGGAGGACGGAAATATGGGATATGGATGGATATCAACAGATAGAAATGAGAAATTGGATCTTTTGATGGCAATAAACATCCCCTACATCCTCCCTAGACTCCAGGCTTTGCCTTTGCCCTTCTGGGGAGGAATCGATATCCTTCAACGTTTGGAGTGAAGACACACAGACTTTGACCTTCTTGATGCTTCATCCAAGGGAGAGCGTACGATGGGTGTCAAATCGTTGTACATTGCCCATATTTGCCTGGCGTCAACCACCTGCTTAAGCCACCGAGCGGACCCGCCGCTGTCGAAATCTCTTTCTTCTGCGTCTTCGATGGCAGCAGTTGATGTCAATCCATGAATAGACCGATTCTGATGACGGCATTCCACGATTTTCAATCGTTGGGCATGTTCATCGCTGGGAGCTTTCACTCGCCGACGAGGCCTCAGCCTGATCGCGCTCCTGAGCATTATCCTCGAGAAAGAGTATGTTGCTTGTTGCTACACGCTTAATACCTTCGAGGGTGCTTTGTACGATCCTCCAGTAGCCTCTCGTATACTTCCTGGCTGCTTTGTCACGGTACTCCGAACAAAATATCGATATGACTGCCCTCTGCCGATCTGGCTATATCACTGCCCCTGGTCTACTGGACTCTACTACGAGCCCCCAAATCGTTTCTCCATCATCACTGGCATCTTCTCCATCGACTCGAGTACCAGAGCCACCGCCGTATTATCGTCGTCGCCGGCAAAACATCGGTTCGGCCGAAACTTCACCATATCGTCCCTGGGTCGTTCCTGGACCAAAAGACATCCCCTTTGAACCTACAGCAGTGCAAGAAGGTCAAAAAAGAGGACATTGGACGGGTAGGGGATCGACTAGTGATTTAATTAATTTCCCGGAAACAGAGAGCGATGTGGAGGGATAGCTTACACCCTAGACCTCCCGCAGCTTCAGTCAGGCTAGTCGCAATAACGGACAGCTGGATCTTGCAAAGCGGGCGCTCTACCACTGAGCTACACGCCCTTTTTTCCCGGATGGAGTAGCTACCAGGGTCGTAGAGACTCGAAAGCTGATTGGGTGATGTGAGAAGAGCTTTTGAAATATGTCAACGCTCATCCGTTTGTTGCTCGTTTGAAAGTGGAGCAAAGACGACTGCCGCATCTTCAAACAGGGCTCTTGCGATTGTCGACGGTCTGATATTCCAATGAGCCATTCTATCTCTTCAATGGCTATCTCGGCTGCGGCTGTTGGAGAATGTGAAGTCAAAATCCCCGGCTTGGCATTGAGACTCCACCTCCTCCAGTGCCCTCAACATGTCCTCCTCTTCCTCGAACGATGGATACGAGCGAGAGAATGCTGATGTTGTCCAACAGAACGGCCATACATCATCTGAAGACCAGTGTACGTGCCCGACGGGAAGGCTGAGAGCTGAGGGAACGTTCCGAGGGCATCTCGAATAAAGGGAACGTTGGCATTCCGCCATGACCGCACACGAACATACACCTCGCTGCATCAAGACCTATGTTAGGGCCTCGCGAATGCCTGTCTCATCCCAAGTTCGCCGGCGATAGTCGATACTGCGAAAGGAGAACCTTTGATCATGAAGCGAAATGGGAAGCGAACGAAGCCCGCGAGACTAGACCCGATATTCGAACTGGTAGAGGAACCGTGAAATCGTTCAAAGAACTACAAGAGCAGAAGGGCATCAACCAACTCCGTGGTCAGTACAGATGGTTTGATAATGCCAAGATGAAGGCAGGTCGGAGTAGAAGGGGACATCACAACGAAGAGCTTCACTCAGTACATACCAACGAACTGTGGGTCAATCACACATATGTGAGACCCTACTATATCAAGTGGAAGTTATCAGAAAAACGGACGAAAGTACTTGTGTACTCAAGCCTTGCATGCTGGATGTTTGCTCCGGCTGGCTACGTTAGCGCACCTTTTCGTTGGACTCGTATGTCACGGACCTCAACGCGTTTGCTGCGCAAAGACATTTACCGCAATCAGAGGTGATCGAGGTCCTGAGCAGCCACTTCTGGGCTTTTCTACCCTCACTTCTCCTGACTGTCGATACTAAATTTGTCATGAGCTCCCTTCATACAGCTTGTCAAGAGTATGCCAACGTCTGGTAGGGAAGACCTGAACACACTGCCTCTCGAAAGCATCCACAGGAATTCCGACGTGCCGGGACCTGAATGATTCGAAGTCCTCCGTGCTTTGCTGCTTCCACGAGTGGTCTTTGAGCACTGGGTCGGCATGATATCCTTTGCCACCAGCGTTGTCGAACGGGACGTCACTCGATCTTTTCGATCGCAGCCTTGCGATGGGCCACTTCCAGCCGGAAGACCAAGCCAAGTGCAGTCAGCGGCAATGCACCTGCCACATACATGCAAATCCCAGGATCAACCATAAGCTACACGGAGCGTTCATCTCCCACGTGGAGAAACACCATGCTGAAAAAGGTTGCAACGAAAGTGGCAGGCAGAAATATCATCGTCACGGCTGCGATGCCACGCATGAGCTCGCTATCCTTCTTCATCGCACTCGCAATCTCACTGTTGAGCCGCGGCAGGATCAACGAGCGGGTCGCATCGAGCTGTATCCTGACCCGCTCGCGGAGATGCTGGATCTGGTTATGCTGGCTCTGGGCGACCTCGATCCTATACACATATGCGTCTCGCACAGCGTCTAGGCATTTAGTCGGTTGGTCCGGGTTCGATCGCTTACGCAGCGCAGCACACAAGTCATCGTATCGATCCAAGTGCGCAATCATCGCACGGATGGTAGCTCCGATCAAGGTCGACCTCCAGGAGACGTCGCGCAATCCATCGAGCACCACGTAGCCGTCTTTGTTGAAGAACGCCAACTCTCGAGGAGGCAAGGCTCGACGCCAGGCACTCGGAGACCACTGAGACCAGTCTTGCTCTCGAGATCTTGAACGTCGAAGTCCCAGTTGCATCTTGCCCTCTCGACGAGGTCGTACTCGGTTGATATTAGCTCATACAAAGCATCGAAGATGGTGGCCTTCGGTTTCCTCTCATACAGCGACTGCATTTTCTCCAGGCAATTCGTAACCAAGCCGACTACCAGGATAAAGGTATCTCCGGTGACGAAATCATGCCGTGCGTACACTGCGTTTTCATGATCCAGCCAACCACCGATCTTATACGCAACATGGAACACAGTTGCGTCGACGCCGCCGTTTCCTGGAGTCTCGGCTTGTGACAGGGCTTGTAAAGTCCCGCCACTAATGTCGTGCATCAACTCGACGAAGCCAGGCAAGACTTCAAAGTGTTCCAAGACCTTCAACCATATGGCAGAGTCCAACGCAATCGCACTAGCTGTCCCTCGGGGGACATAAATTCGGGTCTGCCGGACGTATATCACTGTTGTCGATCCGCGGGGTACTGTTTTTCCGATTGCGGTCCTGATTTCACTCGTGCTCTCGAGTGTTTCATGCGCCAGACATTCGCCATGGTGTATTACCAAGCGTGAAAGCCTACTTGGTAAACGGTAGTCGGCGTACTCGGCGTCCTGGGTCAGGAGGTGACGGATCCTGTCTGGACGCGATGTGCCTGGATCAAAGAAGCGACATCTCAGGCCAGGCGTTCTGTGGCATGGTTGACATCAATGAATTAGGCTGTGAACTGCTTGTTGGAGATATTTTGTCACAGATCGGCATGTGAAGGCACTTGAATATGACAGAAGCTCGATGGCTGCAGGATGAAACGTACGTCTGAACACCTGTATATGAGTTGATTACACCTACTTAGGAGAAGCAGATGATCATCCCTGCTACTCATATCTGAGGAAAAGCGCACTGCGGTGACTGAACGGGGCAAAAGGGCAACAGTACGGACTCCTTCAGCGCACGGGGTGCGGCACGCCTTCTCGATCGGACACATGGATACGTGAAAGCGTCCTGTCTTCTGAGACTTGTACTGCACGTTCTGTACTACAATAACTCTAAAACAGCATCCAAGGCGACGAAACTCACACTATTCGAAGGTGAGGCGACAGGCGAACCGCTGCGTCATGGCAGGGCGGCCTCTCCTAAATCCAGGACTCGGGAGGTTCCTGCGGCAAACGCATTGAATGCGAACGGCAAGGAACTGTGAAGGCCCCCTTCTGCTGTTGCGCTAATGCAGATCAATAACTATCGGTGGCATGACAGGCCCCCTGTTTTCAACTGGGTGCATCGGACTTGCAAACCCTCTCTATGGCCGGATATGTGTACTTGGTAAACCTGCGCTACAACTTGATCGAGCGCATCAGACGGTGCTGCGCACCAGACAAGCCGGGGGCGCGCCAATCATGACATCCCATGACTGGCGAGCGATTCGGGACTCGAACAAGGCCATCATCGACCTGCGAGTCACCACCATTCGTTCAAAAACACCTGCAGCAACCTCGGCCGCTCAGGGTGAGAAGAAGCCGGAGGCGGAGAAAGCCAAAAATCAGCCATCCCCTACAATCGTACAGTCAGACGGCGACAACAAGGACAAGTACGACCCCAAGGGCCTGCACGAGCTTCGAAAACTCTATGACGAACGCGACCTAGGAAGCGAGGGCGATGCGGAACAACTTCGCTGGCGGCTACCTGTTGTAGTCGCTCCGGCCAAGATCAGACTCTGAATTCCAATTCAGGTACCTCGCTGAAGCCTTGAGGATCCTTCGCCATGAGCTGCGGACCGACGACCCAGCATCAATCATTTACACCATGCCGCCTCGCAAGAGCATAAATCCGGCCAATCCTCGAGCTCGCAGCCCAAGAGAGCGCCACAAGCCACATCAGACCTGTTTGGCATGTAGCATTCACATGTCATGGCATGCAGCTAAATTCGATTGACATGTGAATGCTAACTAAACTTAAATACCGCTAGCAACAGAACCTGATCTAGACTGCACCAACCAACATCAGCCGAGAAGTTAACCCACCGGCATCAACGAAGCCGCACTCGACATCAAGCAGCATGTCGCCGGGCCCACGCCGGTCACCATCCAAGATTTAACGTAGAGGAGACGATGAGCGACAAGCGCGACTTAAGCGCGACATAGCGCTTGACTGAGCATATTTGGTTCACCTGCGTTATGTAAAGAGCGTCAAACCCCAAGGGAGGCGCCTGACCCTCTCTCAAGCGCTTCAAGGTTCCAGGTGAGTCTCACACACTTGACACAGCGCGTACTACTTCGACACGGAGCACAGGTGTAGCTTCTCCAGGTCCTAAGATGCGGCGTAAAGCGAAAGATCCTCACCTGTCAAAGCGACACCGCTGTGCTTCTGTGGCAGCCTTGTTGATGGAGAGCCTCACCTGCAGAAACGCTCAACTCAGGCGCTGATGTAGCCCTCAAATTTCACAGTGGGATTGTACCGGCCTGAGAACATTCCTACTCTCCCTTCTCCGCTTGACATCTCACTTCTGCGCTGAGGGCACTTGACCCCTGAGAAAAGCGGGCTGTCACCTCTCTTGCGGCCTCCGCTTGTTCCGCTACCTACATGCAGGAAGTGCTCCCTCCACCATGAGGCCTAGATCTACTTGCTGGTTCGCTGCCAGATCTCATCCTAGCGATTTGCCGGGATGCTTGATCTAGATCTCACCCTGTTGGAAAGGATAGCTATCCCGGACACTCTGGAGGATCACACCACTGCCCGCTACTTGGCATGATTTTGACTTCACTCTCTGGCTGGTATTGACGAGCGATCATCAAATGCTCTTGCACTACCGACTCCCGTGAGTGGAAGTTATTGCAATGGCGAGGGTTGCGGTGGTTGATGTTGGCGGTCATTTGACACAGCACCGACACAAGATGGCGTGTAGCCGGTGCTCAGTATAGGTTCCGTCCAGGCATGCCCGAGAGAAGCAGAACACTGCAATCCTGGAGCTTCACCACCACTTCGAGCTCTTATAGCCGTCATGCATTCTTCTTCGCATTGGGGTCAAGCAGGCAAGATCAACTTGGCAGAGACACCACTCTCGAACTCAATCATCTTCAAACGATCCATGGAACGATTGACTGACAAATAGCTCGAATAACATATCAACACAGCCCAGGCGCAAGCCCTCAGATACCTCCTGATCTCCTTTCACGCCCCAGCACTAAAAAACACACATCTCACCGTTCCACAACAAAATGCACCACTTCCAGACCCTCCTCGCAATCCTGTCCCTCCTAAATCTCACCACCTGCCAAAGCCTCGTGGAGCTCATCCAATCTCAGCCCGACCTCACCACCCTCCTCACCGCCCTCAACGCCGTCCCGCGCTTCACAAACCACCTTGCCTCTCTCCACGACATCACAATCCTCGCCCCCACAAACGCCGCCTTCGCAAAAGTCCCACCTCGCTCTCCCTTGGGAGAAGCACTCGCCCAAGCTGCGCTCGCCACGCCAGAGAATCCTGCGCCGGGGCCGGTGCGAGCGGGGATTCGAGCGCTGCTTGCTTATCATGTTTTGAAGGGGGTGTATCCTGCTTCTAGTGCGGGAGAGACGCCGGTGTTCGTGCCGACGGTGTTGGATAGTTCGTTTGAGGTTGGAGGGGTGAGCGTGGCGAATGTGAGCGGTGGGCAGAATGTGGGTGTCAAGGCGGACGGTGGGGGAGTCGAGATCATCTCGGGTGGACTGGCGATGTCGAGGGTTGTGCAGGCGGTATGTTTGTCCGTTTGAGTGGTGGTGAGGGGTTGGGAGACGCTGATGGGAGATCCTGTGCAGGATATCCAGGCGCCGAATAATGTCATCGTTCATAGGATCGATACGCTGCTTCAGCTTCCTGTTAATGTCACGACGACCGGCTCCGCTACGGGGAACACGGCCATGGTCGACGCTTTGAAGCAGACTGGTCTGGATGATACGTTAGACGCGGTTGCCGACTTGACGGTCTTCATTCCGAACAACCAGGCCTTCGAGGCAGCGCAGTCGGTCATCCAAGGGGCTGACGTGCAGACTCTTGTTAAAGTCCTGTCGTACCATGCTGTGGTTGGAGATGTGCTGTTCTCGAGTGAACTGTGTAGGGGGAAGTTGAAGACTGTCGAAGGGAGCAAAGTGAAAGTTACCGTGTCTGGTGACGGTGTCTTTGTGGATAGCGCAAGGGTGGTGGTCCCGGATATCATTCTGTCGGATAGAGTAGGTCATTTTATCGATGGGTGAGTTAGGTCTCCTTTTCTAGAGACACGTCTATGTCATGGAGTGAAAACTGATTGGATCGCAGGATTTTGATGCCTAGTGATTGATGAGCAGAGGCGATCGATGGGAAAGGGGAGCCCTCTGACCCTCTCATGATGTACTCGTAATGATAATTATCTGCCACTGTAATGAAATAATGCTGTTCTGGCGCCGACATATGTTTCAAGCGAGCAAAAACAAAGAGTTCAACCCACATTCCAAACCACGTGTGCGGTCTCTTATGTCTTAGTCTAGGATGGGTGTTGGTAAATCAAGTTTTTCCCTGAGATACTGGCAAGACATTAGGAATGTATTTCGGTTCAATATTCCGGCTCGCGCAAGTGGACTGCTGCTCGTTCCTAACACTGTGTCGAACATGTGACCAGTGTAACGATTTCTTTCCCTCCTGGAGCAACCGGACACGTACAAAGAAAGTAGGTACAAACAAAGAACTTGTCCGCCGCAGCGGCATGTAAGACCTTCTCAATAGGCACACAATTCGCTTTTGAACAGCTTGGGTGTTATTCTCAATCGTCTAGCATTCGAAACTTCATCCAGCAGCATGGAGGCCGACCTTGACGATGGGAGGCGGCCAAGACGCCGTCCTAGGAGCATTGTGTTTTTCGACCATGGAGAGCCCTCGCGAGGGGAGAAAAAGCTGGAAGCTGCCGACAAAATACGCCCATGGCCTCGGTGGCACGTCAACTGGCCTAGATTCCACTGGATAAAATATTTCCGAATCGTTAGATTCGTGCTTCAAGCCATAGTCTTATGGTTCACCGTCTTGACCCTGGGCGGTCTCCTTTTGCGAGGCCTTGGTTCCTTCTGCAGGCACACGCCTCTCAGTCCGGCAATCTGCAACAGTCAATGGATCACATCGCAAGAACCGGTGCTTGCCAAATATAGCCCGGGCAAGACACCGACGACGAAGCCACTCCAAGAACTCAGCAAGCTCAACGAAATCTCACCTTCTCTCCAAACCCTCGGCCTGGTCATGAACCTCGTCAACACCAACCTGTCATCATCCTACGAAGAACTCTACGCTTTCTCAGACATCTTCCAGCTCTCCAAAGTCGATCTCGAAAACCTCGCCGTCGCCACTCATCACACGCAGGATATCGTGGAGCAATTCAGCAACGAGGAGTATTTCTACCGATCAAGCAGCTTGCTGTGGAACCAGAATGGCATCAATGTGCTAGGAACCGGAGTGGACGTATTCCGAGAAGCCCTCAATGACAGTTCCACGTGGACTCTGGCGTTCTCCGAGCACGCTCTTCACAGAGTCCCGTACGCCGGCGGATGGAGCCTTTCGAGGAATCTCCTGAAGGAATACTTTTACTTTGTGGGTGAGCAGGAGCTGGCGGTCAGAGAGCTGGTCGTCCAGGCGACAGAGGTCGATTTTGTGCTAGGAGGTCTTCTTGGGCTCTTCGGACAGCTTGAAAGGAAGCTCGAGCGTGTCGTGGAAGAGAGAGGGCGAGTTTGTGGGAACGAGATCTCGGAGGACAAGGGCAAGCTGTGCGTGCTGGATCAGTCTCATCAGCTCCGAGCAGCCACAAGCATGCGGGCGGCCGTGCAATGGTCACAGGATGTCGTCAAAGTCGCCGAAGCACATTACAAGAACCTGCTTTCTGAGCTCAGCAGTACGTTAGAGGTCTTGCGCTCTGATATGAGAGGGTATCGCTCGCGGTTCCCTTCAAAGAGCGTGCTTTCGTTGCGGCATTTGAACGAGACACTTGTCACGGAACGGAAGCAGATCGATGCGTTTGTTCAGACGGCGGAGAAGGCTGAGGAGGTCCTTGACAGCTTCGGGGACGGATTTCTCGGTGGTGACGAAGAGGGAGATGTTGCTTGGCCGCAGCAATTGAAAGATGCCGTCGCGAAGAGGCAGCTGCAGTGGTGGTAGATAGTGTAGGATCGATCCTTTCGCAATCATGTCAGTCGTACAAGGCCAATTTAGCGATACACTCCTGATTTCAATCAAATGCGGTCACCGACAATGTTTCCACACTCTGCACAAGAGCACCACGTGCGTGGACAGCCACATGATACTCGCCTGATGCAGACAACGCGGAGCGGTCTGTCATCGAGCAAAGTTGCTGCAGGTCCCTGCAAGACGTGCGTGCATCGGCTCTTGTCGACAGCCCCTATCCGATAGTCCAGCGCCAATCAAACCCAGCGAAACTCTCGAGCTTTTCTGGAAAGCATCTAGATCTGCATATCTCGTCATCGCTAGTGCATGTTTCGCAAGCATCGAGAGCTACACATTTTCGTTGCCACACAACTTGTTTATCAACGAAGCTTGGGGAAAACTGCCCTTCCTCCCCATTCCTCTTCCCTCCGAGTGAGGGCACGCTTATCCAGACCAGCCATGCTGTCCGTCGGAGATTGCGGGCGCTGGACGTACGAGTTTTAAGCGGTGTCTATGACGGCCACACTCGTATGCCACCTTGTCTTTGTCTACCACCTCTTTGACTACACCATGTGGCGGTGATTTTTTGCCGTTAGGCCACACTCCACCCAAACTCTCGACCTACTCATCCTACTTGCAAAACCCCCGATCGCGCTATCCGGGTTAGACGACCCTTGCGACAGACCGAACTCGGGCGGGCGTCGTGCGTTTCTAATCCTAGAACTCCTCTCTGTCTGTATACATCCTCATCGCAACGACGCAGCACATGTGTCACTCTGGCATCATGGCCGCCCACGAAGAAAACCAAAGGGTCCCCCTCTCCGACGTGCTCCCTCCCCTCGTCTTTGGAACCGCGACATTCAACTACCAATACAACCCGGACCCTTACGAACTCGACACCACCGGCCTCGTGAAGAAGGCGCTCGAGTTTGGGATCCGCGCCTTCGATACCTCACCCTATTACGGCCCTTCCGAAGAAATTCTAGGCGCCGCGCTCGACACCGACTTCGTGCACGAAAACTTCCCCCGCGACGGATTCTTCCTCATCACCAAGTGCGGTCGCGTCGCTTCGGACGAGTTTGACTATTCGAAAGAATGGATCTACGGCAGTATCCAGCGAAGTCTGGAGCGGCTGAAGACCGCGTATCTGGACTTGGTGTACTGTCACGATGTGGAGTTTGTGTCGGAGGATGAAGTTATGGAAGCGATACGGGAGTTGAGGAGGATAAGAGATGAGGAAGGGACGATTCGGTATATCGGCATTTCTGGATACCCGCTGCCTGTCTTGTGCTCGATCGCCAAGCGGGTCTTGCGCGAGACGGGTGAACCACTCGACGCTGTCATGTCGTATGCCAACTTCACCCTCCAGAATCAACTCCTCGCGTCGACGGGGATACACGAGTTGAAGGAGGCCGGCGTTGACGTCGTGCCGAATGCGTCGCCGCTTGGAATGGGTTTATTGAGAAGAGAGGGTGTGCCTGTTGGAAGTATGGGCAACTGGCATCCTTCCAGTAATGAATTACGCACTGCAGTGAAGCGCGCGAGCGACTTTTGCGATCGACACGACGAGAAATTGGAAGTCATCGCTATCCGATACGCTTTGGAGAGCTGGCTCACCATAGGCGCATCGGTTGGCTCTCGCGGCGATCCAGCATCTGGCGTTCCCTGGAAACGGGAGTCCAACATGCAAGTCGGTGGCAGGAGGTTAGGCGTCAGTGTGATGGGTGTCAGCAAAGCCAGCGAACTCGAGAAGACAATGCAAGTATGGAGGAGTATCCTCGACGGACTGGAGAACGGTGCAGAGACCGCACGCCTGGCGGGTCGCTGGAAACGCGACCACGAATGGAGTCTTAACCGTCAAAAGGCGATTCAAATATTGGCGGACGGCATCCAGGAGCACTTGGACGAGTATTTGGACTTTGTTTGGGAATCGCCGCCCAAGAACTTTATCAACAAGCGCGCAAAGCAGCAGAACGGTCAACGACCCGAAGAGGCGCCTTGGATGACCCCGGCTGCCAGTCCGCAGCCCGACGAGATACCCTATCCAGATTCGACGCTTCCGCTGCGATGATGAATGGTGGATGGGTTGGCGTTGGGCTGGCGGGGCATGTGCTCGATATGTCGACGCCCAACCAAGGCGCTCAATTTCACATACTTGGAAAATAGATATTGGAGATGAGACAGCGCTCATCTGCGGTGATATAATAGGCAGCTAGAATAGAGGTCGAAACATGAGACTGCGCGTCATGCGCGGGACTGGAGGGATCATCGCTCCATGATAGCCTTGCCTGTGCGTTTCTTCGCCGTCTTCTATTCTAGCCTTATTGTGGTGTCTCACATGTGAATGACCTAGAATCGACATGCCTGCTGGTGAGGAGTATATGTATTTCGCTGGTGGAGCAAGTGGTCCGGCGGTGATTGGGCGTGAGAAAGGCTGACGTCAAACTGGCCGCAAGAGCAGGTCAAAGGCCGTCAAGCCTGTTGCTGCTGCTTGCTCCGCTGCGTACCGAGCTTACTCCACGACGACGACGTACGCTCCGGATTTGCTGCCGCCGTCTGGTTGTTGCGCCCATTTTCCATGTATCCATACAACTGAACACACACAGCCAGGATGTCCATCAGACCTGGCGCGGGATCTGAGATTCACTTGGCTCGTCGCCGCCGCTGAGCCCTTGCCCTGTCCTATCCTGTCCGACCATCCCACTTCCGCTCCTCTCCTCCGCGGCCGACCACTGCCCAGGCAGTTTGTCGCCCTCTCACGTGGCGCACGAGAGCAGGGAATACCTTCAGCTGTGCTGGGTGGAGCTCTCTGTCTGACTGCGGGCAAACGCATCGCTGCCATCATCGCCTGCCAAGCTGTCTCACCAGCACGCGATCGCATCGCATCTCTCACATGCTACCGCAAACATCCTCCTCCATATACCACTCGTCAACTACCGCCTCCGATCTGGCGTTGAGCTAGGGCCGGTCACACTTCTTCCATCATGGGGAACAGCTCTTCAAAGGACGAACGCAGGGCTGCGCAGTCCAGACATGGCCATGGACATGCCACTACCGCGGAACTATCCCCCACGCAGGCACAAGCACCCAACGAACGACTAGCGGGTCGGATATACGCTTCTCGAAATGGTAGTGCCAGAGGGAGCAGGCACGACCTGTCATTCTTACATCTGGGGAGAGGGGATCGAGAGAATGAGATTGCAGCGCCGGAAAGGCCGCGAGAAACAAAGCAAGAACGAGAGGCGCGGCGGGCAGAGAGAGAACGACAGGCCCGATTGAAAGAGCGTGAGAGGAGTATGCGGGAAGAGCATGTGGATGGCGGATATCTGGTGACGCTGGGGGTGTATACCGGGGCAGAGGACTTCAGCAAACCAATCGTGCGGCAGCTCCAGATCGAGAGAAGGCTGGCTCCGTTTTGGAAAGGGTTGGAAGACCACTCCGAGTCCTGGACGGAGGCACAACTTGTTGCTGCTGCGAGAGGGCTGCCCATACCCGAACCTGATGCGGTCCCGCCAGATATGGCTCGTACAGGCTCGCAGGCCTCCTCCAACCCTCGTGCATCCGACATCAACGTCAACAGCCTGACTGTGCCGATCACGTCTAGGTCACAATCGTATCAGTCAGACAGATCGGCCAACCTCTCCGCGTCACATCCAGCCTTCTCCTCAAACTCCGGCCCATCATCACCTACAAGTCCGACTTCAAACAACCCGCTCTTTCGAGGTCGCGCGAAGACACTGGCATCGACCTTGATTGGGAAGAGTCAATCACCTGAACTCACACCTCAAGAGATCCGCCTCCCCAACGAGCCGAACGTCAACGGCCAGCCACTGGAAGCCTACTTGTACAAAGATGCATCTGAATGTCCCATCTGCTTCATGTACTATCCACCTTACCTCAACAAGACTCGATGTTGCGACCAACCCATCTGTTCAGAATGCTTCGTACAGATCAAACGACCCGACCCACATCCACCAGAGCACGAACAACCCGGCCAGCCACGACCACCGGAGGAGGAGGCCGAAATGCTGGTATCCGAGGTTGCAGCTTGTCCCTTTTGCGTGACGCCTGAGTTTGGTGTGACTTACGAGCCACCGCCCATGAGGCGAGGCTTGGCATATGCACATCAGCAGAATCCGCTGAAGAACCCGACTTCTGCAATGTCATCATCTACTTCGTTACAGACGGGCGGGCGACGTCGCGCCACGTCACTGTCTGCTTCAGATCCACATGTCATTACCACTGACCGAGTGAGACCAGACTGGGCAAAGAAGTTGGCCGATGCGAGAGCGCATGCTCTGAGGAGGTCTGCTGCTGCCACAGCGTTACACAACGCGGCGTATGTGCTAGGTAATCAAGGTGATGGGTCAAGTCGTGGTGGTATTTCGCTGGGCCGGCGGCGAAGGACGCTATTTGGGGACAGTCCTAACGCTAGTGGCAGTGGTACTCCACGAGAAGGTATGTCTCCGGCAGAGTACGATGCCTACTTTCGTCCATCTAACAGACGTCAAGGCGAGGGTAATGGAAATGGCGATCTGGTGTCTGGTCGATCGAGCTCGCGGCGGAACCGAGTCGAAGACCTTGAAGATTTGATGATGATGGAGGCGATAAGATTGTCGTTGGCTGCTGAAGAGGAGCGCAAACGGAAGGAAGAAAAGGAAGCACAGAAGGAGGCGAAGAAGAAGGCTAAAGCTGACAGGAAAGAGGAGAAGAAGGCGGAGAAGGTTGCGAAGAAGAATGGGAGCAGCGGGTCGTTGTATCATGTTGGTACTAATGACAGTAGCAGCACCTGGGCCAGCACGAGCATGGCGCGGTCGACGAGCAATCTGGGAACGCAGCCTCCTATCCCTGAGGAGGATCTCCCGGGAAAAGGCAAGCAGCCGGTGCAAGACTTTGCTGGCTTTAATCCTTTGCAAGAGCCGACATCGACGCTGAATAGAGAGGCGTCACCGTCTCCGCCGACGACAGCTTCTGAAGCACAGAGACATTTGGAGGAGTCGAGAGCGAATCTTCAGCCTCCCGCTTCCGCGCCTATCTCCACACCCAGCAATCCTCGCTCGACACACCTCCGACAGCTATCGAACGCATCTTCAGCAGCATCGTCGTTTGTGGAATCACCCACCCCTGGAAGCCTTCGTGCCGAATTTAACATGACAAACGCAAGTGGTTTGGATGTTACCGCCGGAGCACAGCAAGCTGATGGCGGATCGAACCTCTCATCAGGGGCAGTCACACCAGCAGCAGCAGGAGCAACGAGCAGCGAACCCATGTTCAACTTCCGCTCCCTCGCCGCCATGATCGGCGAAGAAGACAAAGCCGAAAAGAACGAACACATCGAGCACGCAGGCGACGGCCCCGCCAGCACCACGACAGCCGAAGACGACCTGAAAGAGCCGAGCCCCACAAGCTCCCCGCGAGCCGCACCCGCCTCCCTCCTTGTCGACGAGAGCACACAGAACCGCTCCCGGGGCGACAGCGGCGAATCGAGCAGTTCTGCGCCGCCGCCCATCTACGTCGAGGAACATCGCACGGAGTCTGAGAAGGACGCCGATGAGATTCGTCCGGCACCTGGTATGACGCAGTTGCGGCATGATCCTGATCAGAAGGAATTTGGACGCGTGAATGTGGATGTGGATGTGGCGGCGCATGGGCAGATGCATTAGATGGTGGATGGACTGGAGTTTCGTGAGAGGGAGGGGGAGTGGTGATAACTGTTTTTCGAGCGGAAAGGCGTGGCGTTTTTTATTACTTTTTTGAGGATGGTGGGTGGGTGGGTGGGTGGGAGATGATGGGATGGGTCAGGGAGGCGTTTTAAGAAGAAGGGGATGCGATGAGATGAGATGAGATGAGGATGTGTGTCGTCACTCTCTGGGTAGATTTGCCCCTTGACTTGCTACTATGTCTCGTTCTCTTTTCTGCAATGAATGAATTACTAGTCGAAGCAAAGCGAGATGCATAGAATGGATGAGGCTGTTATATAAGCCTTGAGAATGCGAGGCAGAGAGAGCGAGGGTGCGTGCGAGGGTGCGAGGGATGGAGATGTGATGAGATGGCTGTGGTGTGGTGTGGTGAAAAGCGCCTTGACTTGAGAAGATGTTGATAGGCAAGAAGACGAAAGACAAGACAGGACACCAAGGAGCGAAGCTGGAGAATATTGAATCAATTATCATGGAAAGAACCGATGTTTCTTGAGATTTATCTCTCTCTCAATCGACAACATGCTCGCTTCTCTTGCTTGCTTGCTTGCTTGTTTGTATAGGTTACATTGAGACCCTTCCTCTCCTCTTTCCCTCTTCTCTTTCGTCTACTCTCACAGAAAACGCCTCCGCTCCCCCTTATGCTGCATAACAGTAGCAATAGCAGTTCTGTTCTGTTTTCGCTTTCCCTCTTCTCTCCTCCCTTTCCCCTTTTCGCCGACGTATGCAAGAAAAACTCCCTCCCCTCCCTTTCGCCTCCCTCGCTGTCTTTTGATGTTGGCAAAAAAAAAGAAAGCCGACTCGGCTGAAACCCGCGGCCGTCTCGAACCATACCATAACATAAGAAGAAAGTAAGAATGATTATTACATGTTTCCGTTTTGTTTTTGATCCGAATGCCCAGTTTTTGCCTCCCGATTTTCCGATTCGCGCCGCGCTTCTTGAAAGAATTGATGAGATGTTTTAAAAAGAAATGATTAGACCGTCGTGTGGGTTTGGGTCGTGGTCGGTTTCGTGGGTTCGATAGTCGTAACACATTTGAATTTTTTTGATTGCAAAAGGATAGTGAGGAATTAGTCGACGATGCACTCGTAGAGATAGATGCAGCCGAAGACGAGAAAGGCGACGGCGCCGCCGATGGTGACTGGTTGAGAATATTAGTATGCACTCGTTGTCATGTGGAAGAGATGTGTTTGTGGACTCACCAACTCTCATGCTCACCCTCCCCGCCAGCGCCCTCCCTCCAATCACCGCAATACCAGTACAACACGCGTGGCCTACAATGGCACCCAGTGTTACCCACCAGTAGTCCTGGCCGGCCGCCATGGCAATCGTGGCGATTTGACTTCGGTCGCCCCATTCGCCTAGGAAGGTCATGACGAATGTTTGTACCCACGCAGGACTGAGGACCAGACCTAACAGATTCATCAGTCCGCCAAAGCGGTCCTTCTTCCCTCGTGGAGGACTTGGAGAGCGAGACATGGGCGGTGAAGGTTCGGGTCTGCCCATCTTATCGAAGCCGGGAGATCGCCCTCGTCCGGATTCCAGCTCGTATGGTGAGAGCAGGTCTCCTTTTGATTTCCTGCGCATGGTATGTTCCTTCTCTTCAAGTTCTGCTTCCACTTCCCTCATTTCATCACCAACACCAGCATGTTTGGACATGGCGAGCCCTTCTCTTAAGCTCTTTGCGCCGAACACGAAGAAGAGGATTGCGGCAGCGAAGGTCGTGAACTTCTTGGGGAGGAGGGTAGGAAAGGCGTGGCCGAGGACTGCCGAAAGGATCGTCATGGCGATGAGAGCGGAGAGGGCGGCTGAGAAGACGAGGACGCGGGCGTGGCGCATGGCCATGAGAGCGGCGACAAGGAAGGTCTTGTCGCCGATTTCGCTGAAGATGATCATGGTGAAGGAGAGGACGAAGGAATGGAACCATTCGTGCCATGATTCTTCTTCGCCAGGGGTCAAGGATGGGGTGGTGGTTGTTGAGCCTGATGGGGAGTTTGACTTCGACTTGGGCGGCTTGGGGTTCGTCTTGCCCTCGGTGTCGGGCATCGTCTCGACCAACCACTTGTTCTTGCCTTCACCGTTCACAGGCGGGCCAAAATCATCATCTGGTGAGGTGGCGATCTTGGGATCAGGGTGAGGGATGTTGTGAGGCTTCTCTGGCAGGTCCTTGGGCTTCTCCATGCCGATGCCATCACCGTATCCATCTCCCTTGTCCTTCTTGCCCTCGGTCTTCTCACCAGTAATCGGGTCTTTGCCATCTTTCGTAGTTGTGGCATCTGTCGTCTTCTTGTCCGAGGATTTTGGTCCCTTCTTTTCGTCGCCATCCAAATGCTTCTGCTCACTCTGCGGTATGGGTGGTGCTTCCTTTGGCTCCTGTGGCTTGTTCTCCACCTGACCGTCCTGCCCCTTTCTGAGCTTCTCCTTCTCGCTGATTCCACCTTCTGTGCCAGTGGTGCCCTTCTTCGGTACAGGTCTGTTCTCATCGTTCATGACTCCATCATTCTTCTCGGGTATGTCCCCCATAGTCTCTTCCAGATTCTTCAGTGACGTAGGCACCGATTTCGAAGTCGTCGTTGCTGGCTCGCCATTCTTCGTTTTCACCTCATCCGGCGTGGTATCCACGAATGGCCCAATCTTGGGTTTGCCATCCTGTCCATCCACTGGCGCATCCTCGGTACCTTTGTAGGGTCTCGCTGTGCTTGTGCTCTTTGCGTTGTTCGTTGAATCCGGCGCACTGTCCGCTACTCGCGCATCGTTGGGGGCGCGGTTCAGAGATAGTATGTCATCGTTGCTGAGGACTTCGACCCCATCGGCAGGCTTCTTCGCGGCGTCAGCGACGACCAGGGAGGGGGTCAGGAGGAGGAGAAGTGGTGAGGCTCGTCGTATCCGCATGGTGGGTGGAAGTGTGGAGAATCGAAGGCAATAATGGTGCAGTAGATCGGTAGGCGATCAGTCCATGGAAAAAGGGAGGACAATGGGTGAACGTTGGTCCCCTAGATTCTGGCTGACGTACGCCCGCTCCGGCCGTGCAGTGCAGGGAGGCTCAGGTTCTAGGCTTGTTGGGATGTTTGGCGGGAAGGAGCAGTCTGGACAGTAGCACACACAATACACACTACTCGCACGGCAGATTCAGGTGGTGGAGAGGCGCAGAAAGAATAAAGTACGGTAGAGCTTGATGAGACGCGCAGGCAGGAAAGGGACAGGCCGACGTGCAGCGTGCTGGTCGCCGGCTTAGACTTTGGCTGCGGGTAGGGGTGGCTTGGCTTGGCTGCGGCTCGGGTTGCCGACTCGCTCCAATCGCGGAGAAGCTGGCGACTGACTGGCCGTGAGGCAAGTCTCTAAACGACTGCACTTCGAAAGGCATTGCGCGGCACAAACACGCGTGTCTGCTTCGTGAAATATCCAGTATAGTTACATGTAACAGGAGAATAATCTGATGGTTGTAGACAGATATGTCCAAAAAAAACATGTCCCTCGCGACGTGTTTCGAGCTTAAAGTTCAAGTCACGTGCGTGCTAACCCTAGTCTTGGCGTCTCCTCTGTTGCACTGAGTAAACAATCACATTGCGCCGTCTTCGTCCATTCATTCCACCACCACGGCCGTGCATTTGTCGGTCGTACACAATCAGCCTTGACGGCCACCGCAAGATTGTCGATCAAGGCGAAAAGGCATGGCCAAAATAACGGGTGCCCCGAAGGCGCCGACTGCCTCTGCGCCTGCAACAACAACACGACGCACCCGCAGCCAGAGCGCCGAACCGGCAGCGACTGCGCCAGCACCTCGAACTGGCGTCGCCTCACGGAGTCGTGGAGGGCGGAACTCAAGAGCAAGTAGTGAAGAAGCGGACGATGGGCCAAGGAGAAAGAATAATAATGCCGGTAAGTGATGTTGCGCGGCGCCGTCCATGCATAAGGGTTACTACCCTAACACCTCAAACTAACCCCAGGGTTGTACCACCTGCCCTTCCCACCACCTTCCCCCCTTCCCACCCCGTCCCCACGACAATGTCGGCCCATCTCTCGTCGCATGTCGCTGATTTGAACCAGCTGCCCCCGCCGTCGACCTCACCACTGTCGATGAGGATGATGATGACGAAGATGCACAGCTTCAAGCCCATATCGCTCAGTCTCAGGCTGCCATTGTCCCTCCATCTCAGCCCATACCTGCCGACACAAGAACAGCCTTCGATCGCCGCCGCATCTCAACTGGCTCGGCCATTTCTGGCACCACCGCCAAAACTTCCTTCTCAGCCGAAGAAATCGAGGAAATGGACCCTGACATCATGATCGATGCCCTTCCGACTCTCGCTACTGCCGCCGATGAGTTTGCACATTTTCTGGCTCCAGATGGCTCGGACACTTCTCCTGCTCTTTGGAAGGACATTCGAACTACAGGCACAAAACTGTCCAAACTATACGAACGCCGAAAGACTCCTTTCAACTTTCACAAGGGCAGCTTTGGGAGCCAAAAATACATCCAGCCTCGCAACGTTCTCAGGGCTTTCTTGGGAGTGCACTCCACGGCTGAGATTCCTAAAGCGCCGTGGCGACCGGACCCCATTCTCCTCAAAGCCAACCTGGCTGAGATGCTCAACACTGTGTTTGTGGTATGCGACAGTGATCAGTGGACATCCACAGGATCAGATGCTCTTGAAGGTCTACACGCTTCCTTGCCCGACGCCATCGCCGGGCGCGACTTTGACCTCGCGACATTCTCCTACTACCTCGACCTGACGGCTCAGCTGACTATCCGACGCATGGATGTCTCCATCGAGAGTGAGCCCAACTTCTCTCCGCACGCCGTTGTTGACAATCTCTTCTACGATGACGATGAGACATTTCGTCACATGGAAGAACTTGGCTTGACGACCACGAGTGAGGAAAATCGCAATCACGCATTGCAGCTGATTGATCGACTTGCTGAAGAGCTCAAGAAGCCGTTTCGCAGTAGGACTGGCAATGGTGCGGCAGCAGCTAATGGCAAGCTGAAGGCAAAATATCAGTGGGACTACTTGAAGATGCACACGCTCAAGTACTACGAAGCGCGAGCAAATCAGCTCACTAAGCGTATTGCCAAAGCCGGTGGCGTCGCTCAAATCTCACAAGCCCTTACAGAGGAGGTTGACAGAAGGAAAGATATGAAGGTTGCCGATGAAATCAGACTGATCCGCCAAAAGCCGACGTCCACCCCACGCACAAGCCTGGCTGGCATGGCTGCTCTGAAGGAACTGGATGACAGCGACTATGAAGACGGCTCTGCACGGGCAGCATCGCAAGCTGAGTCTGCTGGATCTGCGCCCCGTGAATCTGAGGCCCAGCCTGATTCAGACATTCAGCTCGAGCTTGAGACCCAGCCTGAGCCCGAGCTCGATCTCGAGCCTGTACCTGAGCTTGAAGCGGAGCACGAATCCCTGTTCGTACCTGCCGACGAAGAGGAGCCCCCGCAGCAGCCTGAGCCTGAGCCTGAGCATGAACCTCAGCGCCTCGTTGATGTGGTCGAACGCGACTTTGCACCCATCTCTCCTGCCCCTCGCAAGACTGCAGCCAAGTCAAGGTTAGACCAAAACTTCCGTATGGCATCGTCTTTCCACGAGAAGCATCAAAAACGCCGACAGGAAAGCTCGCAGAAACAACGAGGACGATTCATTGATCCGCAGCCCAATGCCGTCTTCGTAGAGTGGAATGAAGACGAGCTGAGCCAGCAGGATGATCGACGAGCGGAAGAGACACAGTTCCGTGACCCAAGAATATCGCCTCCCAAAGGCAAGCGCACCCGCACGCAGATCGAGGAGGACGAGGAGGACGAAGAAGAGAACGGTAACATCCCCGATCCAACCCAAGACGAAGGCTTTCAGACAGACAATCGAGACGTATCGGCCGCCAACCAACGTCGCAAAGAAGTGAGCTTTGCGGGACAGACTCGTCCGCCCCCTCGCTACCGAAGCCTTGATACAGACAGGAGTGCGGCCGGACCTTCAAACTACAGATCCACTGCGCCTGAACCGGAGCCACGCCCAAGCCCTGCCAAACGCCAACGATTAAACCCAGGCTCATCCACTGTTCCCTTTAATGAGCCTCTCCCTACTGGTACAGATCTCCCTGTAAACGAACTCTACGCCCGTGCCAAAATCTACGCCCGACAAAACAGTGCCGTCTCCAGCGCGCCTAGGCAGCTGCAGACCCGACGACCCTGGAGTGGGGAGGAAGAAGCCGCCCTGATGGAACTCATCGAAAAGCACGGCGGCGATGGCGTCAGCTACGCCAACCTCAAAAACCTCGACGCTGCTCTGAAAGACGACGCCAAGCTTACGAGTCGCAGCGCGGAGGATCTGAGGTGGAAGGCACGCAACATGAAGGTCACGCTTCTGCTTGGGTTTGGCAGTCAGGAGCAGTTACCTGCGAATTGGGAGTGGGTCATGTTGGATAAGAAGGCGATGGATAAGTTGAGGTCGAGGGGTGTTGCTTATACGCAGGATCGGCAGAGGGGGGTTATGTATGCGTAGGTGGAGGAGGAGGATGTCGATGGGGAGTTGTGACGATGGCTACGAGTTATGATGCTTGGTGGGTGGTGTTTTGGATTGGGACGGGTATCGAAGATGTTTCGTATTCACAACGCTTTAATCAGGCCACAAGTTGATGGTGGCTTTTCCTCTCATAATAGTTCATCCATCCCTCCGCAGCATCCATCCACGATAACCGCGCATACGTTCAACACCGACCATCCATATCACGAAAACCTCACAACTTCGGAAACGCAGTCGGCACCTCCCCGGCCATCTCCACAAGCGTACTCTTATTCTGCGTCCAATGCTCCAAACTCCCCCGTCCATTCTCCGTCCCCAACCCACTCATCTTCCAACCCCCCACCGGCATCTCCGCCGGACTCTCTCCCCACGTATTCACCCACGTAATCCCGGCCTCCAGCCGCTGCACGACTTTATATCCGAGGTCGATATTGGAGGTAAACACGCCCGCCGCGAGACCCATGTTGGTGTTGTTCGCGCGCGCGATGAGGGACTCGAGCCAGTGCGGGTCCTTGTCGTCGTAGTACAGGATGCACATTACCGGGCCGAAGATCTCGTCGGTCGTGATGAGCATGGCGTCGGTGCAGTCTGTGAAGACGGTGGGGCGGACCCAGTAGCCTTCTTTGCTGACGCCTGAGGGGAGCTCGGGCTGGCCGAGGCCGCCGAAGATGAGTTTGGCGTGGTCGGTTTCGATGCCGTGCCGGATGTATTTGAAGACTTTCTCGTGGTGGACTTTGCTGACGAGGGGCCCGAAGTTGGTCGCTGGATCGAAGAGGTCGCCTGGTCGGATGTTTTCCATTTTTTGGAGGAGGTTCTGCTCGAAGGAGGACTTCATGGATGCCGGCACGAAGACCCGAGTGCCGTTCGTGCAGACCTGGCCGGTGGAGAAGAAGTTGGCCATCATGGCGCCGTTGACGCCGTTGTCGACTGTTGCGTCGGGGAGGACGATGCAGGGGGATTTGCCGCCGAGTTCCATGGTGACGTATTTCATGCCGTTGGCGGCGGATGAGGCGACTTTGCAGCCTGTTGAGACTTGGCCTGTGAAGGAGACTTTAGAGATGCCGGGGTGGGAGGTGAGCATGGCGCCGACGTCTCCTGCGCCTTGGACGACGTTGAAGACGCCGGGGGGCACGCCTGCTTCGGTGTAGATTTCTGCTAATTTGAGGGCGTGGAGGGGTGTGAATTCGGAGGGCTTGTAGACCATGCAGTTGCCTGCTGCGAGGCAGGGAGCGGATTTCCAGAGGGCGATTTGAATGGGGTAGTTCCAGGCCCCGATACCTGCGCAGACACCTAGGGGTGCTTTGGTGGTGTAGACCCAGGCGTCCGGACGGAGCTGGGTCGTCTCGCCGTTCAGACCACCGGACGCCACGAGGTTGGCATAGTATTCGAGGACATCAGCGCCCGTCACGACGTCCACAACGCTGGTCTCGGAGAAGGCCTTGCCGGTATCGTGGGTTTCGATCTTGGCGAGCTCGTCGTTCCGTTCTCGTAGGAGCGCCACCGCTTTGAGGAGGATTCTCGATCTCTCCATGGCCGTCGTCCTTGACCACTTGATGAACGCATCTTTGGCTGAGTGCACAGCGGCGTCGATGGCGGCTTTGTCGGCTTTGCAGATGTCTGCTATGGGCTTGTTGTTGGAGGGGTCGATGGTTTGGAACGTCTCGCTGGTTTCGTGGCGTTGGCCATTGTAGTACAAGGCTTGCTTCTCGTAGGCCATCGTCGATGCGTCGGCTGGGTGTGATGCCTTGTCTTGGGTGATAAGTCAGATGTCCGTGAACGCAGATCCGGCTGCGGTGAGTGGGTGTAGACGTCTAGACGAGGTCACGTGTAGATATGGTAAGTGAAAGATGAAAGAAATGTCTGGTTTGGGAAAGAACAACCGTAATCAGGCCGAGTCGGAACAAGGCGGGTTTTGATGGGTTTGTGGTGTGAGAGATGGCGTCGTCGCCTCTTCTCCAACCAAGACAAAAAAATTTGGATGCAGGGTCTATGCTCGGGCAAGTGGGGACGAAGCTGCGGGCAAGTGGGGACGAAGCTGCGGGCACGATGCTCGATTGCTGGTTCGACTACAGGTCTTAGCTACGATGCATGATGCGTGTCTGCAGGAGAGCTGAATGGGAGAACTTCGTACAGCACATTATCAGCGTAGAGGCTTGCTTTGTGCGATGTTCCTTCGCTCGTGGAACAGGTGAAGTCGCAACTCTGGCTTCGCTTATGGCCACGCTAAGGGGCAGCCTCGTCTGTAAAAGTCCTGGCAAGATAAAGCCAAACCGCTAGCGTATCGGAGCTGATGGGCTATCTGGGCGAAGACCAGGTCTCGTGCGTCGCCATTGATGAGGCCATTGACTTTTTGACTTTTGACGGAAGGGCATTGCGTCGTTTCGCTGCCTTAGGTCTTGCGCGCGGACGCCGGCAACAATACAAGCAGCAGCAGCGCAGACGCCATGTGCAGGCATACGCTATCTGCAGGATAGCTCGCGTGTCACCACGGCCACGGCTAGATCTAAGCGTGCCCGACCAGATTTTCAGTGTGGAGAAAGGTCTCGAGGTCTGCGACTACATTTATTTCCTTCTTCCGTCCGCCCTCTCCCATCCTCCCCTCTCATCATCACACACTCACTCATACATATACCTCTTGGACATACATTCCCTCGCTACTGGACAGGCGAGGTGACTTCGACGACCACACCATCTATCACACACACATCCACCATGACGACCACGCACATCTCGGTGGCCGACGCCAGCAATTATGATTTTGTCATCGTGGGAGGAGGTACGGCAGGCTGCGTGATCGCCTCCCGCCTGTCAGAGTACTTACCAAACAAGCGCGTCCTGCTCATCGAGGCTGGCCCCTCCGATTTCATGGATGACCGCGTGCTCTTGCTCAAGGACTGGCTGAACCTCTTGGGCGGCGAGTTGGACTACGACTACCCCACCACCGAGCAGCCACATGGAAACTCATACATCAGACACTCCCGCGCCAAGGTTCTCGGCGGTTGCTCAAGCCACAACACCTTGATCAGCTTCCGACCATTCGAGTACGACTGCCAGCGATGGGTTGCCCAAGGTTGCAAGGGTTGGGAATTCAAGACCTTTACCCGACTGCTTGACAACCTGCGCAACACTGTCCAGCCCGTGCACGAGAGACACAGGAACCAGCTTTGCAAGGACTGGGTTGAAACCGGCTCCAAGGCACTCGGCGTTCCAGTTGTCCACGACTACAACAAGGAAATCCGATCCACGGGAGCTCTTCACCCAGGAATTGGCTTCTTGTCCGTCTCTTACAACCCGGACGACGGCCGCAGGAGCAGTGCCAGTGTCGCTTATATCCACCCTATCCTGCGAGGCGAGGAGAGGAGGCCGAACTTGACCATCCTGACGAATGCTTGGGTGAGTAAGATCAATCTTGCCGGCACTAAAGTCACAGGCGTGAACGTGACGCTGCAAGATGGCACCAAGCACACCCTCACTGCCAAAGCGGAAACCATCCTGTGTGCAGGTGCAGTAGACACCCCTCGCCTGTTGATGCTCTCCGGTCTCGGCCCAAAGCAACACCTCGAGTCTCTCGGTATCCAAGTCCACAAAGACCTGCCCGGTGTAGGCGAGAACTTGATTGACCACCCCGAGAGCATCATCCTCTGGGAGCTGAACAAGCCCGTCCCCGCCAACCAGACTGTCATGGACTCCGACGCCGCCCTCTTCCTCCGAAGAGAAGTCCCCAACGCAGCCGGCGGTGATCGTGACATTATCGACATCATGGCCCACTGCTACCAAGTCCCATTCGTGTATAACACCGAACGTCTTGGCTACGACGTCCCCAAGGACGCCTTCTGCGTGACGCCCAACATCCCACGTCCTCGTTCCAGGGGTAAGCTCTACCTCACCAGCGCGGACCCCAGCGTGAAGCCCGCCCTCGACTTTCGTTACTTCTCCGATCCAGAGGGCTACGATGCCGCCACCATCGTTGCCGGTCTCAAGGCTGCTCGCGAAATCGCCCAGCAGAAGCCCTTCTCCGACTGGATCAAGCGTGAAATCGCACCCGGCCCCAAGATCCAATCCGATGAGGATCTGAGCGAGTACGGCCGTCGTGTGGCGCATACCGTCTACCACCCGGCCGGCACCACCAAGATGGGTGATGTCAAGACGAACCATTTGGCCGTCGTCGACCCCGAGCTCAAGATCCGCGGTCTGCAGAACGTCCGTATTGCGGATGCCGGTGTCTTTCCTGAGATGCCGTCCGTCAACCCCATGTTGACCGTCCTCGCCATTGGTGAGCGCTGCGCTGAGATGGTTGCTCAGACCTGGGGATGGACCGGTCTCGAGAGAGCGAGGTTGTAAGGAATGAATTGCGACATTATACGCCCATTATGCGCCCATCTGCGCCGAACGGGAGGCATTGTTGAGTTTATGGGGAAAGGCGTTTCAAGAAGCACGGCAGGCCAATGTCTGAAAAAGAAGCAAGCGAGCACGGCGTTTCGTTCTGATTTTGTGGAAATGTGGAAATGTGTAAAGAATGCAAGCTACGATACCCATTTCTGTTGGCAGTAGACCTACTACCACTCCCGAGTTAGACCAGCTGTGTATATCAACTTGCACAACAAGACGGCATGATTGAGCAGTGTCCTGGTGCCTGTCAACTAGCCATGTCAACTTCACACAGCTCACCAATGGGCACAGGCTTACTCACAACGCAGGCAAAAACAAAGTACCTTCAAGAGACCGCTGCTTCTGTGACTGGAGAACGGAAGAGATCTCTCACCCAAGACGCAGAGGAAGCAAACGGATCCAACCGACGCTTTCGATACTACAGGCGATCGTTTAGCTCTTCCACATGAGTCGATTGCAACATAGGATTGAGTCTCTCGCATACGCCTACCGGTCAGACCTCGATCGACTTGGCCTGGAGATGCTGGCTTTCTTTTCATACCAGCAGGCTTGTTGCAGATCTCATCTTCCTTCCAGCGATCACACCACTGCCCGCCGCTTGGCTAGAGCTCAACTACACATCCCTCGACGACCCGTCGAAGACGATCTGCGATCCTCTTCATTGTCCAGGCTATGCAGTACGATGTGGCACGATACGATACGGTGCGATCAGCTCGACTAAACTGCGCTGCGCTACGATGTGCTCTCTATTTGCGCCAGAATGGAGGCAAGATTGAATTACAAGGAAAGGCGTTCAAGAAGCACGACAGCGTAACGTCTGGAAATAGAGCAAAGAGGACGGCGTTCAATTCTGATTTTCGCGGAGCATGTTGTAGAAAGAGAGCAGATACGATACCTAGTTAAATGTTGGTTGTACACCCCAAAACAAACACACACACAAAGTGTATTACTATAGCTGTGTATATCAACTTGCGCACTAAGAAGAACGTACAGTTTTGCACACACCACAGGAAACAGCCTTGTCCCGCCGCCAAGCCAGCCTACACCCTCTTCACTCCTTCCTCGATACCGTTCTACTGACAGCCGCTAATCCGGCCGCCCTGACCATCTCCAACAAGACTTCCAAGGCATCCTCGTTCCCGGCCTAGAGTCAATCGTAGTCAGCGTGGCCGCTGTGCAATCGCCTCATTCGTCGCTCCGCTCAAGATGGAATTCCCTGGCACTGACTTCCCCGAGTCTCTCTATGATGTTGGAAGCGACCAGGCTTCTCATCGACGTTTAGACTAGCAAGATGGGCTGCGAGCGACGGGCATGATACATAGCTCGACTTGGGCGCCGAGGGTAAACTTCCTCTTCAAAACGCGGCGGGGTTGTGAGGATGGCTGTGAAGGAAATCGAGGGGAGAGATCGATACCACCAATGCATTCAGCCATCGTTTTTCCGTTGGTAATGTTGAAGGTCCAAACGTTTCCAACTATGTAAGCTATGCAGCAGACATAAAATGTCTTCGAGCTGAGTGAGCAATGTGCTTTTCTAGGCTGCTTTCGGTCCCCTCGCTTTCAGCCAGCCTCACAGCCCTGCAGCAAACTACCAATGTATTTCCGAATCTCGACAAAAATCCATCAACTGTCCAGCAACATATACCATACGTGCATCGCCGTTTCTCGCTTGCTTTGAGATCTCAATCCGCCCTCAAAACAGCCCCTTTGACGGCCATGAGTCCTGCCTCCTTGACCAGCTCCAATACCGTCTCCCAAGCATCAGCGTCATCGATTTCAACATCGATGGCTTCTTCGTTCAGGCTGTCGCTGTCGAGGCGGCTACTAGTCATCACTTGATTGGCAGTGCCAGACGACGATGCTGTCAAACATTAGGTGCCCTGACAACATGCAATTTTGTTGATGACCTGAGGATGAAGTCAATGTAAATCTATCGAGCCTAGAATGTCAGTGATCCCTGGAATTGCTCCCTCAGATCTTCAAAGCAACCACGCTATCAAGCAAAATGCGAGTTGATCACTCCTTTGCCTAGCAGCGGGGATTCAGGCTTTCTTCAGGTGAAGTCGTCAACTTCTTTGGCGACCTCTGAGATCAGGAGATGGCTAGGCGCTCAGCTAGAAGTACCAGGCGCGAGCTCGTCTATGTACCTCACTTGGACAATGAACTACATAATGTTGAGATAATGTCAGGATCAGCCCCGAGAACCAGCGGTTTTCTTGTGAAGGTCGAACTCAAGCAAGAACGACGAGAGTCGGCACCCTCGGTAGCTGCGCATCCAAGGAGGTGGAGAAAAGCCTCAGGATGAGAACTGTCTGAGGCCGTGTGCAGACTCGCTAGCCGAAACTGCAAGGCACTGTAGACTTGTGACACGTTGGCCTCTTGCATCGCGTCGTTGTCTCGCGTGCTAGACGTGCTTGAACTTATCCTGGTACGCATGGTCTTCATCGGCGGGAACCTTCACCATCAGCGTCAATCTCTCGAACTACCAGTATGTCGTAGGTGTCGATCTCTCACTATGTACATCTACATAGCGGTTGACTAGCACTCGGGGGAGGAGAGACTCACTCACTCGAAGTGGAACCCAGTTAACTTCGCGTACACGCGCTTCAGACTCAGCCTCGAAGACGCGACTGTACAGGGCTGGTAAGAGGCCTTATTCATCACGTCGACCAGGTGCGTGAAACGGCTGTCATGGTCGGCAAGTGGTCGGGCTGGCTCTCTGCTGTTGTGCTTAGGTCTAAGCCCGCGAAAAGCCTTCAGCTATACGCGTATGTCTTTGAGGGGCGAGAGATAAGATACACCCGCATTGGTTGTGTTTTTTGCTCGGCGTCCTTCACGCTCGTTCTACGCGTCCGGCGCAGGCACAAGAAGATAATGCCATTGCAAGCTTTCTTGAGCACGATCTAAGATCCGTGTTGCCATGGCACATAATACATTTACCCTCGGTGTTCCAGTCAAAGTGGACTTTTCATCCCCATTACTCCCAAGCCGTCAAAACAGCATGGGGTGCAATTAGCAGCGCAGTCGCTTCTTAGAAGTCGGAGAGAGGGCAATTGCATACGCTACAGTTTTGACCGGATCGAGGAGGGTACTGCAGCTGCATCCCGATCATGAGCACATCGCCATCGTCTGAAGTGTAAGCGTGTGCTCGAGTCCTCACACCACTCTGAAAACTTCGATGCACGTGCACTCACGTAACAAGTCATTAGCTTCACTTCACTCCACATTTACGGAGAACTAATCGATCTTCACGTGACTACTGCGGTGGCCCATGGCACATTGGAAGAAGGCTCTCGGCGGACGAAAGACTTCTCATTGTTCTCCGGGCTCTACACTTCTAGCTCTGCCCCAGTTGGCAGGCTTGCGTTTAACAAATGCCCCTACAGCCCCTAAGTAGCCTTCATGGCGCAAAAAGAAAGCCTGCTTCGTCCCTTTGCTCCAGAACTTGATGGCGAACGAAAGCGTGTGGATCGTCTGCTGGTGTCCTCGAATGAAAGACCCACCAAAGTAGATCCTCTTCAAATCATGCCTTTCTGACTGCAGGAACGAGATCTGGCCGATGTTGTTACTAGTATGTGTTAGCTTCAGTTCGAACAAGGACTGAGTGTACGACTTACCTGATGGCATAAAGCAGACTCCGCGATATATCCTCTGGCTTGAACATCCTACCATCACCAACCAAACCGCTCCCATCGTTTTCGTCCATGTCGTGAGTCTGCGGAGTGAATTTTGACCGAGTGTGGTCGCCATTGCTGAGATTACCATCTTCAGCCTCCCGCTCTGCCTCCCGCTTCCTCTTCAGCACCTTGCCAAAGCTGCTAGCAATCGTTCTTTCACTTAGACCGATCTTCTCGTAGCCCATGCCCTCGCCATAGATATCACCGACAAGCAAGTCCACAGCACTGTTGTCTCCTTTATCTGCCATGTCCAGCATGTCGTCGAAGTTTCGAGCTCCTGTGAGTAGTGAAAGGAGCCCCCAGAGAGTACCGCCACCCAGAGAAGTACCGCCGATACGCTGGTATTGAGATGGCCCAGACACCTTGATCATGGACACACCGCTGCCAATGTTCACAAGCAAATAAGGGTATAAATCCTCCCGAGGCTCCTGAAAGGCGACTGGATTTTCTTCGTCGCTGTCGTTGTATGTAAAGACCTCGTTGGGAATTTGCGTGATGAAAAAGTCCAGGCCCTTGATAAGACATTCCATCTCATCCTCTCGCTCTACCTCCACTCTAAGTCGCTCCCTGATTCGGTCGTAAAATTTGAAGGCTCCTCCGCCAGTGGCCATGATGCTGAGTTTTGTGGATCGATCCATCCCGTTGGTCTGCTGGTGCTTAACCTGCAATTGCCGGAGATACTCGATGCAATCATCAATCTTGTCGGTCTCAAAAGAAAGAAAGCTGAGCCTACCGCCAGACTCTGTTTCCCGACTCTCACGGGTGAAGTAAACCACCTTTGCGAGAGAGCCACCAATATCTGCCGCCACATGGCTGACGACTGAGGTGTGATTCGGCAGTCGTATGTCACGCTTGTGATGCTGATATGAATGCTCTTCGCCGCCCTCAGAGCTGCTTGTTGGTGACCGGTCTGGCGAAGCGTCCTCGTCCTCATGATCAATGATGTAGGCTCCCGCAACGTTGATTTTGATAGACCCTGGCTGGGCTATGGCTTGCTGCATATCAGCCGAGCTGGACAGTCGCCGCCTCTTGGACATCTTCGGTCGTGCAACATGTTCCATAGCCGCCGATGCGTCTTTGGCTAGGGCCACGCTGGTGGTGTCGTGTGTTATCAATGCCACCATGAGCTGACTCCGAAAACGGAAGTTGCTTTACTTCTTGGCACTCCCGAGAGTGAGTCAGGCACGTGAACGCGTCGCCATTCATCAGCTGCCAAAACAGAACAGAATCGCTGCTTCAATTGAGACGAACTCGTGCTATAATAAGTGAACACATGTCGCGACGCAAAATGGGTTGATAACGCGGATTCCGAGCACTTTGTTCGCCGAGGCAAGCTTTCGGCTGAGTGGCTTTCACGTTGCGTTCCTTCTTCGACGCCAAGACGGCTCCAACCCGGCCCCCGGACTAACGCGCCTTACGCGATCGTTTGCGATGCTCGGAATATGCACATCGCAACTCTCTTCAATCAACTCTCTTCTGCTGCAGCACCGCGTCGCGCGTAAGTATGGGCAACGACGGCGGCAGCATACCGACGCGCCGTGAGCTGGTCAAAGAAGCCGCGCGCAACCCCACCGCCTCCGAGGTCAAAGAATCGCAGCACGAACAGCAAGAATATTACTGGACTACCGACCCTATCTCGCGCGAGCCTCTGTCGCAACCTGTTGTCTCCGATGGGAATGGGAAGCTTTATAACAAGGCAACCATTCTCGAGTTCCTCGTCGAAGGCGCACGAAAGGAGGATGCCGAGAGCATCACCCAAGGCGCAGTGAAGAGCCTGAAAGATGTGGTGGAAGTCAAGTTCGAAGTAAACGAAGAGGCGGCCAAGCAGGCAAACGGCTCAGCGAAGCATGTCACATGGAAGTGCCCCATCACCGGCGACAAGCTTGGGCCGGGGTCAAAGGCTGTATATCTAGTGCCTTGTGGTCATGCATTCTCAGGCAGCGCGATCAAGGAGGTATCAGGCGAGAAGTGTCTGACTTGTGATACGGAGTACGCGTCGAATGACATAATTCCTATACTTTCATTGTCACCTACGGATCTTGCGCGCCTTTCACTCCGCGCCAAGACACTTCAAGAGAAAGGTCTGTCGCATTCCCTCAAGAAAGCTTCTGGCGGGAAGAAGCGCAAGAAGAAGGATGAAGTGGCTGAGGAGGCCACCAACGGTACAAAGGATGTGAAGACTGCGTCCAACAAGAAAGACCGCGCCGGCGAATCACCAGCAGTGAAGTATGCGGCAGAGTCAGACGGCTCGAACAGGATCAACAACGCATCTACCGCATCATTGACCGCAAAAGTCTTGCAAGAACAAGAACAGGCGAAGAAGCGAAGACTGGAAAACGACAATGTTCGCAGTCTGTTCTCGAGAAGAGACTCAAGCAAGCCTTACGAAAAGAATAGCGACTTCATGACTCGCGGCTTCAGCATGCCATCAAAGTCCAGAGGATGAGTCAACTTCAGCCGTTTATTCGACTTCGATTTGTGTTGCGATATTGCAATACTGTCGCGCGTACAGAAACTGTTCGCTTGTCGACAGTAAGCCTGGAACCCGCGGCAAGCCCTGTTATCACACCCTCGGTCTCGCAAATTATTACATTTGACGAGCGAGCTCGTTTGATCGGAATTTACAGGGATGACACAGGAATAGCCTGGACGTCAGCAAGCTCTGATGAACCTTGAATCCTTGCAGCAAAGCGGACGGATTGACCGAAAAGAGAGAGCGTCGCTTCTGCTATGTTTTGTGCGGAAGCCCTAACTATTCCTCAGACCGGGACCGACGGCTTTCGCAGTTGCAACGTTTCACCCATGCAGCAGAGTGCAGCAAGGAGTGGCAGTGGCGGCATGATTTAGGATCTGGGCGGTCGGAATTGTGCCACATTAAAGTATGACAAGGCGACAGACGCCCAATACGTTCATAGCAACCGACCTAGACCTCGTAGCGATTACTCACCACATTCGATCAGACCCCGCTCTTTGTCTGGGACTACGTGTTATGCTCCTCGCAGCGATTGCGTTGGCCTTCCGTCGTCGCGGCTTTGCCGGTGGTACGACAAGACGTGATCGTACGTTAGCGTTAGGATCGGGGCTATTTGCATGATCGGACAACCGTGCGTCTTGACCCAGTTGCAATCTCGTCTGAGTGAGCAGTCTCACTGTGCTGCCGGCGTCTCTTATCGACAGCCCTACGTAGACCGAGTTGGCGAGAAAAAGATGCTGCGAGAGCGCGAGAGCCCAGTGCTTTGTTGGCCTGCAGCAAACTTCGTCGGAACGATGACTGGTAAGGGATAGCAATGTTTGTAGTAAAGTATAATAATGATAAGGTACGTGTAGATGGCACACCCCCTTTCGAGACCGTTAAATTGCGGAGCTCACCGTATCCACAATTTCGTTCGTAGCAGGAGGGCGAAGGCGTGCGATCGGCCAATTAGTGCTGCGGCTTGACTTTTGTCCACACATCGTTCCTATGTTATTCCCTATGGGCCGCGCCTTTCCCTCTTCTCTTGATGACACTTAGTCTACCAGAACCCTGCTTTCCCGCTTCTCGCGTTCTTTCCTCTTTCACCACGCCCGACATACTAACATATCCCCAACTTTCCAACCACAACACCTCACTCCCTTTCCGCCTTCACTTCCGCCTTCACTTCACTACCGACTCTATGCGTGCCAGGCAATAAGTCCGCGTCATATCGACTGCAATACACGCTGTCGTCGCCCCTATGCCTGCCCACTCATAACCGCGCCGCCTCCACAGACTTCGCCACCGGCCGGCCGGCAACACAATGAAAGGCACACGTTTTGAGAGGGACCTCGTCGGCCTCGAAAGATCGCTCGGGCTTCGCAGTAACCGTGGGATCTCACGTCAATCGAATAAGGACTCTCCTCCCATCCAGGCGATCGTCAATGGCATGAAGAAAATTGCCAAAGAATACGTGGATCTGACGACCTCCGAGATACGGCAATCGGAGCCACTCCGCCAGGAAGTAAACGACCTATTTGAGGAGTATGCGCCAGTGATATGGCCAGACGAGAACCATCAGCAGCCAGAATGGCTTGAAGACCCCGATCCGTACAAGTTTGAGGGCCGTTATCCACGGCGTCTCTGCTACAGTGACGAGGAAGACCGCGAAACGTAAGTCGTGACGCCACAGCCCGCTTCCAGTCACTCGCTAACAGCGCGCAAAGCCTCCGAGCTCTTTTCTACAACCTGGTGGTCGAGAAATGCTGCAATTACCACAGCAATCAGCTCCAACGCGCTCGCACGTCTCAGCGCCAGAGTTTGGATTATCTCGACTCTGCAGGGGAGACGCCTCGAAAGGCTGAGCCTGGTCTTGGCGCAGAAAGCGATTCTGAGATGGTCGATGCAGAATCAGCGCCACCACAGCCCATCAGTTCGTACCACGAAAATACCTACGAAGCGCGAGAAGCACAGTTCAATCCTGGCGAATTCTCTTTCCGAGTCTTTCAGGACTACGGAATGCCCAGTACAGACGCTGGAAGCGGCCCAACTATCAAGACGACCGAGCCCGCGCCTCCTTCAAGTACTTCAGCTATTTCATGGACGCCAGCCAACATGGCTCCCAAGGAATACACCCAAGAACCAACTCCTTCCGAAACTGCGACTTCAGATCGGCCTGATCGGTCAATGAGACCCAAACGGAAGCGTCCTCAGCCCAACGAAGAAGATTTGCTTCCCAAGAAGGTCAGTGGCGATCGAAAGGCGAAAAAACCAAGATGGTCCCAAATAATTCCCCTCAAGGTCTCCCCTCATCACCTCGCGCGACTTGCGGATGGTGAAAGAATCGCCGAGTCCGTCCCCACGTCACCAGAAGAAGAGACGCCTCCGCCGCAAGACGATACGATCATGTCGAACGCCGGCGAGGAGCATCCCGCCTCAAATGGCGGCTCCCTGTCTAGTGCACCGCCGACTCCCACCGACGAGTTTGCCGCTGACAATGAGAACATTGTTGTGAAACGAGATCCACGATCCAACACGCCGCCCAGCAAACCAGCGCCTGAACGCGTACCTGAGAGTGGATCTCAAGACGCTCGCGAACAGAAGTCTCCAGTCGACAATCAACCCGCCGACTTACCCGTCTCCAATGGGACTAGTCGTCCAGAGAGCGATCGCCCAGGCTCTGAAAGTGCTCCACCATCGAGGCCTGTGACTGGTCACCGCGAGAATGAAACGCCCAAGCCTCCACCACCTGCCCTGACCGGTCCTGCACGGAAAGACCTCTCCACGATGCCTGAAGTGAAGTGGCGACCGGGCTTCACGAATACTTCCAGCCAATCTCCGTTAACCCCTGCGAATGGATTGCACACGCATCACACAGGACCGCTCTCAACAACTTCGCCATCGCTCTCGCAAGACGGATTTGGTAGCGGGCGTCCACACGAACGTGAACCGGACGCGGTCGGTGGAGCTGCCAGACCCATGCCACAGACCACTGCAGCTCCCAATGCAAATAGTCCTCGACTTGACTGGCATCACACGCAGCACCAACCGGGCCAACAACGCCGAGAAAGCCAACCCGCACCGACGCAGGATCCGCATGCTGCACACCGTTCGCAAATCTCGCTTGTGGAGGAAGTTCTAGGTCCTCTGCTCGAATGTCCAACTGCCCGGGAAGTGCTGCGGAAGACGCCCAATCTCAGTCGGCCACAGCTTGAGGACATGAAGAGGATCCTGGCTCACTCAGCCGATGCGCAGGCCAACTTTGATGTCTTCATCGCTCATGTCTATGGGAGACGAGAAGATGGACCGAATGGCGGCAGCATCGCTACCGCACTTGCCTCAGCCATTCAACCACCGAATGCACCTCACATCGCCGGCCCGCCTAGTGCTGCTATACCAAAATTCCCACCTCAGCATGTCCTCCCATCGAATGGTCCGCCAAAATCCAGCGGGCCATCACCTCGTCTTGGCGCACCTGCACCTTCAAGGCGGAATACCCGTCCTGAAGACGTTGATCGAATTCTGGGTGATCTTGCGGCTTGCCCCACAGTGAAGCAAGTCCTGCATAAGAAGCCAGATCCTCGACGTAGAGAGCTCAAGATCATGAGAGATATTCTCAGAGATCATCCACAGAGCAGGACGGACTTGGAGATGCTGCTCACGCGATTGGAGGCACGTCTGGAAGCAGCCGATCGTGAGAGTGAGCGCAGTCCTTCCCAGGACCACAAAGAGCGGCCTCCAACTGCTGAACCACCACGAGGTGCCCCCTTACCGTCACCGAGAGTCACGCCTGGTCATGGCAATCCCTTCAATGCATTCGACAGCAACCAGTTTGCCCGCCCACAGCAGCAGCAACCACCACCGCCGGCGCATGCTGCTGAGCCACGGTACTCTATCGTTCGAAGCCCACCGACGAGTGAGAGCAGCAGAAGAACGGAAACTCCCCTTCACTCTGTCGATTCGAACTCTGGACGCCAACCGCTTCCGCCTGGTACTGGTGCATTCAGACCGGCTGCTCCTCAAGCACCTGCCGACCTTCCCAAACCCCCGCTTCATCCTCCGACACAACCACATCAACAGAGACCGCCACCACCTCACCTGCCGTCACAACCACTACAGCAGCCACACCCTCACCCACATCAAAACGTCCATCCCCATCCTACGGGCAACTTCGGTCCTCAACACGCACACGGCCCCTTCGGCCGTCTCCAAAACGTGCCCGGTCAGCCACCAAATGGACCGCCCCATCACCCCCAACACCAGCATCCACAGCACGGCGTGATGTCCGCACCAGCCGGCCCAGGACGAGCCCTCATCGGGCAACAAGACGTCTTCGCCGTGAGGCCCAGTCCCGCCCACAACGAGAAAGAGCAACACCAACGCCACAACATGCCCATCCGCAGTTCCTCGATGCAAAGCGAGCCGGAAGTCCAAACTCCTCAACACCCCGCCCACGCCATGAGCATGTCTCCCACCCCAGGCGCCACCGCAACAAACTCCCTCGAAGACGTCTCCATCGAAATCAACTGGGCTCGCAACCTCGACTACGCCGATTACTTGACCGGAGAGGCTTGTCTGCACTGCAAGACAGCTGGAGAGTTCTTTTCCCTCATCGAGGCGCAGATGCCCGATGAGTTACAAGGCGTCCACGGCAACGGCAACCGCATCAAAGAAATCCGAATCAAGGCCCTCACTCCTTTGCAGGGCGAAGGCATCATGCCGCGGATCAAACGCGATGAGGTGTCTGGACGGCCGGCACTGAGGAAGCTGATCAAGAAGTTGCGGTCGCAGCCCCCGGACGCGGATATCGAGTTGGAGTTTCGGGTTGTTTGGGAGTGATGCACACATCATCAAATCCTCGAAAACTTACCGATTTTGCTTTTTCCTTGCTTGCTTTCTGCTTTTGTTTTCGCGCGAGGTCTACTAGATTGGAAGGCACATAGTTTCACAGACCGAAAAATTGGGGCATGTTCCACGTCTACAGGGAGGGAGACGGGCAGTGTTCTTTTTTTCACGTGTAGAGAGTATGGGATGGGAAGCGGATGGTTGAGACGCGAGTATACCCAAAGTGCAGTATCTTTTAGTTAGCCGTGCGTAATCTGCTTTGTTCGATGAACTGCTGCATGTGTCGCGTCTTCGAGCCTCTGACTGTGGAAGCATCCGGGTTGGTGTATGAATATCATGTCTCGGCCAGTATCCGGTAAGGTTTCGCGGATTGCGCTAGGTTGAGGCGTCATGAGGAGGCGTAACCAAGGTACGTGTATGTCACGACGCAAGCACAGAACGGGTACAGAAAGGTCACGGGCACGAACTCATCTGGTGGAAGGTTTGAGAAAAGGATCGTTGAAGCAAACATGCGAGTGACTGAGACTCTTTCGTTTTCTCTTCTTTGAATGCACATGGTATCTTTCGTTAACCTACGTCGGTCGTCTTTTCCGTCCTGATGATCTCCCTTTTCCCTTTTCCTGCCGTATGGGTATTGGTGGCAGTCCCAGAAAATTGAAGAGCTAAATGCAAGCTCCCTTCTAGAGTTCCTCGTCGGAATCCGCCTGCTTCGTCATCGTCGTCGTCTGCTGTGGTGGTGCTTGATGGGCCTCCTCGAGCTTGACCTCTGGCGTGGATGCCGCTCGCTGTTGGGATGCGTCTTCTGCTTTGATCGTGTTGGAGAATGAGGTGGATGGTAGGAAAGCGTCGTTGGTGTTGGAGCCAAAGACGCCGCCGGCGAGACCTGGCATGCTTGATCTGTGGCGCTTGAATGGACTGCTGACAACATCGCCGGCGTCGATCTGGGCGGGTGACAGGCTATCGGGTGGAGTGCCTGCATTCGCGCTGGTGGAGTTGACCGATTGTGGAGTGCCGATGTCTGTCTCCTCAGACTTGAGATGTGGTGACTTTCGAGTGGCGGCGGCGTCGCCGACGGGGTCTGCAGAATGCTGTCGCTTGAGCTAAAGGGATTGTTAGTAAGCTCGCTCGCTTCGCATGCATTGTTGTTGAAACTCACCTTGATCTTCTGCACACCCTCTGAGAGCTCGCCGGTGCGCTTGGCGTCTTCTGGTGACAGAAGGCTGTTACCGTTCTCATGCTTGATGTCCACATCTGATCCCTGAGGTAACCGCTCCTCGTCTTCATCATCGGCATCACTGTCCATAGCATCTGCATCCTTGTCCTCTCCCTTGTTCTTGCGCTTGGCGTTCGAGGGGTCTCGATAGCCAGAGAAACCAACAGTACCTGTCGACTTCAATGGCCCAAACTTGGAGAAGTCCGGCCCACTCGACTTCCGCTTGGCTGCAATAGGCGTCTTCTGCTTGTCTGGCTCGAGTATGCCCATTTTCCGTAGTTGCTTCTCCCCGCGGTAGAAGAATGTGAAAACAGCGTAAGGAGATTCTGGTGGATCTAAACCTGTCACGGTTTGCGTGCTGATCGTCTTGGGATCTAAACTCTTGGGTTTCGCGAAGCTCGTGGTGTGGTCGATGTCGCCATCGCCGCCGTCACCATTGCCGTTCTCCATTCCGTCGTCATCGTCTTGTGCGTCAAACTGAGGCGAGTACTCTCCTCTCTTGATCTCGCCGCTAGCCAGGACGCGGAACAGAGCGACCTTTATTTGACCAGCAGCCTCTGGTTGCGGTGGCTCGTCTTCAGAGTCCGAAGCAGACGATAGGAGGCCACTGTCGTCGGCTATGTCCTCAACTGGAGAGCTGCCTTCTCCACCGTACCGCAGGACACCATTCCTGTCCACACGCTTGAATCTGGTATGCTCTTTCTCATCGTCACTGTCCATCTCCTCCTTCTTGATGCGCTGCTTCTTCTCGAGACGTCTCTGTCGCCGCTCTATCCGCTGTTGCTTCTCTTTGTTGCTGCCCTCCAAATCTAGGCCATTCAGCCACCGCTCCAAGCCGACTTCTCTGAAGAGAAACTCGCGCTCAGCCAGACCGCCGCCTTGTACGCTCACCCACCGAGAGTTGACCCATGTCTCTTCACCTCGCCGTAACAGCGTTGCGACTTCCTCCTTTGCTCGGCCATCGAAGTAGATGTATGCTGCTATGGTTTCATTTGGGTTGGTGGTTCGAGGAATGTAGGGTGGTACAGAGGGGCCAGTCTGACCCCGCTCGCTCGAATAGCCAGGGAGACCGCCCACCGCGCGTGGGTGCGGGTATGGGTCGTCTGCTGTGGGTTTTGGTGTGGAGTACGGGACGCTCAGGCCGGGCGTGAGTAAAGTGATGGATATGGCGAAGGTGGACTGCTCCGGTATGCCCGTGGTGGAGCCAGCTGGGACCTTGGCTGGAGGAACGGGTATGTAGGTGGATATGCGCGACTGGCGCGACTGCTTCTGGACCGAGTGCTCAGGAATGGGCCCGTCAGGAGTGTGGATGCTGACCGCAAGGCCTTTGAAGCAGGGCATGGTCTTGCGGTCTCAGGCGGCGGACGGCCACGAGCAAGGCGGTGTCGCGACGCAGGGAGCTTCTCGCCGGGCACTCGCCGATGTTGAAAGACTCTTTACCCGACTTCCTCGCACAGTCACGCGGTTGACGCTATGTGACTGCGACGTGAAAGAAGAGAGGTCGTGCTGGCCACGTGATGGGCCAAAGAGCTTCCTGTGACTGAGGCGGAGGAGACCAATCGTGAGCTGTTGTCAGAGGCGGTAGAGATCGACTCCAAAGTCTAATTCTGAGCCGCCGGGTGCAACCTATGCCATTGCTGAGGCGTGTGCGGACGTTCGAGAGGAGTTCCACGCGGTGGAGGAGGTCCGCGGCTGGTGTTGTGGGTGTTGATGTGTTGACTTCTCGAGCCAAAGAAACGTGTAGAGTGACGTGCCCGCGAGACGCCAAGACATTCGGGCGTCCCGCCCCCTCCCTCCCGGCGGGACCGCTAGCGCACTCTCTCTTCCAACGTCACCTCCTCTTGAGTCCTTGTTGCAATCTGCACGACCATCTCCTGATCTAGGGGCGGGCAAACTCATACAGCCCCTGGAAAAAGCAACTGTGCAATTAAGGCTTCTGCATTACAGTCTTGTACCGAAAGTTGAAACCGCAAGTTGCTCGGATTGGACAAATGTTCGCCATGGCGGAAGTTTGTATTCCTCGCCCGGACAGCATCAAACTTACATTGAATACGTCGTCCCATACTCTGCATGTCTTCTGGTAAGATGTGCTTTGCTAGGGGTAATCATGAGGGCATCATGTTCTTGACGTCGCTCGAGGGAGGATACATTGACGGACTTTCCCGAACGATCAGGCCAACGCCAGCACGATAGCCTTAGGTGCAAAAAGGTACCTATGCGGTCAAATCCAGCATCTTCAACATGTGTCTAAGGAATTATATGGCCGAGAAAATACGCTCTCAATGACTATAGACGCTACTTCCGTACCTTTGAGAGAACGATCGTTGACTGATAGCAATCTTAGTCTGCAGGCTCTATAGGCCGATATTGTGACATGGCTTAATCAAGTGAGCGTCAAAGCGTATGGTTGCACCCGTGCTCTCTCCACATGATCATATACACGAGTGACGAGAATGTTCATACACGACATGGGGCAGGTGAAAGCGGCCATTAGAAGCTCGGCGGTGGAGAGGCAGGAGGAGTAGCCAAGGTGTCTGTCCTAGAGTGAATCTCCGACAACAAGAGGGACCATTGAGCCCAGCACGACGCAGATTCGGTAATCGATCGGTCAGGTCATGGATCCTCTTGGCGATATCCAGATTAAGCTGCTGTGGCAAGATGGCCGCGACCAGACTGTTCCCGATTGACAGAAAATAAAAATGAAAGTAAACCAGCATTGCTGTCTGAGGTCCATGCCGAGGCTTTTCTATACTCTGTCCCCGCAAAAGTATTATCCCATGCAGTCTCTTCGAATGCCGATCAATGGAAAACCCCTGGATGATCAATTACCATCACCTGTCGACGCCTCCCTCTCATCCTTAGAATCTTGTAAGGCTTTGCGAAGAACTTGAAACATGAGTGCTTGCACTTCTTGCTGATTGGAATGTCGAACGGCCGTCATAAGGCGAGCCCTGAGAGTGCGACGGTCGTCTGCATCTGGTCTTTGGCTGGCTGCAGAGAAGTCAGTCAAGCCATTTGACACATCTGAACACGACGAGAAGTTGTGTTTTACGTACGTGTTGTGTGAGCCATGTTTTTGTTGGGCGTGTTACTATTCCCGGCCGTGGCTCCTCCTCTTCCGCCACCTTTTCCGAGCTCTTGAACAGGACGTGTATTCATTGCTGTGAGGTCGAAGAGATGAACGAGGATGGACTGTCGGTACTAAAGATGCTCGAGTGCGGAACTCCGATCGTTGTCGCTCGCTGTTGTTGTGGTATGTGGCAGATCTGGGTTGATATAATACAAGGCTCTGGCATCTCATATAAACGCGAATGTAGAATAGGCCCTTAGCATCCAATACATGCGGAGAATCAATAGCGCGCTCAACGACGGCAACGCGCTGCATGTTGATGCAAAGATGTCGGTGTGTACCTTCCCTGATGTGCGGCAATCTTGCAGAGCCAGAGAAGCTCCAGTCTAGAAACGCATCCAAGGCTTTTCCGACCGGTGAAGAATCGAGGGCGGAGTCAATAATCCTGTAGGCCGAACTGGAGAGACCTGAGAATGCATCAATCGACTGATTTGCGGCCGATTGGATCATGCGTTGTGCTTTGTCCAGCCACTCCTGAGCTGATCTCAAAGATATGACATCGCTCAGATGACTATCTTGCCAGTCCCTACCACCTATCCCAACTCGTCCATATTGGTCGCTGTCAATCGTGTCTGGACTAGGTGCGGTCGCTCTTGGTCTGTGGTAGGCGTCGCTCGGACGGCCAGCTCGGCCAAATCGCACTAGCTGCCTTCTTTTGCAGTCCGCACACTGCGGAAGTTTCATGCTGCAATGCAGCGTCGAAAGCTCTGCATATAGTACGATCATTGGTGAGGAATGCCTCCCTGGGCCTGCACGTCTTTCCGTGCGAAGTAGCGACGCGAGCTTGCAACTGAGCTGCCCCTCGAGGCTCGCCTGCGCCCAGCAGTCAGTGTTATCAGCAGTGAAGAACCGGGCGTACCTTTTCTTGGCAGACACAGTAAGTTCTGTGAGACCGTGCTCCCCGTCAAGGTCAGACTGCATATGCATGGTCAAGGAAGAACTGTCATGGCCCGTCCGGGAGGCCGCTCCGGTCCTGTTGTGGACGCCCTGACCCGATGACCAGGTAAGAGGCTGCATCCACATGTTCGAGATTGCCAAATGCTTCACGTGGCGCGCTCGTCTCGCGTCAAGAGAGTATCGTGCCATTCGCACTGACCGCATGCTTGCTTGCGTTTGATCTGAACGGCTGCACGCTGTTCGGGTACCAATGGCGGTGAACACCAGGACAACACAGAACTCAGAAGTTCGCATTGAGAGGGTTGCCTTTTCCCACGCAAAATTTGGGGTCTCGCTGCAGGCCAAGGGGCGAGTCCCGCGGTCTTGTCAGCCTGAACGGCGAGTCTTCCGCCAGAAGGCGTGCGGAGATTCCAGTGACCAGGGACGCTCAACGTCTGTCCATCTCTCGCATCACAATCTCTTGAGCGTGACGATGGTGCCTCTTCTTCGCGGTGCGCGGCAAGTGCACGTCCCTTAGCGCCTTGACTTCGAACTGGTAGTTGGCGGCTCATGGAGGGCAGTGACAGGCTCTCGATCTTCGATTCTGGATGTGGTTTGGTACGACCGCAGGTTCCCCGAAAACATTGCCTGCGGCCAAGCGTCCCCGAAAATTGCCCCTGCGTCCGAACAATCTAACTTTACCTCGACTTTACCTCCAGTTTGCCTCCATTTTGCCTCTAGTTTCCCCGTTCACCTCCAGTTTCCCAATTTACCTCCAGTTTCCCAATTTACCTCCAGTTTCCCAGTTTATCTCCAGTTTGCCTCCAGTTTGCCTCCAGTTTACCTCAATTCCTCTTCAATTTGTCCTGGATGTGTCTTCAAAATGTGTCCTCAGAGTGTGCTGAGTGTGCCTTCGATTTGCCCTCGACATTGCCACGATCCTGCAGTGACTCAACTCAATCCCGAGCCTGTTTACGGTCTGCACACCTTACTCACCTCCCGTCCTCCTACCGTCATTTGGAGGTAACCTATTCGTCCTCGTCTATACTAACCTCGCACACTTCTTCTCTGTAACGCGACCTTCAAATGCTGGACATTCACCGACACGAGTGGTCTTAAACTCACGGTATCGAGACCGTACTCACACAAGGATTCGACTCCGGACGTTTGTCTGCTACCAGGTTCACCCGGATCAGACTATTGCTTAAAGCGGAGCGCTGAACAAAGCAAAATCCGGCTGGAAGTCACGCTAAACAATGGATGTGCTTCTATCTGAACCTGCTCCTCCGTTGCCCCACGCCCTCTTATGACAACACACTCGTCTCCTATTCTAAATAAACTAATCGCCATCTCTCGATCGCCACAGGAGCCTTCGTGTCGCTTTGCCAACAGGCTATGAACTACTATCCTCCTCTACCGCTTCATGCATAGTATCCTCTTCGGAGAAGGCTCCGATTGTATGATCATGGCCATGGGCGTGCCTCGACCGGCCTTCGCAAGGCGAGGTGTCAGGACCGGCCGGACGATGGACCCAAGATAGGGGGTCGAATGATGATGGGTCTGTGGGCTTCTTGGGAGCCCAAGTGACATTAGAGTCGTCGAGGTGTGACATAGCTACAGCAATAGTCAGTATCTAATATACTCAGCAGCGAACGCGAGATGTGGATCACATACGTGGTGTACGGGTGTTGTTGTTGTCAGCGGCGTTGATGTTGGCTGCTGTGACGTTGCCTGCGGTATTGTCGGCTGCAGTGTCGTTGGCTACGGTGTTGTTGGCTGTTGGGTTGTTGGCTGTTGGGTTGTTGGCTGTTGGGTTGTTGGCTGTTGGGTTGTTGGCCGTTGGGTTGTTGGCCGTGTTGTCACTGCCCGTCGTTGCTCCTCCTCCTCCGTCTCCTTGAGGTGCACTCATTGTTGGGAGCGAGGAAGAAGGTGACCGATCTGCGCTACGTGGTATGGTGTACTTCAGGGAGTCGTGTTCAAGACCGTTACCTGTTGTTGCTGTAGGCAGGCAGGACACCCCCCTTTTATCAAAACACTCTGATATTTGGTGTGAACGCAAATGTGGCATAGGTTCTTGGCGGCCACACGTGCTCAAATCGATAGCGCGCTCAACGACATACAACGCGCTGCGTGTGGATGTGACTGCATTCCTTCTGTTGCGTGTGTTAGTCTTGCAGATGCGTAGGGCTCCAGTGGACACACGTCTTCAGACTACTGTACCTGGGCGACCAGGCATCGAACCAGGAGGCCACATCGCAATGATCGCTGACGATGCGTATCTCCGCTGCATCGCTGTCGTGAGCCACCCGTTCTGCCTCAAAAGGCTGCTAACGAGCCAACCTCAAAGCGATGACTCGCTCGCCCTCGATGGACACGTCTAGGTAATGGTCTTGCAAGCTCTTGCCACGCTGTCACGCTCATGTACTCCGCCATGTCTGGAGTAGCTGCAGCCGTTGCTAGCGCGCGGTGGACGTCTTCCGGCCGACTCGTTCGCCCAGTCAAGTTGTTTGCCTTCTCCTGCCGTCGGTACCCCGGGATAGCTTGATCCTTTGATCTAAGGTCAACGGCGGTGCGTGCAGGCCTCTTCCGTGACCTGCACCACGGTGTTTGCGTCGAGATCATCTCTAAGTTGCGTTTATGTGGTGTCAACGCAGGGGCCAAAACGGCATACTCAAGGAAGCCAGGATCTCCGTCAGGGACAAGATCTTGAAATGCAGACCCGGGCCCTTGAGAAAAAAAGGGGGGGGGGGAGAAGGGCTCGCGAGAATCACTCCAAGAGGCCATCCCACGGATCTCAGTGATCCATCAGCCAGGTTACGACGGGAGGTTCGGCGGCCAAACCTTGTAGGTCCACCTGTTCAATATCGTCGGGCCTGTTTCCCTTGCCTCAATCGTTTGGCATGGAGGGGCGGACACCGCTGCTTTGGGCTCAACCAAATGTGGTTGTTCTACGCGTTCACTCAACGGCCGCTCGAAGATGGCGGTGAACAGCACAGAACTCAGAACTTCGCTCGGAGATTGGATGCCTTGTATTCACCTGCAGAATGAGGCCGCTCTCCACACTAGGAGGGCGTCTTGTCAGGCCGATGACGTGCATAAGACGGACATTTTCGCCTTCATTCGAGAACCGAGTGGAGACTTCAATGTCCAGAAAAGCTGAAGAGCTACATCCCTCGTGCCAGTCTTTCTAAATAGCGTGGTGATGCTGATACCGAGCCGCATGCCGGCTGTGTGGGTTCGAGCGCGTCTAAGGCTTGTCTCGGTTTCGAGCCTGGTTGTCGGCGCCTGATGAAGGATAGTGATAGGTTGTTCGAGCTGTCAGAGTGCAGTGACATATGCACCGAAACGCCTCGATGTCTCTGGCCGCCATCTGTCAAATCGTGAGTCTTGTTGCAGCCCGGAACTCGTGCTGTCTGCCTCTCGCCCCAGCCAACCCAGCCACCCGTGAGTCACTGTACTGCCATCGCAAGTAGCCGTGCACTCAAACTCAGATTCTTGCATCGTGCTTGCGTTGTTTCTACCCTATGATTCCCCAGTTGCCGCCACGTGCTCGTCTTGTGGATCAATTAGCTGCTTCAGGGTCTGGGAAACGATCCGGCAGCAGTTCACCGCCGGATACTTACCAACGGTGCTGGCTGCGCGGCGGAACATCATCCGTCGGAGCACGAACAACGGTACCCCGATTCTGTTGTCAACACCAAGCAGAAGAGGCAATACGCCAAGCATCCTTCGGACGATTTCGTGCATCCCTGAGTTGGAAAAGCCGTGGGGTCGATCGCATTGAGCCATCATGACGCACCATGGGCCGGTGAGTACTGCTGTATCGCCATGAGGAGCTCGAAGCTTATGCACGTTATCGCGGACCGCCAGCCGCCGCAGTGGCTGCAGGTACTAGGGGATAGTGGTGGTGGTTGGTCCCGGTGCTTCGGGCGGCGCTTCGAAGACAGCGAAAGAGTAAATGACAGGTCTTCGTTATCGCTAGCTGCACGAGAGAGTTTCGACAGGATGCACGGGGAACGAGCACGCAACAGTCTCTCGCGACTAAACACCGCCGGGGCAAGGCTGAGCATTCTTTTAAACTTCCGAGCGGCCATGAGGCGGTCAACGGGCCGCTTGTGGAACATCTGACGGCCAGCCAACTTTGGCAACTTGTGCTATTGCCATGGGGTACTCCAGTCCTGGGTCAGGCACATAGATCGCAAACTCAGGAGCTCATTATCTCTGTCAGGGTCGAAATCTTCATATGCAAAGTCATGATCTAAGGGAGACATGGCGGCAATCCGTCCAGGAGGCTGATGCGGTACTCATGAGGATTGCAGTGACCCGCGGACCAGGTTACGGGGCCGGAGTTCTCTCAGCAGGTGGATCTGGCCATGCACGCGTCCAAAATCGCCAGGTTGCTTCACTCGCCGGAAGGGGCGCCGCTTCCTTCGCTGCAACACTTCGCTGCAACCACATACATGCAGCTTGCTCGTTGTTGGTCTGCGTGCGTGCATGTTGACTGGTCGACTATGGCGGTGAACAACACAGAACTCGAGGTTCGCATGCCGGGTGGTTGCCTTCATGTGTCTCCAGCTGCAAAATGAAATCACGCAGTGACTAATCCTCCCCAGCAAGGATGTCGTGCATACTTAGCGAGAAAGTCTCCAGCTCCTCCCGAGAGTGTAGAAGGACTCCACTGACCGCAACGGTTAAAAGACGTCAAGGTGTCGCGTCACCATTCTTAAGGAGGGTTGCCGTGGCGATCCCCAGCCACGAGCCCGCTGTATGCCACTTAGCGCCTTAGGTATTTGTGTTTCGTTTCGATGTCGTTGCCAGCGCATGGTGAAGGATACCGAAACGTTGTTCATGGTCTTTGTTTAGGCTTGAAGTGGCAGATCCGCCATGACCCTACGAGGCTGTTGGCCCGTGTTTAACGAGCCTCAGGATTTGCTGCAGCGCAGGATCCTCTGCTGTCGGCCTTTCATTCATGACAACCCAGCCACAAGCTTGTCGCTGGGCTGAGGGCTGCAACACTGCATTCTGCCGCGCTACAGATGGAGGCCCCCGACCCCCGGCGGCGGTTAGTTTCAAATGCAGCGGCCGGCGTTTGAAGAGACTGAATGATAGGTGCTCAATGTCCGTCGCACGAAGAAGCTTCATCCGTACAGACGGGGAAGTGACGGACGTCAACAAATTCGTCAAACAATTTTGTACTCTTCAGCAAGCCCGGCCGTAAGGCTGAGAAATTTGACTTCGATGACGGAGCGGCGACGGCACGGTACGGTTGTGTAACGTTTGGTCGTCAGCCAACACAGAACTGTGGCAAACTTAGTTGAAGCTTCTCTTTCCTTCCAGGGCGTAGATTCCAGCGTCAGGCACCGGGCGGTGCAGTACTCAGCCGAACTGCGACACGGGTTGCACGAAACGTCGAGAAGTATTGGAATGGGACAAATTCGCCAAGGAGCGCTCGCATTAAGGGTATCTTTTTCGAAGAATCTGAAGTCCGCATTCACTGCAGTTCAGACTGCACCATATCTACGTGCTTCCGTACTTTTGATCACCAGCGCAACGCATCTCATCCCGCAACCTCACTCGTCCGCACTGCTGGATCCAGCTGAGCACGCTTCTCAACTTGCTCCGCCCTCGAGTCCTCGTTCATGTCCGCAATCGTGACGTTCAGCTCATCAATCTTCGCCTCCTCCATCTGATACAGCATCTTGCCGACATTGCGCTTTGGTCTGATACCAGTTCGTTGCACGATCGGGTAGAAGTATGCGCCCTTTTGCAGACGTTGCTTGCCACCAGGTACGGACGCAACGTCCGCCTCTGGATCGTGTAGAGCAAGAGCAACGGAATCATTGTAGTAGTCCTTGGAATCGCCGGTCTGCGTGAACGTTTCGTACGTCCTCTTTCGCTTGTACTTGAACGCGCGCTGCCCATCTCCAACGTCATCGGTGTAGAGCTCCGGATCCTCGTTCTCGGGGTCGTTCACATTCAGTTTTCGCTTGAGGTTGGGAACGGCGGATTGCTCATTGAGGAGAAAATAGTCGTAGTCGTATTCTCGAATCGGCTCTGGCTTCGACTTGTCCGATTCATCCCAAGCAGCCTTCTTGTCGTTGAATTGATGGTCTGCTTGCTCATCTCCGACTGGTTTGAGGACCGCCAGATCCAGACGTTGGTCGTATGTGCCCGTCTTATCAACAGGGTTGCCCGAGAACTTCATGATCATGTAGAAACCGGTGGTGGGTATCGCGTCGAGATCTGGCAGTACTGGATACGAATCGAGCAGTTTGAGCTCCGGCTTTGTGGGATGTTTGGGGTTCGACCAAGCCTTCAGCTCCGCATCCGTCACCTGTGCTCCTCTGAGATTCGTCGTGCTGTCTTCGCCTCTGTATGCATCGCGGGGATATGCAATATCGAAGCCCTTGACAATGTTTCGCATGATGTTGATCGGGTCTTCTTTGTTCAAGCTGGGCTTCCGTCTCTTTGCATCGTTGCGCAGGCGCAGCAGGTCTTTAGACGTCGAGGAGGAGAAGTGTTGGGTGTTTTGTGAGGCGGTGTATTCAGTTCTTCGAAGGAAGGAGACTGTGCCGCTGGCTGCGTTGGGTTTGCCAAGGGATGCGAGTGGGCGCAGGAGTGCTTTGTCGGCAGGGTGTAGTGTTTGAGGGGCAGGTCTCGCCATGATCGCTTTTATCTGTTAGTAAGGGTTTCAACGGTTTTGACATAGTGTCCATCGCTCACCCCTCTCGTCTCCATCGAATATGCCAGGCACGCCGATCAAGTCAATGGGCATCCCTAGCTCCTGGTCGGCCTCGATGTTGAGCGGCTGCTCTCGCGCCAGCCTCGAGGCATATCCTGCGCTTGTGTACTGTCCGCCTGAGAGTCCAGTGCCGGGTATATCGAGGAGTTTGGGTGGGTTCGGCGGCGGAGGCAGGGCATTGGAGTATCGCACGCGCCCAATGTAGTCCTGCTTGCGGCCCTGATTTGTCGCCATCGTGTGCGACCGGGGGATGTCGGCAATCAGAAAGGCGCGATGGACTTTGAGGTGGAAGATCGGGGTCGGGCAGTGTTCAGATGATGTCGGCGCGATTCATTCACCTCAAAAGTTAGAAGCAGTCGAGTCGAGAGTCGCGTCCGCATGTGACGTTCGGCTGAGTTACCGAGCGGAGCACTAAGCCAAACAAAGACCGGGACCGCGGGCCACGCCAGCACCTCGCATGATGGCTCGACGCCACGACGAAAAAGTTGGCCGGGGGGCACGCAACACCAATCGAGGTCAAGACCGCGCTCACCAAACTCATATCGCCGCTCCTCCAACAACTTCCACCGGCCTGCAGGCCTCCGCCGCTCGTTCGCACGCCTGTTGAAAGGTTCAATCAATATTTGGGGCCCCGCCGAAGCAATGTTACGGCGGCCAACGTGGTCGGGTTGATTCGATTAGCCACACTGAGGCGCCGAAACTTGCCAGCCCTTCTCTGCCGCACGTGTCCGCAATGGAGGCAGCGCCTGGTGTGCAGCCAACGTCGGCTCTTCTGCAGCAACAGGCCGCCGATATAGCAAGCTCGCTCGCGCCCAACATAACCGTCGCCGCCCCGCCCCATGCAGGAACACCCGCGCCAGAGACCGCGAGGATGTTAGGAGGACTGGCCCTGGGCATCTTCACCGTCGTCCCCAGCGTCCTGTACTGGCTCATCACCTTCCTGACCATCACCTTGCCAACATGGCTGTTTACCTTCCTGAGCACCAGCCTGACCTTCACCATGAACATGACGACGCTGCTGCTGCTTCTGCTGGTCTTCGCCTCCACGGTGAGCTGGTTTGTCCGCTACCGGTTCCTGAATATGTACTCTCGCCTGCCCCCAGAGCCTCAAAGGAAGGAGCCCCAGGTCGAGATATTTCCCGATTCTCAGGAGGCCGATAGCAAGCCAGGCTTGGCAAACTACTTCGATGAGTTCCTCAGCGCCATCAAAGTCTTTGGCTATCTGGAGCGACCTGTGTTCCATGAGCTCACGCGGACGATGCAGACCAGGAAATTGATTGCTGGCGAGACTCTCCTTCTGGAGGAAGAGAAGGGCTTCTGTCTGGTGGTGGATGGCCTTGTCCAGATCTTCGTCAAGTCTCAACGAGGCTCTGGCACCGACACCCCAAACGAGTCCGCCGTGGCCGATGAAGACGAAGGACATGATCGTGCAAGTGGTCACAGTAGCTATCAGTTGCTCACAGAAGTCAAGAATGGGGCTCCCATGTCGTCCTTGTTTTCAATCCTGGCCCTCTTCACCGACAATGTGAAACTTCGCTACGACGAAGATGAAGATCACGTGCAGTCGAGCGGTTCAAGTGGCAACCTCAAAAACCACTTCAGGATGACGATGAACGACGAGGAAGGCACTCCAGAGTCTGGGACGGACACTGGAGCGAACTGGACAGCGGCTGGCTCATCGCGTCCTGCCTCTCGGCAACGCGCTCACTCGAGCAATGCTGGGCTGCACAGCTTCAAAGAACCTCCTCCTCTCGCTCTCGATAGCAGTATTGACAACGGTGGACACAAGTCGATGAGTAGGCGGCCGAGCTTCCTTCGCGCCAACAGCGTGCGAACAAAGAAAGCGAAAGCCAGTGCTTCGGCACACCCAGACATCGTTGCTCGAGCTACTGTTGATACGACCATCGCCATCATACCCGCCAGTGCCTTCCATCGAATCACTAGGATCTACCCAAAAGCGACTGCCCACATAGTGCAGGTGATTCTGACCCGACTTCAACGTGTGACACTTGCCACTGCGAATTCGTATCTCGGCCTGGCAGGTGAGGTGCTTCGGACTGAGCGGCTGATGGACAAGTTTACGACCTACGATCTGCCCGATTACCTTCGAGGCGAGGCCTTGGAACGCTTGAAAGACAAGTTCAGAAAGGATCAAGAGCGACTTGGGCCAGAAGAGGGTATGAAAGGCATCGCATTGCACAACCCTCGCATAGCTCACCGGAGACGGACGAGCAGTAGCTTGAGACGAGACGCCGCCATGTCATCTCGTACCCACGAGCGCAATGGCAGCCTCTACCCTGATAACCTTGCTAACGAAAGAAGCGGCGTGAGTGCAGGTGATTTGCTCACCAATATGCAGGCAGCCAGATCACCACAAGGGCGACGCGGGCAGCAGGGTAGTTTCTCGCAACCATACTCGACTCCAAGACCTTCAAACGGTCACATCACAGAGCAGCCACAAACAGGCAAGAAAGATGCTTTCCAGCCAGATCTCAGCCCGAGGGCGACAATGCATCGCCAGGAGTCTATGGACGAAGATGTCATGTTCCGAGAATCGATCATGGAGTGTATGGCCAAGGCGATAGGCTTGACAAACTCGAAAGACACTTTTCGAAGACAACCAGAGTCCGTCGCGCAATCACCTCGTCTCGTCTCGTACGACTCAAAACGACAGAGCGCCGTGTTCAATAACAATGCATTCGGCTTCATGGACCCGTTTGACGGCTCGCAGGATGATTCTGAGTCAGTCGCCTCCATGTCAGCATTCAGTGTTGGCGGATCTGCAAACATTCTCGAGGATCTGAAGAACGAAGTTGAGATTGTCTTCTTTCCCAAAGATTCGGTGCTTGTGGAAGAAGGAGAACGAAATCCAGGCTTGTACTATGTCATTGATGGATTTCTGGATGTCAGTGCTTCTGTCGATGAGCAAGAAGCGTCGCATTCGAATGTCCTCGGCACCATGGCCAAACCGAACGGTCTTGAGGTTCCAGAGCTGCTCACTACCGACACAAAACGAAGATCTTCTCGTGATGCACGGTCAACATCGGTTGGCGGATCTGAACATCACCGCAGAAGAAAGTCTGGCCATGCTAGGAAGAGGCTCTTTCTCGTCAAGCCTGGCGGTCTGGCAGGCTATCTGGGAACAATCTCTGCGTATCGCTCCTTCATCGATGTTACAGCGAAGACTGATGTCTACGTTGGCTTTCTACCTCGATTGGCGATCGAGAAGATTGTCGAGCGGCATCCAATAGTGTTGCTTACCATGGCCAAGCGAATGACGAGCTTGCTGCCACGACTCATACTGCACATCGACTTCGCACTGGAGTGGGTCCAGGTGAACGCTGGCCAGGCTATCTATCATCAGAATGAAGACAGCGATGCAATCTACATCGTTCTCAATGGTCGACTTCGAGCCATACAGGAGAGTGACGACGGCAAGATGAAAGTAATCGGGGAATATGGACAAGGCGACAGCGTGGGTGAGCTCGAGGTCCTGACAGAATCGACTCGGCCAGGCTCATTGCATGCAATCCGTGACACAGAACTTGCCAAGTTTCCGAAAACGCTGTTCAACAGCCTTGCACAGGAGCATCCAGGCATCACCATCAAAGTGTCCAAGATCATCGCATCGCGGATGAGAGCTTTGATCGAGAATCCGCTGAATGAGTCTGAAAATTACAACAAATTGGCCGTCGAACGGCCGAAAGTCACCACAACGACGAACCTTCGAACAGTGGCTGTGGTGCCGTGCACAGCAGGCGTCCCTGTGGTGGAGTTTGGTAACAAACTTCAAAGTGCGTTGCAACAGATTGGCACACCGAATGGCGTGTCTGTCCTGAATCAATCAACAATCCTAAATCATCTTGGTCGTCATGCCTTTAGCAGAATGGGCAAGCTGAAGCTGTCACAATACCTGGCGGACCTTGAGGAAAAGTATGGGATCATCATTTACGTTGCCGACACTAACGTCAAGTCTCCCTGGACACAGACTTGCATCAGCCAGGCCGATTGCATCTACATGGTCGGTCTCGCAGAAGGCTCCCCATCGATTGGTGAATACGAGCGGTTTCTGCTCACAACGAAAACAACAGCACGAAAAGAGCTCATTCTGCTGCATACCGAGAGATACTGTCCATCTGGCACCACAAGAGCTTGGCTTAGGAACCGACCATGGATCAACGGAGGACACCACCATGTGCAGATGGCTTTCAGGACCACACCTGAGCCTGTGCATCCCACTGGCACCAAACGATTCGGCAATGCAATAAAACAGCGAGTGCAAGTCATCCAAGCCGAGATCCACAAATACACTTCTCGCCGGGTGCGACAGACACCTCTCTTTTCTGCGGAAACTCCATTCAAAGGGGACTTCCATCGCCTCGCAAGAAGGCTGTGTGGCAAGTCTGTTGGACTGGTGCTCGGCGGTGGTGGTGCACGAGGCTTAGCACATGTGGGCATCATCCGTTCTCTCGAAGAAGCGGGCCTGCCCATCGACATCATTGGCGGCACATCCATTGGCGCATTCGTTGGTGCTGTGTATGCTCAAGATGCTGATGTCGTGCCCATGTATGGTCGTGTCAAGAAGTTCGCAGGTCGCATGGGTAGCGTATGGCGCTTTGCGTTGGACGTAACTTATCCATCAGCGTCGTACACCACCGGCCATGAGTTCAACCGTGGCATCTTCAAGACGTTCGGCGACAGTCAGATTGAAGACTTCTGGCTTGAGTACTACTGCAACTCGACCAACATCACCAAGTCACGCTCAGAAATCCACACGAGCGGATATGTGTGGCGATACATTCGTGCGTCCATGTCGCTTGCCGGATTGTTGCCCCCAATGTGTGACGAAGGCAACATGTTGCTCGATGGTGGCTACACGGACAACCTCACTGTATCACACATGAAAGCGCTGGGTGCTGATCAGATCTTCGCTGTGGACGTTGGCGCAGTCGACGACGACACACCGCAGGCATACGGCGATAGCCTTTCCGGATTCTGGGCCTCATTGAACCGATGGAATCCATTCTCGTCTTACCCCAACCCTCCGACACTGTCAGAAATCCAAGCACGTCTAGCCTACGTCAGCTCCGTCGACAACCTGGAACGCGCCAAAGGGATACCAGGCTGTCGATACATGCGGCCACCGGTAGTGGCATACGGCACACTAGACTTCGGCAAGTTCGACGAGATCTATCAGGTCGGTTACCAGTTCGGCAAGAAGTATCTCGCGGAGCTGCGAGAGGAAGGGATTCTTCCTGGGGTGGAGGAGACGGAAGGCAAGCGGAACCTGAGGAGGACGATGGCTCCGAGACGAGCGAGTATCTAATAACACAAGTTTCAGTGCCGATTCATCACGGCATACACGCATGCATGAGCGTTCTTTGCATTCACATGGGCGTTTGAGAGATACCCTAGCATAGCCGAAGCAGCAGCAGCAGCAGCAACGAACAGCATGGAGAGCTTTGTGTACCATTATTGCTTCGCGCCAAGTGACCTGGAAACGTATAGGACAGCCGTTTTCGCCGATTCTTCATGGTTTTACTCTTCGAGCGGAACCCAGTGTAAGCTTCGAACTGAACACTTTCTAGGCTCATACCTCCAAAAGCCACGATCGCGGATCCTTGACTATCTCGATGATCGGTTTGCCACGACATCTCTTCGGTACATCGGTTCGGCTTCGGGACTTCACCAGCCGACGACACTCTTGCATGACGAAACCTTACCTTCTCCATGGAAATCATTTGCACACCGTGAGAACATCCAAGGTGTACTAATTGTCATTCGCCGATTGTGACCTTGATGTATGACGGCGAACCTGTCTTCACTTCCTATCTAACCGGTTCTCAAGGGAAGGATTCACGACCCAACACAATGGCACCGAAGGACTTCGAAGTGGCTATTATTGGTGGCGGTAAGCAAATGCAACGAAGGGTCGAAACAAACAAGAAGCTGCCAAGCTGATTGATCCCTGGGGATATAGGTATTGCTGGCCTGACTCTCGCGATCGCTCTGCACCATCGAGGCGTCAATGTGGTGATTTACGAGCAAGCGGCGCATTTCGCTGAGATTGGAGGTTCGTGTAACACGTTGGTACATATGGGACAATCACCATGCTGAGAAAGGTGTACAGCGGGCGTTTCATTCACACCCAATGCCGTCCAAGCGATGAAGCACTGCTACTCGGGCGTCTACTCCGCTTTCGAAAAGATCCGCACGGGCAACCTCTGGCCTTCGAAGAAGAATGTTTGGTTCGATTACCATGATGGGTATCATGATAAAGACGAGACATTTGCGTTTTCGATCACGTCTAGTATAGGGCAGGCGGGCGTGCATCGGGCGAGGTATCTGGATGAGCTTGTGAAGCTGTTGCCGGAGGAGCATGCGAGGTTTGGGAAGAGGCTGGAGGGGTTTGAGAGGGATGGGAGTGGGCGGTGGAGGTTGAGGTTTGAGGATGGGTCGGAAGGTCAGTTTGGATAGAATCCCTTGGGGGGAGGTCATACTGACTGACATGTGTTCAGCGACGACGGATGCGATAATTGGCTGCGATGGGATCAAGTCCAAAGTCCGGCAATTGTTGTACGGCGACCACCCATGCTCACATCCCACCTTCACGCACAAATATGCGTACCGGGCCTTGGCGACGATGGAAGATGCTATCAAAGCTGTTGGTGAAGAGAAGGCCAAGAACGCATGCATGCATGTGAGTATCCTAGATCCCTCCCCTCCCCAACTCAGTCAGCACAATAATCCTAACAGTCAGCAGATGGGCCCCGGTGGCCACATGCTCACCTTCCCGGTCAACCACGGCCAAACCCTCAACGTCGTCGCTTTCCATACCACTGAATCCGACTGGCCCGATTACAACAAACTCACCCGTCCGGCGAAACGCGAAGACGCCCTGAGAGACTTCGCAAATTACGGACCCGATGTTACAAACCTCCTCCAACTCTGCCAGCCAAACCTTGATGTCTGGGCCATCTTCCATTTGGGTGATCACCCTGTGCCAACGTACGCCAAGGGAACGATATGTATCGTCGGCGACGCCGCACACGCCACCTCACCACACCACGGCGCAGGGGCGGGGTTCTGCATCGAGGATGCTGCTGTCCTCTCAGACCTCCTCGCCGATGATCGTGTGCGCACTCAGCAAGACATTGAAGTCGTTTTCAGCGTATTCAACGACGTTCGACGGGAACGGGGCAACTGGCTCGTGCAGAGTAGTCAGCATATTGGCAACTGCTACGAGTGGATTGGGCAGGGGGTCGGTGAGGATTTCAGCAAAGTTGAAAATGAAATCAATACTAGGAATGGTATGATTTCGGACGTGGATGTGCAGGGACTATGTAGAGAGGCCGTGGGGATTTTGAGGGGAAGACTGGGTGGGGATGGAATGGATAAGGGGGCGAGGCTTTGATGTTGGGGCGAGGTTGTTTCAGGCTGGAGGATAGGGTGGAGTGATCCTTCATAATGTCGGAGAGTGTGTCCAGGAAGGTTCTCTTCCTGCCGAGTGTCTCAAATAGCGCGGAATGTCAGCAAGCAGCAGGCGTAGAAAAGCGAGCCCAAAGCGATGTGAAGTCAAAAGTCCAATGGTAGAAGCCCGAAATACATCTTTAACTCACCAACTCCTTGGGACCGCTGATAAGAAAGACTGTCTCGAACGAGCAAACCAACAAGTAAGAAAGAAGCTCCAGCAAAAACCAACCTATCCAGGTATCGGAAGACGACCAGGTGCATTACCCGAGAGCCGAAGCAGCGATCCGATCCCTGCTGGATGAAAGGAAGCTTCATCACTGCAGTCGCATGGCAGAGCTCCAGGGTACAACTTCATCATTCCGCAGTCTTACAGGATCCCGGATGCCGCAGCGGGGTGCGTGGTTCCACTGGAGGCGGTAGAAAAGGTCATACTGGTTCGTGCGAGAGAGCTTCTTTTCTTCGAAAACATTCATCCTCCATCCATGCTTTGTCTGTTGGCCCTGATACTTTGATTGAGAGCCGAACCTGGACTTGGACGCTTCGGATGCTGGCTGTGCTTACCACGCGAGTTGCATTATATAACCGAGCAAACGTCATCTCTTGTTCGAAGGGAGCTTCAACTTCATCAACCTCCAACACATACCAACCACATCTTTCCGAAGAAAAACTTCCACAATGGCGACCACCACCAACGGCCACACCCTCCCCGCCCCAACCAACGGCACAGGCGGCAAAGGCCCCGTCGCCAACACCACCCTCAAAGGCCCCGCCCGCTTCGACCCAACCTTCACGCAAAAAGTCATCGAATCCATGGGCCCGAAAACCTCGCCGCGAATGCGAGAGGTCATGTCCGCGTTGATCCCACATTTGCACGACTTCGCGAGGGAAGTCGAACTCACGGTGGACGAGTGGATGGCGGGCGTGCAGTTGATCAACTGGGCGGGGAAGATGAGCGATGAGAGGCGGAATGAGGGGCAGTTGATGTGTGATGTTGTTGGGTTGGAGTCGTGAGTATCAATCAATTCACCTCTGTTGATGGAGGGGAAAGTTTCGGATTGGCTGACTTTGTGTAGACTTGTTGATGAGATTACATATAAGAAAGCCAGCGAGGCTGCTGATACAGCGACGCAATCCGCGATCTTGGGGCCTTTCTTCCAGAACGATAATCCGACTTTGGAGAAGGGCGCTTCGATTTATCGGACCAAGGCCGAGAAGGCGGAGGTGGTGTACATGTATGGCCGGGTGGTGGATAACAAGACCGGAAAGCTATTGGCGAATGCAACGATTGATGTTTGGCAGGCGTCGACGAATGGTAGGTTGAGTGTTGATTTGGTGAAAGGAGTTGGAGCTGACTTGTTTCTTCAGGTCTCTATCAACAGCAAGATAAAGACCAGCATGTCCACAACCTGCGTGGCAAATTTGTCACGGATGAGAGCGGCGAGTACGCTTGTTACTGCATCCGACCGACCCCTTACCCTGTGCCATATGATGGCCCCGCTGGAAAGCTCCTCCAACTGATGGACAAGCATCCATACAGACCAGCTCATATCCATTTGATCGTAAGCGCTGCGTTTCATTCATTCCGTCGTTGCAATTTGAAGCTGACTGATACCTTCCAGGTCCTCAAAGAAGGCTACGAACCCATCACCACACAGATCTTCGACCACGAAAGCGACTATCTCGACAACGACTCCGTCTTCGCCGTCAAAGACTCATTGGTCGTCAAATTCGTGCCGAGGAAGAACGATCAACAGGCGAAGCTGGAGCTGGCATATGATATCCAGATGGCACCTGTTGATCCATCGAGGAAAGCGCAGCTGTGAGGAGAGGCGGCTTGTATGGAAGAAAATGTATTCAATACTGAGGCAGTTCGAGCCAATCCAAATTGATAGCTCCGAGCTGTTGGCCAAACCAGGATTCGGAGATGTTGTCGGCGCTGAAGAGATCGATGTCGTCCAGATGGAGCTGTGAGTAAATGTCGGGTTCTGGTGCACTTCCATGTCCATTTTGTGTTGGCTTGGCGACGGTGTTGATGTGAGTGAAGCCGGGTTGCTGGTCTGCGGTGGATTAAGTCAATAAGGGGGCCTGAATTCTGGAAGATAACTGCCAGGACGAACGCACCTTGAGCTCGTGCAACATCGGAGATCCGAGTCTTCATTGTGCGTAAGATGTGCTTTGCGTGATTCGCGGATTGGATTTGGTTCTCGTAGTGGTCCAGAATCAGGAGGCAGCGATCCCATGAAGCCTCCATCTCGCTCTTTGACACTCGTTGTACCTCGTCGATCTTCGACGACGCCATTAGCACTATGGCGGCCGAGAAGGTGACTAGAAAATGCTGGTCAGCAGTGAGCTTCGATATGATCGTTGAGAAAGAACTCACAGTACACGGTATGCCACCCTGAGCTTCGGTAAAGCGTTCCCAGATTGGCGTACAGTGTATCGATGAGCCTACAAGCCGTCAAAGTACACAGATTGCAGCAGCTCCGAATAACTTCATCGTCCAGCGAAGATGATGTTGCAGGCTTCGAGTCTCGTCTCGTCGCCATCAACAGGAGCGGACGAAGTAGCAGTAGTCGGACGTAAAGAAACCGGCAATACAGGACTTGTTGCTGTAGGTTGATATGATCGTCATGCGTTGCCGTCGCTGTAGGTCGGGCAGGTACTTGCAGGTATTCTGGAACACCCTCGACAAATTCGTCAAGACGCCGATTGAGGTCCAGGACGGGTGTCAGTAGCTCAGCGGTGCGCGTTACGCCCTGGATTTGTCTGTGCGAGACAACACCAGAGCTGTCGCGGTAGAAGAGCTCGAGAATCTCCTCAAGCAGGTCGAACAGTCGACAGGATGAGACGAAAAGTCCAAGTCGAGAATGTGCGTTTGCAGGCTGTGAACCATGGCTTCGATCACCTAGGTATTCGTCGTCGATCAAGCCTGGTATTGGTACATCGGTGTTACGGCCGATCATTGACGGCCGACCAAAGGTCATGGCTAATAGTCTGTCGAGATGGACACAAGTATGCCAAATGCGACGCCGCATCTCCAGCTCAAGTTGAGTGATGGACTTTCGACTGCTGTGATCAACATGGAGACCCAGACTCTGAGCCATCCGGATAGCGAGTCCAACCGAGTTCCAGCATCGGCTCGCATATTGCGTGGACTGTAGGTAGACGCCGGTTAGGATAAGCATTTGCACCAGCGAGATTGAGGTTGAGTCCAGGATGTCGAACGGGTAAGACTGTCGCGACCTCTGGTAAAAGTCGTCTGCTACTGAAGCCTTCTGAGAGGCATCAATCAAGCCGCTGAACTTGCAACCTAGAGCAAAGACCAAGTTCAGTGTCGAAGTGAAGATGGCTTCTTCAGCCTCTGTGTCGTAATGCGTTTGAGCTTCATCGCCTTCAGTCCACAAGCGATCGTACTTGCGAAGGAATGTTGGCTTGTGCAGGACAGGAAATAACGGATGTATAAAGTCCCAATAGCAAAGCAGGAAGTTATCAGCCTGCCGTCTCATAGGCAACACAGCAAGGCCGTCCGCTCGAGTCGCGATGCGATCCGGTAATGCGGGTGTAGTGCCGCCTTTGACATCCAAACTAGCGCGGCTGCTGCTCTGTGCGTGCCCACCAGGCGTCACTGAACCATGGCGGCTTTGGTTTGGCATGACATTTTTGAGGAATGCCATCGTCGAGCTTGGTCCGTAGATCGCATCATCACTTCCAGCAGCGACAGTAGCTAAGCCATCAGGACGGGCGTTCGAGATCTCGCTTGGATGAGGGCGCGAAACCGATGAGATGGTATCCCGTCGTGAGGAGAAGTCAGGATGTGAGGAGGGAGATTGAACGGCTATGCTTGGCCGCATTCCTGAAGCGTGAGTACCATTTCCAATCGAGTTTTGTGAGCGGCCCAGATCTGACAAGGCCTGAGCAGCATCATTATGTGCTATCGGCTCGGTGCGGTAAGCAGTCTGATGCTGTGGACTGGTATAGGAGACCCTTGCACGTTGTCGACGGGTCTGATCAAAGTTACACGAGCTTGAAACGCCTCTGCTTTCGCAGGCCTGGCAGACTGGTTGTCTGTGTAGTGGTGAGCACAAGAAGCGAGGGTGGGACGTCCGCTACGCACCTTCCATCGCATCTTCCAGACGAACAATCGAATTAGCACATGGCCCCTGGGTAAAGACGAGGCATTTTTGCAATCCTACCGGGTCTTTCTATTCTTGCAATTATCTGTCCGAGCACACAGTGGTCAGAACTATCATGCCAGCGTAATCGACGTAGGCTCCACTGCAGGGACGCAGATGCATGGAGACCCGCTGTGCCATTCGCTACCGGACAGACTCACTGCATGCTTGAGAGACGCGCTGTCGCTTCACAGGAGGTGTCTGCGCATCCGAACCTGGTTGCTGCGTCTCGTCGGGAGAGGGCATAGTGGCAAGATCTTTCCGAAGCGGCTGCGAGCCGACGGATGTCTGGAAGGCTTGAAAATGCTGGTATTGGACACGAGAATTATTGAGTGAAAGCCTGGTGGGGTTGTTATCTTCGAGGCAACAGGCTGTGAATGCGGCAAAGATGGCCTTGCGAGGGTTGACACGGGTCGATTGTTGTTCGGATGCCGTGTGAAGAAGGTGGCGGGCAAAGCTAAAAGCTGAGCCGGCCACCGTTTTCCCCACCCGGGGAGAATTGCGGGGATGGAGAAGCCGATGCATGAGCATACGTCCTATCGAGATACTTCTTCTCACACTGATTCTTACGAATGCCTCGGCACCTCCTCTCATAGACTACACTTCTCCAATTCTCCGTTGCAAAGCACAAGGGCTTCATAGCTTGTTGCCCATGTTCACATGAACCGCCTTGATCTGCGAGTACGCCTCCAGGCCAGCTTCTCCTAGCTCTCTACCAATGCCGCTCATTTTTACACCTGTAACGAAGATCAGATGAGAAATAGTATCATCTCACGATAGACTTACCTCCAAAAGGAACTCTCGGATCACAATCCTGGCTGCTGTTGATCCACACCATACCGGCCTCAATCTCTGCAGCGACACGATGGGCACGCTCGAGGTTTTGCGTGAAGAGGGCAGATCCTAATCCGTTTGTGGTGTCGTTCGCCCTGCGAATGGCTTCCTCTTCATCTGAGAACCTCGAGATCACGACCACTGGACCGAAGATCTCCTCGCGATAGATCTTCATCGAGTCCTTTACTTCGGTGAAGACGGTGGGAGAGATGTAGAATCCTTTGCCACCTTTTTGCAGTGTCTCGCCACCTGCGGCAACGTTCGCTCCCTCTGATTTTCCAGACTGGATGTATTGCAAGATTCGATCGTACTGCTGCCGTGAAACTTGTGGACCTTGGTAGGTAGAATCGTCCCACTGATCCCCCGCTTTGCTGACGTCTTTCACAGTCTCAACAAACTTCTTCACGAACTCGTCGTACACTCCATCTTCTACCAAGATGCGTGAAGTTGCGGTACATATCTGTCCTTGGTTCGACATGATTCCCAGGTGGCTCCACTTGACTGCCTGCTCCATGTCAGCGTCGTTGAAGACGATCAGTGGCGATTTTCCTCGGGTCTCCAATGTGATATTTTTGAGCGTGGCAGATGCCATTTTCATGATTTGGCGTGCTGTTGCCGTCGAGCCAGTAAAAGCGACCTTGTCGACAAGGGGGTGCTCGACCATAGCTGGGCCAGCCTCCGCACCATACCCGTTGATGACATTGACGACGCCAGGTGGAAAGCCGGCCTCTTTGATGAGCTGACCAAGCATAAGAATGCTAAGGGGAGTCTGTTCTGCGGCCTTGATTACGACTGTATTCCCGCAGGCGAGAGCAGGTCCTAGCTTCCAAGTAGCCATAGACTATGAGCAGCATCTTAGCCTGTGCTGGAGACGTGAGCAAGATTGATATTGGCTCACCAGGGGATAATTCCATGGAATGATCTGAGCCACAACACCGATGGGCTGCCGAATAGTGTATGCAAACTTCTGGTAATTAGTGTTGATCGTCTGTCCGTAGGTCTTATCTGCCCATCCAGCGTAGTAACGAATGGTGGTAATGGCTTCTGGCAAGTCGGTGTTGAGAGCTTCTGAGTATGTTTTGCCTGCACGCAATCAGCAAGAAGTCGAGTCCGAAAAGAAGTAGTAGCCACCATTGTCCCAAGCATCAATTGTTGCAAGGAGCTCCTTGTTCTTCTCAAGCAAATCCGCAAGGCGTGTCATGAGTATCCCTCGATCTGTTGCCGGCAACAACTTCCAAGACGCATCTTTGAGAGCCTTGTGAGCTGCTTGGACTGCAAGATCAACATCTTCAGGTCCAGCCGCCTGCACTGTTACAATCTCGGCTTCTGTCCTGTATGCTATCAATTTTTGGAGAATACGTTTAGCGACTTTGAAACACTCACGCTGGGTCGATTGAAGTGATAGTCTTGTTGCTTTTGGCGGTCACGAACTCGTTGTTGATGAACAACCCTGTAGGCTGGATATATTGGCGTCCGTTAGGAGCCTTGAGCGTCACTGACAAGTTCGACATTTCCTCGTTGTCGAAAGCTCTTGCAATGGTTTTCAATCCGAGTAGGTGAAGTGGTCCTCTGCGTTTCCGGTGGGAGAGACACTTGCAAGATTTGACAGCAGAAGGATTCGTTAAACCGGATGAGAGCACTCTCACAGGTGTATCAGAGACACACTTACGTTGCCCAATGTGTCTTGGATGATGTCGCTTCAGTAATGGTTGAAGTGATCGGGAAGGCATTCCTATCTCGGTATCGCCTTCCCAGATGGGATGTGAGCGAAGAAGGAACCAGACAAGGCCTCCCGATCTCTTGCTGCGCTGGCATGTGCACGCAACACCCAACATCTCGTGCTCTCTTGCCGAACAACATCTCCACTGGAATCTGGAATACCTGAAGCAGCGGTCGCGAATGTTTAATATCGGTGTATCGTCCTGCTCGAACAAGCCATGACAGGCACCTTGTAACTCTTCTCCCGCCATCACACCGAGCATGCCTGTGCTATGGCAATGGCATGAGATACATGTGATGAGCTCTGGTCTTCGAATTATCATTCCAACGACCCTTGTCCAAGGCGGAAAATGTAATACGACGGCATGTCGCTGGAAACGCAGTGTATCATGACAAACCAAGTCTCTCACAGAAGTGACTCGGGCCGAGCACAATGATGCTATCCCCTCATCATGTTGTACTCTACGGGGGTACCCACGACGACCATGATCGACGTAAAGAATGGCATTGATTAGACTAGGTATTCTACATTCTGCACTCAACACTGACAATCGCAAATCATAGCCCGCTCCCCCCTCGTCAACGCCAGCTACGATGTTGTCCTTCCTACGAGCCCCCCATCCGCCTCGGACGAACAATGCATCGAAAGATCTCACTATCTACGAAAATGGCACCTCGTCTGTGCAATATCATAAGAAGGGAAGCGACTACATGATGACACACACTATACCACCTACCGACCCCAAAGACGGCCCTTCGATTATACAACCGCCTTTCCACTACCACATCTATCAGACCGAGAAGTTCCGTGTCACTCAAGGCACCGCCCACATGTTTTTTGGTCTAGACAAGAAGCCTAAAGCAATACTTAGTGCGAAGGGCGGTAGAAGCTCAGCAGTCTTGGGTCCATGCAGATACCACCGATTCGAGAACGCGAGCTCGACGGAAGACTTGAAGATCAATATCCAATTGGAACCTGAAGACTATGAGAACGAGCAGCGATTCTTTAGGAACTTCTTTGGATACCTGGATGATTGCAAACGGAACAAGACACCACCCAGCATCTTCCAGCTGTTCGTTTTCTTGCATTCGGCGGACACTCCGCTGGCTGTGCCCATGCCGTTTGGGTTGGAGACTTTGGGCATATATGTGAGCAGGGTGTTACTAATTGTCGTTGCTTATGTTGGCCTGTATGTATTGGGCTACCAGCAGAGCTACCCTGAGTACTACGACAGCAGCAAGAGCAGATAGTTGTCGCAATAGTTGTCAGAATCGTTGCACTCTTTTTAGTTAGTAATACCTTTGCGTTGAAGGCAACGTTCCTCCTCTCACTGTGCTTCCCCAATTCATGGATCTTGTCATCACAAGGATACACGTCAGAGGATCTTGAGGGAACAGTCCGCCGTAGAATAACTGCGTCGCACAGAGCACTCTGTACTGCAGTGTCGATCAGTTAAGGATCAACTAAATTTGATTAAAGAAACGGCTGCCCTTGCCTAGCCCGTGGGCAAAGTGTGGGGAAAACTTAGGCTTATCTTTGATTGATCAAACTTCTGTCCTTGTGTCACATCCTAAACCTCCACGCTGAACATGCCCCGAGCAACGGAAAAGTCGAATGCCCGTCGCTCACGGTCCTTCGGCGGCTGTGGCACATGTCGTCGTCGCCATGTGAAGTGAGCAGCACGCACTTGTCCCACTCCCTGTGGGAAACCGCTAACCTCCAGGAGTAAGATGCGACCAGGTCCGACCAGTATGTCTGACCTGCAAAGCAATCGGTGCCACTTGCGAAGGCTTCACTGCTGAGATTAGATGGATGAGCTCGTCCAAGGATGGCAACGAGAAGCGCAAAGAGCCAGCGACGCCAGCGACTGGCGTGAGTCGCCGTCACTTGTACTCCGGCATGTTGGTCCGCCTGATACACAGGTGTCTGTGGATTGCGAATTTGACTGACAATTCAAACAGAAAGTGACCGGGAGAAGATGAGCACAAAGCTTGCAGCATCATTCCCGATCGGAACAATTGACTCGTCTTTGAATGAGATTGACAACAAGTCGAAGGAATCTTGCATGGCCGACAAGGACATCTCTGTCGGGCCATTCGGTGTTCTCAACTTGAATCGACCTGCAGTCGAGCCCGTTGCTGAGAGTGAGACGGCAGATGATCCCATGATCTCCATCGATCAACCACCCGCTCAAGAACCCATCCTGGACAATGTCACTCCAATCACAATGGACTCTTGGATGGGTTTGGACGATACCTTGCAGTGGGCTGATCTCTTTGGCTTTGGTACCGACAGCATCTTTCCGCCGTCCGACAGTATATTTGATCCATTACTGGATTTGAGTGGGAACGACAACCTGTTCATCGATCCACAGGCTCTATCGGACCATGACCAGGGAACGTCACATACGTACAACGCGTTGGCAGGGGCGGGAAGCAGGCTAGCATCTGTCGATCAATCAACACTGACAGCCCAAGATGTGCTCAAAGAAGCTCAAATGCTTCTGCGTCATTTCAAGGACACGGTCGTGAATCGACTCGTGAGTCTGCCAGTGACTTCCAAATCGCCGTGGGAGATCATCATAATCCAGGAAGCTATCAATACTCTTGGCCACTTGACGTACCTGGAATCTACCGCCGTGACTTGTGCGAAGAAAGCGACATTGTTTGGGATACTGGCGATCTCAGCGTATCATGTATCCAAGAATCCACCACCGAATAGGTCTACGACCACCTCCTTCGACTTCCAGCAAATCGTGAACACAGCATCGTCGGAGGCAAAGCACAACTTGCAGCAGTCTTTGAAGAATGAGTTGCACGGTTCATCAAAGGCGAAGTATAAAGATCAACTGATGGCAATCGAATGTTTACTGGCATTGGCAGTAAGTTGATGTGCAGCTTTTCAGGCAATTGCTGATCGTTAGTAGGTTATCATGGGCTATCAAAAAGATGCTCGATGCTATCTCATAGATGCAGAGCGTCTGATGAGACACCGCGGTCTAGCCAAACGAGAAGTCTCGCGAAAGTCAAGGCTCTTGCATCATATGTACACCTGGAGTCGAATCCTTGGAGAGAGTACTTATGTTCTCCACGAGTATAGCAGTGCAACTGGCACAGTGCCGAGCTCTCATCCGGGCGGTACGTTGACCGCAGTGCAGCCTCATGTCGTGCATGCTTCAGGTCCTGGGAGTCGCCTTGACGACTTCTTACGACTGGAGCCACATCATGCAGACAGTGAGCTTGACATTGAAGAGGTCAAGGAGCCGCAGACATCTTTGCGCGATATCCACCTGGAAGACTCTCGAGACAACCCAAACACGATGTATACGGAGATATACGGCATCAACGAGACTTGGCTTAGTCTCCTCTCGCAAACGACCCGGCTAGCAAACAGGCTGGATGGTATGAAGGCTACCAACTCCACTGAAGTCACCATGTCAGACCTCTTATCCAGGAGGGCATCACGACTAGAAGACATGATCTGCTCCTTTGCAGCCGACTTCTCGCCCAGATACATTACACCAAAGTTTGAACCAAACAACCACATGCATACGGCGCTGAATTCAGCCTTGGTGATATTCTTCTACAGGCGCATCAAGAACGTCAACTCCTGGATCTTGCAAAGCCACGTAGATGACGTAATATCTGCTCTGGAAAGCTTTGACAAGGCCATCAAGGACAAGCCAGGACAGGGCCCTGGGACGCCATGGCCAGCCTTTATTGCCGCAGCCGAAGCAAGTACACAAAACAGAAGAGAGCGGCTTTTCGCCTGGATCGAAAATGGCGAGGCAGCTACTGGCTTCCATTGCTACACTAGCTCGAAGGAACTACTACTGGAGACTTGGAAGAGACGAGACGAGAATGCGACTGGACAAACGCCAGGTCTTCGGAAGTCGGCAAGACGCTCAGGGGCATCACAATCGACGGCTAGCTGGCTCGATATCTGTCGAGAGCAGAAACGATGGCTGATGGCTTTCTGATTCGTCAATCCCTTGGGTATCTCTCTGTACTTTATCCAAGTCTTCACAAAGATAAGACACGTTTTTCGAAAGGAATAGCCGGATTCCCTTTTCCTTCCACCCGAGGACATACACATACTTCTCGGGCCAATATAGCATGTCTAAGCTCATGTATGGGGAGAACAACGTCCGGCACACCTCAGTGGCGCTACCCCATGGGCACTTTGCTGCAATCACCAGGGTGCAGCTCGTCTTAAACCCGCAGACCAAGAGCTCCAAGAAATCCAAGAAGCCATCTCCGCACGTTCAAGACCACGCGCCCAGCACATGCCCCCTGCGTGACGAACACGCGCTCTACAATGACACCATATGGAAATGCACCAGATCTCACACCAGTCGGTTACAGAACTGATCGTCGGCGTGGCTATCTCACCGCTGGAGTCCTGTCCCCTCTTGGCAATGCGTCTCGCAGGGAAGGTTGATTGAATGCCCGGTGGCGAACGTCCGTCTTGTGTCACGAAGGATGACCTTATCGAGTGATGGCTCCTCGAAGTGCCGAAAACTCATGGTGGGGAGAGTGATCCTGTCAATTGGCCTATAAATGCGTTGTCTTCCATAAAGCTCACCAGACTCGACCAGACTCCTTTGTGGCCACTTCTTGATCTGCTACTACTTCCTTGTGGTTTCTGGAACTTTTGATACTCCTCTCAACCGGTAATATGGACACCAAGGAGAAAGCAGTCGAGGCGCTCGAATACATCGAAAAGGGCCCGGAATCTAAACCAAAGCCTGGGCTCAGCGAAGATGACAGAGAATGGCTTGCGCAAATCGACGCCAGGGAGCAAAACCGAATCTACCACAAAGTCGACCGCCGACTGGTTCCTATGCTGGCTTTGTGTGTGTAATCATCACATTTCTACGTCGAGAAATGGTGTTTGGCTAATCAACAACGCTGCAGTGTACTTAATCGCGTAAGCTGGATTCCGCTGTAATAAGACATGCAACTGATGTTCGTTCTTCTCTCCTTCTCAGTCATCTTGACAGAGCCAATATTGCCAACGCGAAAATTGAGTGAGTTTGTTCACGCCTTGCTGGCGCTGGTAGTGTGTTGACAATGATCACAGGGGACTTGAAGCCAGTCTTGGCATGACAGGCGACGACTATAACGTTGCACTCGTGGTGTTCTTCATTCCCTACGTATGTCTAAAGGCTACTTTAAGGAATAGACTGATCGAGGAACGAGGCTGAAGTGAACAGATCCTCTGCGAAGTCCCAAGCAACTTGCTGCTGTCCAAGTTCTCTCGACCCAGCGTCTACATTGGCATTCTAGTCACTTGCCGGGTAGTCATCATGACCATGTCGGGCGTTACACAATCGTTTGCAGGCTTGCTTGTCACTCGATTTCTTATCGGAGTTTTTGAGGTACGATTTGTAGTTTCATCTCAGCCTGGCCAGAGAGCTAATAACCTTGTGCAGTCCGGCTTCTTCCCTGCAGCAATGTGGATCGTCGGTGAATGGTATCCGCCGCAAAAGACACAGACCAGGATGGCCATGTTTTATCTGGCCAGCGCAGCGTCTGGGGCATTTTCTGGTCTCCTGGCTGCTGGCCTTGCTCAGTAGGTCATTTGAAAGCAAAAGTTCGCGATATGCTGACTAAATTCCAAGGATGGATGGCCTAGGCGGCTATGAAGGCTGGCGATGGATGTCAGTTGCACTTGAAGGGTTGAAATCGTCGCGATACTTACGTTACACAGCTTCCTGATTGAAGGAATCGTCTCTGTCGTAATCGGCGTGATGTGCTTCTTCACCTTGCCAGATTCTCCAACGAAGGCCAGCTGGCTCAAACCTGACGAAGCAAAGTTCCTCGAATTGTCGCACATCGCCTTTCGGGAGGTGAAGACGACGGATCTTGAAGACGAGAAGAAGCACGTCAACTGGGGGATCCTCAAAGAGGTCATGACTGATTGGCAGCTGTACCTCCAAGGCGTCGTGTTCTGGTCCAATACCGTGCCGAACTATGGGCTTAAATTCACCATGCCTTCAATCATCAGAAACATGGGATTCGAATCGACGACTGCGCAACTACTTACTGCGCCTCCGTATGTAAGTATTGACCAAACATCGCATGCATTCAATATTCACAGACTAATGAAAGTTCTCAGACATGTGGTGCAATTGCAGCAGTCCTCTCAGCGCTGTGGGCTGATAAGTTGTCGTGGAGAATGCCATTCATCGTTGCCCATCAGCTGATGCTCGTTGTGGCATTCTCCGTGTTGTTCTCTTTTGCTGCAGAAATCCAGAACAACATTCCTCTCTGTTACGTGATGGTCTGCTTGGCTTGTATTGGGTTGTATCCCATCATTCCCGGCAACAACTCCTGGACAATCAACAACTTGGCCGGCGCAGAGAAACGAGCAATTGGGATTGCATTCATGGTAAGCTCTACTTTGAATTAGAACATGAGACCACACACTGACCTAGTGAGTAGATCATGATCGGCAACAGCGGAGGTTTTGCTGGCTCCTTTATCTTTCTTGAACGTGAGTCACCACGCTATCCGACAGGTTTTGGAAGCTCGCTTGGCTTTGCAACTGCTGGAATCCTGGCTGCACTTCTACTGGAGTTCCTCTACTGGAGTCATAACAAGCGGCACGAACACTTGACCGAACAAGAGGCTATTGCACAGTATGGCGAGAAGGAGCTGGAGAAGATGGGCAACAAGAGTCCGCTGTTCAAATACTCGCTCTAGGGTAAGGAGGTAACATGGGCACAGTCATCGAGGTCTCCTCGGAAGGAGTGATTCCTTCCAATGCGTTAGATCCCTATGGAGTCTCCGAAGAGATCAAACTTACAGGCGAAGGCACAGGTGACACCAAAATCAGAAAGTGTGCAAGCGCCGCGTGCGTCCACTAGCGTCCCAATCACATGCTCTGCGACAAGCTTGGGCCGAAACGTCACCTCCCACTTTCTGCCCCCGCTTGCTTACCACCAACAACACTTCCATGCGTGCTCTAGCAACGCTACTAAAGGCAACATCGGCACTCCAAATGCGCTTGAAAACTTATTTTGTGCAGTGTCACGGCCACGACACTGAAGGCATTGGAATCTCGTTCGACTCAGTTCTCAGAGCGCAAACGATTTGCATCTCCTGTTGTCGACGAGCGGATTTCCGGAATGGAGACTTGAGACTTTGATTGACGACGAGAGTCCTTCGTGGAAGTACAGTAACACAGCACAGCTGCGCCTCGTGACCAAGTCGTCGGGAGGCTGCGGCGTTGTGGACCAAAAGCAGCTTCCACTGGTTCTGACACCCCCTATAGCGATTACATCCGCTTTTGTGGTGCCTTCCTCGAGATACACTTGGCCTAACCGCTCTGTATCTTTCCGGCTACCACTTAGAGGATGTATCCATCGCTTGGCAGTTGCACCATCGCACGACGTTCTAGAACTACCATTCTAGCTTTACTTGGAAACCAAACAAAGTCGACGACGTAGTGGACAAGGCGGAGACACCTGGTGATGACGTTGGAGCAGCAAACATGAGTGTCTACCCGTTCTGCTGTTTCCGGTGCGTCCGTCTCCTCAAACAACATACACTCGTTCAGCGATACATTCGTTTTTGGCAGCCAGTATGGGTATCATTCAGAAACTCATCGTTGCTTTTGCCTTTCTCTGTTTAGCCAATACCAAGCCTACTGGCAAGAGGCAGGCTGGTGGATGCGCCGCGCCTGTGCAGCGTCGAGCATGGTACGTCCGATCCTGTGTAACAACTCACGCTTCGATACTGATCAACGATAGGGTCAATCTGAGCAACGAGGAGAAGCAAGCCTACATTCAGGCCGATAAATGCCTCCAGAACACGCCAGCTCAATATGGCATCCCAGGCGCTCGAACAGTCTGGGATGAGCTGCAGTACGTTCACATTCGGCAAGCCAACTTCATCCACGGCGTGGTAAGTCACCATCAGTCTTGTTTGTTTGACTTCGTAGCTGAATCTAGTCAAGGGAACATTCCTACCATGGCATCGATACTACATCAAACTGCACGAGACGCTTCTATCAAAGCATTGTGGCTACAGCGGCGGCAACCCGTGAGTTTCATACCTCACACAACCCTCCAACAAGAACTGACATCTTCACAGCTACTGGCGAGAAGCCGACCACGCGGACAGCATCTGGGCCACGAATCTCTGGGACGCAACGACCGGCATGGGCGGCGACGGCCAGGGCGAGCAAGGATGTGTCGCAGACGGACCTTTCGCGGGCCTGACACTGATCTACAATGCCGCAGCGCAGCCTGCGGCACCTTACTGCTTGGCTAGAAGGTTCAACGTTGCGTCTTTTCAGGAGGCGGGTCAGAGTCATATTGATGAGTGTTTTGCCAAGCAGTCGTACTGGGAGGCGATGCAGTGCTATGGCAATGCGGTGCATTGGGCTGGTCATGCTGGCGTTGGCAGAGTGGTGAGTTGAGGCAGAAAGGCCGAAAGGCCCGTGAGATCTGGGCTGACAACAGTTATTCTAGATGGAAGACGCAATGCTGGCGCCAGGCGATCCAGTGTTCTTCTTGCACCGTAGGCCATCTGACGACCCTTCCCTACATCTTCTCGAAGCCAGCACTGACAATCAGTCCAGACGCCAACCTCGACCGTCTTTACTACGAATGGCAAAGAGCATCGCCCGGCCGAGTGAACGAGATCGCAGGCCCCAATACTCCCGGCCCCGAGTTCGCCGCAGACAATTGGGGTCGTCCCGGACCAGAGTTCACGGAATCCTCAGGTGACGGCGGCGGAGAGACGACTCTCAACCACGTGCTGTGGATGGCGGGCATGATCCCCAATGCTACAATCTCCCAAGTTCTAGACATCCACAGCGAGATCAACTGTGCGGACTATCTCTAGGCAGCAGAATGCATCCGTGCGCCGGGGGAATGAGGACGAAATGAGATTTACGCTTCTTAACGATATTATTCAGGCTGTGTCGTACCTACTCTCAAGGGTACAAGCTCAGTAATAGTATTCTGGACACATAGATCTACATGAAATTCAAAAGCACGAACAATGAAACTGTTCTTCCTGCATCCATACCTTCCCCATTGAGTCTTTGCCGAGCCTTACGACGCCTCGCCCCATATTAAAGTCCTCACGATATACGATCTCGTATTACTCTCGTTATAGACAAGCATCTCTCCGCACATTGCTACCCGAAGAGGTAATAATCCAAAGTTTTCCGGAGCGAGAGACCTGCAGCGGTAGAGCATGAGTACGTCACATCAAAGCGACAAACGAGCCGACCAACCGGCTGCCGTCCAATGACCACCGAATGCGTCAATGGGAAAGTGTTCGTGATTCGGGAGAAAGGCATACCGAGACTCGCAAAGTGCAGTATGCAATGAAAGGCGTCGTACTGGTCAGCACCATCTACGAGTGCAGCAGACTTGTGCAAGGCTATGGCTAGTTGGAGAGCTGATCGACACGATATATTGCGGATGCATAATTTGGATGCCTGGGCGTCCCTTTTCTTCCGTTCTACTTGCTTGGCGATGTTGATGTTTGTAGACGCCGGACAGGTGTCGAGCTGGTCTTGAGAATGCGAAGTGCATGGGCACGCGAGGTGCATTCATCGAGAATATGGTGGGTCAAGAGGTTGTCGTATTTCGTATGTCGCGGTGATGGATGTCAAGAGGAGACACAGCTGAAGGTGTATATAAAGTCTTAGGGGCACTTAATCGATAAACCGATCACCAGCGAATTCTTCGACCATGAAGATAAACGCAATCTCTCTCGCGGTGCTGTGCCTTACCTGGCACGCCTCAGCCTTCCCCCAACTTCTCCAACGCCAGTCATCTCAAACATCCATTGCCCCTTCTCAAACCACTCTCACTCCAACACAAACCGCCGAGCTCTCCAACATCGGCCAGGGCGCCGTGAAAGCTCTCAGCCAAACCCCTGTCGCTACCCCTGGCTTCAACGCAGCCTTGCAACGGATCGACGTGAGCGGCGTCCACGCATGGCGAGCACCCGGACCGAATGACCAGCGCGGTCCATGTCCTGGTCTTGTACGTCGATTCACATCACATAGCTAGATATACCCTCTGACAATCTCATCTTAACAGAACGCCCTCGCCAACCACGGCTACCTCCCCCGCAACGGTGTCGGCTCCATCCTAGACTTCATCACAGCAACCAACACCGTCTACGGCATGGGTCTCGACCTATCCGTCATCCTCGCGGCATACGGTGCCGTCTTCGATGGGGCTCTCCCGCTGGGCTGGAGTATCGGGGGCGGAGTACATACAGGGATAGGAGGGAGCCATGGACACTACGAGACGGATAATTCGCCTATGAGGGCGGATTTGAACCAGTATGGGTCGAATACGAGGTTGGTGTTGGGGCAGTTTCAGGAGGTAGGGTGGTTCCAAAAAGTGTTGATTACGGGTGCGTTTCGCTGACGAGATGCAGTTCTTCGATCTTCAGCCGGATGCCGCGACGGCGAATTACGATATCGATGTTCTTTCCCAGTTCAGGGGGATACGCTTCAATGAAAGTATTGCGAAGAATCCTTACTTCTATTGTGAGTACAACTCTGTTGTCTAGTCGATTCGATCTCACTGACATACCGCACACCAGATGGCCCATTCGCCGGAACGACAGTCTCCCAAGCGGCCTTCTCCTTCATCTACCGCTTCATGGCAAACCACACAGAAGCCAACCCAGCAGGAATTCTGAACCAAGACGTTCTCAAATCCTTCTTCGCCGTCTCCGGTGACGACGGTGACTTCACCTGGAACCCGGGTCATGAGAGGATCCCAGATAGTAAGTCACCCACCAACAACTGCCCATACACCCTTCGTGCTGAATAAACACAGACTGGTATCGCCGCGCCATCGGCGACGAATACACTCTCGACGGCCTCGGATCGGACACAACCACCTTCGCCTCACGGACCCCCCGAATCAACACGCCTGGCTGCAACACAGGCACAGTCAACTCCTTCGTCGCAATCGACACGTCCTACGCGGACTACGACTTCAGCACGCCCACACAAGGCGTCTGCTTCGCTCTGGCGGAAGTTTTAAGTGTGGCGGAGATGTTGCCGGTGGTGGGGATCGTGGTTGATCTACTGGTGCTGCCCGTGCAGAATGCGCTGGATTGCAGGACTGTGCCGGCGAGGAATGATTCTGTGAAGGATGTTTGTCCCGGGTATAGTTTTTATGGAGGGCCTACGGGGATGGTGGCGCCTGGGGCGGGGCAGGATTAGAGAGTGATTGGGAAATGGAGATTGGAGGGCGGTAACTCGGGTGTGTATCGTCTGTACTGTCAGAGGCTGCCATAAGACCAAGGAGTAACCGCCGAGTTGTGTTTTGAACTATGTTCAGTCCGCTCGAGGTGACTTGTGCCTGACATCCGGCCGGCCACCGGTCATGGATACGAGATTGCAGCAAGTACGGACCGGGGAGGTCATGTCGAGATGCGTGCAATTCCCACCCTGCGCGCAGCACCGCTCCACAGTATAGAAGCGAGCGCACCAATCGAATGAGGAACGTGAGGCAGACGAATGTGTGCCCTTGGCATGCAGTAAAGCAATTCGACGAATGTTCTATCCCCCGGCGCCTTCTTCATCCGAACTCCCATCTTGCATATCATCGTCCTCGACATCAAGCTGTGCACCTCCTTCAGCGTCTTCGTCGTCCTCCAGCTCTTCATCATCCCACTCATCGTCATCGCTCACCTCACCGTCCATGTCTTCGTCCTCCTCATCCTCATCGTCTTCAGCGCTTTGCCCGTTCGCCTTCCGCTCAGCTTTCTTGCGCTCAACATTTGCTTTCTGTTCGGCTTTCCTCTTTTCCTTCTCCTTTCTCCGCTTCTCGTGCACCTTCTCCATCTCCTGGATCTCTTCTTTCGACTTGTGGATGTACTCATGCCACATGATCTTGCCGCCGCACAGACCTTCTTCCACCTTTGTCAGGCGTAGCTTCATCCGTGGTCCCAGCTCGTAAAGTTTGACTGCCTTCTTCTCCACATCTGCTGTGCTCCTCTTTTCAGAGACATCCTTTTGTGCCTTCCTCTTCTGCACTTTCCGTGACGATGGTGCCATCACTTCAATCTCGGCGTCCGTATCTGGCTCTGACTCTGATCCAGAAGTGAATCCATCCGCAGCGTTGGGATCCAACAAGTAGTCCGACACATCATTCAACTTGCCCAGGTTGGGAAGACCGCCTCGCTTGCGCTTCTGGCCCGCATGACTGAGCTTCTCGGCAGCGTCTAATCGTCTCAAAGGCTTCGGCACAGATTTGGCGGTTCGAGTCTCAATTGCATAGTGACGTAGGTTCAGTGTGTACGAAGCAGCGTCGGAGTTGGGATCTGCAGGTTCGCGATCGAGCAGAAGCACCCGCTTCATGCCCTGCAAGGCAGTCGTGGTTGGATTGATGGGTGGAAACATGGACTGGAAGACACTGGTCGTCAAAGATTCGAGATGCTTGGGTATCTTGGGTTGTTGCTTTTGTTCGCCGTTGGTCTCCTCCTTCGTGACGAAGTTGTTCATGACCAGTAATGGTGCCTGTAGGTATTCCTTGCCTCCGCTCTTTGGTCGCTTCATACTGTGGTATATGTCCTTGCACAAGCTGTAGTTCTCCACGCGAAAATGGAAGGTCGGTCCTCGAGGAGTCAATGCCAGACGCATGTTCGTATTGCCGTTGCTACTTCTGCTTAGAAGCATCAAATGTGTGATGCCCAGCGGCCCCGCCATGGTAGTGTAGTCGCGCAGCTTGTTGCTTCTCCGCTCTTTCAATCGCGAGGCTGTGTCCGGCTCCATCATCTGCCTGATATCTCGCACGAGTTGCGACACGCTCTGCCCGACCTCGCTGGCGCCCACGCGAATGACCATGCTCTTAGGCGGGCGTGACCCAGCCTTAGGGGCCGCATGACTTGCTGACGCGGCCCCGAGGCCAGGCTTTGCGCCGACATGCGTTCGTTTCTTGACTCTTCTCTTCGCCATTTCGTGCACAAAGTTGTAACAAGCTCCAAGCACATTTTCCAAAAGATCTTCGACAATTCCCACTAGCTCATCACGCTAGAGACGGTCAGATCCGCCGCTAAGATAACCCTAATCTTATCGCGGCGCCTTCGACACCACCGAAGAATATTTCTGGCCGCCACTTCCACATTTCACACACAGAACAGCAACATGTCGTCGAACAAGAGAAGAAAGCTGGACACGGGCTCTGTCAAAGACAGCGACCCTTCACCTCTTAACAAGAAGCCGTCTTCGAAAGGCAAAGCACCGCTCGTGGAAAAGACATCACCCGAACAACCTTCTCCCAGTCACGAGTCCACGAAGCGCCCACATTCAGACGTCGATGAGGACGAAGATGAGGATGACGATGAAGTAGAAGAAGGAGGAATCGAAGAGGAAGTGCAGGCCAGCGCCGAAGCTGAAGCGGCAGACAAAACATTCGCAGACTTGGGTGTCACAGAATCACTTTGCGATGCTTGCTCTTCGCTAGGCTTTACGAAGCCAACGGCAATCCAGCGCGAAGCCATACCCATAGCCCTCGAAGGCAAGGACATCATCGGTCTGGCAGAGACGGGTAGTGGAAAGACTGCGGCTTTTGCGCTGCCTATACTACAAGCCTTGCTCGACAAGCCGCAGGCAATGTTCGGCTTAGTGCTCGCACCTACTCGTGAACTGGCATATCAGATCTCGCAACAGTTCGAGGCCCTCGGCAGTCTAATCAATGTCAGATGTGCGGTGATCGTGGGTGGCATGGACATGGTGCCTCAAGCAATCGCCCTCGCAAAGAAACCCCACATCGTGGTAGCCACACCAGGTCGACTGCTCGATCATCTGGAGAACACGAAAGGCTTCTCACTACGGCAAATGAAATATCTCGTCATGGACGAAGCAGATCGTCTTCTCGACCTCGATTTTGGCCCCATCCTCGACAAGATCCTCCAAGTCCTACCCCGCGAACGACGAACGATGCTCTTCAGCGCGACGATGAGTACGAAGCTTAACAACCTCACTCGAGCCGCACTGCAGCAGCCCGTCCGCGTCAGCATAAGTAGCAGCAGCTACCAGACCGTCAAGAACCTCATGCAGCGATACGTCTTCATCCCGCACAAGTTCAAAGACATCTACCTCGTGTACCTCCTTAACGAGTTCTCCGGCCGGACGTGCATCCTCTTCACGCGAACGATCCACGAGACGTCGCGAATCGCTTTTATGCTGCGCGCCCTCGGCCGCTCGGCGATTCCACTCCATGGTCAGATGAGCCAGTCTGCCCGCCTCGGCGCTCTGAATAAGTTCCGAAGCGGCAGCAAAGAAATCCTCGTCGCCACCGACGTTGCGGCACGAGGTCTCGACATCCCATCCGTCGACCTCGTGCTCAACTTCGATATCCCACCCGACAGCAAGACGTACGTCCATCGCGTTGGTCGAACGGCTCGAGCGGGCAAGTCCGGTTTCGCTATTTCGTTCGTGACGCAGTATGACATCGAAGTCTACCAGCGGATCGAGAAGGCTCTGGGTAAGAAGCTAGAGGAGTATGCCACGGAGAGGGACCAGGTGATGGTGTTTGCGCCGAGGGTGGCGGAGGCGCAGCGAGTGGCTATCACGGAGCTGAAGAATGAGGCCGACAAGAACGGTGGCAAGGGCAGGGGTAAAGGTGCGGGTATCGGCGGCGGGAGAGGAAAGAAGGGCAAGCGGGATGATATGGATGTTGATGAGAGGTGATTGTGATGGATGGCTTTGTGAAAGGAAAAGTCTGTCTTGCCTGGCTGTTCTTGTGTTGAGAAAGTATTTAGATACCCACTAGCGTCATGAGCATCTTGTTGTACAACGGGGTATCTACACAGTACCACACCAAACCTCAATCCTCCGTCCTCCCGCCTTGTCCCTGCGGTCTTGCAGTAGCCAACTGATCAACCATCGCAATCGCACCCTTCACGTCATCCTTGTTGTACAGGAACAGTCCCTGCAACGCCGCCGTGCTCACGCTGCCTATGAGATCGGCATCTCTTGCCTTTTGCATGAACAACGTCTTGCCCTCTCCGTTAGTGTCACTTTCAGCGTAGAACCGGTCCCAGAGCTGCTCCATCTGCCATTCGGTGGCGTTGCCTAGATGGACCGTCATGTCGACTCTTCCGGGTCTGATTAATGCGTCATCGAGCCGATCGATATGGTTTGTGGTCATGAAGATGATGCGTTCCTCCGCGCTGGCAACGCCATCTAGGGCGTTGAGGAGACCGGAGTAAGTGACGTTCGCGCCGCTGTAGCCGTCCTCGTCTCGTTGCCGGCGATTCGTGAATGCGGCGTCAGCGTCTTCGAGGAGGACGATTGTTCGCGGTGGGACGTTCAAGAGGAGATGGTTGAGGAGGTCGTCTGTCAGTCCGCGTTGGCTGAGACTTAACATGGCGATGTTGAAGTCTAGCTCGCCGGCTAGGGCTTGCACGAAGGAGGTTTTGCCTGTACCTGGCGGCCCGTATAGGAGGTATCCTCTCCGGTAGGGAATGCCGCGATCGAGGTACCAGGTCCGAGCATTGAGGAATTCGTTCACGTCGTTGAGGATTTTGTCGCTGAGGCCTTTCTGTAAGACGACCGAGTCGAAGGGTCGCCGTCGTTTGGGTTCGCCTGATTTCTCCCAGGTCACGTTGCGGCTTGTGTAGATGACGGTTTTACCCTCTGTGCTTTGGAGGGCCATATGGTGTGCTTCGCGAAAGATGTCTTCGAAGATGTGGCGGTAGTAGTAAAGTGTTGTGAGTTTGACCGTCTCGAAAGGCTGGCCATTTGAGTCGAAGCTTTTGCCGACTCTTTCACGATTGACGGCGAGGAACGCATTCTTGTATCGTAGAATGTGCCTTCCATGGCCGGGTACCAGAGCAAAGGCAGTCTGCTGTGAGCCGCTCGCAGTCCTCGACACTTGGGTCTTGATCTGGAGATGGTGAAGTCCAGGGGTGAAGCGCCGAAGGAGGGACTCCAGCGCTCCAACCTGCTTCTTGCCCTGTGGCGCTAATGATTGCGAGTAGTGGTTCGTCATCCAGTTCAGAACCCAATTGTACGATTCATCGTGTCTCGTAATCTCCAAATCAACCAGCATGCGATGTCTGATGAGCTCGGCGGTGCGTCTGAGACCGATTGATCCATATCGCAAGGCAGCTCCTAGCCCTGCGAGACCAAAGCCGGCCGTGAAGAAGGGGTTTTCCAGCAGCTGGGAGAGGATGGAGCCCTCGCCCTTGCCGATGTTCGCGAGCTGGTTGACAGCGTCCTGTCTTGCATTTTGCGTACTCCCTACGGCGGTGACGGGCGGAGATGGCGCATTGTGGTCCATCAAGAGTGAACGTGAAAGTTGCACGTCCTGAAGCCAAGCTTCGTCGCTTCCAACCACAGCAGATTTGGACTTCGGCTAGTGTCTCGCTAGTCGCGGACCCTGGCAATCCTTCCATCACGACTGCTTCACCTGCCATGTCGTGTGCCCTTTCTACCAACACCCGCAGCGAGTCTGTCGTTGTCACCACCGCCTCTTTGTCGAGGAGTCCACCTCGCATCCGACGCCATGGCGAATACGGACAAGGTCACCGTCGACAAATCTTACTTTGATGCACTTCTACGTCGGTACGTTTCACACGATAAAGGGAGCCGCTGCAGATAACCGCACAGACTGACACACGGCGTTTGTTGACAGGGCCGATTTTGTACGCATATATACGGGGCCTGCACCTGTTTTGTTTGTTACAGTGCGACTAACATGCCTTCGAAGCACACTGCAACCCAGATCCTGGGCCGCCCAGACCCGGCCAATGTCACCATCTCGCGGGTCGAGTACGATAGCCTGGTAGGCGAAGTGCAGAAATGAACGGCCTCTCCTATTACTGACTTGGCTGGTAGCTGCGGCTGTCGAAAGAATATGACATGCTCAAGCATGCACTCTTCCAAGGCGGCCTCACCCCTGAAACCCTGGGAGTGTTGATCTCAGGCTCCGAGCCTCAGCCACAGCGGCAGACTCGTGTCGATTCCTGGGCCGACGACTACAATGACAATCCATCAGCCTTCGGAATCCCGCACATGCTCGCCAATGGTACCGGCAACCACAATGGCACGTCGTGGAAGCCAGGAATCAATCACTCAAACCTCCAGGCCGCACTTGGTGCACCTAACTTCACAACTCGCAATGGCGCGCAGAACAACCTCCGCATCCCAAGCTCTCAGCGCCACCCAAGCAATGGCATCGTCCCGTCCTCTGTGCCTGAGGATGGAGGGTTCGAGGAAGGTATCAGCTCCTTCGGCGATGGCAACACGGAGTACGCGAACGGCAACCACCAAGCAGACTCGGCGATGCGGACCCTGTATTTCTGCGGCTTTCACCCACGTACGACTTATCGAGATCTGTTGTCCGTGATCAAGGGCGGCAAAATCTTGAGCATCAACCTTCGTGCCGAGCGCAGTGCGACTGTGACTTTTCACGACGGTGCTGCCGAATACTTGGCATGGGTGAAGCGAAACGACATCTACCTTCATGGCAAACGGGTAAGTGGTGCTGTGAGGATTGCGAGGTTCGCTGCTGACTTTTGAAAAGGTCGAAGTGCGATGGGCTGAGCGGCAGTTTCGTCTCAACAACCACATCAATAACAAGGTGGCCAATGGGGCGAGTCGAAACCTTCTCATCCGCAACGCTGCCGACAAGGGCATGACCGAGGATCGAATCCGCGACGATATGGAACATATCCACAACCTCATCATCATCGACGTTACTTTCCAGGGCAGACACGCCTACGTGTCCACCACTTCAATCCACACGGCACTCTTCGCCCGGACATGCATGATGAGTAGGTCGGCTTACAGAGGGTGCAAAGTCGAGTTCTACCAGGATGAGTGCGACACTCCACTGCCATTCCGCGCGCCAGTACCGAGAGGTGTGCCGCAAGAGCCAGCCAAGAAACCAATGTCATTGGCCAACAGATTCGACATGCTGGACACGAACAGCGATGCCTCCAGCACCGACATCGAAAATCGCGATCCTCTTGACGGCGGGACCGTTGATTCAGACGACGACACCACGATCGACATCAAGTGTCGCCATGGAGTGAGGCTTGACTTCGTGGACTCTGAGAGCGAGGCTTAAAACACGGTTGTACAATACTTGCTTCGTGTTTTCTCATCGTCGTTCTTTCCTTGCCACACACGAAGGCACTCACACGGCGCCACAAACGCATCAAAGTGGGAAGCACTGTTTCGGTTCTGTGCTTAGCGACTTTTATGGGACATGAGATGGCTCTGCGGTTTGGGTTTGAAGAAGGTTGGCGTCGACGATTGGAAGCGAAGTATGTTAGAGATACCCATTAGCGCGATGCATTCTGTACTTGCACACAGCTCGGGCGGCGTTTACTGTTGGGCCTGCTGATAAATACAAGTTTCGGTCCATCTTTCAGAAATCCTCGCAGGTGAAGACGGACGTGCTTTCAAACCTCGGAGAGTTCTGACACTGCTGGTGATGTTCTGTACTTTAGGGCCAAGTTGTTCAACAATGATGACTAGGTCTGTACCTCGTCTGCTCTAACCGCATCAGTAGCCTTGTGTGTGCCAATGAAAGCATCGACATCGGTAGTGGGGGCCAAAGGTGATTGTGAGTTGACCGCATTGCCCGGTGGTAGGCCAATCTCCGTCTAACGCCTGTTCAGGCCAAGACAGTCAAATGTATAACAATGGCAGTGTTTGCACCTCTCAGAGCGGATTTAGACTGCTCGGTTCGAACTGGTCCTCCTTTTTGAGCCATGAACTTGAGGTACGTTCCGTTCGTCGTCATTATTGCGAACTTCGCAGCATGTACATTCGTCCACGCTGTACCTCACGAAGGCACGAACCATGACCGGAAGCCCGACAACAATACTGCCCGACTACTCTACCAATACCCCATCGGCACCTGGATTGAAAACATCGCAATCCGACCCAACGGCAACCTCCTCCTCACGATCCTAAGCTCCTCAAGACTCGACCAACTCGACCCCTTCTCCAACGACCCTGTGCCAGAGACCGTCTACAACTTCCCAAACGCCACCAGCGTGACCGGCATCGCCGAGATCGACCACGACGTCTTCACAACCGCCGTAGGCAACTTCTCGCTCGCGGGCGGAGGCTCGACGGCGGGGAGCTGGAGTGTTTGGAAGACGGATTTCTCCAATGGTTATGGTCGTGCCGTCGTCGATAAGATCGTGGATCTACCGGACCTCACGTTCCCGAACGGGATGTGCAACCTCCCATCGACACGCAGGAAGCCTGAGGATATCCTCCTCGGCGACATCGACACGGGCAGAATCTGGCGTCTGGATCCTCGCACGGGGAGCCACGACGCCGTCATTAAGAATTCCTTGACGGCGACGGCAGCGAATCCCATCTTTGGAATTGTGGGCGTGAATGGGATTCACGTCCGTGACCACGAGCTGTATTTCACGAACACAGGCCAAGCCCTCTTCGCGAAAATGCCTATCCATGCGGATGGAACGTCTGCGGGTTCACCGCGAGTTGTGTCGTATTTCTCCAACTCGACGCAGTATGCGGATGATTTCGCTCTGGGGCACAACGGGGATGATGCGTTCCTCGTGACGGGGTCGGGGAATTCGATTGAGAGGGTTGGGGTGGATGGGGTGGACGAGGGGAAGGGGAGGATTGTGGCGGGAAGTGTGAATTCGACGAGGATTGCTGAGCCGACGGCTTGTACCTTTGGGCGTACGGAGGGGGATCGAGAGGTTTTGTATGTGGTTACAGCGGGTGGGATGGCGAGTCCGGTCAATGGGAATGAGGTTGTGGGTGGGCAGGTGTTGGCTGTTGATGTTAGGGGCTGGAAAAGGGAGACGAAAGCGTCTAGATGAGTTTTCCGCCCTCTTCTCCTCCTCCTCCAAACAGACTACAGCTTGGGAACCCAAAGAAAATACACTCCCCGAGATCCAAAGTCCACATCTCTCAAATTCCATGCTTCGCCAGCTCTGTCTGCGTCCACTCCCACAACCTCCCCGCCAACCCCTGATCCCTCGAAAACGCACTATCACCGCCCTTGACACCCACAGGCGTATAGTACTCCCCGCTCTCCACGCCCTTCTTGGCCGTCGCAGCCCACAACTGATTCCTCGCGCCCTGCTCAACATCCAACCCGATCAGAGGCACGACACATTTCGAGAACGCCCTCACAACGAAATTCCCTGCAATGTCCGCATGCAGGTCCGTCTTGACGATGCCAGGATGGACAGACACGGAGGTCACGCGAGGATGACGCTTGGCGAGTTCGCGCGCGTAGAGGATGTTGGCGAGTTTCGACTGGCCGTACCGGTCGTTCGTAGGGTGCTTCTCCGCGGTGGTCTGGAGACTTGCAAAGTCGATCCCGCCGGACGGGACGTATTTGTGCGCCATGGAGCTGACGCTTATGACGCGGACGTCGGAAGCAGGGGCCGTAGCTGTGGCCGTGGCTTCCAAGTGTGGGAGGAGGAGTTTCACGAGCGCGGCGTGGCCGAGGTGGTTGGTGCCGAATTGGATCTCGTAGCCTTCTTGCGAGAGGCCCGGTGGACACGACATGATGCCTGCGTTCAGGAAGAGGATGTCCAGCCTCGAGGTTTGCCTTAGGAACTCGTCCGCGGCGGATTTCACGGACTCTAGCGATGCCAGGTCGAGCTGGAGGGCTTTGAGTCGGGCATCAGGGATGATGGTGCGGATCTCTGCGATGGCGGCTTGGGCCTTGGAGAGGTTGCGTGAGGCGATCCAGATTTCTGAAGGATCATGGTGTGCGAGTTGGAGGGCGGATTCTTTCCCTAGGCCGGCGTTGCCGCCGGTGATGAGGATGACTTTGCCAGCGAGGGAGGGGATGTCTTTGGAGGGGTTGAAGGAGTTGGAGGGCATGTCGAAGGGCTTTGAGGGGCGGGTGGTGAGGATAGTGGGGCTGCATACTGTGAGGAAGGTCTTACTGTTCATATATCCCTACACTTGTGTGTGACTTGACATGCACATAGTATAGGCGATTCGTAACGTCCGATATGCGGCCGCATCAGTTCTCATGGGAATGTAATCTTCTGCGTGGAAAGCCTGCAGCCTGGCCAGCCGACTAGGTCGGGACGGGACGGGTGGTGAGGATACTAGGGCTGCACACTACACGAGGACGTGGATAGACATGCACATAGTATTGGAGATTCATAACGTCGCACATGCGGCCGCATCGGTTCTCCCGGAATGGTGGTCTTCCGCATCCGAATCCTGCAGCCTGGCCAGCCTACCAGGTAGGGTGGAACGCTCATTTAAAGTTTTCGCATATCTCATATGCATGAAGATGGAACCATGTAGTCTGTGTCCTAGGTCTGTATTATTGTGCATCTGTGGTGATCGCAGTAACTTTCAATGCGCGCGGGTTCTGTCTGGGTCCAAAGGCTGAACTCATCGCTTGGTAGACTCTTATGTTTGCTTCTTCTTTGCGAGGTTATATTGATTGGATAACGGAAAGGTACGGGACGTAGGGAGGCACGGAATAGAGGCCGTCGTACTTGAGTTGACCGCATTAGTCTGGCCTGGAAACCCCGTCCTTCGTCTCCAGAACACCGGCTCCCAAATCAAGACATATCAACACTTCTTCTCCTTTCCTCCCAAAACTCCCTCCTCCAAGCCGTCGTCAACTCCAGAATCTTCTTATCCGCGAAGGGAGTCATCTGCGTCGCGAAGAAACCTGCTACACCCTCGTCTTTGCAAATCCACCAGATCACATTCGACGCTCCGCCCCAACACAGCACATTCTTCGGCTGGCCGATGGCCTCTGCAGGACCTAAGGTTAACGTCCCCCCAAGTCCGTGATTGACGTCTTCATCCGCAACGGGACCGGTGCAGATCGCCCAGGCGGGTTTCCATTGCAAGAGCATATCCGTCTGGGGCGAGGAAGGAGGGAGTTGAGGCGTGAACATGAGAGAGATAGTGGAGGGGGAGAGGAGTTTCGGCGTATCGGAGATGAGGTCCTGCAGCACGGCGAGGTAATCACCCATGGTACACGCGAGGTCTTTTCCGCCTTCTTCGTCCTCGGCGTTATTTCCGAAGATGAAGGATGTTTCTTTCAACCCGCCCTCTGGCGTGCGTTCAAGTCCTTGCATCAGCCTCGCTTCGTACTCTGGTTTCTTCGAGATTCTGAACGTCGGGAAGGGGGCTTGTCGGCCGAGGGGTTTCCAGATGTGTTCGATCATGTAGTCTTCGAGGGTGGTGTTGTGGAGACGACGGACGGCGATGCCCGCCCAGTCAAGGCTGGAGCCGTACATCCACCCTTCACCGGGTTCGTAGAGCAAAGGCGTGGCGTAGCGTTCGGTGACGAAGTTGGAGGGTTTGAAGTCTGGTCGTTTTCGCCACTTCATGAGCGAGGGGTTGAGGAACCAGTAGCCCATTCCAGAAGTGTGTGTCAAGAGGTGTCGGGCTGTGATGGGGGCTTTGGGGGCGTGCTCGTGCACCTCGAGGGAGTCTGTGATTTCGTCAAGGACCTTTAACTCGGCGACTTCTGGCAGGATTCGGGAGATGGGCTCGTCGAGAGTGAGTTTGCCTTGGTCGATACACTGGAGTAAGGCTACGCTTGTGATGAATTTGGAGGCACTGGCAACCTTGAGGACGGCATCTTCACGGAGAGGCGAGGCGTCGGGAGAGATGGAGTCGTAGCCTGCGATTTTGCTGTAGATCTCTCCTGTAGTCGTTCGTCAGTATAGAGAAGCAAATTTCGATGCGATTGAGACGACATACCGTTCTTATCGACACACTTCGCCATCAAGCCATGCACACTCGCCTCCCCTTTGTTGGTGTACTCCTCGACAAGTCGACCAAATTCAGACATCTTCACTGTTGCCGATCGTTGAGTCGAATGGTTCTCTGCTTTCATCAACCAACAGCAAAATCTCGCCCTTTATGTATCTTCTCGTCCATCTGAGACTTTCAGCCGTGGTGTCCTACAATCGTTCCACCTCGCATGGTTCGAGTCGAACACCGCCTTACGTCCGCTTGCAGGCAGTGTTGTCGTCCAATGGCCGTCGAGAGGGTGCGAAAAAGTGGGGACATTCTCGCAGCTGAAAGACGGCCCTATGCCTCGCTGTGTAATATTTCGAGCTCTCACCTCGCACAGCATTCGTCTGGGGTTCACTCTTCCCGTATGGCTTTGCATCGTCTGGAGTGACTCACGGTACAAGCATGAGCTACGGCAATTGCACTGCGAAGTCGTTGTGCTTTCCCTCGGAGACTGTCCGAGTGATGTCTTGGATCAGGGCTAGTGAGAAGACCACAGTGCTCCCATCGGAAATCCACATTGACCATGTCTCTTCGAGGGCAGCGCTGTGGCGTCCTGGCACACTCCGCCTCGCAGGTGGCTTTGGCCGTGGTGGAGATTCAAGTTCGACCACAAGGCTGGTCTTTCCATCCACGGTGACCACTCAACCCTATGCCTCATTACACCTCACTACATGTTAGTTCGAGCTTCACCCCGCGGAGCATTTGGCTGATCTCAACTCTCTCTGTACCAGTTTCCATCGCCTAAAGTAAGCTGTCTCCGTAGAAGGTATGTAACCCCTTATAACTTGTCGTTTCGTTCCTATTTATTTCCTTCCACCCCATCGCCAGCATCCTCGCGAGCGTCGCCCGCCGAGTCGGGTGCGAGTCACACCTCCCGCCCGCCCTCTTCGTGCTCTACAACCTCCACATGGCGTCCTGGATCCTAACCCTCCCAGGAGCATGTCTAGACGCAAACACCACAAGTACCAACTTCGCAGCCCTGGCGATGTACCTCCTAACCTCCGTCCTCATGGTAACGACCCACGACGGCCTCCTTGTGGAATGGCTCCTCTGTCCCCGCTGGCCTATCTGGTACCGTCAACGCGGGCCCGATGCCAGGCCAGACCTCGTGGCGGCGAGGTTGACGGCGATTGAGCTGGGGAAAGATATTGTCATTTCGCCGCCTTTGATCGTGGCTATGGTTTGTATGACGTTCGCGCTTTATGCGCAGCACGTTCTGTCTATGGTCCTGTTTGTTCTTCATACGGGAGCGGCGGTGGTGAATGTACGATATACGTCTGCTTTTGGGCTGTGGCGTCCGAGGCTGTTTGGCTTGCGTAGTGCGATTTGGAGGGTTCGAGATCTGCTTCATCCTTAGCGATTATACTCCCTTTTTACTCAAGTGCGGACGAATTAATGTCTGGAAGCAGACTGATTTTCGCAATTTTTCATTCGTTTCAGGGCTATTTGGGTATCCTTGACTCGCGTCACTAGCATCGCTTTGCAAAGTCCAGAAAGCTCTTCAATACCTTCCATGAAAAACAAAGGCTTCCGCCATGATATTCTCCCATCGCTTTTAGGCAATCAACGCTGAATCTAGACTATGTCAAGCTCAAACAAGCCGTCCAGAGGTCAGAAGAGCCAACACCGAAAGCTGGTTCGCCAGAGATGCAGCCTTGCAAACGCCTTCAAAGCGCCAATGCCAGCCTCAATAGCATCCTCCTGCGCCGTCGAAACAAGTCTTGGGTATCGTGGTGTTGGTGTGATGAATGATGTGTAGTGGTATGATGTGGTAGTCTAGCGGCTGGTTCTCGATGCGATGGCAACTTCACCTGTGCTTGACTGGTTGGGTGCCGTAAATTCAGGCAGCAGACTACTGACGGGCAGCATTGCGAGTGCGCTTGCCGGCGGCTCCCGATGAAGCGCCCTCGAGTGGCTCGCCATCGCGCTTGTGGCCTGCCTTGGTGCGTGGCCAGTCGTCGAATGGGCTGCGCACATTGCGACGACCAGCTGGGAAGGCCGGCGCTGGGGAAGTGTCGCGACCGCCGGGCGACTCAGTCTCTTCGATGACCGGCGTAAGATGCGTCTCGACCTTCTTCTTGCGCGAGCTGCGGGCGGGAGTGGGAAGTGCTGGCTCGGATGAAACGCCCTCGTCGGTAGCAACTGGCTCAGGAGTATCGTCGTGATAAATCGGAACGTCGTTGATTTCCACCTTCTTCTTACGGCCAGATCGGGCTGGTGTTGGCAGGTGGACAGCGTCATCTGCTGTAGCTGGCAAGTACTCGGCGTCATGCTTCCTGGACGCGCGCTTAGTAGTCGGTGGGCTCATCATCGGTTGAGTCGACGACTTCGTCTTGGCGGGAGTGGCGACAACAGGAACCTCCTCGACCGTCTCTTGCATGTGCGCGACTTCTGCCACATCAGCCATCTCGACATCCGTCTCCGCCTCTTCATCGATATCGTCGCTCGCACCGTATCCTGAGTCGAATGATTGGAAGAGCAGGCGTGGCTTGATAGAGCTGCGAGTCATCGGGCGACTGGCCGCGCTTCCAACGGCGCGCTTGAGTGCGAGCTGGTAGGCGGAGCTGCCAGGTTCCTCGTCATCTGACTCTGGTGGCGGGACACCTTCAAAACGGCGAAACACCTTTCGGCCGCGGCTGTAACCAGGTTAGTGTTGAGTTCAGAATGTGATGCAGAAAAGACTTACAAGTTGTAGACAATGCCCTCATTTCGAGCTGCAGCCTCATCCATGCGCTGCTCCTCAGCAATCATAGCCGCAGACTTCTTCGACCGACGCTTTGGCTTGTCGCGAGTCTGTGGGATGGTGTGCGCACGTGGACGGTAGAATGGGTTGGCTTCAGACTCGTCCTTCTCCGGAACGCGGGCATGTGACTCGGTGTAGATCTCGAAGCCATTGGCAATGGAGTTCTGCTCGGTCTTGGTGTAGTCGCCAACGTCGAGGTCGAAGCCTTGAGACTTGCCGGCGCGGGTGGTGTCGTGCTTGCGACTCTCGCGACGGGTGGGCATTGCGTCGGCGGGGTCCTCGGGTTGGAAGTGAAGGACGCGGGCGGTGTCTTGCAGGCTGGCGACACGCTGGTGGTTGCGGGCGGGAGTCAGGGAGGGCGTCTTAGCTGGTGTTGGGAATAGCGACGATGTCTTGCGGATGGAAGAGGAAGGGTCGCCGCTCTCATTGATGTTGCTATTGTCCGTCTTGTGATTGTCGGCTTTGCGCGGGGTCATTGCGCCGATGTTCATAGGTGAGCTTGGCGGCGAGAGTACGTCATTGAGGGTGAACGCCGGCTTAACGGAGAAATTGGAGTTCAGCGGCGGGACGTTGTTGTGGATGGTGCGCGAGATGTTGGGGGTGCTGTACTTGTTCGACACCAGAGTACTTCTAGTAGATCGGCGTGGCGAGTACGGGTCCCAATCCTCGAGCAAGGCACCATACGTTGGCGATGGTGGTGTGCGAGCGCCGCCGTACCGGGAGGTCGAGGGTGGTGGGGTGGATGGAGCCTCCATTTCGAGGAGAATCAGAGACCTGCGGCTTGGAGACTTTGACTTGCGGCCCAGGCACCTGTTTCACCTGTCAGTATACACTGCCTGCAACTGCTAGCTAGCTGGCAGCGGCCAGGCAATGGCGACTGGCGATTGGCGATTCGTTCGGCGGTGTTGTCGTGTGCGGAATGTCGATGTCTTGTCGCAAGTTGAACTCCAGAGCAAGATAGAAAGAAGTCTTTCCGGCAGCAATTGTTCCGAACACGCCGACTTCTCCACTTTCATTCAATTGACAATGCTCTTGGTTCCTTCACTCTTATGCGCCCCGTATTGTCCAATCCCAAGCAAGCAACTGTTGCAGTCTTCCTGTCCCTCAAGCCTCCACTTTCACAGCGTCCAGAGTTTCCACCAATTCGACCAAATGATTCCGACCAGTAGCTATACGCGATTCGGCGACAACAGGAGCAATGCGCGGCGGTCCAGAGATTGAGGATTGGGTATTTTTGGTATAGGTGGTGGTGGATTCAAGAAGGGATATGGGACGAGGTGAGGTGTGAAAGTGTGGCTGGCTCGGGCGGGACCCGCGACAGGGGTCTTTTTCGCACGCGTCTAGACGCGCCTCCCGTTGCATTGCATCACCGGAAACAAATCAATAAACACGGCCATCACACTGCGGCCGTGGGTGAACCAAACCAAACGACACGTGTTGCGACCAGGAACACACCCATCGGCGCTGCTCGTGTCCGTCACAATGTCCAAGGGCGACATTCCAAACATCGCCAAGCTCCAGCTCGAAGAACCCGACGAGGACCTCTTCGCGTCGCCCAACAGCGGCGCAACGACGCAAAAGCACACGCCTAGCTCCAATGCGTCGTCCGTACAGAAGCCACATGCACCGAAGCAGTCCAAGCAGGATATCGAGGATGCGCGCAATGCGCAACTACAAGCCGAGCTGGAGAAAGTCCGCGAGGTCAATCGCGTGATCGAGGGCGTGACGGCATCTCTAACCAAGGCGAAAGATAATATGGAGACTGTAAACCGCACTGTCAACGACGCATCGACTCTGCTTGCGACCTGGACGAGGATACTATCCCAGACAGAACACAATCAGAGACTGATCCTCGACCAGCAGTGGCAGGGCGCGACAAGGGACGTGGAGGATATGGAGAATGAGGAGGCGAGAAAGGCGCAGGACGCTGAGAGGAGGGCTATGGAGGAGCAGCGCAGACGGGAGGAGGCACAGCGGAAGGCGGAAGAGGAGGAGAGAAAGAGAGCTGCTGTTGAGGATAAGCGGGCGAGGGCTGGATTGAGCAGGACGAGGAGCACGAGGGGGACCTCGAGTTCGACGAGAGGGACTGCGGGTACGGCTGGTAGAGGGCGAGGGACAACTGGTGCAACGAGGGGCACGAGCAGCTATGGAAGAGTGTCGAGTACTAGGGGAAGAGGAAGAGGCTTGGGATGAACGTGAGATCTCAACATCACGACATACAACACCGCCAAAGTATCCTACGCACAGGGACCAGTCAGATAATGAGCTGCTAGACAATTGCCCTCCCCACAGGTCAATGGACGACTTGATCAACCGCCATTAAAGACGAGACATGGCAACTGAGGGCATGAAGACTGAAACATGAAGAGTGAAGATGGAGAAGAAAGCGGCGCATGAAACATTGGGGACAGCTCGCTCAATCCATAAGAGCTAAGCTACGTCTTTATACAGAGTATCCACACATTGGAGGAAGCCATCGCAATCCACGCCACGGCCACAATAGCCAGCAGCCTCTATCATCGAAATCATCATCACTTCATACCGATCATCCGACCCTCACTCGCCTATTTCGCCGTCTTCTTCTCCGCCTCCTTGTCCAACGGACCGCCCGGGTTGCTGCTCAAGTTGCTCAACTGGTCCTTGCTCGCATCCGCGGCTTTGTCGCCGGGTTGTCCGCCTTGCCTGTGTCCGTCATGTCAGTCTGTCGATCTTTCGAAGTGGAAAGAGGAAATGGGTGCGTACTGGTTGGGGTTGGAGGATGAGGGCTGGTGGAGCTGGCTGTCGGATTGACGCTCTGGCTCTGGGGACTGACGGCCTTCGTTTGGTGCGGACATTGTTGCTGTTGTTTGTGGGAGCTGGAGGAAGGTGTCAGTTCTCGAGGTTTCGTGTTTTGTTGAGGCAGGCGGATGTAGCTCCCTACGTTGTAGTCTTCTGGTCTGAGTGTTTGGTGAGACTGCTGATAGCAAGTCAGGTATCAATGTGCCAATTGAAATCTTCCCCTCGATACCACTCACTGACAGTTGTTTCTCGAGCTCAAATTGTTGTTGTTTGGACAGAGTCGTGAAGTAAAAAAGACTGAGGGGTTCAAAGACACGCGACTGCATCGCATCGCCAGACGTGGGGCGTATGATGAAAGAGGCAGTGACGTATGGATGCATCATCGCCATTTTCACGGGCTTCCATCATGATCTGACCAAGACCTGACTGAGCGGATTAATGATGGCCGTCTCCGAAGACGTGCCGTTTGAGGGATTGACCTCATTTCTCTTGATGGAGGGCTTCGGACGGATAAATTCGTTGTTTCTGTTCAATGTGGTAGGCAGCTGCAATGGAGCCATCACATATTCAACCATTGGGGGCGGCAGATGTTTAGCAATGTCTACTGCGCCGTATGTTACAAGGTCTCTTGAAGCGTACAGATAGTCTTCATGGCAATCGTGATATTGTTGGATTGTTTCATCTGCGTTATACTTCATACAAGTCGTCAAGTATTCAATATGTGCTTTCCCAAACAGCAACCATGCTTGCCAACCCATCAATGTCCCAAAGGAACCTGCCCACCCCCTGAAGCCGGCGCAACAACATTCGATAAAACCCCCGTCAGAGCTCCAAGCGACGGCGAGAAGAAATACTCCCCTCCTCTCGGCACCACGAACCGATTCTTCGCTGGCAGCTGGAGCTCCCGGTTCGCGTCTTGAGGGAACAATCCCTTCATGCCCACAGAGTCCTGATCATTCCTCTGGCCCATGACAGCATCGACGCCTCCGCCGTTAAAGCGGAAGAAGGGGTTGTTGGCCCACGCTTGCTGGATGAAGTCGAAGCCGTTGTCGAGCGAGCTTTGATAGCAGGCGAAGAGGAGGCCTCGTTCGGCGTTGGGATCCTCGCTGATTTCAGGACCATAGGGGATACCTCGGCGGAGGATGCGGTGGGCGTTGACGCTGGGGCGGCCGGAGGGGGGTTGGTCGCCTCGTGGATTGGTTTTGCGGATATGGGCGCCTATATGTTCAAGTCAGCCTAGCTGGATGCGAATTGTTGAGATGACAACCTACCGATCGGGCAGACCATCCTCATGCCAGCCTTGATCTCAAAGTTGCCCTGATTGAGGCCGGGTGGATCGAACTCAAATTGATTGTTTCGCATGGGATCATTACCAATCGCCTTGTCGTCAAAATCCGGCGAAAGATTGACGGGGCATCCAGACTTCCAGCGCCCGATCAAACGAGCACCAAGCTGATCAGACCAAGTGCCGAGAGTGTTGGAAGAATCGACAAGGAACTTGTTCCAATCCTGAACGTTCTGCTTCAACTTGCGGAATACCAAGAAGCTGCCGTCGACCATCCAGGCTGGCCGGTCCGGTGCGGATAAGTCGCCTGGACGACCGCAGAGAATGGTGCCTTGTTGAATCGTATCTTGGCCTGGCGGAACGAATGATTCCTCCTTGGTAAGACCGGGCAGGCCGCCGACGACTGGCTGTGAGATTCCGTCCTTGTAGCCGAAGCTGCATTGACACGTCAGTTTGAGGATCCGTCTGTAGATTACGAAAACTTACTGCTCATTGCCCTTCTGAGCGCCTGGTCGCACCTTGCCGTCGACCCTGAAGGCAAGCTTGGCAGACGTGCCGAAGAGCTTCTTGATACGATCCAATTTGTCTTGAACTAGCTCTGGGGTGTTGCCAGCTACTAGCAAGACGCCATCGAGCTGATTGTTCAGCCAAACCGCATCCCAGTCAGGATCGGACGTTCCCTGCTTTACGGGGTCCTGCAGGCCGCTGACAGCGCCATTGCGCATACCCTGCTCGAAAGAGCTCTCGCCTGTGATGTTGTCTTGGATATTGAGACCAGAGACGACTTGAGAGATCTGTGACGCGGTCAGCCCGAGTTTGCAAGGGAAGGTCAAGCTGACTGACCTTCTTCAATCCTCTGAAGGTGAATGAAATGTTGGCGCCAACAGTGGGCAGCTTCTGGGCGGGAGCATTGGGATCAAGGCTTGCTTTGAAGTCCCGGATGTTCTTGCGGGTGCTCTGGACATTTTCCGTCGAGGTGATCTCTTGCTGAGCGACTTTGCGAAGATTGGAAGAGAAACTGGAAGCTTGGCCGTCTGGGATGGTGAAGAACCAGAAGGCCTCGACTTCCTTGGGAAGACCATTTAGGAGAATGTCTCCCTGGATGTTGGTAAGATCTGATATAGGAGAGGCCATGTTTGAGAGCTTAGAGGGAATGAAAGTGTTGGAGATCGAAGGTGGCTATGAAAGTGAGAAACGTTACTTACAGAGGAAGAAGGCCATTCTTATGCATGCTGTCCTGGCTGCTTTGGGAGTCTGGTCCAGACCTGAGACTCCTTGCCATGGCTGCTATCGTGCAACCTGCCGTTGTCTCCTGAGGCACAGCCATGAGCATGTTGCTATCCGTAGCTGAACGTGCGATGAGCCCGCAATGCTAAACTTGGCGTAAGCCTCTTCTCGTGTCGTGTGCTTGGATACAGAGGCTGAATAGGCCTGGACCACCAGTAGCTGAGAGTCTGTCTATAGCTGACTTCCCTAAGTGTATCACAGCATAGCGTAGTCAGCCAGCCACGTCCCCTGTCAGGAACGCCTCATACTGGGGTTAGCTTCGTGGAGAAGTGGTGTGTCTTTTCGTGATGCAGGACAGCGTTTCCAATTACCCTGCATTGGAGTATGCGAGGCACGTATGACCACCGGGGCATATACTACTCGCTGACTTGAGACGCCTGCGATTCGAGCTTTCGCCAGGCGCAAGCCACGTTCCATGGATGTTGACCGCTTTTGCAGCTGTGTGCCGTCTCGAAGTTAGTGGTTTGTTGAAGACTCAGCGCTGAGATGTTGCAAGCTCGTCAAAGCTCCGGCTTGACATGCGTTCTGCTCCACAGAGTTGTTCTCGCGAATCAGGCTTGACAGAGGTGAGGTGGATGGAGGATTCGCTTGTGCTGGCCTCCGTGTGAAGTCTCAATTCAGCATGGGGAGCGCGTCATCATCAACTGGAGCCCTTGGATGTTCACGTTGATATGCCTCACGCCACATATTCGCAGACCATGAGGCTGAGCGGAAAGAATGTTGACGCGACTTCATCATGATGTTGTTGTTGGAGGGAGAGAACAACGCGTCCGGGTCAGAAGCGGCACTGGAAGGAAGTGGCCCGTGCGTGGGGCCTCGACTTTCCGCATGAGATGGTGCTTTCGACAACAACATCAACGACTCTATCTCAATTTCGAAAAAGCCTCACAAACCCGTCAGATCACTTCGAATCCCCGTATAAAAGTGACTGAACTGTGTTCATTCCATTCGCCTTTGCGGCTCTTCAGCCATGGCACCAGTAAGTAATGCCGATCCTGATGGAGTTCAATCTAACATTTTTTTACAGCACGGAAGTGCACTCCCCCAAGCGGCGACAGAGAGTGCGAGAGCAGCTCGAAAGAACTTCTTCTGCGAGCTATGTCAAAAGGGCTACGACCGGATGAATGACTTCGAGGCGCATGAAGGATCTTACGATCATCTTCATCGAAAAGTATGTCAAACATATGAGACATGAACGCTGTATCGGTGCTGAAGATTCGATCAGCGCCTGAAAGACCTCAAACATCTCACGAAAGACCCAAATGCCGCTGCGAGGGCACGGGAGTCAGAAGCCCGCATGAACGAAGAAGCCGGCCTCAAATCTGTCTCCATCTCATTACCGGGCTCAGGATCAGCCGGACCCGTGAAGAAGAAGCCAGTTTTCAAGAGCACACTGCAGCCGCAGAACGCCAACGTCGTGCCTGCAAAACCGCTCGATCTGGGACGAGATCCTCACGATCTGAACGGGTCGATTGCGAATGGGTGGGCGGACGATCAGTACGATCCTACCAAGATCATGCCTTACGACAATAACTTCAAGCTCACCGACATCATGACGGAGGATGAATTACGGGACCTGGATGCTGAGCTCGCAGATCGCAGGTATCGGTGATAGAGAAGTGTGACATTCGTGCAGATAAGCGAGGAGTTGGGGCTTAATTGGTGACGAAGGCAAATCGGTCGGAATGCTGCATTGAAAGCGCCTGGTTGTGTGACGAAGCCTCCTTTGGAATTCAGCTTACCATGCCGTTTTAGAACACGCGGATACGTGCATGTCATGCAAGAGCAAACAAAGAAGATTGGCAAGAAATGTTTCAAGTATCTTCCGACACAAACGCCGGTCTACAAAGCACATGCTGGTTGTCCCGCTAACGAACACATTCCTCTCAAACACGCAAGACCTAACTACACTCTCAAACACCGCACCCTCGACACACAAGCACCCTGCATCCACACATTCAACACCATCACAATGGCCAATACTCAGAATCGGGATGTCAAAGAATGGATCATCGCCAACGCAGCCTCAGACCACATGACTCCGGACGCTTCATGCCTCATCGACCCCGTTCCTTCCAGCCAAGTATTTAACGCCATCATCGGCCAAGTTACTGCGACTGCAACCGGCTCCGTCGATCTCCTAGTCGAAACGTCCACCGGACGTCAGTCTCTTCGCCTCTCCAACGTCTTCCTCGTTCCAAGACTTCCTCGCGGTTTGGTCTCGCTATCGAAGCTGGGATTCGAGTACAACTCCTCAAGCGAAGGCCACACCCTTCACACGCGGGACCAGAACGGCAACATCACCACGGAGATCAATTTGAATCTCAGGGATGGGCTTCCATACTTCCCGATTGTGCCAAGGATGGGATTTGACTCACAGCCAGGTGCGAGCTCGACTTCTGATGGAGAAGGGGGAGATTCTCGTCCACCCGCAGGTTCTCAAGAGGCTCGAGAGCGTCAGATGCCGATGGTAGTGACCAGCTCGTACTACGTCAGGGCAAACTCAGGTTGATGGGGCGGAAGACTTCGGGTGTTTTGCAAGCTGAGGGAGGAAGGACGTTCAAGGGTCAGGCATGAACAAAAATCAGGCATGCAAGATTTCCAACATTAATCATGGGCTTCCGAATTTCTGCGAGTACAACACCCCTGGTGTACGGTTGAAAGAATGCGTGCCTGGATTGAAAGACATGCCGGTGGCTATTATCGCGGAGATAAGCCAAAGGGCTGGAATGTTCCTAGTCGTCTAGGGCCTTGCACAATTGAGGCTTGCGACTGGCATTCTTGCGATTGATGTTTGATTGGAATGGCTTTGTATCCGGTTCACGATTTAGTTGAAAGGTCGCTTTTGCTTCCTGAATCATAGTCTTCCAAGATTCAAGAGAAAACGACATGTCTTCTTACACTTTTTCGCATTTCACGGACGTGACAGTGACCATAAGCCAAATACTCCATCGATGTCCTCGTCTGATACGATTCGATTCTGCACTCCCTCCACAGCCTTTACTTGGGAGATTGAGTTCAAGATAAGATCTGAGCGGACCGTAGCGCTAGCGCAGCTGAGTAACCTCACGCCTTTGGTTGGCTGTTCCATGAGCATGTGAACGCGACTCGACATCAACCTCACCTCTTCGCAATCATCATGGCAGACGACCTGGACAAGCTGGAGGCCGGACTCCACGAGCTCGAACCGATTCCAACCCACGATCAAGCCTCACGAAACGATGAAGCACCTACTAAAGAGCCGAAACGGACGAATGTCCTTGGGCTATCACAACACTCGGCAATATGGTATCTAGCAAGAATACAAAAGTACTCGACCTACGCATTCTCTGCTTTCGCGGCTATGCATGTCACGACCACATCCATCGTGCCGCTTGTAACGCAATCTGTCCCCACGAGCGAGCCGTACCTTCTTCTTACACGCGAGTACTACCAAAGCCCTGCGGCCGAACCTTTGATGGTCATAATACCAATGTACGCACATGTATTCTCTGGACTGGCGATAAGAGTTCTGCGGCGGAATCATAATGCAAAAAGATATGGGGATGCATATTCGAAGGAGAATAAAGCGAGCTTCCTGACGAAGTTCTGGCCGCGAGTGTCCACCATTTCGAAGCTGGGATTTCAATTTATTCCTCTCCTGATGGGCCACATGTTCATCAATCGTGGAATTCCAAGAATGACCCAGGGAGGCAGTAGCAACGTGAACCTCAGCTACGTGAGCCATGCATTTGCGAAGCATCCCGCAATATCGTTCTTTGGATTCACGGCTTTGCTTGGTGTGGGTTGTTTCCATATCACCTGGGGATGGGCGAAGTGGTTGGGCTGGACGCCTGAGCAAGTGACGAGTACGGGCGCCCAGAGAGAATTGCAGAAGAATAGGCGCTGGTATATCATCAACGGCCTGGCGGCAGCCTTTACTGGCCTGTGGATGGCAGGCAGCTTTGGTGTCGTTGCTAGAGGTGGTGAAGCACCGGGCTGGGTTGGAATACAGTACGACGAATTATATCAGATGATTCCGATCCTGGGGAAATGGATGTAAAAGACGGACTGAGTGCACAGCATATGGCGTTGGAGAATCAAGGCACAAGCGAAGATACCCTTCTCATTCAATTACGCATGACGGAAAATGATTTGCATACATGCCTCTTTTCAGATTGACTGACCTCAGGTGGGCACTCTCTCGCGGGTACGCACATGTCGACTGCTCAGTGTCACGATCTTGGACGCACATGACGAGTCCACATGGTAGCACTAATCTCCTCTAGACTTTCGTCGAGAACCACTTCCAAGATTAGCAAGACCGAAATCATAGACAAAACATACAAGCACATCCATCCACAGGGTGTTGGCGATTGACATACCATACATTGAGTCTCCACACAACAGGGCATACAAATCTTCACGAGTTCACAAAGTCGCTCGGCAGCAACCTCCTACCGTTGCTCCACTCTCAGCCACCTGGGCAGTTCCATCCAGGACATGATAATGGTCATGGCAGAGACCAGATTCAAGATCGTGGCAGCAACAATTGCTCTGATCACCTGCGTGCTGCTCTTCACGCAGTGGCAGTACTTTCCTATCTCTCGAAAGCCTACGAGCATCATCCTCGACCGACAAGACCTCGCAGCATATGATCGAAACATCACCACTCGCGCAAACGACCGCAACGACGCAGTCCCGGGCTGGTCTTCACCCCTTAGCACGTATCTGGCAACCCCTTTCGACCAGCTGGACGACAAAGGCAAGGCGGTCGTCATTGGCAAGCAAATGGTCTGCATGCTCGACGAAGACCTCGAATCGACACATAGCCCCCAATCCTCATTCACCGATCCTAAAGATCTCGACAAGGCTCGCCACGGGTGGACCTATTCTCGCGTCGCGATCGCAGACCACGGCGACGACTTCCTTTCCGAGTACGGCCTCGAAGATGCCTTTTTCGATCTGGGCATCAGCAGCAACAAGCGAGATTGATACCAAGTCAGCACCGTGCACTCGACCAAAAGCCAGGCCAATGGCATTATCTATCCGGTGAGCTGGGGCACTTACCAGAGCTTATTCAACCTCAGAGACGGAGTGATCGTGGCGACTACCAACTACGGTCCTGCTTTCCAGAATGGGAACTTGGAGCTGGGCATTCCGAGCCATAAGCTAGTTCCGCTTCGACAGTGGTCTGATCTGGTATTCCTCGCTCTGCAGAAGACGATCGCGGAAGTTGGTACTGGTAGTGTCAAGGGCATCAACCATGTCTTTCGCCACAACTTGATCAACGACGAGATGAAGGAGAAGCTCGCCATGATCACAGGTGGTACAGATATCTATGACTACCCTGGGAAGGTATGACCAACCCAACCTTCTCATCAAGAACCACACGCTAACCACAACCTCCTTCATTCGTGACAGTGGCCAGGCCTCAGCTACCCCATCACCGAAACCCAAGCCCTAGCAGCACTCAGCACCGCCAACGGCAAAGGCGTCGCATACCTGCTCGGAACCCACAAGAGCCAGATGGGGATCCGGGCGATCGATCGTGTCAATATCTTCAATTGTCCTGGACTGTATGGTGGTGAGGAGGGGCCGCAGTGGTGTTTGTATCTTCATGTTGTTGATGGACCTCTTGCTTCTTGAGAGTGGTGAAAATACGATTGCGGATTTGGTTGGATGTGGTGAAAGCATGATTTGTGGTATGCATTGAGTTTGACGAAGAGTGCGGCTCAAGAGATCTAGGTGTTGTCCCTTGCGATACTGCGTTGATCGTCATGAGCTGTGCTCATATGGCTCTTCAGTCAGGCTGGCCATTATCTATTCATGCCACGCCTTGACCTGGCTTTGTCGTTTCCCCCAGGGACAAGGACGATTGACTGGACACTGTTGCTGACTGATTGCTGTTTACAACTGACCCGGCCACGAAGACGAGCTGCTGGACAATATCTCTGACTGATTGCATTAATACCTGATCTGGGGTTGCCTCCCTCCTGTTCGGCCACGAGGACGACATCATGTTCAATTCTGCAGGCTGTGGCCTGTCCATGCCTGACTTGGGTTTTCTTCACCTCATCTGGATACGAGGACGATCTGCTGCCTCAGTTCGCAAGCGATTATCTGCTCATACCTGGCCGTAGTTTACTTCTCTCCCCTCCGACCTCGACGATCACCAGTTACAACCTCGCTGGCTGACACCGTCCACGACCTGCCTGTATTGCTCCTCTCAAGCCCATGCGCTGTTTCCTGTCGATCCTATCCTGAATCTACTTGTTGTTTTCCTCTCTGGAAACCAGCGTGACCACGCCAACGGACTCATTTTCGCAGTGTCAGGCGTTGCTGGCAGTTGTGGGATGTCTCTGACATGACCTGGAACCTCACTGCCTGAGACCGTCGCCGACCTGCCTGGATTGCTCCTCTCCAGCCCACGCGCCGTTTCCCGTCGATCCTGACTTGGATCTGCTTGTTGTTTTCCTCTCTAGAAACAGGAATGACTGCGCCAACGGACTTGTTTTCGCAGTGTCAGGCGTCGTTCGCAAATTTGGAATATGGCTGATATGACCTGGAACCTCCCTAGCTAAACTGCTAATGAATGACCTGGGTTGCCTCTCCAAAATCCGCTGGTTGTTTCCCGTCCCTGCCTGACCTGGAGCTGTTTGTCACTGTTCACTCTGGCAACAAGAATGGCCACGCCGGCAAACACATTCTCGTGGTATCAGACGTCGCTGGCAATCGCGGAAAATGTCTGGCATGACCTGCCAGCAAACGTGGTTTCGACAATATAAAAGATAAAGAATGATGGCTGTGGTTCTTTTCTTCAACATTGCATTACATCAACATATTCGACAACTTCATTGACGATACCGCTTCAGAACCGAAATGATCAGCGCTCCGCGACACCTCACTATGTCCAGAAGCAATTCTTGGCTCAATGGCAATTATGCCGACCCAGATTGGCTCTCGAATGGTCGTGCCTTCAGTCCTGAATATGTGGTGAAGTTGCACTTACCGCTTCAGTGTGCAACGTGTTTGACCTTCCAGAATTTTGCTGGACAATTCTTCCTTTTCTCTTCAACATACATATTATTAATAGATCGAAACCGCGAGACCTACGCCCCCTTCCTCATGCCTTTTTCCACCCCCGCCTTCGTGGCAGGATTGTTTGTACTTTTCTGCCAGAAGGTTATGCTGCCAACGGTGGCCGACGCATTCCACCATTGGTACTCGCATCACATGGACCGCCAGCTGCTTGAGCAACAGCTCCGAGAATAGGGTGTCCCGGAGTGGGTTACCAAGAACTTTCCCGTCACTCAAGCAAAAAGATGGATCGATTTCGCCTTTTGTCTCCTCGTCCTTGCCCTGGGTTGCTGGATCTCGGGCGCGCTCGAGACTACTCCTAAGGAGTAGTCTCGTTCGCAATCACAATGCGTCGACAAGGCCCATCAAGAGTATTTTCTCTTGCCAGTGGGCACAACTGGATTGTTCTGGCTTGGACTCCCGGCCTTTGGAGTGGGTTGAGTTGGCTGGATCTGCTTTGCTGTCTGGCTTTGACTCCTAGCTTCAATCGTCGGTCGAGTTGGTCGGTTCTTTCCAGTTACCTGACAAGCCCTTTCGAACGGAACTTTGTTCGCCTATGGGCATCTCCGCCAATGGGTAGCCTCATCGTGGCGGCGGAGTGAACGTACTGTGTACACGGTACGGCCAAGCCCATAAACCTCGCCAATCATCTTGCAACTCTTTCCAGGCCACCTTCGGATGTGACAATTGTGGGATTGCAACGAGCCTCCGTGGAGCTGTACGGGATGCCTGATGCAATGAAAGGAAAACAACATGTCTTCCCAGGTGGAGCCGTGGATGATGAGGAGAGGAAGCTTTGTGTTTGGATTGTCGAAGCCTCGAAGCTAAACTATGGATCCGCACTACAGGTCAGCGATGCTTGAAGTTCACAAAGGTTGTACTACTTGACCAAACTGACAGCAATGTAGTTCCCAGTCTGCAATTCCCTCCTCGACGACGACGACGCTGCGCCAGCTCTTGCAATGGTTGCCATGTGTCAGGGATTGGGTGTTGTATTCCTCCTCAACACCTTCAAAGAAAACTTCAGCCCACGGGTGTACGACCACGTCGATCTCTTCCAAGACCCGGCAAAGTACGGCCACGGTCCAGCTTTGCGGCGTCAAGGATCCGAAACACACGAAACTTAGGAGGCTGGCAACCGGGCTGCCAGTGGAGTACCTGGACTGGCGCCTAAACACCTCAAGAGCACGCCATGGTTGGTCTACGGTGGTATTTTCAACCTGAAAGTTGACGAGCAAGACACTCGCCAAACGTTACAGGCGAATTTGAAAGAGGCTGTCATACTACGGAAGGTTGGCTTGACCTGGGCTTGTGGGGTGGTTGGAATGCTTCCTTCGGACACCATACGATGACCACGGGCTGCTGGTCGGTCACACGCATGCCTGAGCGAGGACCGACGGCGTTTTGTCTTTTCACGTTCTGTGATGGCGTTGGGCTGCTGGACAGTCCTGTACGTGTGCTCGGATGAGGGTTGTCAGCATCTGATCCTCATATCTCAAACAGTGTCCGCAACAAGCAAGCAAGCAGCTTGATGGATGTAAATTATATGATTGATGGGTAAGGTGACGATTGATTGATGACTGCTTGTTGTTATAGCATGATTGATTAATGATTGACTGCTTGATCTCGGATATCTCGGATAGCGATCTCTTGGCGTACTTACTATCACGTGATATGTATATATCATACTGCGCTTAGTCAACTCTATATATCAAGCTTTTAAGGGTTGTTAGGGTTAAATATTCTTGTGGAATTTGGGGGCAGTGAGGTCGTTGTGCTGTATTAAATGTTTGATTGACTGATGAGCTAAATTCCTTCATGTTTGATGGCCTACAGCGTACTTGCTTGATTGGTAAATTAAGGATATTGTTCAAGCAAGCAGTCAAATATCTAGTGGTTGCTTGCTTGTTGCGGACACTGATCTCAAAATGCCAATCCAGTCCTGGACGGCTGTGTACTTCTCTCGAGCGATGGTAACTGGCTTCGTGGCCGGTAGCAATGGATCTTGACAGACTATGTCGACCTGGTGCTACTCCTCTACAGGCTATGATCTCCTGGGTTACCGCGTGCGTGCGTGAACGAGGGCTCTCAGATTTTTCCCCAAAATCTCCTCGTATTAATGGGCGTCTGGACAGCCATACACTTGCATCAAGCCATGGTCGCCGGCCTTGTGATTGGGATCAATGGATCATCACAGAACTAATCAACCTGGTGCTATCCCCGTTCGTACAAACATCTACTGGAGAATTTTGTGCGTGCTTGAACGAGGGCTCTCAGGTTTTGCTCCCAAAATCCCCTCGAATCATTAGGCTTCTGGACAGGCATACACTTGCATCAAGCCATGGTCGCCGGTCTCGTGATTGGGATCAGTGAACGACAAGACTCAGAGCACGCTCGTACTATGCTCCTGGCCGTGGCAGCAGCCGGTGCAGCATCATCACATGGCAACTGGAGATCGCAGCTTGTTCATGGGTGACAATGGCACTTGCAGAATGTTCAACCTATGATTCGATCTCTTCTTTCGCAAGACTCGTTGAGCCACCGGGGCTCTGGGTTCCGGCCAAAATTGTCTGGACAAGGCGATTTTATTCGCAGCCATAACCATCGTCACTCTCACGTTGAATGCGAACGACACAACGGCGCTACATGATCACGAGCACACCTACTGCGAACAATAGCGTCTTAAACACTCACTCCAACCTTGTCTTCCGCTCCGAAGTCTGCGATGGTGCTTCTGCCACGGCGACTGACTCTTCTGCACCTTGAACAGCCCAGCCAGCACCTCGACCCGAAGCCCGTGGACAATCCATGACGTCCTACAGGCCCGGCGACGGACCTCCAACGCATAAACCACATGATCTCAAGGCGCGCTCTTCATACTCGGCCTCAATTATGGCGTACTCATCCTTGACATCGATACAGATTACCGCGCCCGGTACGCAGTCGGCGACACGCAAGCCACGTCATTGAGTGACGATGTGGAAACATCTGAACATGTTCAATCAAAAGGACGGTGTGGTCTGCGGCAAGAAGTGGTCTCAATCCGGATTAGCATGCGTGGAGGACGTGGATGGCTAGGAAGCAGGTGTCTCTTCCGAAGCGACGGTCGAATCTCCTCTGTCTGGGTGGAGAAGTCGAAGCTGATGCGGAGTGATCGAAACTTGTTGAGTGCAGGGGCGCACATGCGTCGGTGCAACGACTTACAGATCTGCACGTGCAGTGGATGCTGAGGCAGGTGATGGGGATAGGGGCGCGGATGCTGCGCAGGAGACACCGGGGGACGTGAGTCGAGTATACATCGTGTGGATATTCGTAACGGTGCGAGTATTTGCGGCTACTCGGCTCGGTCGATGGACGAGAACGGTGCGAAATTAATGAAGTGCGAAGGTTGCTTTTCCCACGAGAGATTCGGTTGGAGTGCCGTATTTGCTGGCTCAGTGCAAGGAGTACCTACCTGTGAGTTCAGGATAATTGATCATATCAACATTTTGAGATATATCACGGGCATGCTATTCCATTAGTAGCGTGCGAGAAGTTTTGGGTGGTGCTTACCTGTTGTGGATGCTACTGGCTCCCGTCTTCCTCAAGATGATTACCAGCTTCCGCAGCGTTCTAGCCAAGCCATCACCACAGCGAATTCCAAGAATAAAAATCACAGTTCTTCCTCCTCTATTTGCTGAATCTTGAGCATCCGCCTCTACGCAGTCTACGAGCAACACAGTTTTTGCCGAGTGCTTGGTCAACAACCCAACATGACTCCAACTTCCCCTGACCAACGCCTCTTGGATAGGTATCAGGTCTATCAGGCGTTCGGCCGCTTTGTCGCTGCCGAGTTCATCAACACCATCGTGCTACCGGCGATCCTCTCGCGACTCTACAGCCTGCGAGGCAGGAAGTTTGAGGATTCAATCAGATCCAGTTGGCCCTTCCTCGCTGCCAGAATTCTCACGGCATTTCTACTTGGCATACTCCCACACACCGGCGTGGAAATACCTTTCTTCGGTACCAACGTGACTCTGGTTCGGCCAATCTTTCCTGAGAGTTGCGAAAAATCAATCGAACTCCTCGGTCTCAAGAAGGGAGTCTCTGCGTGGCCCTGCCAAAGAGCAAAAATGACTTCGGCTGTGGCCACCGGTTCTCTCGACATGCAGTCGTTCATTTCGATCGTCAACGTTCAAGAGTTCCTCACTGGCTGGATATGCCTCGTCGTCTGTCATGTTCTTCGCCACTACTTGCCCAAGGCGATCAATCTTGGCTTGCCAGCGGATGCTCAGAATCACAATGAAGGCAGACCAGGGAATCAAGAGATCGAACAAGGCTCCAGGATCAAGGCCCTGTGATTTGGCAGTCGGGATCGTATGGAGAATACGCCTTGACAGTCTTAAGCCGTGAGAAGCATGTCTGTTCTATACGAAAAATGACTCCACGAACTTGGACAGCAATTGTCAGCGAAAGCGAGGCGGTGCGAATGAACAGATTGACGTGATGGCCCCGGGTGTCAGACATGAGAGAAGCAGATTCAAGCAATCAACGGATATCAGGCAGGGAGATGGTCCTATGCACAAACAAGAGAGCAGCAAACCAAGGAGTCTATCGCAAGAGCTGGAGGTTGGTGGATGGAGAAATCTTGGTGTTGCGAACGAGTTATAGCCTAGGTGCAATGCATTCGCTCACGCGGCTCGTGTGGCTCGTGCTAGATTTTCGGGTTTTGGAGATATTCGCAAGAGAAATGTTACTTTCTCAGACTTATCTGATGAGAACTCCAGTTCATTTTGGACACATTTCCTAAGGTCGATGATTGCAAGACAGGTCCGGCGGATCAATGGTGCTTGTACTTCCACGTCCGGGAGGGACCGATGGATAAGGAGAGTCTTGGTTAGGTCAATTAGTTATCTTGCCGTCCGATTCGAGCCGGGCGTAAGACGAGAAGCTCGACTGGAACAGACAACGACAATGTCAGAGACTAGAACTGCTCAAAAGCCATGTTCCGAGATAGCTAGAGGAGCGATAGCAGCCTTAGGACTAGAAAGTCCATATGCCAAAGCCATTACCAGCGCGAGTTTCTTAGACTGAGATCACCGCTGAGTCTTCGTCGCCTTTTCAATTTAAATCAGGATCTCCATCGAAACAGCTCCATGTCGTTCAAATCGAAAGTCATGGTAAGGGGCCAGCACGTGATTGATGACATAATGTACGAAGCGAGTGAATCTCCAATCTCCAATGATCACACGACTTCGCCACCAAAAGCCATCACTTCTCGAAATCATCACCATGCAACCGCGAACGGCAGCGACGCATCCAGCGATGACTTGATCAGGGACCTTCGTCAATCCTCAGACAAGTACGACGACATTGTCGTCATTCGACGAAATGTCCGCCCGGAACCTCCTCCTCTGCTTCGACGCATTCGGCACGTTGTTCAAGCCGCGTCTTCCCGTCGCACAGCAGTATGCGGATGTAGCTCGATCGCTGGGATTGAGTGGCTTCACAAACGACGATGTCGCGGCATCCTTCAAGACGGCGTTCAAACAGGAAGCCAGGCAGAACCCGAACTATGGCAAGGCGAACGGGATGAATCCGGAAAAGTGGTGGACCAATGTTAGTCTCGACATATTGCTGTTGCTGGCCTCTCGTGTGATTAACTCGGGTTGCAGATCATCCAGAACACATTCGAGCCGCTTGTGCAGAAGAACCAGAAGCTGCCGAATGATCTCATACCGCAGCTGCTGAACCGATTCTGGTGCGATGAAGGCTACACCCTCTTTTCAGATGTCAAGCCTCTCATACAGCGGATACGGGAGGCGCATGAAGCAGAAGACACGAAGGTTGTGGTTGGAGTTATTACCAACTCGGACGATCGAGTCCCCGACATTTTGACCTCGCTCGGCTTGCGAGTAAGTCCGCTTCGATATGGCGGGCGACCTCAGGATGCCGCAGCCGGACAGCACGACATCGACTTTACGGTGATGTCGTACGATGTGGGCCTTGAGAAACCCGACAAGCGGATATTCACAGCCGCCGAGGAAGTTCTGAAGATCAAACTGGACAGTGAGGCCGGTGAGGGAACAGGAAACCACGACCCTAGCGCCTGGCGGAAAGTGTACGTCGGCGATGAGGACGAGAAGGACGTTGTTGGAGCTGTCGGTGCCGGTTGGAATGCTGTCCTCATCGACCGGGAGACGACTCGTGGTCGTCATGATTGCACCTGGCTAGAACCCAAGCAGCCTGGCAATTTGTACGACATCTTCAAGACGGATAAGGCCGTCGGTTTCAGCAGTTTGGCGAAGCTGGCGGAGTGGCTGCCGAGATCGGAGTGACAGAGGTCAACGATACCATTCGAGTTCCTTGCATAGCGGCGTCATTATGTGTTCATGTTTTCGGGCGTAGCTCCAGTATGTCGGCAAGTCTCAGCTCATTCTTGCCACCCCAACCAGCAACGCCGTCCTCGACAGACGGTCTCACTTTGACATACCAGTTCCAAGTCCGGCCATCAAGTTCATCGGGTGAAAGTTGTTTGGCCCAGGCGTCGTAGAGCAAATCAAGCGAATGCAACAGCTTGCCCAGATTCTGCTCTTTCTGGGCTGCTTTTGCCGCAGCTGACTGCTTCTTCGACGATGTGCCGTCATTTTGAGGATTGTCGAAGGCTTTCAGCAGATAGGATCGAGCTGATTGTGGCGTGTAAATGGGAATGTTGCTGTGTACGCCAACCGCTGTAGCAGCGGGCTGTTTTTCGTTGCCAGATTTCTTGAGAGCTTCCAGGTCCAGTGCCCACAAGGCTGGTTTTTCTTCTCCGCCATCGTCTGCTTGCTGCTCCTCGTTCTGGGTAGTCGACTCCTGCTTCCACTCGTAACCCCATCTTCGCAACACCTTGATCTCTTTGCCTCCCACATTCACCACTGGCTGCCCCTCGCCAAATCCCTCTTCTTCGGCACTCTTACCGTTCTCAATGCCCAGATAGACGGCTCTCGACCTACTGGTGATGCTGACATATGCTTGCGCCAGACTCAGTCGACTCGAGAGCGGTTGCTCTGGCATTGTATGCTTCAGCAGAATCACGAGAAATGCCAGCACAAGAGGCGCCCGATTCGTGAACAAGACAGTCTTTGACAGATCCTCCTCGTCCAAGTCACTGTATGGCAACTTCAAAGACTCCTCCAGTTGGGCAGGCGAGAGTGGTTCATCGGAGAAGAGACTCTCATTCTTTTTCTTCTTGGGAGTAGGAGCTCCATCGTCGCCAGCGGCACGCTTCTTCGACACGCGTTTGGCAGCGGCAATAATCTGCTTAGTGACTTTGTCGTCTTCGAATATTGGTTTCAACTGGTCTGCCTTTGCCTTGGCGAGCTTCTCTGGAGAGTCAAGATTGGCCTTCTGGAGATCCTTGACCTTGCCCATGGCAGACGCCAGTGGGACTTTGGCATCTTGGAAGAGGAAGCGCAGAAGCGCCTGAAGGTCACTGGCACTCATTTCTGCGGGTTTGAATGATATTTGACATGTTCGAGGTCTTCGGGAAGACGCGACAATGCGTACAGGGGTGAAAGCGGCTTACATCATAGCGGGAACCTTATACTCGCTTAGTCACTATTCAATATTTTGATGAAGTGTCCTGTTCATTCAACTTCGTCTGGATTCATATTTTGCATTGATATGCATCCGGCTCGTAGATCTATCTGCCGAGCAACATGCCCCAGTAATCTTCCATCTTAGAGCTGGTTGGGCTACTGAACGAGCAGACAACCAGAACAGCGCATTGCCAAGGCGCCAGACAAGGTTTCGGGGACCGAGCGGCCGGCGCCTTCGTTCAGACAACACTTGCATTCTCTCGAGCAACTGCCACAAACTTGACCTCTCCAGAAACACTAGAAGGGTCAGATGATTTGGAGTATGACACTTGAAGCAATTTACTTGATTACTGCACTTCTGCTCTTGCCTCGTTCCATGACCCTGGGAAGAGACCACCTCGCCCGAACCACCATAGTCCTCGCTCCACTACTAGTTGACGCAAGGTGGATCTGCTCCCCATGCAGCCTTGCCGCAAGATGCATTTGGTGCATGCAATACAGCAGGGGCACGTTCCTCAGCTGCCACGAAGCTGCAGGCAAGCGCCTGCTCCGTTTGCTTAAGCAAATCACTCGAGCAACGCCTGCTGCCAATGGCATGTGCACGGCTTGGCGGTCAAAAAACCGCGCAATTGTGCATGCCACAAGCGTTTGTAGGTAGGGCGGCCTCACATGAGCTTTCCATGCCAAGCCTTGAAGGGTCATCGTCAGACTAGCGGCGGCAGTGCCCCACGCAAGCTCATTGAATAGTGCCTTGAGACTTCCTTCAAATACATCACAGCACAACACCGTCCACTTCTCCAATCCTCCACCCACCACATCCCAACCAGCTCACAATCTCTCACCGCAGACCGACCATGTCGTTCTTCAAGAAGCTCACCGAGGAATTCAAGGAGCTCAAAGCCAGCTTCGACGATAGCGGCAAGGACAAGAAGGACGAGAAGAAGGACAGTGAGGTCAAGCCGGAGAAGACGGCCGAGGGCACTCGTGAGGGCGGCTCTGGTCCACCACCATACGGCGGCAGCGATTCCTACGGCCAGCACCAGCAGCAGTATGGTGGACCGCCTTCGCAGTACCAGCAGGCGCCACCCTCGCAGTATCCCCAAGCACCACCTTCGCAGTACGATCAACCCCCGTACGGCCAGCAGTACAGCAACCCGCCCCCACCACCTTCAGGTGCTGCTCCACCCGGCCAGCCTCAGCTGCCACCAGGATGGATCTCGCAGTGGGATCACAACAGCCAGCGCTACTACTACGTAGAGCAAGCCACCGGTCGCACTCAGTGGGACGCCCCTCAGAATCACAACTACAGCTCCCCACCTCCGCAGGGTGGCTACGCACCTCCTCCAACTGGCCCTGGTGGCTATCATGAGCAGTTGCGTGATCAGGGTGGTGCCAGCGGTTTCTACAACCAATACGGTGGCGCTATGCCTGCACAGGGCTACAACAACCCACCGCACCAGGACAACGCTCAGCAGTACTACGGTGACGTTGCGAAGACAGAGAAGAAGAAGGAGGACCACAGCACCCGAAACATGCTTTTGGCGGGTGCTGGTGGTCTCGCGGTTGGTGGCCTTGCTGTTGCTGCGCTCGGTAAGACGCATTTATAAGAACCAAGGTTTTAAGATATCGGCTAACACGAGCATAGATGATGACAGCGACGATGAGCACAAGGCCGCACCTCCTGCTGCCGCCCCATCATTCGACCCCGGTGCTGGCTCATCAGCTGCTGGTTACGGTGCGCCCGCTGCTGGCTACGGAGCAGATCCATCATACGGCGGCTACCCACCTGCCGCGCCTCCACCGGGCGACGAGTCCGACCGCGAGAGTCTCGTGGAAGCTCGCCAAGACTACAACGAGGCCGTGGAAGCTGCCGCCGACTCAGATGCCAGCAGCAGCGACCTGGAGGAGCTGCAGGAAGCTCGTGAGGACTACGAGGAGGCTGCTGAGGACTACTATGAGGACTAAGGTGGTTGGAGGGTATGCTGAGTGTAGCAAAAACCTTCTCATCAGACCACCTTCACCCATCGGAACACCTGTACTGCAGCGATGATTTGAGCTCTTTTCATGACATGCATGATGCCAGGAGTTCTGGCGCTAGTTACATCGGTAGCATTGGTGGCCTCGGGTTTTGCTGGAACTCGATGAATGGAAAGTCTGCTTTGAAACGTGCAAACTGTCTGTTCCTCTGATGTTTTTGTGTCACTGTCCCAAAGCTCACTAAAAGGCCTAAAAGTTGATTCTCGAGAATGATGAAAAAGGTGGGTGGAAATTACTCTCAAACAATGTAAATAATATGCTTGACATCTCTGTTTACACGGAAAAATCCACGAAAGCCAGCGCCCAAGCCAAAAAAGCCAGGTGATCAGTCTGTCTATTCTGCCAAAAGGCCTCTTGCAAATGCGAAAATTCCCGACAAAAAAGGTTACATGTGATGTGTCGCAGACACATCAACCAATTGCAAAATACAAATTCAAGGGAAAATCTTCAAGACAGACGCGTTTTTGTGCAACAATGCATTACCACTTTTTGCTTCTCTTCGGTGTCCTCCTCACGATTCCATTCGTCCATGGCCGTGTCATGTTGGGTGTTTTTTTGTCGTGATGTTGCTGGTCCTGTTGTTGTGGAACCGCTACAACCGTTTAGAGGTTGATGGGGATGCAGGAGAGGGCGATGTTGAGGGTGCCCTGGTGGGTGTTAGCTTCTTTGCGATGGAAGTGGTGTTGATGAGTGGGTGACTTACGTCCTGGTTGGTTGGGCAGCAGAAGGTGTTGCCAGCTGGGCAGGTGGTGTCGAGCACTGTAGGGATCATGTCAGCGTTGCGATGCGTGCTAGGTGAAGGGAGAGGGTGTCGTACGGCCGAGGAGCTGAGACAGGACACAGCTGCCACCGAGGACGTTGCCGAGAGCATCGCTGCCGCTGGAGTCGGTCGAGCAGCAAGAGACGTCGCTGCCCTTGGCGCAGGTGCTGCTGGAGTCGCCCCCGCTGCCGCTGCTTGGCCAGCCTCCAGCAAGTGGGGTGGCGGTGACGGCCATGGCGGCGGAGAGGATGGTGGCGATGGTGCTGAACTGCATTTTGATGGTGTTTTGATGGTTTGTTTGGGGGTTTGCGTGAAGCGAGTGGATGAAGCGAGAGTTTTGAGTAATTGAAAGCGAAGGACGGCTTGTTTGGTAGTTTGTTGTTGTGAGTGTTTGTGGATGCTGATGAGGATGAGATTTGGAGAGACGAGATGGTCGTACTTATACCTTTCTTTCCCTCGCAGTGGCGAGGCAGTTCTGCGCTGCTTGCTGGGAAGAGGTTAATGTCGCGGCTGTGTTGGTCTTGCGAGCCGCAATGAAGCTGTGGATTGCTGGACTGCCCAGCCCAAAAGATCTACAATGTCTCAGCTGCCTTACCAACGGTATTGCGCTGGAAAGTCTGGCGATCCAACGAAAACAGCTCAGCACGTGCAGAGCACAGCGCGGATTTGGAAGGATACGATGTGATCTCCTTTCGCGATGTTCGGGAATGGGTCCATAGTGTTGCAATGTCCAGGCGTCACCCGATCAATGTTGTATTTTGGCAGTAGTTGTCAGCTGGTTCAGGTACCGGGCGAGCTTTCTTGGTCCCCGTACCAACCTCCACGTGAACCGTGACTTGGGACTTTGAATAATCTCCGTTGGGGTAGTTGAATCCGCTCAACGCCGACAGTTGAGCACATGGTGTGCACAAGCAGTTGATAACGGCGATGATTCTAGCAAGACTGTTCTGGCCGAGTGCGTATCTTCTATCGCCTCAATTGCCATCCGGATTGCGGGGAGTATTTTGCGGAGACGTCTGGAGTAGTATTGCCTCAATTGAGAGACTGCAATATCGGTAAAGAGCTGCGTAGTATCCGGACTCCTCCTCGGCCCCATACATCCAGGAGTGTTTTCCCAGCGCTCTGATGTCGGCGGCAAGAATGTGCCGGGTGTCGTGGCGTTCAGCGAGAGTCCATGATGGAATGGCGGCGGGAGAGCGTAGCCGCACCACGCCTCGTCGTTCCCCTTGTTCTCAACACAGTCAGCTCCGCGGGCAAGACTGTGCCACAGCAAATGGCTAACAATAAGTGCTCGTTGTGTGGTAGAGCAAGAAAGGAGGATGGGTCAAGGAGGTTCGCTGAGGTCCAAGCTGAATTTGAGTTTACCTCCGGAGCGGTCTTCCCGTACCGACCCGAAACTCTGTCGTCCCTGCCTCCGCAAAATTTGGGTGTCTCCTGTATCAGATTTGTGACAGTCTTGGCTGGCAGCCTCCCCGGGAAACAAGTCGGACCTGATGGAGAGCCCGAAGATCTTCGCTCTCGTCGACTACGAAGATGTCTACGTCCAGCCTTTGCTACTCTCCGCCGTTCAAGCCCAGCTTCCTTCGGACCTCCTCGTCTTGATCAAGGACGTCTCCGAGCTGCCATCGCCAGCCTGCAGACTTTTGCAATGGCGACAGTACGAGAGCATAGACTTCGATCATCTGATGCAGCATTCGACATCCAGCCTTGCGAATAGCCACATCATCCGAAAGGCTCTGATCCGGAAGCATTACCTTTCCGCAACAGTGTCTCATTGGTTGACCAAGAATCCGAAGAGCTTGTTGAAAGACCATGTCCAGCCGAGCGTGGAGTTTGAGGTCGACTATGCCGAATTCTTGGATGATGCGCTAGTTGAGGCGTATGAGCTGAAGGAGAGCTGGGCTCGAAACGAGTCACTCAGTGAAGATGACGAGAGTCGAGAGTGGTGGATCTTGAAGCCAGGGATGAGTGATCGAGGCCAAGGAATCCGCCTGTTCAGCTCTGAGGAAGAACTGCAAGAGATTTTCGAGGAGTGGGATCCGCCTTCTGACGACGAGGATGAGGGTGCTCAGTCGAACGACGAGCATATCAATGGCTTAGGCGAGAAGCAAGATGACTCGTCGGATGGAGTGATTGCATCGCAACTACGACACTTTATCGTACAGCCCTACATTCAGTCGCCTCTGTTGCTGCCCGAACCACACCCTTCAGCCGGCCGAAAGTTCCACATTCGCACATACGTGGTCGCCTTCGGTGCTCTCAAGGTGTTCGTCTACAAGCCAATGCTGGCCCTTTTTGGTGGACCAACGTATGCCGATCCATGCACTGCGACATCGCCCAACGACGAGCTCTCCAGTCACCTCACCAACACTTGTCTGCAGACTGGCGAAAGGGAGGGCAGCGTGCATGCATTCTGGTCATTGCCAACATCAATCTCCGGTGTCCGAGCACAAGACTGGAAAGAAGACGTCTTTGACCAGATCTGCGCTGTCACAGGTGAGGTCTTTGAGGCCGCTGCCAGAAGCATGGGAATACATTTCCAACCACTGCCGAACGCATTCGAGATCTATGGCGTTGACTTTCTTGTCGATTCCCGTGGTACGGCATGGCTACTGGAGATCAACGCATTCCCAGACTTTGCTCAAACGGGGAACGACTTGCAGTCCCTGGTACAGGACTTGTTTCAAGAGGTAGTCGCAAAGACCATGAGGCCGTTCTTTGGCCTACCTGAGGGGAAGAAAGAAGAAGAGCTGTTTCCACTGCGTCAGGTCCTCGACATCGACTTGGGCCGGAAATGATTTGCTCCTATCATATTTAACTGAGCCACATGTGCACTGGCGATGAAAATCTGGCAAGCCAGCCAAAACGTGCTAAGATCTGACGTTTAAAGTAAGTGAATTCTTGCATGCTATCCATTTTAAATCTATCCTTTGGTGGCAAGGACGTTGCAATCATGGCAGATCGCTTGTTGGGGATCCGGCGATTTGGGTGTGATGAGTCTGGGGAAGGAAGTTGTTCTGTTGCTGCCCCATGGAAGACCAGCTACCTCACGAGCGACTTCCTAATACTTGCTGTACTTCAAGTCAGGAACGAAACTCATCGCAGGGGCAATAGCAGTTGGCACAGCTGTCGATCACCATCCACAGAGACACACGCGCCCTCCCAAGACCTATCACCTGAATACCCACGCATTCTTCTTTTGCTCGTCCCGCTACATCAGTTCCAAGCACAAATCAGACAACATGAGCGGCGCGACGGCGGATATAGCCCGCCGCAATACTCATTGTGAAGCTGCTCGCGAGCCACTCAGAGGAGAGCGCGACCTGCGTTTGCAAAAGGAGAAGACATCCGGTCCCCTTCCAAGTTTCAACCCGACCAGAGCTCGCTTCACCCTTATGGCTAGAGCATCAGCGCCTAAAGATCTTGATTCTGACGACGATGACAGCAAGGGATTTGAAGGCGGAGCACCGGCTGGCGGGACGGACGACAAGTTGCCCTCGAATGTTGAGTACAAATACTCCAATCGTGACAATCGCAAAGGCCGGTGAGATATCACGAATGTCTGCATGTCACGAATTGAGCGACTAATGAGGAGACTGAAGACATGGCCTTGTCGTACGACCTACACAAAACGGAGAACAAATTGTGCTCACGCCTCCACGGACGTCAAGCTTTCGGCAAATCTTGAAGGGCATCTGGCGCATGTTCACGTACTTCCCTATCTGGGACGTCTCCTGGCTCGTCGCAGTCACCTTTACCGTTGGAAGTATCGTTTGGGTATTGAATGGCTTCTTCGTCTTCTTGCCCTTTGCACCGAAGGTTGGATTCAACGGCCAGGCCCTCTATGGCGGCGGCATCACCGCCTTCATCAGAGCGACGATTTTTGAACTCGGGAGTGCATTCCTCATGTTAGAAGCCATCAACGAGAACCGCACAGGCTGCTTTGGCTGGGCTGTGGAACACATTGGCGAAAGCGAAGACAGCGAAGCCGGCACTGCTACCCAAGTCGTACCTTTGAAGGAGAGCTGCTCACATCATCACCAAAATACTTCGAACGTTGTTGGAAAGCCTTCGTTGGTGAGCAGACTGACGAACCCGGTCCAGGCTGCCTCAACGTCCGAAGGAGAGCATTCGTGGGTGTGGTGGCCTTCCAGCATGGAGTTGCGGTCCCATTACTTGCATGACGTGGGCTTCTTGGCTTCTTTGATTCAGGCGATTGCAGCAACTGTGTTTGTGAGTCAATCTTGAGCCAGACGTTCTTCCCAATCATTCTGATTGTTCTGCAGTGGGTCAGCGGCATTACAGCTTTGCCTGGCATCTTCGACCACATGTCCAAACCTCTGATCGATGCCCTCTACTGGACTCCACAAGTCATCGGGGCCTGCGGCTTCGTCATCTCGGGTTTTCTCTTCATGCTCGAAACGCAGAGACACTAGTGGACACCTGATCTGAGCACTTTGGGTTGGCATGTCGGCTTCTGGAACCTGATCGGAGGCATTGGCTTCTTGATGTGTCCCTGCTTCGGCTACTCGAGTGCACATTGGGCGCAGTACCAGGCTTGCCTGTCGTCGTTCTGGGGTAAGGCAGTGTGAAAAGGCTATTGTATCCGATTATCGTTGCTGATCACCTCAATAGGATCCTGGTCTTTCTTGGTTGGAAGCACACTTCAATGGTACGAGAGCTTGGAGAAGCATCCTGTGGAGGTCGAGAAGCAGCGGCCATCGTGATGGGGAACCCCAAGCGACAAGACACGCCAAGGCATCTTGAGGTCCTTGCAACGACACCGGTACTTTACTGGCAGCGAAAAGCTCGAAAAAGAAAAGTAGGAAAGCTCTGAGACTGAGTTCATCAATGGAAACCGTCTTTCATCGTCATGCCGCTGGGCACTATCCTACGCATTAACCATATTCCCAGCGCTCCCCTGCCCAGAAAAGGTACCCAAACCCAACAAGTTGACCTCAGTCACTACCCTGTCCTCGAAAACAAACTCCTCAGATACTCGTTAATCCCCCACACCCATTGCGCCACATTAGAACGAGCCGCTTCTCCAGGACTGCGAGGATGCTCTTTCAGCTGCACCACCACTCCCAAGAACAACGACACAATCAAGGCCAAAGCCGCCCACGCAATAATGACCTTGTATCTCTCGGTGAAACTGACAGGAACGTACACCGGCATCGGCAACTCAGGCGGTGACTTGAAATTGGTGTAATTCGCCGGATCGACGTATCTGGTGAAGTCCTCTTTCTGGCCCTTGTAATACCTCTTCTTCCCTGCAGTCGGGATGTACTCTCCCCTCCAGTGTCTGTTCCAGGAGTCCGGATCGTTCGGGTCCAGGGTGTATCGCTTTATGCGCCCGTCGGCGAGCCTGTCGTTCACGATGACTTTCATCTTGCCGGATCTTGCGTTGGGGTGCGCGGCGAGGCCGGGGCCGCGGGGGTCGGACCTGGACTCGGTGTCTCTGTAGTACGACATGGTTCTTGGTTATTGTTCTTTTTTGAGTTGGGACTTGGGTTGGTGTTGGTGGCAAGTGTGCTTCAGGGTTCGCCGACGATCTTGATAGCCTATGCGTGGTTGCTTTGTTGTGAGATGATCGGCTTTCATTGTGCAGGAATATGGCCGCATTTGGTATGGATTCATTTTTCTTTGTCTGTTAACATGCCATGTGAGTTTCCTTGCGGCAGGCTCGAGCTGGGCTTTCACATGTCTGTTGGAATCAACTGACAGGATCTTTAGCGCCTTGATTACGTCATTATTCGAGCTCAGACCGCTGTGCGAATCAAGTGAATGTTCGATTCTGATCCCACATCAGCCACAGCCATCTTGAAATTGACGAGATAGAAGTATGTCTCATTTTCGCTTCTTGCACCTCCCGCGCGAACTTCGAGATGTCATCTACAACTACTTGATCATACCAACGAAAGAGATATTCGCTGGCGTCGACGAGTACGATACGATAGTCACCACCACAGACGTCCCAACACCCGCCCTTCTCCAAGTCAGTAAACAAGTGAAATCAGAATACTTGGACCAACTCCCCATATCTCGAACTCTCCACGTCCTGGGCGGACACTGTTCCTGGTGGACCGGATATCCAGATCTCCCCGGGCCTCTCGCACGCTCCGTCAAGGGCTGTTATGTCTACATCCACGTCGAATGCTACTGCGACAACATGAGTGAAGGCGAACGGGAAGAATTCGAAGCCCTCGGGGCGCAGTGCGACGCTGTGGACTTTCTCCACAATTATAGAGAAGCGCTACAACCATTCCTGAGCCAATTCCCCAGCCTTGAATCTGTACATCTAAAGATCGGACTTTGGGGCAGCGAGGAGGCCACTAATGATCGGGCCCCAGAGATTAGTGAGGAGGGCAACGTTGTGGATCTGATGCCATCTCACTCGGATGGCTTTACGGAGGCTTTGAGTATGCTTGTTGCTTTGCCGCTGGAAGTGTCGGATATGGAGGTTGTGAGGTGTCTGAGTGAGGAGGAGTATGACAGTTATCGCATGGGGGAAGATCATGGATTGCGGACATATGTGACCTGGACTAGGGCGGGGGGTTGGGGGAAAGGAAATCTAAGGGCGAGTGATCGCTGAGAAGACGATTATGGTACAGGCTGAGCTTCTTGGTCAACTTGGTCAACTACAAAACTCACGATGGGACTCTGCACGAAGCCGGGATGCTCACCTACAGAATATGCCACGTGGCGTCCTCTTTTCGCCGTCGATGACTCCCCAAAGAGCCAGAATTTCCACCATAACCATTGGGTGGCACGCAGTCTTGAGCACCAGACTCTCTCCCTCAGCAAAAGTCATGCCGTCAGGCCAGATTCCAACTTCCAGCTTCGCGATATTTTCGAATTCAACCGACACATATCGCAGGATCATAGCGACTTTGAAACATCGATGGTCTGGAGTTCTCATTGCAAGGCTCCCTTACATTTCTGCTTTGTTCGTCCATTCGGGCAAAACTTGTCCGTGCTTCGAGGGGATCTTCCGGCGAGCTCCCAGCAGTACGCTGCTGTATCGCCAGCTTGGTGTTGAGGGCGCGATACTCATTTCTGATGGTGCTGCTTGTTGCATACGAGCATGAGAGGGGGAACCACTTTGACATGGATTCGATTTAGCGGCGGATGTTCCCGCGAGCACGGATCATATATCGACCGCTTCTTGCCTCCAAGTTCCAACGGTTGTCGGCCTCCTTCAAATCTCCTTGGACTCTTCAATCACATCTTCCATCCCAACCACTTTTCTCTATCCTTGGCCACAAGGTGTGCATATCTTCTGTGGCTTGAGCTGTCCATGTCTCCCCAGATAGCCAAGACCACTACCGCAGACTCTGTCTCTTATCGCCATAGATCGGAGCCGATCGAGAGAACAACAAAGAACGACCACACCCTCAGGATTCGGAAGCTGCAGAATTGCCGGTAGGATGGGCTCTGGATAGTCGCCGCGACGATATGGTGTGCTCTCAATGGTTGCAGATGCTCACCTGTTCTATGGATTGTGTTTGCTCAAGCACTCGTACAAGACGCGCTAGCTACAGTGTCACGGTGTTGCATCAAACCTCTTTACGGCCTGGTATTCATATTTCATGAGTCTTTCTCAATATTTCCGTATCTCTTCAGTACTCTATTGTTGGGCCAAAGGATTCAATCTTAGCACCGAGGCGAAGCCGAGACTCCCATTTTCCCTGAACTAACTTGGAGTACGAGTCAGCTAATTGAACCCAGACGCCGCCACACGCACGCGACTCGTGATTTCACAGGAACAACCATGCTCCGAGGCGTTATAGTGGATCTGAACTACGGCTTGGCTTATGATTGTTCGCACCAATCTGGCCTTGACGCCGACTTGGAACAAACAAGGGGACCACATGGGACGTGATGCGGGCTTTGTTCCTCTGACTTGCCGCGTTCCCAAAGGCTGGACCGGGCTCGCCACGCCTGGCAAGTCTTGATAATGGGACGCCCCTCCACTGCCGTCAATCTTCGATTTGCTTTCCTCTTCCCAGCCTTGGATCGCCAGAGTCGTCTCGTGTTTGATCTTGTTGCAAGTGCTCGCGAGCGTCGATCGTCCATCTCGAAAGCGATCGTTGCAGCTTAGAACCTCACGGCTTCTTCGCCATGGCCCCGTCTAAGCCAAAGGAGACCCTGCTGGAGCTATGCACGACCACCATCGCCCTCGGCAACGGAATCGCGGTCCACACACTTGAATACCTCTCCATCTCCAAGCGTCCTCGACCCGGCTTCAAGGAATGCGCCATTGAGTTCCTGGAATCTTCGCGAGCTTTGTTCCCAGCCAAAGCCGGACTGGCAAGATCAAACGCAAAGTTCCCACCAGATGTTTCCCAAGAACTACGAGATCGCTTTACCCAAACACGCAATGCATTCTCCGTCATGGACCAGATGGTCAACAAGCTACTCAGCGGCGAGAAGAAGCAAGGCTTTGGGAAGCTAGGGAAGGGCTTTCGCTTGATGCTCGCAGACGGCGAGATTGATAAGTTAAGACTGTGTTTGGCGCAATGCCGTGCTGCAATGAGTATCAGTGCTCTGATGTTCTCGTCTGTCCTGGGCGACGGCAAGCTCGACGCAGCGGCAGGCATTGGGTATACGGCTCTCGCAGCTATCCTTGAAACAGCAGATCCGACCAGAGCGAAATCAACATCAAGCCCTCTGACACCGCACGAGATCGCCATCGCAGACCTTTCTCCCGACAGACGACCACTACCACCCGCACCTCACATCGACACGTACGCTCCGCGATCATCCTCATTGCGGGATGGGTATTTTCCCAGTCTGCCCGAGGGTGCTTTGTTGGATCGTCAGACAATCAACAGCCCTACCAGTACGATGTCTGCTGTAACACACATGAAATCGCCGTTCTCTGATCGAAGTTCAGTAATTGTGGGGAATCCCAATGACAATGCCTCTGATATCACGTCAATCACATCAATGCTATCTCAGGAGAATGGTGGGCAATACCACGCCATTGGCGACAAGATACCCAAGCAACCAATTCGCATCAAGGTCGACCCTTCGAAAACGCAGAGATGGACACCCAAGCGCAACACTGTACCTATCTCAGAACAGTCTAAAGCTGCCCTCACCACGTCAATCCAGCAAAAAGATCACAAAACCAGCGAGCAACTACTTGACTGTGGTGTGCCACCAGAGGTTGGTCATATGATCACTGCCATCGTCAACCATGATCTGGAAAGCGTTCGCCTACTTCTACTGTTTGGTGCCGACGCAAATGCGAAAGACAAAGATGGCTCGACGCCGCTGTATACCGCGACTGGCCATTCATTCTTCGAAGCCGCCCAACTACTCGTCAAGTATGGTGCAGATAGCAATCTGTGCGCAGGTCCTTACGGAGAGAGTCCATTCGCGGTGTCGTTGACCGGAAGCAAAAGCCATTTCGTCCATCTATACTTGCAGTACGGTGCGGATCCCAACCAGATCATGGGCAATGGCGATACACCTTTCACGCAAGCAATGAATAAGAGCACGCCTACTGCCCTCGTCGACCTCATGATCGTGTATGATGCGGATGTTAACGGCAAGAATGGCCGTGGCGAGACACCCCTGTTCAAGGCTATCAACGACGCTGACAGACACGATCTCGTCACAATCCTGCTCGACCATGGGGCTGATCCAAATATGCCAGGACCTAAGATTGTTCTATGGCCGGCGGTGCATCATCCTCAGATTCTTGAAGTCCTTCTTGAACGAGGATCGGACCTCAGACGTGCCCCCGGTGTCCTGGAACTGGCAACATCGATCAACTCGCGGAGAGCGGTGGACTTGCTGTTGAAGTTCAACGTTGATCTCAACGCCAAGAAGGATGGCATATACACTCCACTTTGCTCAGCCATTCGTGACAATCGAGAGGAGCTGGTGGATTTGCTACTCGCATCTGGCGCTGACCCTAACTGTACTGCTCTGGAACTCCCGGTCTACAAATGTGTCACGTATCACCGACCACATTTCCTGCCACGACTTCTTGCCGCTGGTGCGAACCTCCACAGCCCCAAGGGTGTTGTTGCTCACGCAGTCAAGCACAACGACAAAGAAGCTTTGGCGTTCCTGCTAAAGCACGGCTGCGATATCAATGTCCGAAACTCCGTCACAGGACAGACCGCACTCACGACTGCCATTAAGGAGAACCGGCTCGACATGATTGACATCCTCCTTCAACATGGCGCCAATCCAGCGATCCGCGGACAAGACTGGCCTGTGAGCATGGCAGTAAAGAACCCAGAAATCCTCCAGAGACTCCTCCCGCACATCCCAACAACGCTGATCAACAAAGGCGCCGTGGAAATGGCCGTCGTAGCGGACCAACTCGAAAGCGTCAAGCTCCTCATCAGCAAAGGCGTCTCGGTCGAGGACAAGAACGGCGGCGTCTTCAGCCCCCTGGCCACCTCCATCCGGGAGAACCGCAAGGAAATCTTCCGATACCTGGTCGACGAAGCGGATGCAGACGTCAACGCACCCGGGGAGCATCTTCCCATCATCAAAGCCATCCGTCGACACCGTGAAAACGACATGAGCTATATCGAGCATCTCCTCATCTGTGGTGCGGATATCAACCTCATGTACCGGGGCTGGAACGCCGTGCTTCAGGCGTTGGACAATGGCGACATGCAGATCTTGAAACTCCTCGCTACGAAAGGTCATCCGGACATTTCTGCCCGCGACGAGCATGGACGGAGCGTGCAGGAGATTATGCAGGAAAGAGGTCTTGAGGAAGAGATGCAGGTTCTGCTGAGTTCGAAGCGGCCGAGTCGACGGTCGAGTCCTGAGATCAAGGAGGCGTTGAGTTCGTTGAGGGAGTTGGTTTTGTAATTGGTATGTGGTAATACGTTTTGTTTCCTTGGAGTTGTACGAGATATATGAGACATGTTGATTTATCTGTATTTCTTGGACTTCGGCCTATCTTCACAGGATTCCTTTCCCGTCTTCACGCTTCATGTCAGGCAATTTCTATTCCATCGACAATACCGAGACCGCAAACCATGCATTAATTATCCTCGCCTTTGACCATGGTTCTATGAAACGCTTTGAGAAGAAATCTACCAGTGTAAGTCCGATTTTCACATGAACACCCACTCTACACAACCTCCAACCCACCCAAACTCAAATCCCCATCACCAGCAAAACACCAGAACCAAAAGCCCGCAACAACCGCAAGCCGACATCGCCAACTCACCAAGCACTCCCATCAAGCATCATCCCAAGACCGACGCCAAGAGTAGTAAGCACTTCTCCATCACCCGCATTCCTCACAGCATTATTGATGATGATGGTCCAGCAACAACCCGACGAAGAGAAAGACGAGAAGAGATCGTCTCTCTCCGCCCCCGCTTCTTCCTCCTCTTCCTCCTCCACATCGTCTAGCGCCTTGCACGTCACCTCCGCACTTTATGTGGTACAGACCTTTGCCGATCTTTTGGGTCTGCGTCCAGTGTCCAGCAGCGAAAACCGGCGCACGGTTCTTCCTTGCACGATGTTGCTGCCGTTTTGGCCGGAGTGGGACTTTGCTCTGGTGGCCACGAGGTGGTGAGTGTTTTTGTTAAGTCCGTTGCTACTTAAGGTAGGTCTTTTCTCCTGTGAAGTATATGTACTTCTCTTGGTGATTCTGCACTCTTCTCTTTTCCTTTCATTCTATTCTCCTGTTGTTGTCTCGAACTGGGACCTCATATCGTCACCATGGGCGACATTGAGAAGAGCGGCACCCAAGCCGCCGACTACAGTAAGTTAGAAGGACAGTGAAAGACAGCACATCTCCCCCAAAAGAAAGAGTAAAAACTAACGGCTTCCCTCCTCTGTACAACAGAAGAACAAGTCTCCATCCTCCGCCAACAACAAGAAGAAGGCTCTTTCACTCCCCCCACCCCCTCGGAAGAACAAAAAGTCATCCGCAAACTCGACCGCCGCCTCCTACCCCTCGTCTTCGTCCTCTACAGCCTCGCCGTGCTCGACCGCAGCAACCTGGGCAACGCCCGCCTCGCCGGCATGCAAAAGGACATCGACATCGCCGGCGAGCGCTACAGTAAGTCTGAAGGGTAGAAGGCACACGTGAGACATGCAGGACCAGATGGCTAACACCCTTCGGCGTGGCCAGACCTCCTCGGCACCATCTTCTACATCGCCTACATCCTCAGCCAGTGGACGCTGATCGGCTGGAAGCAGTTCCCGCCGCACATCTTCTGCGCCTTCACGGTGGTCTTCTGGGGCTTCGTCGCGAGCATCCAGGCGGCGGCGTTCAGCTGGGGTGGACTGATGGCGTGTAGGTTCTTTTTGGGGGTCGCGGAGGCGATGTTTGGGCCGGGGGTGCCGTTGTACCTGACGTACTTCTATCCGAGGGAACTGGTTGGGTTCAGGCATGGGGTGTTCATCAGTGGGGCGGCGATTGCGAATGCGTATGGTGGTGCGTTGGCGTATGGGATTAGCCAGATTAAGGGCTCGTTGGCGCCGTGGAGGATTTTGTTTTTGATTGAGGGGCTTCCGACGCTGCTGGTGGCTGTTTTTGCGTGGTTCTTCCTTCCGGATAGTATCAGCAAGGCTCGGTTCCTGAACGATCGGGAGAAGCAGGTCGCGCTGCACTTTGTTGCGAGACACCAACGTCTGGACATCGGGAAAGAATCTGGAGTCCGGTTTAAGGAGGTCTGGGAAGCGTTCAAAGATCCCAAGTCTCTTCTTCCGGGCTTGATGTACTTTGGCTGGTGAGTTTGGCGGAGCCATACTTGAATGATTTCAGAAGACTGACTCTTTTCTCCAACAGCAACGTCTCCTTCGCCTCCCTCCCCCTCTTCGTGCCGACAATCATCTCAGAAATGGGCAGCTTCAGCCAAATCCAGTCCAATGGCCTCTCCGCACCCCCCTACGTGCTTTGTTTCATCGTCGTCATCGTCCTCTGCTGGCTATCCGACTACTTCAAAGTCCGAGGACCTTTCGTCGCTTTCGCAGCTCTAGTATCAGCGGTGGGCTTCATCATTAATGCAACGACGGACACGACAGCGCCAAGATACGCTTCAGTGTTTCTATCGGTGTGGATCTTTACGTCGGTGGCGTTGTTGTTGGCTTGGACGGCGAACATGCATGCGACGGAGAGTAGACGTGGTGGTGGGTATACGATTTTGGCGACGATTGGGCAGTGTGGTCCTTTACTAGGTGAGTGAACCAAGCTCAAAAGTGATGTAGGACAGGCTGACGAGAATGATAGGCACGAACGTCTTTCCCAGTAGCGAGAAGCCATACTACCGGAAGGGGATGTGGATCTCGGCAGCGATGTGTTTGATGGTTGCTGTGCTGGCGGGAGTGCTATCACTTTGGATCATCTGGGAGAATAGGAAACTGGACCGAGAAAATGTGGTTGAAGAGGAGTTTGACACTGATGTCGGGGAGGAGCAGGGGCAACGCGAAACCAGGCATAGACTGGTATGGTAAAGGAAGAGGAACAGAGATTTCGACTCAAAACGAATTGAATTTCTCAAGGTATCAAATCATTCATCTCGTCAATTCCAATCATTCTCCACGTCCAATCTCATCCCATTCCTCCTCGAACACTTCTTCCATCATCCATCTTTCAACATGTGAAGTTGGTCGAGTCGAAGTCGAAGAAGTCAAAAGTGACCGAAACGCCGAGGGATGCAGTAGTGAGTGCTCATATCGTCATCGTGTCGATTGTTTGTTTGGCGATGAGTTTACTAGCAGGACTCATTCAAGTCAGTATCATCCTTTGCCCCCGCCACCATCCTCAGAGTCGAAGACTTACGCTGCAGCTGCAGGAGCCTGGCGAGCAGGAGCAGGAAGAGCAAGAGCACGACGAGTTGCCACAGCCGCCCATTTTGTCGGTTTGTTTGGTTTGTGTTGGTTGAGGTGGTTGAAGAGGTGTTGTTATCTTGTTGACTTGGTCGTTATCGTTGTTGCTGAAGAGACGACCTGAGAGCAGCGGGGTCTGTCTATAAGTACGGCTGAACCCCCACTTTCACGTGACTGGCCCGGGTGGAGGCGACGCAAAAAGCACGCAGATCAGAAGACAAAGCCCGGCAACGCACAAATCACTCGCCAGACTCAACCAATCACCGACATGAGCGTCTTTCGCGTCGCCACTGCTTTTTCTCGGCACGCGCCAGACGCATGTGGTGGTGGAGAGAGTGAGGCATCTTGGCCCGACCGTCGGCGAGCGCTTACCTCTGGCCAACATCGACGAGCCAGACATGCCACACGACGTGTGACAGGTGGCGACGTGGGCGTGGGCGTGGGTGACAGCGCTGCGTCGTAGCAGCAAGAGGAGGATGCATGGACGGGGCAAGCGACTGAGCACGTTTTCCTCGAATCAATCGTGCAGGACGGCATTGGGAAGCTCCACCAGCTTGTTCTGGGCCAGAAGCTCGTTGTCGCTCAACGTGTGCGAGAGGAGGATGCGGTGTTTGTGCGTGCTGTTGTCCGTACCGCAACGGAGACTCATGGATCATCCATAACGCGGAAAGGCCTCATGATTGCTGTCGTGATGAGTCCACGAACAAGAGAATTGTGAGGCTGAAAGGGACCGTGGGCGTTTGGGCGGTCAAATACTTTCATGTCATCCATCAAGGTCGTGGAGTGGGTTGGGACTCTGACCGCTTCCCGTACGCCAAGGTCACCCCTCGATAGCCTGACGAGTTGAAGAAGTCGTGCATGCAATCATGCTTTGGGAAGAAGTCGTCGCTGCTGCGATGTGGTAGAATCTCTGTCGTTGTTAGAAGGTAGGTAAGGGTGAACAGGAAGTGTTGTCGCGACATCGCCCAGGCTCGTGCGTGATTGTGGCCTTAGGCATGGAAAGCGTTCACTGAAACTCCCTAGTTATGCTCTAACTCAACTCCATGCGCTATGTACAAGACGAGGTATCATTGAAATACGAAGAGCAAACCAAACTCCCTCACTCAGTGCCTCTCGGCGTGCTTCTCAGCATGCTTGGCCGCGACTTTGCCAACACCCACAACGACATTCACGCCAACCTTGACACCAGTGATGATCACCCACGCAGACGCCTTGAACCCGAAGCCTAGAATCGCCAGTGCACCCTTGGCCAGAGGACCCATCTCATCGATTTCCTCGATTATCTCAGCCTTCTTCGACTTCTCTTTCTTCTCCTTTGTGGTCGACCGCTTGAACAAGTTCTTGGACGTTGTTGTCGATGAACCACCGACGGACGCCCGGCGTTCGGCTTTCGAGGTCGACGCCAAAGCCGCTTGAGGAGGTGGCTCGAAGGTGATAGTTTCGGTCATTAGAGCATCGTCCTCGATCACGGCGACGGCTAGCATTGTTGAGATGAAAGTGTCGATCACGTAGTGCCTGTCCAGAGCCAGCAAGCCGGGGATATCAAGGACACAGGCATCGTGGGCAAAGTCTAGGAAGCCGAGATTGAGAGTGTCTGCTGCGATGGCGGCTGGAGTCGCGGTAGGATGGTGAATGCTGATCTTAGCTCGCGGTCCATTCATCGAGATTGGTGATAGTGACTTGTTCACCGTCACGGCGCAGACTCCGAGTGCTGGATGAACGAGGTCATACTGTGCAGTGACAGCACCGAGGCTATCTCTCTTGCGTGTCTTCTTGGTCAAGTCGCAACCAAACATTGCATGTGCTTCGGCGACAGCATCTCGTGCTAATTGTGCTGCCTCCGGAGACTCTGCTGTGGGATCAAATGTGGCGATATGTCGAGCTCGAGGTGAACTTGCGACGGCCTCGATCGCGTCGATGCCAGCTGATTGTGGGAAGATCGTCGTGGTTTCTTTCACTCCCTTGGCAGATGAATTCTTTTCGGGCAGCACCAGCGTTGCTGTTGGTAATGAACAGGGTGCCGTGGGGCAGTATTTCTTGACAGCGAACTGTTTCGGCGCTAGTGGCTCGTTGGCCTGGTTGCTGGTAGTATCCCTTTCCATTGAGTAGATAAGATCTTCCATGGATGTCCCGATTGCCAAGCATCGTCCGTTACCGGGAGGTTGATACAGTCCGAACTGAACCTTTCTGCCGGCTACAGGGAACTCATGGTTCGACGCTTTCCAGAGCGCCTCCATATCCGCATGTGCAGCGGCTGGGATGTGTTCGTAGCGGTCGACGAGGCCTACACCGGAGTCGTTGCGCTTCATCGCCCAGCGTTCCATGTGAGAACCGACTTTGCTGACCTTGTCGCTGATGTATGAGGGTGGCGGTGGGGATGCCGCAGAGGGATAGTAGCTTTGGCGATCCATTGGCTTGTTGGGGTCGTAGACTGGGAATATCGACTTCATTGGCGTGAAGTTTGTAGTCTTCTCAGTGCTCTTCGAGGGAACAGGACTCTCTGACCTGATAGTGGATGGGTACTCCGTTGGCGGCGAAGGGGCAACTGCCTTGAAAGTCGTCCTGTCTGGCAGCGGCGACAACTTGTCATCTTCGTTGATCGGGGACCTTGCAACATCCGTCGTTGGTGCTGTCGCCATCGTCGAAATGTGTTGTGGCAGGTTGGGTCTTTGGAGTTGTGACGAGTTACGCTTTTGAGGTGAAGACGACCCGAAGTTGGTGTTGTGCGGGAGTTCAGGCAGCTGGTCTTCTTCTGTTTCACAGCAGTCGTCGGCTTCTTGAGACCTGCTTGCTCTGGGACTGAACTGTCTCTGGGTCCGTTGTTGTCTGCGAACAGATATTTCGACTTCTGGACTCGACGACGGGTCGGTGTCAGGTTTAATGGTCATGTCTTGAGGTGGGGATGGATCGCAGAAGAATGAATGCTTAAAGGTATCTTGGGCAGGCTGGACTCTTGCTGGAGTTCGTGAAGATGAAACGACCTGGAAAGCGACACCTTTGAAGTTCAGCTCGCCAGCGGCATTAGGCACGTTGTCGGTTCCAGTTCTTCGTAGACTAGGCTTGCGCGGCACGCCATTGGATGGAGCAGGAAATAGAGATAGTTGAGTAGGGGCCATGGTGCCAGACCAGCGGAAACGAAGTGAATGCGAATCTATGTACAATAAGTAGAACCCGAAGGACTCCCAACACCAGGTCAGGGACAGACGACGAGAGAATGACAGAATGCAGGACGCAAGACCAACATGTACCCACCGTTCATATATCAGCTCTCTCAGCCTAGCATCACGTCTTTCGAGAGGCCGTGAAAGCCGGACCTGCTTCAAGCCCGCATGAATCCAATAGCGTCTACACACCAGCACGATTGCTTCGCGCCGTGATTCGGACAGGAAGAGGATGCGGTCAAGAAAGCGAGTCAGCCTGGGTGTAAAGACGTGGCGAATAGTGTGCTGTGCCGCTGCTTTCTGCAGCCCTTCGCTGCCAGGCCAAGGTGTGCCTGACGATGCGTGTGGTGCGCCATGCTAAGCGCCGACTTCCTTCAAGCGCCATAGGCAGTGTGATATGGTTCATTCTTCTCCCTCATTGGCTCCAGAGCGCTATAGAAGATGAAAATAATCATCAAGCCGAGACATGTGGTTGTCTTTTCTCCGTCAAGATCTATGGTGCCGGAATGGTGGTCGTGTGAAGGTTCGGGTGAAGTAGGCGCACGTGATGGATGTTCCCAACGCAGAAGTCCTGGATCAAGACCGTGATGGTCAGTAAATCCATATGACGATGTCCTGGAGATGGTAGTGAATGTTGAGATCCAGTGGATGATGGGTTGTGGTTGAAATGTCGTGGTTGCCGTGAAGTAAGGCTGGCGCACAGGCCAGCAGCCCATCGTCATGCGAGCAAGCAAACACGACCAACAGTCACGCTCACCAAGCCACAAAACTTGTCTGTACAAGACACCCCATGGTCCGAACATGAATCGGTAGCACTCACATTCGACACAATGGTGTCATTCTGGCCTTTCCGCGGCGGCGAGGACAACGCCGAGTCCTTCGAAAAGGCCTTGAGCAAGCTGTCCACCCAGATCAATAAGACTAGCGCCCAGAACGAACGATTTCGACAACAGCAGCGACGGTACAAGGCTCTGTGGACGTTGTATACAAGCTTCATTTATATCCTGGTTGCTGCTATCCTAACACTTGTGACGGGGTGGGACAGATGGAGTTACTTCGAGTACACAGCAGTGGCAGGAGGGCCGGTCATCATCTATGGTGTTCGAACTGCCCTTGATGCATACTTCAACTACCGGATATCGAACTCGCAGAACCACCTGAACGATCTGACCAAACAGCGCGAGGCGACGATCGAACGTTTGAAGACGGCTACAAAGTACAACAGCACGCAGCAGCTGTTGGAGAAATATGGAGGGTCACCGCCCAGAAAGAGACAACCTTCACCACAACCCAAGGCAAAAAGGAAGTCAGAGGGTGGACAAGGTACGCAGGGCACACCACAGCAGACTGGTAGAACCGGGTTTGCTCCGCCGCCGACTGCCAACATACCGGGCAGGCAGTCTCCACCCGCACCGCCCCCACCCCAGGGCGAACCAGGCTCTGTTCCACGACCGTCGACAGGTCTTGCACCACCACAGCCTGCAGGCCTCATGCCTCCACCTGACCAAAGCGGTCCTGGAGAGGACTTTGCTCCAAATGCCTTCTCATCACCCCCTCGACCGTCTATCCCGCCGATCCGCCAACCCTCGCAATATGCAACAGAAGGACCTAAGTGGTACGATCGCATCCTCGATGTAGTACTGGGCGAGGACGAGACACAGGCGAAGAACAGAATAGCTCTCATATGTCAGAGCTGCAAGCTGGTCAATGGTCAGGCGCCGCCAGGAGCAAGGACGTTGGAAGACATTGGGAGGTGGAGGTGCAGCAGTTGTCATGCATGGAACGGTGTTGAAAGCGAAGAGAAGCGTATACTGCAGCAGATGTCGCAGGGTGGTGCTGAGAGTCCTACCTCGCCCGTCGCACCCTTCAGCGCTGCTACTGACCCTGGTCCGGGAGTAAAGTCTATGTCGGGGGAAGCCGGCGATGATGAAGAAGACGAAGACGAGCTTGAAGATGGCCAACCTGAGGAGGTCGAAGTCGAGACTCCATCAGCTGGCTCCACGCGCAGCAAAGCGCGCCAGAGGAAGGCCTGAGATTATTCACCTACCATGCGAAACGACCTGAAGCTGTACCAATAGCTCAATATCACCACAAATATCATTCATAGCTTCGAACCCTGCTTCTTTCTCAGCCAAGCATATACAGCATCCACTCCCGCTGTCGCAACTTCCGTATCCTGTGCAGGCGTCCCTGTACTGACACCAATGGCACCAACAACAGTTCCCTCGATTTCGATCGGCACTCCGCCTCCAATCAACGTGAACCTCCCACCGTTGCTATTGTGAATGCTGTATCCCGGTCCGCCAGGTAAGAAGTTCTTCGTTTGCGTAGTGTAGGTCGAAGTAGGCACTCTGTGACCCGCGGCTGTGAAAGCCTTGTTAACGGCGATATCGATGGATGTGAGCTTCGCGTTCGGCATGCGGACGAAGTGGAGGAGGTAGAGCGAGGCGTCAACGAGGGCGATATTGAAATCTGCACGATACATCCATCAGCTTTACCAAATTGCGTTTGTAGACGTCCAGTCTCGCACTCACCAATACCCATCGACCTCGCCTTCTCTTGCGCCGCCTGAGCGGCTATTTGCGCTGCTTCGAGCGAAAGGTTGGGGACGGATCTTGTCGCCATTTTGATGTGTTTGGATGACTGAGAAACAAGAAGGGAGCGTGTCCTTCCTTACGTTGCTTTCGATCGAGTCGACAGGATAGACTAGCCTACATTCGCCGATCCATGCTCTGGAGCTTTGGTGGTGTTTGGAGCTCACACCTTCTGTGAATTCATGCCGAGGGGGATCGGGTATTGCGGAGTCGGATGGGCGGGCCGATGTATTCTATGAGGTGAGGTGGGATATGTATTCTTGTGATCATGTATAACAACAGAACGCCAGCACGAATGTTCGCATGCTCGAACGGAGCAGTCAGCTCGCGACTACTGTAATGATGCAGCAACATACTGCTAGAAGTTTGTCTGCCAACGAGCTAAGACTTCTCAATCTCTCTGTGGCTGTCCAACAAGCCAATAGATCTGGTTGATATTAATGAGATGCCGACTCAAGCAAACTCGCTTGCTATGGACTCGATTTGACTCTGAGAATACCCGTGCACTTGAGAGTAATAGAAGTATCCTGCAGTAAAACTGTGTGGGAAGCGCGCACGCGGGAGCATCCGCCGCTAGTTTCACGCTAAGATCCTTAAACATGTGACGCTGTTTGCTCTTGTTACAGCAACGACCAACACAACCGTGCAGCCATACGAAATCGCGGACAACATGAGCCAGCAGAATCCTCCCAAAAATTTCTCGGACTGGGAGAAGATTCTTGCGACAGAGCGAAGTCTTGGCTTCAAGAGCGAGCTCAGCCACTTGGTCTGTGATCGCCAAGAAGTACCTCTCTTCAACGACCTATTCACTGCGGTTGCAAAGCTCTATGCTGATTATTCAGGATGGACTGCAAGCCAGATCTGTGAAGAAGCTCTATTCGAAGTCCAGTGCGACGACATCTTCGAGGATCTGGCCAAGTCAATCTGGAGTGGGCCGGAAGCGCCTTGGCTCGTGAAGGAGTCAGAGTATTCCGAATACGGCGAATGCACCAGCACCAACTGCTACTGGAATACAAGCCCAAAGGAGAGGACCGAGAGGCAAGTAGCACAGACTCCGGCTGCAGCTTCTCTCGAAACTAATTGCTCTCCAGCTGGCGCTTCTACTTGCCCGAGTTGGTCGGTTTGTACTTGGCCAATGCAGAACTAACAACCGAAAACGCGGTTTCCGTCCGCCCTTTCGATGGTCCCGCAGTTGAACTTGGAGAATTCCCCACCAGCACGCTCGATTCAAGCTCAACTGGACCTGGCTCAGCCAACCGCGAAAAGTCGCCATCAAAAGCTGCGTCCGTGGCTGCGTCCGTCAAAGACTCGAAGCGTCTTAGAAAGAAGCCGCAGCGTTACGATGAAGAAGATAACAAGCACCAGCGGCAACCAGCGAAAGCGGTATGTACACCTATCATGCTGTGCGATTTGCATCGCTAACCGTTGGACAGGGCCGAAAGAGGACTCTGAACGGTTCCTTCAGGCCTCAGCAGGAAGAAACTGAAGACAGCTCAAGTGAGCAAACGACACTCGTGGAAGGCAGTGCGTCAACCTCTCCACGACCGCTCAAGGTAGGACACATCCGATTATGGCGAGACAGGAACAGAGTTGATTGTAATGTAGTACGCTACACCACGGAAATCGGCACCATCTCTCGGCAGTCTCGAGATTGAACGAAGATTCGGCACTGACACGGATAGCTTGTACCGGTCGACACCTCGTCCACAACGCAAGTCGTCAAAGAGCGTTTCACATGAAACCGCACCATTGCGCTCGCCAGCACCCGGTACCGCCCCCGCTACCTCTGGCTCTACAGCTCCGGGTCCGCCGAGCACCACAAATCCAGTTCCGCCTGGCGATGACGCTCTGCCTGGAGCTGAAGCGAACGAAGCAGCCGAAGACCGACCAGTCACAGCCGCTGCTGACTTCGACAGCGCCCTGAACGGCATTGATGAAGATGACGAGGAGCCCGAGCCACCGGTCAAGGAAGAGTCGCAATTCATGCCTGGAGATACCCTTGGAGACTCGATTGTGCTTTCCGACGACGAGCCAGAGCCACCGATCAAAGAGGAGTCGCAATCCATGCCTGGATCTACTTTGGGAAATTCGATTGTGCTTTCCGACGACGACGACGACGACGACGACGACGACGACGACGACGACGACGGTTTCCGGCGCAAAAACAGGCAGCGGTCTTCAAACACAGGATCCCAGAGACCACCCTCGCTCAGCACCCTTCATATTGCTGGATCATCCGAGCCGCAGAGTCGCACTTCCAGCATCTTCGACGCCCGCAGAGCCCGAGTGTGCTGGGGACCTAAAGCGCCATTCGACGACATCTTGACTCTGACCGGCTGCTCAGATTCTGGTATCTTCATCCAGCGTGTCGAGGCGCTCAAGCTCAAGCGTCATGGACTACGCAATGACCGGATCGCGGCCGCTGGGGTGAAGTTTGATGGTGGTGCGTGTTTCCGCATTTTGTGGGAAGATGCGGATCCTGCGTTTGAAGAGATGCTGGAACTTGTGCAGGGTACGAAGGGAGGTCAGAAGTTCGACTTGAGATTCGAGATCGAGTGGGAAGATGAAGAGGAGGTTAAGCCTGTGAAGATGGAGAGTCGGTAGACGTGAACGAAATCCGGGGCCAAGGTCCAACGGCGGAATGAAGAGATGGTGCAATAGCATCGCCCAGATTAAGAAGAGTTGGCCACGAACACCAGCTGAATAGCCATGACATCAAGAGGCCAGTTCTGCTGAAGTGGGATTGCTTCGCGATCGGCAGCCCAGGTTAAGATGTTACCACTTGGATATAAGCAGGAAACGAGCCGAAGCAAACAACATATCACCTACTCCGCACCCCCCACCATCTCCTTCTCTTTCATCCCCCTCCACTCCCCCTCCAACATCCCAAACCCAACATCATCCCACCAGCGTCCCCGATGAAACAGCAACTCCCTCACAACACTCTCCTCCTTAAAACCCAGCCGATTATACAACTTCCTTGCCCCCTCATTATACCCAAAACACCTGATCCCCACCCGATGCAACCCCGCCGTCTCAAACCCCCACTCCAGAATCCAGCGGATCGCCTCACTCCCATACCCCTTCCCCTGATACGACGGCAGCACATCGATGCCAATATCCGCGAAACGGTGATGTGCTGTGGTGGGTTTGCTCGACGAGAGATGGATTGCACCGATGGGGGTAGGTTTCTTCGAGGGCTCTTCTTGATCGTTCGCGGGATTCTCTGGAGGGAGACAGATGACCACGGCGAGAAGTTGGTTTTCCACGAGGACTTTCATGAAGTGCTGGGCGTCTTTTCTGGATTGGGGCTTGGGGATTGTGATGTTGCTGTTTCGGTAGCCGAACGCGTCTTGTTGGATGGCCAGGAAGAAGTCTTCGTCTTCGCTTGGTTCGATGGCGCGGTAGAGGAGTCGTTTCGAGCGGAAGGGGTGGATCTGGTTGGCCATGGTGCTGATATTTCCTGAGATTGCTGTGGGGTGAGTGGTGAATGTTTGCTATGATGAAGAGATGCCTTTTTCAATATGAGGGGCGAAGCGACGGAAATATTGGAGGGAAAAGGACTTCTTCAGCTAGGATGCTTTCGGTCACCGCCATACATACAAGGCTGCCTCTTCAATGCTGCCCGTACTAGCGAAGAAATGTGAAATGCTGCTCGCTACACCTTACAAAGAAGGACCATAGATTAGTAGGTAGGCATGTAGGCATGTAGGAAGGAGGACGTGCGGTTGGGTTTTTTGAGTTCGCTGAGTAATCGGCAACATTGGTCTCTTTAAGACGCGTTGTTTGTCTCGTGAACTTGCACAACTCTTGTCTATAGATCGACAGGATACTTCGTCGTCTCGATCTTCTCTGGATATACCATGTTGTTCTGCTTCCGTACCTCATCCATCACCTTCATGATCACCAAGCTCTCTTCCAAACTCTCGTACTGACCCTCCTTGCGTCCATCCCTCAACGCGTACGCGCACTCGTCCGCCTCCCAGAACATACCGTGTCCTGCGCCATCTGGGTTCCAGTTACCTCCGAATCCGTTCTTCCAGCCCGTGCTCTTATCTGGACCCGGCTGAGCGAACTCTCTTTCCTCGATGGTGCCGTCGTGGAGAACGAGCTTGGTCTTGGTCGGTCGGTACGCAGGTGGGAAGACCTGGATCTCGCCTTTCGAACCTTGAACCCGGATCGCTGGACCTGCTGAACCCTTCTTGTCTGGATCGGTTGCGATTCGTAGACCAGTCGTGGCAATGCCGTGTGCATCGCCGCCTTCTTTCCGTGGGAATGTCAAGAGCATGGAGGTCATCTCGTCCGCTCCGGTCTTATACTTCTTCAGAGCACTCAGCACACTGCTGGGCGGCTGAGGATTCTTCTGTGTATGATACAAGGTCTGGAAGACCCAGGTAAGAGCATAGATACCGAGATCGAGAAGAGCGCCTCCTGCGAGCTCCGGGTTCACCATTCGATGGCTGTCGGCGAAAGCGGTCTCGGGTTCGTCGGCGTTGCTCAAGTCGGCAGTCGTGCGGTAGACCGTACCGATCTTGCCAGAGGTGATGATTTCGCGGACGTAGATCGAGAGAGGGAAGTATCTCGTCCAGACCTAGGGATGCGTCAGTTCCACGCCGCACTGTCCTCTAACACTAGTGTAGTATACTCACAGCCTCCATGAGGAAGACATTCTTCTCTTTCGCCTTCTTGATCAACAACTCCGTTTGTGCAGCGTTGGTGGTGAATGCCTTCTCGCACAAAACATTCTTGCCCGCCTCGAGACACAGCATGGCGTTCTGGTAGTGGTGACTATGCGGAGTCGCGACATAGATGATATCGATATTTGGATCGTTGACGAGCTCCTTGTACGAGCCATACGCTTTCGCCGATTCAGGTGCCCTCACTTCCTTGAGGAACTTCTGGGCACGGTCGGCCGAGGACGACGAAGCAGCGGCCACGACGACGTGCTCAATGTCCTTGACTCCTCTGATCTCTGGGTTCGGCCATAGATCGCGGGCAAAGGTCTCTGCAATGCCTCCAGTGGCCAGGATACCCCACTTGAGCTGGAACTTGGACATTTTGCTGCTGATACTCAACGACTCTTGGGAGGAATGAACGGGAACGGATGAACTATCGTCGAAGGAGATGGAACGGCACTTATCATCGGATGGCTCATGTGGAGCCGCGCGTGAGCTTCAGATTTTGCTTGATGATGTACAGATCAATGGCATTGATATCATGACGAAGTGTCGGCGACAGCTCCCCTTGAGGCTCAGGCGGGGCAATTAAGAGCGGCATCTGGTTGTCGGCTCGACCATTCCTAGATCCCCGACAAGACGCCGCCAGACTATAAGCGAAGAGGAGGTACGGAGTGCACTGATGTGTGTTAGCAACCCACGGACAAGGTCACACATCGCCGAAAGAATGTGAGCAGTTATGCTCGCATTCGGCACGAGGACAGACGCGCTGCTTGGCTCGATGTAAATCTCCGCAAGGCGCATGCATGATCTTCAGGCACTGCCACTTCCACCTCAAGCTCGCGTGACGAGCTGGCAAGGTACTCTTCCAAGCACATACCCTCCCAGGCATTTGTGCAGCAATAGTCATCCTCTGCGATGCTCAGCCGAGGGCGCTTGCGACGCAACAATGCCTGAAGACATCGATTCGAAGCGTTTGATGGGAAATGTCAAGGCTGCGCCCCTTCCCCTGCATCCTCAAACCCAACACGGCATGCGACTCAAGTATATCACACCAAGGTGAGTGTCTCTTAACATCAATCTGCATATTTCGTTGACTCGCACCGTCATTCACGATGTCCACACAACAACCGGACGCCTCGCAGAATGAGAGATCGATTGGACAGGTCGTTGTGAAGACGCTTTTCACACACACATTTGCAGTCATCAACTACGCCTCCTTCAGCAGCCTTCTTCCTGTACCGACCAAGCACAATCTGTATCTCTTTCGCATCATCATATTCACGTTCATCCCAGCCCTGGTCGCCGTACAGATTGTGTTCGATATTGCACGGACACTCGTTCGCCTCCTCAGAGAGCCGGATGAATTTGGGTGGCGTTCACTGCCGTTCTACTTGCATGGCATTCTCGGGGTTCGCGCTTTCAGAGACGAGCATGAGCAAGCATCAGAGTCATTCGACGATGCAAGACTGCTCGACATCCCCGTCGTCGAGAATGTGCGAAGATCGCCGTGGCCTTGGTCGTGGAAGCGCTTCGGCCGAATCATCATCGCATTACTTGCGCTGGCTCAAGCAATTGGCACAATGATCCTCTTCGTTCGAAGAGCAAATTATAACGCCGTGGTCGGCTTCGACTACAGGTGTTTCGTGATGGCAATTGGATCTACCGTCGCGAGCGTCCTCACCTTGGCTCTTCTGGTATTTGGCCATCAATGGACATTCACCTCAAACGACGAAGCACCGATCGTACGCACGAGCGAAATCAAGCGACTGGTCCTAGAAACGGTGAGCAGTGGCGTCCTGCTCGAATGGATCCACGCGTTACTTCCAAGATATACGAACTGGCCAGGAGAAATACCGCGCTACCTATCGTCAATCTACAAAATCTTTTGGCCTACGCGAGCGGAGCATCTGCTCTTATGGCTACCTGTCGTGGCTCTGGTGGTCTTCCGCAACGACATAGCAAAGAGATTCAATATCAAGCTGTACCCTATCGCCGCCGCTTCGCTGTTGGTGGCATTTGTCTGGATGACGGTGGACGTCGTTGCGTCGGTCGTGCAAGATTTCGGACAATTCATCAACTTCTTCGAACCAGACTGGAGGAACAATGATCGACTGCGTTGGGCGGATCCTTTGGAGAACATGATTCCAGTGATATGATGATGTCTGATCTGCTTAGTCGACGAGCGTATGCAGCGTAGTCGAACGCCAAAGGAAGTATTCGCGCGACTACTAATACAGACACCGGCACGCTCCTCGCGTGAATTCTGTGCAGTCAGCCGTACGCGCATCGTCGGACTCGGTCCGTCTGGAGTTTAGACACTACAACTATGCGGAATCGGGTGCAATGAGCGAGTCGCATAGATACTCCCTTCCTAGGTAATCAGGGTAGCAGGACACTTATTTGATTACCTCATTTACATACCGGTCATCTGTGCTGAACAGCTCTTTTCTCTGGAAAAAGACCTGCTACAAGAACAGTCGGAATTGTACACAATGGGCGACTATGCGTCCCAGCATTCCTTCCGCATCGCCATCGTCGGTGGAGGCATCAGCGGCCTGTACTGCGCCCTCGCTATCCACCACCATTGTACGAAAGCAGCAGTCTCGTTCAAAGTCGACGTCTACGAACAAGCCCCCGAATTCAAGGAGATCGGAGCAGGGATTGGCCTTCGACCGGACGCCGCACAACTCATACACAACGTTGGGCTCGGAGATGGCCTTACTGCGATTGCAGGAGGTTCGGGCGATATGTTGTACAGAAGATTTGATGACGGTGGCGAGATTGTGACGGTCCCTCTGTCGCGCGAGGGAAGTGTGAAGCTGGCTCCTTGTGCTAGGTCGGAGCTGCTTGAGTTGCTGAAGGGTGGAATTGAGTCGAGGGGTGCTGCGACGCTGCACACGGGCAAGGCTTGTCAAAGGGTTGAGGTACGTGGTCATCAATACGCAATTGTTCGACTGGTTTTCTTACCTTCATACTATAGGGCCTTGGCGACAGCGTCCGAATCCACTTCACAGACTCCACAACAGCCGACGCAGACCTCCTGATAGGCAGCGACGGCATCCACTCCCAAGTCCGCCGCCAATTCGTCTCCGACAACGCGACATTCTCCGGCTTCATCGCCTACCGCGGCGTGGTCCCCATGAAATCGCTCCCGCAATGGCCGCTGCCAAGCTACAGCGTAGCATGGCTCGCCAAACACCGCCACTTCCTCGTCTTCTCCATCAGCAGCAACGAAGCTCTCAACATCGTCGCCTTCGTGACCAAGGAGGAGAGCCAAGTCGTTCACACGAAGGAGAGCTGGACGAGCACCTGTTCGCGCGGTGAGGTCTTCAAGGACTTTGAGGGATTTCATCCTAGTGTCCAGGATGTCATCAAGTTGATGCCCGAGGAGGTTTCCCGGTGGCGTATCAACGATCACGAACCGTTGGATCGATGGCATTACCTCGACGGGAAGGTCGTGCTTCTGGGCGACGCGGCGCACGCTATGACTCCTCATCTTGGAGCGGGCGGCAGCGTGGGGATTGCTGATGGCTAGGTGCTTGGTCGAGTTTTGAGCGAGTATCTCTCCGGCTCGAATGCGGCGTTGAAGACGCTTGGAAACGTGGCAGAGCTTTATCAGTCTGCGCGTCTACCGTCTGCGCACCGAACGCAGGCTGCGTCGAGGGCGAACGGAAATAGTGTTGAGATGCAGACGCCGGAGATGATTGGTAAGAGCTATGATGAGTGTGTGACTATCTTGGGGGATGGGATCAGGACCCGTATTGATATGTCCCATGCCGATAATACTGACACTTTGTATGAAGAGGCTCGAGAGGCGATGGTCGGTAATTCTAGATCCAGCGAGATATAAAGTAGATGTACGGCGATCCGTGTGGCTTCATAATCGATCAACGGCAAAGAAGGGCGCCAGTGATGTTCTGCTGGAAACAAGACGACAAGTCAACCTCGATCCCATCACTATCCAACGCTTTTCAACCAGATTTAATGCAACACTGATAAGTCCACCAACACAGTGGGCAAGGCTGTGATTTATTTCGTACTAGCCGATTTTAGAACAAGAGTTCATAGGGTTTTCGGCCCGACGGGTAAGGCTGAAAGCTCACAGATGCATTCGCGCTTGCGTCTTCGTCTTCGTCCTCACGTCCACATGGTCTTCGAATATCATTCGGACCGCAAGGCGTGAAATTTCGATTCAGGCCAATCCAACAAACGCAAGGCAACGCGCCAAAAAGCGAATGTGCGCTGCGTAGAAGCCACGAGACGGCGCGGATCGCACGGAAGAGATCGGAGAGATAGCAGCTGGAGCTCCCTGCCCACGAGAACATGGACCCTCGCTTTGGAGCTGTGAAGGATGTCAGCACGAAGAGACCGGCAATATAATAATAACGTGGTCAAGAGAAGCACTCGTGCTTAGCGGATGCTGGGCGCGCACACAAAGAGAGTACGGCCGAAGCTGTGAGATTTGAGGGTTTCTGTTGTAGGGTATACATAAATACCCTGCATATGCTGGCTGGAACAAGGACCAGGCACTCTGCACGTCGACGGGCTTGGGAAGAACGCAAAGGTAGGACGAGCATGTAGGGTCAAACAACATATAAACAACGCAAGAATCCGACAAAGGAAAAGCTACTAATCCCGTCCTTCTTCCACCTCCACCTCCCCTCTATCCATTACCACCAGCAGCAGCAGCGACCATGACATCCCGCAAACCCCTCCCAACCTCGCACCCACCCCCATGGACCCTCACCGGCGAAATGTACTGGCTCATCGCCAAAGCGCCCATCCCCCTCCCTCACTCCGCCTACCACCCGCTCGAACAAGCCGCCATAACCAGCAGCGCGAACAACTTCCAAGGCGGGATGTGCTACATCCAGATCGTGCGGTATAGCGATAGTCCTGTGGGGCCATATGATGAACTCGCCATCGTGCCGGGGGTTCTCAAGGTTCCTGCAGGGACGATGAGAGGGAAGAAGAAGATGCGTGTCACGAGGATCTATGTTAGTGGGAGGGATACGACGTTTGATGGTGAGTTTTCCTGGATTTTCAATCAATCTCTCCGTGTTGCATTGTGGTGTGCTGAAGTAAGACAGGCCGCAACAACTGGAACATCCCCAAACACCTCGCGCGCTTCGAGTTCTCCGCGCCACTGTCGCGCAAGGGCGAGGCGCCACCGGCAGAGCTGAAGGTCGCTGTGTACCCGCCTGGTACGGCGGGAGGAGAACGCTTCGATGTGCCTTTCTTCAAGGCGACTCTCACGCCTTCGAGATGGCTTCCCGCCGTGCCCATGTCGACAAAGTATCTCCCGCTGGATGCTACTCTTGTTCAGCCGCCGCTGCCGAAAGGGGATGATGCGTATCTGGCGGGGACGGAGACTTGGAGAGTCGTCCCTTTTGTATTGAGGGCGAATTGTAGACTCGTGTGGGTGAAGACTGATCACGAGGCGACGAAGACGCAGGAAGAGCACTGGCCACAGCAGATCAAGCCATGGAGTTTTGGCATTTGGATGGAAGACGGCATCTTTGACTTTGATGTCCCGGCTGAAGAGTTCACCGTCTAGGTCTTTCGATTTGAGCTAGTCTGACAAAGAAAACATGTAGCTACTGGTGTCCTCCCACACGAGTGTTCGTGGTTCTGTTCGCTGTCGCTTTAGAAATGCCGTGTCTTGCGCCGTGGTGAAAGCAATAATCGAAAACCATCGCCATACCCTATCCAGCGCCGCCCGCTCGTGAAAACGTAAAATGCGTGTTGAAGGTCTGCCCATGCCTAGGGTTTGTTTCCTGGCCTCTTAGGCTATGAAGTGATTCATGTGGCCGGGCACTCGCATCCGGCACTTCTCGCAATCTGCTCTGAACCCAACGCTGAAGCCTCGTCTTGCACCTGGGTTGCTTGGTCCTGCTCGTACCGGTGAGTTGCCGTTACTAAGGGCACCGCTTCGTTGCCGCTGCTTCCTGACGACGATGTTGTCTGGCCCGTTGTCCATGGGCTCGAAATCTACAGCCGAGTCTGGGTCGTTGTTCAGATCAACATTCGTGTGGACATTCGATGGCCTCGCCGGGTCAATAGAGATAGTCGGCACTGATGAGTCGTCTTCGTCCATGTCAACGTCACTAACAGTGAGCATGGACAATTGCGACCCGGCGGCTTCGGCGGCTGAAGGTGGCGTCAGCACCTCGTCTTCGTCGATAGGTGATGGGACTTCGAGATGATCAGAGCTGATGTACTCTTGTGGATGTCGTGATCGGATGTGGTGGCGGACGCCGGTCTTCTGCTGCGCGCTGCGGGCACCTGGTCTCATGGCCACGGTTGGGGTTGGAACTCGATGTGTCTGCACGCGCTGACCCCAAGGAGAGTGACGAAGAGCTTGCGGCTGCATCATGCGGGTTTCTTCAGGTGATTGGGAGAAGGTAGCACCGTCCATATCCTCGTCGCCCGACATCGACACATCCTGGGGGCTTCCGGGTTCGGAGACCATCGAGGATAGCTCATCGTCGCTGTCATACTTCGGCTGCTCTCGCACCTGAGATGAGGGTGTGCTTAGGACAGAATCGTGGTGGCCGTGAAATCCATATCCAGCTGGATCCGCAGTGGGGCGGGAGCGCTGCTAGTTGTCAGAGCTGGAAGGATTAATATGGCGGCTGGCGGTATACACACCTTCTCGAGATGGGCATCTTCTGAGCCGAGACCCTCATCGTCGTCTTGTCGGGAGCGCTTCCTGCTCTCCGCGGCGGCAAACATGGCGGGCGGTGCGCGGAAAGCCGTGGTTGTCAGAAGATCCGGAGCGCTGACGGAGAGCGAGCTAAGTGTCGAGAAGCATGCTGGAGGCAGTCATTCAGAACACACGAAGCTGCCAGAGCTGACGCGTGGGCTCTCGGTGAATGTTGATTGTCGGAGCGACGAGTGAAGGGGGGATTGTCACGCCCCAACTTGGACGATCAGCGCGGGAGGTTGATCTTCGAGGTGCGTGTTCGAGATTCGGCTAAAACGCCTCTGGAGTGCCGGCTAGGCCTTGAAAGCCACAACTTTTGGGGGCGAGTCTAGTTTCTGTCACCTCGGCGGTGCAATTCTGTTTTGCACAACAACAACATTCACTCTGCCACCACGACCGATGATTACATCCGCTATGAGGCAGGGACTCCTCACTGAAGACTCCTCGTCTTACCTGGCAACCGTCGTCTAACCCAGCATACGACCGGACTATTCTGACACCAGAAAGTTTTGAGGCTCGTTGCCCCTGCGACCAGCAGTTGCAGCATCTTCGTGGTAGAACCACCCGACCTGCGCCGGCAAACAAGATTGCTGCGTAAACCGGAAATAGGATATGGAGGCATCGGGGCCATGATGCTCTCCATCCTTGCTGCCGTACACTGCTTGGATTCTCGATATGCCCATCACATCAAAATACGCCAAGGGAGGCGACTCTTCAACTGTTGAAGGCTGAAACAACCCTCGTCCTGCAGTAGTAAGATGCCGGATTCGTTTAATCTGACTAAACTGCGTAGTATTGAATGAAAACTCGCACTGCAGCGATCCCAGCTTTTCGCATGTTATTGATTCTTCTTATCTCCTTTCCTACTCTGTCGAATGTCACAACACCGCCACCAACATGGCCAGTACCACGGAGACGCTCAATGTTGCGGTGATAGGCGCAGGAATCGCAGGACTTTCAGCCGGCATAGCTGTGCGCCGAGCTGGCCATCATGTCACCATTTTTGAGCGTTCGACGTTCAAGAATGAGGTCGGCGCGGCAATCACCATGCCTCCACAGTCTTCACGGATCTTGAGGAAGTGGGGACTTGCTGATCCCCCATCGACCAACGACGCTCCATATCAGGATTTGGCTTCTGGGAAGCTTCTACGAGGGAGTCGAAGGAGAAACCCCAAGACTGCAGAAATAGTCATGCGCACGGCTTTCGAAAACGAAGAGGAGGTTTACAGAGCTCCCTTTGTGTCCTATCACCGCGCAGACCTGCATTCTGGACTGCGGCAGCTGGCACAAGATGCTGGTGTGGAGATGGTGCTCGGCAAGATGGCCGTCGACATAGACTGCTCGAACGCTCGATTGACCCTTGCCAGCTCAGAGGACGATTTCAGGAATGAGACTGTGCAGAAAGACCTCATTGTCTTGGCCGACGGCGTGAACACTCGATTCGTGAAGGAGATCACAGGCCGGGATATTCCAGCTCGGGAATCTGGACGTAGCGCTTTCAGAGCTTTGATACCGACGAAGAAGATCTTGAAAGATACAGAAGCCAGCCAGATATTTGCCGATGGAGGCGAACATTTCTTGAATGGCTGTGTGAATCCAGCTACTGGCGTATTTATGATATCGTACCCATGCCGAGGGTAAGCAGATGAAAGGCCATGGTCCTCGTGATGCTTACTGAATGAGCGATTGACAGGGGAGAGCTGATGAACGTGGCCATCATCCATCCCGTTCGACCGGATGAGAAAGGCAAATCGGGCAAGCAAGCTCACAGTATCTATATTGAACTACATATGAGCTAATGGGGAGTAGATTGGAACTCTCCCGCAACCGTCGAGGAAGCCCTGGAAGTAATACACGACTTCCACCCGGCATACAAAGCCATCGCAAAACTTGCCGACCCAAAGGTATACACGATCAAAGACCGAGAGCCGCTTCCAACCTACGCCAACGGACGAGCTATCATCATTGGCGACGCGGCACATCCCATGTTTCCCAGTATGTCGTCTCTCCCTGCAGTGCCCATTGACCATGCTCACGATTCGGCAGCAATCGCGGGCGGCGGCTCCACAGCGATCGAAGATGCCGCTGCATTAGAGGTCGTTCTTCGTGACATCACACCTTCGGATTCCAATCTCATCACTCAAAGGCTAGCACTCTGGAACGCTCTTCGCCTGCCGCGAGACGTGGTAACGCAAGTTCTCAGTACCGCTATGGTTCTACCCAGACCGGCGTCTCAATATGCGGAGCAAGTTCGGCATGTGTATACGGGTCATCTTCCAGATGAAGTGCTTGCAGGCTGGCATGAAGGGACAAAGGCATTCGTTTGTCCGTACGATGTGTTTGATGTGACTCGAAAGGCGTTGGAGTGGGCGGAGAGGGAAGCGTATCCTGACGATATGATGTTGCGGTTGCAGGATGAAGGTGTGATTAAGCACTTTGGGAGATGATATAGTTTAGACTATTTTCCATCATTCTGAAAAAGTCAACACCACTTCATAGCATTGGACAGCTCAGTGGAGCGCTCAGTATAGGAGGGCCATTCATCATTTATCGATAGTGAAGCGGACCTGTGGCCGCGCAAATGGCGGCTTCCCATTGGCTGAACACAGCAAAGCTGGACGACGTAAGTCGAGACTGCCTGCCATGTGGCAACCAACAACATTGCAAACGACCAAAAAACATCAACTTTCTCCAAAACACACCTCTCAAAGCCCCACCGCATGCAAACAACCACCAAAATCCCACTCCCTCAAAAATGGCCCAACCCATCCTCACCCGCCTCACCTCCAACATCGAAACCACAACCACCACCCCCACAACCCCCCTCGACACCCGACTCTTCGAAGAAGCCGAACTCCTCCTCCCGGAAACCCTCCCCTCAGAAGAAAAATCTCACCTCATCACCCTCCTCTCAACCCTCCTCCAAACCCTCCAACAAGACCCCACCCCCGCCGTGAACCTCCTCCTCCGCCTCGTGCAAGACCACAGCTACAGCGACGTGCTCCAACTCGGCGCCAACATCCCCTTCACGGCGGGGCTGGCGGTGGGGGAGCACATGGTGGCGTTTAACCGGTTGATTCTGGCTCTGCTGGGGAAGGCGACGCGCAATGCGGCGGATGCGGCGTCGGTGGCGGGCATGCTGGATACGGTGCACGCGTTGGTGAGGTTGTGGCTTTGTACGGCCGATACGGGGATTGCGGCTTCGGCGTCGCAGCTGCTTTTGGAGCTTTTGGGGGTTGATCAGACGATTAGGAGAGATCCGGATGAGGATCTTCCTTCTGGGGGGCAGGGGCTAATGTGGAAGCGGGTGTTTGGGGATCGGGATGTGTATCGGACGGTTTTTGAGGCGTGTTCGTTGACGGGGAAGGGGCCCGGGGGTGTGGAGTTGAGTAAGAGTCAGCGGACGCTGGCGCAGGCGAGGTTGATGGAGTGGTTGCCGCGGGTGGGGGCGATGGATTGGGGAGCGATCGAGAGGAGTCATCATGCGGATGTGGAGGGGGAGTTTGGTGTTGAAGGGGGTGGGGGATTGTTGGAGTTTGCGGCGTTGCGGATGGTGGATGTCAAGGATGATGTGCTGATGTATCGATGTTTGATCGATTTCTTCTCGGATCTGCTGCAGTGTACGAAGAGCAACGTGCGGATCCCAGGAAGCGGCACGACGGACTCGGCGGCTCTTCGATACCTCATCACTCAGGGTCTGCATGCTCGGACTGCTGCGATTTACGTCCAAATACCGGGCGTACAGCTGGATCCTCTGGAATCGATGTTCCTCTATGGGCCTGCGGCGAACTACATAGCGACGTACGCCTCGACCTACCCGGAACACTTTCTCGCCAGCCAGATGCCCAAGCAGGTCCTCGAGCGTCTCAGCACAGCACTCAATCTCTCCCCAGGAAAATGGGCACACGCCGATTCACCGAAGCACGACCTACATGTGCTTGCAAGCCTCCCTCGGAAAGCGCTCCTCACAACATCCGGCACAGACGACTGGCGCTCAAGCCCCCTCTCCCTCGTCCCATCAAAAGCCACAAACCCAGACGCCCTCAACACCCTCGCAACGATCTTCCACGGACCACCCGACTCAATAACCTACAACCTCGCCACCTCACAACAACAAGAACCAGAGAACCAGGAAGAATCCACATACGCCCGAGCGTTATACTACACCTACCTCTCGCACAACCCCTCCTTCTGGGCCGACATAACCACCCACGCCGACACAATCGCCCTCAAAGACCTCGCGCTCTCCGCCCTAAACGTTCTGCACTCCGTCATAACTGCCACCTGGCCCTCCACCACTACCACCACCTCCCAAACCCCACCCCTCCCAACAACCCTCGCCACCCCACCTTCCGGCCACCTCGCCATCCTCTCCCCGCCTTCACTAGAACACACACTCCCCTACCTCCTCAAACCCCCGCAAACCTTCGCGAATCTCGTCGGAGGCAGAGGAGATGTCGAGAGCGCGGCGTATAAGATTGCGAGTGCGAAGTTCGATGCGCTGAAGGCGTTTCATGGACGGTTGGTGGATGAGGTGCAGAGGTCTCCCGGCGAGGGATACGAGGAGATTTTGGCGACGGTGACGAAGAGGTTGGCGGAGGGGCCGTTGAGTCGCGAGGGAGAGGTGGGTGGACGGGTGGGGACGTTGGAGTTGTAGTAGAGTGATGCTCGGGTCGGTAGTCTCGATTGAGCAGAATGGATTCGAATTCGTTCCTCGTTCTTCATTCACCCATCACCCATCATCATCCCTCGACTTCAAGGCTTAAACCCCTCTTTACAATGCACCAACCGTCCCCTCACCCACACCGCCATCGTATTCCGATCATCGCCCGTGTAAACCCACTTGGCCACCTTCTCCTCGTACGTCTCCCCGCCGAAAACCTCCACAGGCCCTTCCTTCTGATCCAACCCGCCCACCGTCTCGCCCACCTCCGCGAACGTCACCATCTGCGCATCCCACTGCTTGCCCACCTCGAACCCTCCAATCTTATCCTCGAGACCAACGACTTTGGCGCCGCCTCTAGTGGCGAGGTATAAAGCTTCCTCGACGGAGAGTTTGCACTCGTCGCTGCCGTCTTCGAGGATGGAGCGGTGCCGGGAGACCATGACTGCTTCGCGGGTTTCGGCGAGCATGCTGCAGGTGTAGCCTCCTGAGACGTCCGTACCGAGGCCGACGGTGATGCCTTCGTTGAGGAGCTGGCGGACGGGGGCGCAGCCGGAGGCGAGGGCGGTGTTGGAGGCGGGGCAGTGGGAGATTTTGGCGTCGCGGGTTTTGATGAGGGAGCGTTCCTCGGGCGTGAGGTGGACGGCGTGGGCGAGGATGGTTTTGGATGTCAGGAGGCCTGCTTCGTCGTAGACGCCCGCGTAGTGTGGTGCTTCCGGGAAGAGTTTCTTGACGAGGGCGATTTCGGATTTGTTCTCCGATATGTGCGTTTGGCAGGGGATTCCAGAGTCCTGATGGAGTTTCCCCAGCGCTTTCAGACTCTCGTCCGAACACGAAGGCGCGAATCTCGGCGTGATAATCGGCGACACGAGCTCGAACCCAGGATCAATCCCCCTCACATGCTCAATACACGCCTCCGTATCCCTCAAACTGCTCTCGGCGCTCTCATCCCGATAATACTCTGGACTGAGTCGATCCATACACACCCTCCCCACAAACGCCCTCTGGCCCCTCGAAAGACACACATCCGCCAGCAAATTCGTCGCCGCCACATGCACCGTCGCATAGTAACACGCCGTCGTCGTCCCATGGCTCAACGTCCTCGCCACCACCCGATTATACACCTTCGCCGCCTGCCGCACCTCCCGAAACGAACTCTCCATCGGGAACGTGTACGTCTCCAGCCAGTCCAGCAGCGTCGACTTGCCGAAGATGCCTGCGTTGGGGTACTGCGGCGCGTGGATGTGGGTGTCGATGAAGCCCGGGAAGAAGAAGCCGTGGCGGGCGTTGAGACGGACGATTTTGGATTCTTCCCAGCCGGGTTCGGTGGGGAGTTGTTTGCCTTTCATGTCGCGCCGGATGAAGGCGATGGTGCCATGTTCGTCGACGCCGATCATGCCGTTGACGGCGATGTCGAGGGTGGTGAGCGAGTCGCTGTGGATGAAGGGGCCGATGTAGAGGGTTTTTTCGAGGGACATGGTGGGCGAGTCGTGAGAGTTGAAGGAATGTGCGAAATCGGGGCAAAGCGAAGGAAAACGATCTATGTGTATGTTGGCGTGGGTTTTTAAGTGTTGAAGAAAGGATGAGGTGAAGTTCACTATCTGGCTTGGCGTTTGGTTGTTGGCGAGGAAGGCTCGGTTCCGCGCGACTGCTCTTCGGCCATCTCCGAAGTCCAGAACTCGTCTACTTTTTTGCCAGGAAAGGAAGGAGCGTGGTTACACTAGTGATGATAGTTGAAAGTATATATAATGTTTGATTCATTCATGCTATGCGTGCAAGTCATTCATATCCCTCCTACAAACGCCGTTTCTCACAGGTCATGTACACATTTACAGATCCAACTTCGGTTCGGCATCCTCCCAATTCCACTGCTTGCAACCGCCATACCAATGCCTCTTAACACACTTCTTCCTGCGTGTGGTTGGCAGATTTGTTGGTGAAGGTGTGGCGGAAGTAATCGTAGGCGACGGATCCACGCATATCAGTCCGAACCATTCCCTAGATGTGCAGTCGTCTGTTGCGGTGGATGTAGCGGATACGATTGAGGAAGTGGGTTTAGGGGTGGCAGACGTGGTACTTGTGGTCGAATCGTAGCATCCAAACCAGCCTGGCGTTTTGCACGTACTGGTCGAAGTCGATGAAGTGGTTGTAATCGTTGGCCCAGGTGTGGCACTTCGGCTTGTCACAGAGCTTGATGTTGTTGTCGTCTCGTCCTTGCACCCAAACCAGCCAGGCGTCTTGCATGTCGAGGTGGTCGTCGTCGTAGTTGTGCTTGTAGTAGACGTTGGTCTCGAAGGAGTGGTCTCGTCCAAGCATCCCCACCAACCTGGCGTTTTGCAAGTCTCGGTGCGTGTTCGAGAGGTTGTGGAGCTGCTCGTGCTGCTCGTGGTTGTCTCCGTGCCGTTGCTCTCATAGAATTTCCAGTTGTAACAATCCACGCACTCCACATCTTGGTCGCAGCCCGGTACAGTATCGTACTTTTTGAGCACGTCGTTGATCACGTTGACGATCTTGTGAGTGCCAATACCCACTCGCCAGCCCAGATCACCGACAGTGTCATAGATGCATGTCTCACCAGTATGGCACACACCTTCGAAAGCATATCCAGCGATCGAGCAGAATGAAGTCCCCGCATTGCACGTCCCCATGTAGATTGGGTCAGCAGTATGACCAAAGTGGTGGATGCCAGTCCTGGCTCGGGTGTGATGCGATCCGATTTGGTATCCTGGTGGCACTGGAAGCCCCAATCTATTGGCAGCCATGGCATCTGGGAAGGCTTCGAAAGTGAGGGTTGGTAGACCGTACGTCAAGCCCAGCAGAGAGCTAACCACTCCACCAAGCGAATGGCCTGAGAGCCAGACGTCTGAATTCGGGTACCGCTCCGTCACGTTATGATAGAGATCGCGAACCGCCCAGTAGTAGTGGCCCTTCTCACGTAAAGACTTGGTCAAGCATGTGGAGTTGCAAGAATATGTACCTGTCTTGCAATCACAGACCTGCTTCCAAGTAATCTGTCCACCTTGAGCACAGCAGCATGACCCAAACAGGTTATCGTTCAACTTGTCATTGCCCGTCGTATCTGCACCATCAAAGACTGCAGGAGATGTGCCTTTCAGGCCAATGACAATCGTGCCGTTCGTCTCATCAGCGAAGATGTGTCCTCTCAGACCATCCGTCTGCCAGCCAAAGTCATCGGTATAGTTGAATCCACCTTTGACCGGTTGCCACTCGCCATCTGCAGGCGTCAGGACGTATGCATTTGCGGCCATTTTGGCAAACGTCAGGATCGTGCTCTTGTCTGTGATGTTCGGCCCTGCAATCTTGTCTTCCGTCCAAGCTGTTGACGGCAGGTCGATCGCCTCACCATGGTGGTATGCGTGGTCGAGGAGTGCATCGATATCGGACGGCTTTCGTTTAGCCAGACGCTGGATGTTCAGAGTCTGAGCGCGAGCATGGAGCTCTACCGGAGCTTCTTCAAACGTTTCGCCATCATCGTAGGAGACTTGAAGCTGGTTGTCAGTGGCGATGTCGATGTATCGGTGGAGGTTGGGATAGTCGTGGGTGCCATGGTGGTAGATGTGCCTCAGTGTGAACTTGCGCTCCCCTAACGACTGTGGCAGCGAACCACTGTCTATTCCATCCGACACTCCAGGCGGAAGAACAATCTGCGGGCTGGTGAAGGCCCTCCGCTGGTCGCGCGTCCTTGCTGTGGCGCCCAAGCCGGCGACAAACAACAGCGACCACAGCAGCAGGCTACCGTTGAGCATGGCGGCGGTGATGCTGGCTCTCGGGCGAGCGATGCGGGAGTGAGTTGAGCATCGCATGTGATGGAACGGCGGAGGAGGCAGCAGCGGTCAGTCACTAGGACGGGCTAGAGAGGGTCAAAGAATCACATGCGTGTTGACATGAGGCATCGCAGGACATCCCACTCTTCGCCCACGTCATGCGAGCTTCGGCGAGTGTGGATCGGCCTGGACCTCCCCAGCAGAGCTTCAGGCACGCGCCAGCAGTAGTAATGGGTGTAGCAACGACAGTGACAATGATCTACCCAAGTCACGAGAATTGGCGTGCTTGACAACACCTCCCCATCTGATGCGGTGACCAACAATCCTTTCCCCGGCGGCCAACACCTGACTGTGCCCACCACGATTGCAAGCTGCCAGCCCTCGCTCACGCCGGATCACCGGGATAGGCTCTTCAGGACTGGTATATCCACGTAACTGCTTACCCTCCCTCGTGCCCCTTCACCGTCCTCATTTCCTGCGAGCCTTGGTACTGTCACCTCCCTCGACCGTTTCTCTTGTCGTCACCACAGTGATGTCCCAGACCCGCCAGCAGCCCGCCGCAATGGGTGCAGATAACAGGCCTCGCACGCTGCATGTCTCCCGGTCGTTCACAAGAATGGACAACACCCCTTCGCCCATGTCCTCTCCTAGGAAGAGAGCGAGCACCCTGCAAGAGGCTGGCATCCCCTCCATTCCAGAAGCACGACACATAGCTACCTCGCCGGAGCTTGGGGGCAAGAAACCCATGGCCGATGTCTTTGAGAACAACGAGGAGGATGAGCATATCGAGGGCGATGGGGAGAATACAGGCCCGGAATTGAATGTCCCCAGCACGTTCGACGAGTTGCCTATCGAGATCAAGAGCATGTGTGAGCGGTTTCTCGAGAGTCTGTCTGCAAAAGTGCACCCAACCCCACTCAGTGCAGAACAGCTCTCGGAACTCTTTCAAGACTTCTACGAGAGGGCATCACAGCATGTTGCAACCCATATTGCAAGTCTGTCCTCTCGAATAGGTCGAGATACTCCCCCGGCGTCTTCAGCGAGCTCCAATTCACGCAAACAGTTGGGCAGGTCAAGAGCAGGGTCTGGTGCAAAGAAGGGCTCGTCCGATGACCTCGCAGGATCTATCGGTGGTGAGATGCTCACAGCGTCCGAGGTGGCCGATAGGAAGAAAGCACGCAAGTTGTTAGAGCACAAGCGAGTTGCGCTGGAAGAGGCTGTCGAGCGGGGCGTTTGTGAGAAGGTTTATGACAAGATATGGAAACACAGAAGCGCGGACGACGACGCAAGAGATGAGAAGTTACGCTCGAGAACGGCAGCTCTATCGCTTGTGGGCATCGGGTTGAAAGAGCTGCACATGGATCAGGATCCCGCAAAAGCCGATGTGAGGAAGACGGCGGAAGAGAGGGAAGATGAGATCAATCAGTCGTTGGCAGCTGCCAGAGAGGCTTTGATACACATGGACGACGACCATTATCCTCTGGGCAAGTTGCAGCATCTCACGGCCGCGCATAAGAGCATTGTCGAAACGCTCTCACAGCTCTTTCCATCGTCCTCATCAGCCGATGAGATCTTGCCAACACTCATCTACACGTTGATCACATGTCCGCAAGAAGGCATCAATGTTGTCAGCAATCTCAACTTCATCCAGCGCTTCCGAACATCCAGCAAAGTCGATGGAGAGGCTGCTTATTGCCTGGTCAATCTCGAAGCGGCAATATCCTTCCTCGAGACAGTGGACTTGTCATCACTCCGAGCAGACGAGCTACCACAAGGACCAGCGAAGATGCAGAGCCGGCCAGTCACCCCAAGCGAAGGAGATAAGCCGCCCCCATCTCCAAGACCAGCGATAGCACGCACCTTGACTCCAACAATCTCACCGATGACAGCGAACTCGAGCGACCAAAGTACACCGAACAGCACAGCCAAAGCAGCACTTCCCTCGCCTAGTAGCCCCAACCCAACCTCTCGGCCAGGCATGCATCAGCGCCGAATTTCTGGCTTGATGCAGGCTCAGGTTGATCGCATTGAGGCTGGAAGAGACAACTTTCTGAATGCAGCCGACAAATTCTACGATTCTGTCAATGGCACTCTCGACAACAGTCTTCAATTCCTGTTTGGTCGGTTCAAGGAACAGGTGGCCACCAACGATTCAGCTCTTCCCAAAACACTGGAAGACGCACGAAAGCTAGTCAGCCCACCATCAACTGGCGAAGATGACGATTCGGTGTCAGTCAGTGGACGCAGCAGTCCGGGAATTGACGATCCTCTCAACGCCGGGAACAAGGCATCAACAACCGACAACAAGATGCTCGAACTGCTCGGCGGCAGAAAGCAGCTTCGAGACCGCAGCGTCGACAGTGCCCGATCGGGTGGCAGTGGCAACGGCAGACGCGTGACATTCGACAACAACAAGCCAGGCTCAGCAAACCCTACGAACGGTCAGAAAGATCAGAGACCCGACCAGTCCCCAGCAGCCTCCCAAGGCAACCTCTTCGCATCCATCAACCCCCTCAACCGCTTCGGCATGCCCAACTTCCCTCGCTTCGGCCGGGCGGGCACCATGCCCACCCCATCACCCCCAGCAGAGAAACCCACACCCACGAACAACGCAGCAGCAGCAGCCCGACTAAGCGACATCGTCGAATCCCCCGCCACGACCCTCAAACCCGGCAGCAGCGAAGCAGAATTCGACGCCGCGTTGGAGAAGACACGAAGTCGGGAGAGTACCGTATCCGTATCCGGGACAGCCGGCGCGGAAGACGACGATTTGAATGCGAGGGAGGCGCTGGCGGGGCTGAGGAAGTTGAAGGGGCCGAAGAGGAGGTTTTTGGATGCGAAGAGTGCGAATGAGTTGAGGGTGGGCGAGGTGGAGGAGTTGTTGGTTGAGTATAAACGTTTGGCGAAGGCTTTGGCGGATGCGATTTCGAGTTGATAGGGAGGGTGTGCAAGGGGAGTGAGGGGTCTTCTTTTTTTTTTTGAGCGAGGTGTTTGGGAGGGTTTCGGGTACTTACTGTAGATGAGTGAGGGGTGGTGCGTAGGATTGTGCGGAGGTATAGTATCTTGGTAGACGTATGTCTGTACAGCTGTCGACAACCGAAGTCAAGTCCCTGTTTTTGTACTTCTTACATCCTCCCCTGTCGAACTTTACATCAAACAAACCACCACCCCAACCAAAAGCGCCCCCAACATCGACACACCCACACCTCTCACCGCCGCCCCCGCCCCACCCGTCTGCTGCTCCGGCGGCGCACTCCCCGTCCCACTTCCCGTCCCATTCCACCCACCACCACTCGTCCCATTCCCCCCCTCCGCAACAAACTCCCAAGTAGTCCCCCCAAACACCCCCCTCGCCATCCCCTCAACCACCTCCACCCGCGACCCATTCCCACTCCTCAAGTATCCCCTCCCACCCCCCTCAACCACCACATTCCCCCTCGTGCCCGGCGGCGTGCTGAACCTCAACCCGGTCACCGTCCCATCCCCCGTAGCGTTCACGACGGCCTCAAAAACCCCCAAACTCGTCTCATACCCCACATCGATAAATTTGAGATCCCCCGGGCGAGGATGGATCTCCCACTCCCTTCCTCCCGCGGCGAGGAGGCGGATGCCGCCGATGTAGAAGGAAAGAGTCGATGAAGGACCGGTCGCCCAGCCGTGCGCGTGGCTGACGCGGGCGTCGTTGGTGTAGGGCGCGTAGTGCAGGGTGCCGTCGAAGGCGTAGCCTTCGATGAAGGTGGAGTTTGTCATGCGCGGGTCGTCGAGCATGAAGGCGCCCCATTGCAGGCGGATGAGGGCGAGGGCGGAGGCGGGGTGGGAGGCGAGGATGTGGGCTTGGAGTTCGAAGCCGGAGATGAAGGGCGAGATGGCGTTTTGCGCTTCAGGGGCGGGCGCGCCGTGGGGGCCCCAGCGGGTGCGCAGGGCGGTGGAGATGAGCGGGCTTCGCGAGGGGGTGCTGAGGTTGGAGAGGATGGCCCAGGTGTTGCCGTCTTGGGGGGAGAGGGTGGTGGTTTCGTTGTCGTGGTAGAGGTTTGTTGTGCCGTTCCAGAGGAGGGCGTTGGCGGCAGTTTTGATCCCTTCCGCTTTGGACTGCCAGGTGTCGAGGGTTGTTTGGTCTTCGCCGACGGCCTGGCCGAGCGTGATGCCTTGGTAGATGGTGTAGTAGAGGATGGAGTTGGCTTCGATGTTGTGTCCGCCCATGCCACTTCGCAGCCAATCATTCGGAGCTGTAACGTTCATCATGCCGCTGGCATCGATTTGCGAGATCGATAGCTCTAGCGCTTGCTTCCACGCTTCCCATTTGCCTTGCAAGTACTCTAGTGAGTCGGAATAGAGGTAGTAATCCGCCACACCAATGAGCGTGTACATGTGATATGTCGCAGAGGGGATCAAGGGGAAGGGACGGCCGGCCCAGGGGAGTTGGCCGGAGGTTTTGTTTTGGACCGCGAAGAGGGAGTCGAGGGAGTTGGCGACGGTGATGAGGTCGTTGGTTGAAACGACAACACCAGGGACCGCGATGGCCATGTCACCGGCCCAGACGAGGCGGTCTCGTTTGGCGCCGTCGACGAGCGCGCTGCTACCATTAGTAATAGTGTAGTTATTGTACCAGGTTTGCGGGGGTGTTTCGTCGCCTAGCATGGATGAGTTGACTTCGTTGAGGTGCACGAGGGAGTTGCCATAGTGTGGGTCGATGGTGCAGAGTTGGTTGGTATATGCGCCGGCATCTGGATATCATTAGCTACCATCAACTTCCCCAGCAACTTCGCACGTGCACCACTTACACCACACCCGATTGATCAACTCATCATCGCAATGAAACCACCCCGTATACGCCCCCAACTGATCATCCTCCCAATGCGGCATCGCTGTGAAGTAAACATCCACCCTCCTCACCTCCACGCTCCCGGTCGAGTTGTGTATCAAACTCAGATACCTAAACCCGCCGCGTTCATGCTCGGGAGCAACACTCACGTCCCCTGCCGCAGTCGGATGAAACCACAAGATCTCGTCGGGGCCAGCATCAGCAGTCCCATCACTCCCTACTCCAGAGATCCATAACGAACTCTCGGAGAAGGTGAGGCCGATGAATTGATCTTCGTCGACGGAGCCGATGTTGAGCGTGACTCGTCCTGCGATGTTCTTGCCAAAGTCGTAGGTAACGGCTGAAGGGCCTGAGAACGTGGCACTGCCTTCGTCGTCGCCAGTCAAAGTCTCTGCCCCGTCAACAGTGCCATTGACCTGGTAGACGGAAGCTGGGTGGAGAGTTCTGGAGTGGGGGGCGAGGATGTATTCGGAGTATTTCGCTGCACTGGTCAGAGTTGCTGAGAGCAGCAAGCTCAGACCTGTGGAAAGCCGCATGTTGATCCCTTTTGCCTGCGCTCCGAACAAGAAGTAGGATCAAGGAAACAAGAGATTACAAGAGAATATAAGAAACCGTCCACAGAACCTACCACCACCTCCCTTCGGTACATCGTGCACCAGACTGAGCGAGCGCCCAGAACACCCCAAGAACCTCCTCCTGCCCATCGGTAAGACGCAGGTCCCCTCCGCGCCTCCAAAACAAGATCGCCCACCGGAACATCCTCTGACTATGATGTAGGAAGGCATGGCCACATCTCGGCAGGGAGACAAGTGAGGTCCAAAACGTGGAGAACCCAGCAAAGTCTGCGGGGAAGAAGCTTCGTCCTCGCTGTAGAATTGCACCGATCCCGGACCTCACTCCATCGTTGCATCAATTCACGGCACTTGCGCAAGGCACCAAAGGCGGCATTTTCAGATGTCAGGGGAAGAAGACGCAGGAGGAAGCGAGGAGGGTAGTATGCGCATCGACCCAGCGCGGGCGAAGCAGCTCGTCGAGAACTTGCAGCGTGTGACGCAGAGGGTGGATGCCGTGCGAGGAGGAAGTGGGAGAAAGGTATAGCCAAGTCATACTCTCCACGAACACACATACGGAAAGTAGACATTGTTGACACAGTAGAAATTCGTAGGTCCGCCTCATAGCCGTCTCGAAACTCAAACCCGCCCGCGACATCCTCGCCCTCCACCAACCACAATCCCCTTCAACCCAACAACCGCACCACGACTTCGGCGAAAACTACACAGACGAACTCACGACCAAAGCCGCCCTCCTCCCGCACTCCATCCGCTGGCACATGATCGGCGGCCTGCAAACGAACAAATGCAAACCGCTCGCGGAGTCCGTGCCGAATCTCTTCAGCGTCAGCAGCGTAGACACCGCGAAGAAAGCGGACGCGTTGGAGAAAGGACGGAAGGCGCTGGTGGAGAAGAGCGGGGATGAAGTTGCGGAGGAGCAGAAGAGGTTGAGGGTCTTGGTGCAGGTCAACACCTCAGGCGAAGAGTCGAAATCCGGCGTGGAGCCGCACGAGACCACGGCGTTGTGTAGACATATCCGCGAGAAGTGTCCGACGTTGCGGCTTGGGGGGTTGATGACGATTGGGGCGATTGCAAGGAGTAGAGAGTCGAGTTCGCCGGATGCGTTGAATGAGGATTTTGTGACGCTTAGGGAGACGAGGGATCGGGTCGCGGGGGAGTTGGGCGTGGAGAGGGAGGAGTTGGAGTTGAGTATGGGGATGAGTTCGGATTTTGAGGCGGCGATTGCGCAGGGGAGTGATGAGGTGAGGGTTGGGACGACGATTCTTGGGGAGAGGCCCGCGAAGAAGGATGCGAAGATACAGTGACGCTGTAATGTAGACGTAGGGATGTATGTCATGAGTTCGACCTGTACAGTATTCTTCTGGACATGCACTATATAGAGACGAGCACGACGAGATGCGATGTGAATGGAAAGAGGAAAAGATATTCAAGATCAAACACGACAACCCGTGTTGATTAGAGCACTTTTGATACAAGGCTACAGTACCCAAGCCCAAATCTTCTCAAGTCGATTCCCCACGCCCAACGCCATTGCTTTCGTGACCCTCATCACTCATCGGTGGTTGATAATCTTCCCTTCCAATCCGCTCCAATAACGCCAATTGAGTCTGGTGAGCCTGTGCTTGCCTCGACGCCAACTCGTCCCTCGCTTTCCTAACCCGTTCGATCGACTGCCGCTGAAGCGCAGGAGCGCCGCCTTGTTGCGGGACGCTCAGGCCCGTCGCAGCATTATGCCGCGCCAGACGCCTGCGCGTCGACCGCAAAGGTTGCAGAGTCGTCGATGAGTTGGTCAAACGAGAAGAGCGAGCCATTGAAGCTTGCATCATACGCGCCATCCGTGAAGGCGAAAGCATCCAGATCGCCACCAGGAGGGTTTTGTAGCATGTCTGGAGTTGCATAGTCATCAGAGAAAGGAAGAGATTCGTCCACCATGAAGCTGAAGTCGTGCTGCTGCTCAGGCTGCTGGACCGACACGGCAGGTCGCACAACATTGCTGCAGAATGTTGTGTCAGGTCCAGCGGCGAGAGAGTAGACGGCTTCGAGTCGAGGTTGTCGAAGGCTGGTGGGAGAGTGGTGGGGAAGTTGTAGTCGAGGGGTTCTTGCTTTATCAAGGGGGTCTTGGCGTTGTGGAAGATGCTCTCAGCCGGTGAGGCTGGGCTGGGTGCGTCCTTGACAGAGCCGTGTGACTCCACGAGTGATGGAGCGGGTGTTGATGCAGGGTCGCTGCTGTCGAAATCGTCAGTGGTGATTTAATTTATGATTATGATATCTCATACCTGTCTGTGCTGAGGTGGACTTCGGGAAGGACGACGCTTGAAGGCAGAGGGCCGTGAAGCCGTCGGTAGGCCTCGAGCTCTGCGTTCGCCCGTGCGAGTTGCACAGCAAGAGTCTCTGCCTCTTGCCGCTTGCGTTCGCGCGAGTTGTGCGCTGCCGCTCGATTACGCTTAATGCGCTCGATGCGACGCTGCTCCTTCTCGTCGTCGGTCTTCGCACGCTTCCGTGGTGGGAGTGCAGTCTTGGGCTCAGGGAGTTCCTGGCCCCATGACTTCCGCTTCTTGGCCTGCTTGGAGTGGACGATGACAGGTGGCGGTGATTGTTGCGAGCCAGTGGCTGCTGATGTGTCGAACGAGGGCGACGGCGAGGTCGCGGGCGGTGAGTTGTGTAGGTCTTCCATTTTGAGGAAATGATTGTCGGCAGACAGGGAGTCGATGTGGATGGTGGATGTAGCGGTGGTGGTCTCCATTGCGGGCTTGTCAGTAGAAGAGGAATCTACTTTGGCTGGAGAGGGGTTGCGGAGAGAGGACAGCTCGCTTCTTCTGCTGGGCGGGTGCCTGCCCTTTTGAACAGCTGGCAATCAATAAGCTCTCGCTTAGCTCGGGTCCAACCGCACGCGAACCCCTTTTAGCGCGGCCACCCTTCGTTGCACATTCCACGCCTTTCTGCCCCAGACCCTGAATTTCATTAATAGCCACCCGCGCGCTGACGACCTCCCTGGCCTGCCAATAATGCACGACCTCCTGACAGGCTGCTTGCTCCTGGCTCGCGCATTATTCTCGTGTTTCAGCCAGCTCGAAGTGATGCCTTGCAGGCTCCCTTTGATGAGCGCTCAATTTGATCACTAACAAGGCCTGCATGGGCACACGCGGCACGATCCCAATCCGACCATTGCGTTCAATCAACGCCACGAGTTGCCGGCATATGCGAATGCTAGCAGTAGCCCGTCGACATCTCTTGATCGACAGCTGCAAAAGCAACTAATAAGTAGGTCTTTTCGGTGGTCAGCAAGATGGGCTCTATTGTGGTTGGTCTACAAAGTGGCCATTCCTCTTTGACGCATCTTTGCTCTTCCGACGGAGCCTTTCCGATAGTACGAATGCCATACCACCCACAGACCGACATCAATCCAGCGGTCTACCCCCATGGTCGGTGACCGAAAGACACAGTCACAACATTCAATGCCTGTCCAGCGATCCGAGAAGCCGTACTAGGGCTTACCAACGACAACCACGTCTCTCCTAAGCCCATCTTCCTCCAGCCCACTCGGCAACCTGCAAAACAACAAACGGCTCAAACGTAGTATGCCACAATGCCAACTCCTTCGAGGATGATTCAGCGATAGACGCATTCACGAAGGAACGTGAAAAAGGACAATGGAACCCAACGAAATGATAGCACCAGAACTACCACTGCATGATGACTGCATCGGGGATCCGAGACTTTTCGCTAGGTGCTGACTTGAGTTGCTGCTCTTGCTTGTCGGAAACGAAGGTCTGTCGTGAGTGGTATTTCTGTCTACTGCATGTACGTAGGTCCTACTTACCCTCACGACATACTGCTGTCTGCTACCAAAAATCCGCTGGACACCATGTATAATCGCCCAAAAAGCAGACCCCAACTGGCAACCGTCCCACAACAACACCAAATCGGCACAAGACAAAACCCAACACAGCCAAAGCCATCACCCGCGCCATTTCCACTCTTCAATCAAACCCCTCAAGACCCGAACAACCAGCCAACCAACCACCTCACCACCCCATATCCACAAATCTAATTTCTACTTCTAGACAACAAGAACGACAAAAATCGCTGCCTACGCCACCACATCCCCAATCCCTCAACTCAACTCAATAGCGTACAAATTTCCTACCCTTCTCGCAACGTGTCCTTCGCAAAGGTTTGTGAGGTAGGTATTCAGGTTGCCTAGAAGATTGACTTTAAGACGTTCAGGACAGTTGTCCTTGCACTCTGACGATGCCTTGAATTGAGGATCGTCCGTTTGAGTCACACACTGCGTGTTTTGGTTTTAGCGAGGGCGTAGTGAGCGATGGGTGCGGTGTTGCCTGCGTGGTGGGTCGAGTGCTTAAGGTTTGGTGGAGGGGAGGGAGTTGTGATAGACGACGACACGTTGCCTTGGTGCAGCTATGATAGAGCGGGGATTGTTGAAAGGCCACTTGGGTAGAAGTGAGGACTGAGGAGGAGCGCGAATGGGATCGAGTGGGAGTAGTGAGGATTCAAAGCAACGCACGCTTGATTTCTTGCACGTCGGCCTGTGATCTGTCGACTACATCCTATCGAGCGTCGAGGTGCGTCAGGATGTTATGAACCCAGCTTGATGGTATCGGTCTACTGCGAATCAAGGCCACTCCTGAAGACCGTCCACCTTCTCTGACCATTACTTGTACAGTACACAGCTAGCAATATGAGTACCGCACCCGCTGTACAGTGAATACGCCTCCACGTATCCCGCGCCATCTCCTCTCCATCGCACGAGTACCCAAGTCGTCAATCTATCTCTTCACAGCAACACCAGGAGAATCCTTAACATGATACTGCCGTGCATCCTCCCCGAACTTGCCTCTCCGCCCACCACCAAAAGCCGTCGGTACCTGCGGTTGCATGTCGCGCCAGTTCATGTACTCCTTGACGACTTCGGAGAGGAAGTCGTTCGATCCTGCTTCGGAGAAGAGGTTGCGGTCGGAGGCGCGGTAGACGGCGAAGTCGATGAAGACGCGGCGGAGCTGGGAGGGGATGTTAGTGCTTGTTTGTTGTGATTATGTGGATTGAGACGTACCTTTGAATCGGGAGGGGTGTGTTCGAAGGTGTACTTGACGGCCTGAGCTATGGGCTCCTCACCGCTGAAGGGACGGTAGCGAAGACGTCTGCGGCGGTGGTCAACTTGTGTCCAATTGCATTCTTAAGTGACTCGACAACATACCTCACAATCTCATCCATCGTGACGTTCATCGACTGCGCATCTCCAAGCTTCGCCGCAAGTACATACGTCTGCACCAGAAGACTCCACATCTGCGCCTTATCCATCGCATTCTCCTCATCGTCGATCACCACCTGCCCCTGGAGGATGACTTGAAGCCATATTGAGAAGACCTGCGCCTCCTCGCCCGGAAGTAGGATGGGCTGGCCCTCCTTGAAGTTGGTCGCTAACAGTGGTGATCGTGAGGTGGCGAGTTTCCTAGGGACGTAGAACCCATGCCGCTGCGGGCCGACATCGATGCGGAGTATGTCGGTGAAGTCGAGCCTATGGGTCATGTTAGCGACATAGCTCTTATGTGAGGCTTGAATCAGACGGCCACTGACTTCATACGCTTGACTGGCGGGTGTTCTCCCTCACTGGCGGACGTCTTGGCGAAACTCGAGTTCCTCGCGGGTGTTGGTCTCTCTTCCCTGTTCTCACTCAGATCCTCCAGTTTACCAAAAGACGCCTGGCCGAAAGCAGGTGTGGGTGGAGGGTAGGTAGGCGACTTGATAGCATTCAGAAATCCCACAGAATTCGATGTGGGCAAAGTCGAGGGTGTCGCATTGCTCTTGCCGTCATTTCGCTGACTCCTCAGCAGCTCGCTGTACGCGGCTTTGATGTCGCCGCGAGGAGCGACGGTCTCTCCATCCTTCGCAGCCATGCTCGAGGTCCGAGTGGTTGCGGTTTGGGTGGTGTTGGCCCTTCGGTACCGAGTGGGTGAGCGTGAGGTAGGTCGATCGTCCAGGGTCCCGAGCGCGTGGCACAAGCACGCTAGTGAGACTAGCGCGAGTTTAGTCAAGTGAATTGCCTATCCGGGCAGGAACGACAAAGAGTACTTTAACCGACGTTGGATTTTCTGACAAAAGAATTGATTAGTACTGCTGTAGTGAAGTGTTTTAGAGGCTACATGATGTGCTGAGAGAACCAGATCTCTCCAAGTGCCATGTACCTCCTCGCTACTCAGTCATCAGCCACTGTCGAGTTCCATCGCATTGGCGACCGCTCGTTTCCCTATCGCCATCCATGCACTGCACTCATCCTATCGCGGTAGTGACTCGTGTATCACCCGATTGTGTTCGCATGCTAGATGCCGGACCACGACATTCTGCAGTCTTGGAACGGCACTGCCCAGCCTTCTGCATATCAGAACTGTTGGTGATAGTCGGCTGCGCCGTGAGCAAGCCAATGCTTCCTTCCCTCCTTGAGTGCGGCCGCCACGTCGAAAAGAAAATCCACCAAGTCGGCCTTGCGAAACGACTCCCTCATCTTCTTAAAGGCAGCAGGATCGACTCCGGTCGCGAAATAAGACACAAAGAGCTTGCACAGATTTGCGGCGTTGGCTTCGTTCTCGTGGGCCAGTCTGGTGGCTCCAAAAGAGGGGAGGCCTCGTTCCAGCATCTCGATGATCTTGTCGATGATGGCGTTGACGGACACAGAGTCTGCCATCTTGTACGCAAAAATGTACAGCTTGACCAGGCGTGTCCACCGCTCCTCGTCGTTGAGGGACACTTCATTCTCATCAAGGAGAATTCCGCCCTTGATTACGAGACGAAGATAGCTCCAAAGTATGACAGGGGCCGTGTCTTCGATCGTGACTACGTGGCCCGGCGGATCTTGGAACTTCTTGGATCTCTTCTTGAGTTGAGCGACCGGTGGCCAAGAAGAAGTCTAGACGTCTGTCTATCCGGCCCTCACGCGGATCTCGATCAGCTTCTCTGCGTGAGTCTCCCTTGCGGCTGGTCAGTATCATATCGTCGGATCGCCTCAACGTCACTTACATTTCCGTCTTCTCGTGCTCTGCTGGCTCTTTGACTTCCTCTCGCGGTGTCGTCTGCTCGCTCTCAACCGACTCCTTGGCTTTCTCCCCGGTGTCTTTTGTCCGTCCGCTGTTGCCTCTTTGGCTTCCTCTTGCGATGTCTTCTGCTCGCGATCTGGCTTGGCTTCCTCTCGCGGCTTGTCCTTCTTGTGTCCTGTTGACGTATTGGCTAGTTTTCGCGCTTTCTTGCTGCCTGCTGGCTTTTCGGCTTGCTTCCGCTTCCCTCTCTTCTTCGACGGCTTCTCGTCGTCGTCAGAGGAATAGACGTACTCGCTCGCCGACTCGATATTTGCAGCCAATGGCATCGCGTGGGGATGGGCCTGTGTGGCGTGTAATCGAATCGTGTGGATGGTGGTGGGTGGTGGTTTTTTGTCGAAGGTTGATGTAGGTGAGAGGTTGAACATACAGTGGAAAGAAATATTTATGTCTTCGGTGATTGAAGTGAGTAAGAAGTGGCATGTGCCAATTTTCCTCATTGAGAGCTGTCACAAGAATCGCGCCAATTCCGTCGAGAGTCGAAGTGAAACTGTTCCGTGCCTATGGAGCCTAAAGTGAGATGCTTTTTCTGCTCGCGGCGGCGAGAGCGGACCTGGATCGCGTCCAACTGTGTATTTTGTCGGTCGTTATCGATGTCTTATTCCTCCGTTTGCAGCCAGGTCTTTTTGTGCCACCTTCCCAAGAGGCGTTTTCGTTTTGCTTCCAAGACGACGATCCTCCATATCAACGTTCAAGGTGTGTATGATATCTGCTCGTACCTCCATCCTTGATCTTCTCCACACGTAGCCCTTGGACATCTCGCCGTTTTGCCATCTCGACGGCTACATCGAACAGAAATTCTGGAGGCCATTCGGTGCTTAGTTTCGGTACGAAGCGGTCAGCGGCCATCGTCTCCACCACATAGTCCACAAGAATTCGGCGAAGAGATGAGCCAGCCTTGGTGCGCTCATAGATGAAGGGGACGAGCTGTAGAAGCAGGCCCTCGGAGTCCAGCAACTCCGCTAGACGGTCGATGATCAGGTTGGTAGATATAGAATCGCCCAGTGTTTGCGCCAGCAGATAAAGTCTGATGGTTATCTGACATCGCTCCCAGTAACCTACATCCTGTTCGTCCGAATGCAAGACGACCTGGTCGGTGCAAATGAGGTGAAGATATGCTTTAACGAGGTGAGGAATTTCACTCTTAATGAACACCGTTGTAGACCCCTGGCAGCGCTCCTGGCGTATGAAGGCTGATCGAGCCAAGGCAATGTTTGCTGGAACCAGGAAAAGTTGGTCACCTCCATTAGAGGGGTCTCTGACCACGATTTTGAGTGGCCTCTCAAAGTCAAGCCTGTGAACTCAGTAAGCTGACGGCCATTCTTCAGTGCAGATGAGCACCAACATCATCTTCTTTCTCGGTCTGTCATCACTCTCCGATTCCAGGTCGGTCATCCCGGACTTGCGTTTTGACGCGTCACTGGTATCTTCCATAGTTGCACTTGAGGAGGACATGTCGTTGAATGGGCCTGTTGTTGAGGCTGTCTGATCGTGGCGTGAACACCTGGCGCAGACTCTAGGTGGATGTAGAGTGTTTGAAGTGCAAAAGGCCAGTTGAAGCACACGACTTATACAGGGCAGCATGTGACTAGGCTCAGCTTCCATGTGAATTCGGTACGTTCATGAAGTGAGTGGGTTCATGCCTTGCTCCCCCTCACGCTTCAATCTTCGCATGCCTAAAGTACTTCATCCCCAACCAAGCAACCAGAATCCAGGCCCAAGCAACTACACCCGTCAAAACAATCAAAGCCGGGTAGTATCCCACAATCGGCAGGGTTGGATCGTCCTCCAGCTCAGGCGGCGCATACGGCGTCTCGCCAACATCCCAAGCCCAGCTCCAGATCTCCAGACAGCTGCCCATGCCGACCGTGAACGTCAGCCAGGTCACGAAAAGAATGATCCAGCCCCAGTACTCGGTCTCGGTGTAATCGTGTGGTTCGGACTCTGGATAGCTGGACAGTGTTGTGATGTTGTGTGAAAGAGGTGATGAGCGCTGCTTTGAGCTTAGGCGACGAGTGACAGATTCTACTGAGACGGAGGTCATGGAGGGAAAGTAGCTGGTTGCGGTGGAAGACAGGGGCTTCTTGAGTGTCGGCGGTTCTCTTGGCTGACTGACAAAGCTGTTGGCTGGGCGGTCGAAGGTGAGGACATCGTCGTCGTCTGTTGTGCTGGCGTAGCTCGCCTGGCTGACGGGACTCTTGAGATCGAGAGGGCTGGCGAGTTCGGTAGACGCTTTTCTATCTGTAGCAGGGCCTGAGTGATCTGTGAGAAGAGACAGCCGAGCAGACGTTGCTGCAGCAGATTGACTCCAACCACTGTCGCTACTCGCATTTGCATCCACGTTCTCGTAGCTAAACCTTTCCCTCAGGCTCGTGTTGCTCTCATTGCCGGGTGGACAGGAAGTGTCGTAACCCACGCCGTAGAGCTTTGCAGAGACAATAGCGGGACCTTGCTGTTCAAGAGACTGCTTTGGCTGTTTGGAGGTCGGACTGCGCTGCAAGATGGTATTCTTCCGCTCTCTACCCTCTGTCACCAACCGTCGTCCACCAAGAAGAGCGGTCTTCCGAAGCGAGCCTTTACGTTTCCGCGTCTTGCTCTGCTTCATTGCTGCTGCCATGGCGCTCTCTCCCTTCGTGGGTGAGACGGGAGATATCGCAGTCTCATTATCATCGTCTATGCTCTTCCTACTCTTCGTAGACTTTGGACTCTTCGGGCTCTGCGGCGCATCTTGCTCCCCTCTTGAAGGAGGCCTTCCAAGAAAGTTCAATTTCGCCAGAATACCTCCGCTGAAGCTCCTCTTGTGTCCAGTGCTCTTTGCCTGGGAAGTCGAGCTTGCAAGCCCATGTGGAGATGTCGGGGTGGAGGGAGAGTTCCATGGCAATCTCATAGTTTCGGAGGAGAATTTGATGTGTCCATCGTTGGCATCGTTTTCGAGATCAGGAAGAGGTCCTGATACAGTCTTACGGCGGTCGCCATTGCCGCCAGGTGAGGCGGTTCCATTCTCCATCGCCTATTATCAGCAAGCCCATGGACCAGATGCGCTTGCTTTAACGAGATGAAAAAGTCGGGTGCTGCATAGATTTGGTAGTCGCACTGGTTCCAATTCTCATCCACACGGTTTCCGGGCGAATGTATCTGTGATTCGTGTTGGTAGAAAGGAGAGAGCAGGTCAATAGCTTCTCGAGCTGGTGTTGGTTTTAAGCTTTATGGGCATCTCGTCCACCGTACTGCATCGGCTTTCATGTGAACAATGCCCCTGACCTAACGCGGTACTTTCGACCCTGACCACGCCCACTCCAAGTGCCGAATCGTTTTGGGGAACCTCATTCAATGCTTGCCTACTAACTGTTCCGTCATTCTTTTCCTCGTCTACATCCTGCGACCACAATGTCAGCATCCAGCCTTCCCATCCCACAACCACCGCGAACGCCTACCCCTCCATCAGACAACCCACCATCGCCTCAACCAGTCGGCCTAGGCCTAGGACCCAGTATCCAGACGGAACACGACTACGACATCCACACCGGCATCAACGACTCCCCCGAACGCGAACGCAATGGCAGCATCGGTAGGATCGATTCCGCCGCCTCGATGCTCTCCCCCACGAGCGCGACATTCAGCACCACGAACGGAGGGTTGAGTCCTCAAGGGAGCCTCTACAGTCCGATCACCCCTCAGACCGCGAGCACAGATGGCGAATTTGGAAGTATCGACGCCAACGCCGGCGCTGGTGTCGTTACGAATCCTTTCAATTTCACGCCTGTTCAATATGCGCCTCCTTCGCAGGCTGGGCAGAAGAGCGAGTTGTTGGGGAAGAGGAGGGGCCACAAGTATAGGCATTCGTCTATTCATGCGAGTCATATGGATTCTATATTCAAGTCTCCTGCGCCGAGTCAGAGGACACCTTTGAGTGTGCCTGCGAGTCTGCCTATGCCAACGAGGAAAGAGGCTTGGTGGAGCATGACGAGACACCAGACGATGAGACTGAGCTGGTGTGCTTGTCATTTCCTTATTGCGGGCTATGTGCAATTCAGTGGAGCGGGAAGTCTGGCCATGACGGCACTTAGTCGATTGCTCTTGTTCGATGCGGCCGGTGCTACGGTCTGCGTGGTTGTGGACGTTATGGGCAACTTCGAGGTCTGGAAGAGGAGCTCGATCAAACATCCATTTGGCCTGGAACGAGCTGATGTCCTCGCTGGGTTTGGCATGGCTGTCTTCATTGCGTTCATGGGCTTGGACGTGATCAGCCACGGCATCCAGCACTCACTGGAGAATGTTGGTACCCACGTTGCCCATTCTCCACACGATCATGAGCGCGTTGGTGCAGCACACGTGGATACAGCCAGCTTGCTCTCCATTGTCAGCACCATCGTCTCCGCCGTCCTGCTCAAAAACCACGCCCGTATCGGCAAGGCGATGAGATTCGAATTACTTGCAGGTTGGGGCAGGATCCTGGGCAACCCCTCACACTTCCTCACGCTGTCGTGTTCAGTGCTGATGCTACTTCTGCCTTTTATGACGAACGACTCGTACGGCTGGTTTGACAAGGGGCTCTCCTTCATCATTGCCTCGCTCATGATTGCCTTCGGTGTACGACTCGCGACCTCTCTGGCGTCAATGCTTCTAATGAGCTACCGACCTGCAGAAAAAGGAGCCATCCACCGCATCATCGACGAAATCGCCAACGCTGACTCGTCCGTCACCAACGTAGACGAGGCACGTTTCTGGCAAGTCCATTATGGATTATGCATGGCGAATCTCAAGCTTCGCTATCGCAGCAGCAGGGGAGGCTATGGCATGAATACGGACGACATTACAAGGGTTCGACAGAAGGTCGCGAGTCTGATCAGACAGCGGCTAGGCGGTGTCAATTGGGATGTAAGTGTGCAACTCTCGGTCGAGACGGATTGAAGAGGAGGGTTTGTAACTGTAGGTATCGATTGTTTCGACTGTAGCGTTATCAGCGTGGCGTTGGTGGGATGGCTTGCTTTGATTGAGATCTTGGACCAGATACCCAATCTGTACGAATAGACATTGCAATCATGATCTCCAAGACTTTCTCCTCGTCTGTGCCATCCAGTCTTCTTCCTGCGGATCGTCTCGGCCTTGCAGCCGGAGAGAGCTGCTGCAGGGACCAGCGCGCTTCAACTTCACCTCTCACGGGCCATCTTCAACTTTTTGATATCCTACCATATATCCCACGTCAACCCGCCATGCCGCCCATAAAACGACACGAATGGCTCTGCCTACGAGCTTTGAAACCTCGCCAACGCCGCTTCTATGCAACAGCATCAGAAAGCTCCCCACCAGAACAAACACCAACCGACTCCAACGCACCACCACTCTCCCACACAGAACCCCCCACAACCCCTCCCTCCCAACCCAAAGCCGACCGCATCCGCGCCTACCTCGAAGAACAAGACACCCTCGCCCTCACCCACCTCAAAGCCAAACTCCAAAAAGTCCACCAAACCGCCACCCAATCCCAAACCCTCCTCCTCCACCTCCGCCAGTCCAGCTCCACAACCACGCTCCTGCCCGGCAAAATCCCACCCTACACCTCCCGTCTCCGCACGACCTCGCCGGAGGAAATCCGCTCCGCCACCGCACACCTGCACGCCGTGACCGAGAACATCCTCGCGAACATCTGGGATCTGGAGAATATCCGGTATCCGCACGAGCGGGGGCCGTCGGCGGGGCAGAGGTATTCTGCGGAGATGAAGGGCTTGGTGGGACGGGGCGTGGCGAGGGAGGTTGAGGCGGAGAGGATGGAGATGAGGAATCGGGTGGATGTGTACAGGAAGAGGTATGCGCAGAAGGTGGAGGGGTTGAGGGGAATTGTGGATGATATGAGGAGGGGCATGGGGTTGAGTGCGACGAGGAGGAGTGGGCGTGGGATGGGGGCTGTGGTCGGGGTGGAGAGGGTGGAGGAGGGGGCGGTGAGGAATCCTTTTGGGAGGGGGGGGGGGGTTAGGGAGGATATTGCGGCTGTTGGTGACGAAGAGGTGCCTGAGGTTGGGACAGCAAAAGTGGAGGCCGAGGCTGAGGCAGTCAACCGAACCATCACGTACGAACCTACAACAGCAGAAGCCATCTCCACCGACACAATCGGCACCACCAAAATCGAAGCCGAAGCCTCAACCTTAGAAACCAACCCTGAATCCTCCCTCTCAACACCCAACCCACCCCCATCCCCACCCTCCCAAACAACCTACTCCCCCCTGCACATAACCTACACCCCCTCCGGCCCCCCAACAGAACCCGAAGCAGCGACCCTCTACGCCGTGCAAAAAGCCGCCACCTCCAACAACAGAAAACCTCGTTCCTCCTCACCCCCAACCAAAACCCCTCCGCCCCTCAAATTCGTAAGCCCCAAAGCGAACCTCAGTCCCACGGAAAGGATGAACCAGCTCCTGTCGAATCTTCAGGCTGATGCGGCGCTGAAGAGGGGGGAGGTTGTTGTTGGTGGGGTGGGGGTTGATGGGGATGAGAAGGTGGGGGAGAGGGAGAAGGGTACTGTGACGGAGGAGAAGAGGGATGTGGATGAGAGGAGGGGGAATCCTTTTGCGCGGTGACCATCGAACGTTCGTGTCGCCCGTGAAAGGGACGATGTAGCTACATGTAGTCTCTGTTCCCGTCCCGTCATTTCGCTCGAACGGGGAATTGCATGACTTTGTGGATCTTTCCAAATTCTCGAGGGCGACCAAGCACTGAATCGTGCTTCAGGTTGCTTAGATGGCTCTCGAGGGATGGGGAGTGGGACATCCCTGCTTCAGCCAGACGAGGGCATCGAGATATCGCAAGAAACCCAGAGAGATCAAATTCGGGAATGCACATCACGACAACAAACTCCCAAAACGAGTGTCGTCGTTTCATTCAGTTCATGGATCTCTCAAATCAGCTAGCTACGTTGAAAAAATGAGTGACAGCCAGTATGAAGCCAACCAACTCCTTGCCCCATTTGTCGAAAAGGAATGTCCATTCTTGCCCAGCGTTCAATAATCTCTCACTTCTCCTTCACAAATCCTCACAATCCTTACGATGTACCCCCGATAGCCCCGCCAACCGAGCTCTGGTTCTGCGTCTCCGGGTAGAAGAACGCGATGATGGCGATGATCACGTACGAAGCGATCAAAAGGCTGCCTTCCAGATAGTTCGATCGGCCATCCAGGACCAGGAAGTTCACGACGAAAGCCGTGGCGAATAGGCTGACGGTTTCAAACAGGTTGAAGTAAAGACTCATCTCCGTCTTGAGGATCCAGCCGAGGAGGACGACGATGGGCGTGACGAAGAGTGCGATCTGGATGCTGGAGCCGACGGCCACGCCGATGGCGAGGTCCATCTTGTTCTTGGCGGCGACGGTCACGGCTGTGACGTGCTCGGCGGCGTTGCCGACGATTGGCAGGATGATGAGTCCGATGAAGGCTTCGCTGACGGAGGGCGAGTTTTCGATCATTTCGGGGATGGCGTCGACCATGAATTCCGCGCAGACGGCGACCAGAGCGGTGGAGATGAGCAGAAGCATGACGGCTGCGGTGCGGGACATGTTCTCTTCTTGCTTGGGGTCCTCGTCATCTTCGGTGATGGCCGTCGTCTCTGAGTTGCTCTTGCGGATGGACGTGCGTTGGTGTTGATAAGGAGGCAGTGGTCCATTAGCATTTGAAGGCGTGGTCTGCCGGTTGAGACGATCTGGCAGCGAGCTGGTACGCCTAAGATTGTGAGCTGACTGAGATCGGACAGGCGTAGGTCGAGGTGCAGGGTTGGGAGTGGCCGGTTGGACGAAGACGTTGTTCGAGAGAACAGATGGCAGAGCTGGCCGAACGCGAGAAGAAAGCTGGCGCATGTTAAACGCAAGCTTGGGCGTCTGGTTGGCAGCAGGGTGATCTGCAACAACTAGAACGTCGTCTGCAAACTCCACCTTGGGACCATCAGTGTGAGTCGTGGGCTTTCTTTCTTCAATGTCTTGCTCCTTTTCGGTATTCTTCGCAGCTTCACGCTGACGACGCTTCTTCTCCTTCTTTGAGTGCTTCTTGTGATGTTTCTTGCGTTCAGGAGATTTGGATCCGTCGTGGCTCATCTGACGTCCGGTGGCCCAATCGTAGCGACGGCTGGTGCCGTTGTCTTCATGGTCGGCATCCGCGTCCAAATTGTCAGCTGGCGCTAGGACAGACTCGCGGCGTGAGACTGTATTGCTTCCAATGTGATGTTCCAGAGGATCTTGACGTTCCTGAGTAGATGGAGAGCTGAGTACAGATGGAACCTTCGATGTTGGCTTGCTGCTTCCAGTGCTGGCGCTGGACTTGCGACGCATACGATGCTTGAACATCTTCTTGACCTTTCTCGTAGTTGTAGCAACCGAACCAGAGTTGGATGTGTCGGAATCGCTACTGTCGGAAGAACTTGAATCATCCGAAGAGGACGAAGACGAGTTCATGATGTCGGCCAGAACACCAGGATGAGACTCTTCGTCGATGATCTCCTGGGGCGTACTCTCGTACATGTAGGCATGCGATTTGAGCTGGAACAGTAGGTATAGTCCGTAAACGATCAGGAGGACGACACTGGTGCCACGGCTGACTTTGAGGACGGCAGAATCGGCACTATTTGCGCTCTGCTCATTGAACGAAGCGTGGAAAGCAGTCTGCATTAAAAGTTAGCCCGGTGACTGCTCATCTGAAAGTGGAAGTTTACAACTCACTGGTAGTAGCAGACTCATGACGCTCAGACTCAGCAAACAGGCGCTCATTTGTGTAACAGTGCTGTTGTAGACCTGTTCCCTGAAGCGTAGGCCACCGAAAAGGAAGGCCATGCCCAGAATGAGCAGCAAGTTCGCGAGGATGGAGCCAAGCAGAGAAGCCTGAACAATACGAATCTCATTCTTGACCAATGCGATGATGAAGATGATGAGTTCGACCGCGTTTCCGAACGACACGTTGAGTAGCGCTCCGAGGGTATCTCCCAAACGACTGGCTACGCTCTCAGTAGCGTGACTGAGCATGCCGGCGAGAGGCACGATAGCCACGGCGTTAATGGCGAAGATGGCTGCAGGACTCAACCCTGCAGCCTCGGCGGCGATACCGGCAGGGACAGCAACAAGGAGAACGTTGACCCAACTGTGGAAGATGGCATTCTTAAAGTGCTTGCCAAAGCGCTTACAACCGTTCTTCATACGCGTAATGATAGGTGGTTTCTTCTGATCTTGCTCGGTGGACTTTATGGCGGAATCTCCAGAGCGCGCATCTTCGGTATTCGGAGGGGGCGCTGGTGGAGGCACGGACTGAGATATAGCATCGGCAGTGTCGTTGTGGTTGGACTTCTCAGGGTCACGGCGGTGGTCGCTGGCTCCATCTCCTCCTCCGTATGTGCCTTCATCTGTGGCTCGGTCATGACTGGAGCGCAACGGTGGTGAGCCGCCACGTCCATGGGTGCTGCTTAGCCCGCCAGCTTCGGAGAGCTTGGGAAGCTTGGCTGGGGTGGTGTTGGTGTGGTGGGTTGGGAGGATGCCTCCGGTGGACTCGACAGTAGGCAAGCTGCGTTGGCTGGCAGTTCGGATTGCCTGACTACGATAACGGTCTATGTCGGGGTCAGCGGGGTTTCCCATTCGCGTGCGGTGGCCTCTCGGTGGTGAGGAGGTTGTTGGTGGAGAGAAGAGGGTGTGGGATGAGAGAAGCTTTAAGGGAGGGAGAGGATGACACGTGAATGCTGGGCGGGCGTGGCGCCACGGGGAATCCTTGCGCGGCGGATTCGTGGTGCTGATAACAGCGATGCGGGAAACGGCAGGGCGAAACTCACACATATCAGTCCTCCCCTGAGTCTTCTCGAAGCGTCCTGCTCAGCGTGGACCGGCGAGGATGGCAGCAAACACTGAAGAGGAGGAGAGTGGGAGATGTTTGTCTTTTGGCTAGGCGCATGTCTTCTACCAAACGAGGCATGCTGGCTTGACGCGAATGCCAAGCTTCCAGAAGAATGGAACCGGGCAGTGGCGCCCTTGCTGCTGCATTCCGTCATCATCAATCACGTTCACTCTCGCCAAACACCTTCATCATCGCATCGGCGCAATCAGAGACGCACACTGGGCTAAGCCACAGCCAGTCTCTACGCCGCCGCTTTTGCCGACTCTTCTACCTACAGGCAAGCAAGCCCATGTCTGCACAGCCATATACCACGACGAGAGTCATCTAGCGCTTCTCCATGATCTACCTTGGTGATGGCACTCGGCTACACTACGGACTCTAGCCCTGAGAACCAGTCGGCCGCGGATGACATGATCGCCAGCCCGAGGAGCAGGACTTGCGCTGAGAGTGGAAGTCAGGTGGTAGTGGTACGACACGAAGAAGGGAAAACAACTGTTCACCTCCGATGCAGCATGGTCTATCTTACAGCATCACAAGAAGGCAAGACGCAGGGGTTTCCGCTGTTGCAAGACATCGGCGTTCCCTTCTACCAACACCACATGAAATGCAAGCCAAGTTCTCTCGCCGAATGCTCGTCATATCCGGCAGAAGCTTTCCAAGACTTGGACAAGCTCTGCGTCAAAATGCGGAAACTGGTCATGCGAGCATCATGCGCCGTAGATCCTCCAAAGAGCCTCCCCAGACTCTGGAAAGGGCTACTTGGGTACTTGCTTTCGGTCGATCGATCAGTCATCTGGTAGCTCGCTCGTCCGTCTTGACTTCACTTCATCTGGCGCCAAAGCTACTGTCCAGGTCACAATGTTCGGAGAGGAACCCCAGCAAATGGACTACACGAAACGAACAACAAGTCACGATCCTGCTCCATTACGGCTCATTCACGTATCTTCATTCAACCACTCCGCACAAGCCTCATGCACCACCCTCAACCCCGGTGCATTCTCACAAAACCTCTCATACAATCCCACATCTATCCTCTTGAAACTCTCGGCCATACTCGCAACCACAAAATCAACATAACTAACCCGACTCCCACAGACAAAAGGCCCTTCATCCTCCTTATGCTCCTCCAGAAACCGATTCAAGCTCTCAAACCCAGGCTTCGCAGCCGACCACGCCGTCTCCCCACCCTTGGTCCTCTCGAGCTCCTCAATCGACATACCAAATCCAGCCTCCTTCTTCACCGTCCACCCCGGCACCGTCTCCGGCACGAGCATATTCCTCTGAATCAAAGGATAACAAACCGCCATGATAGGCATCATCAGCTGCCCGAGAACTTTGTTAATCTCATTATGCAAGTTATTCTCCAGCCGCAAGCCTGGCTCCGGGTACAGCTCTTCCAATTTTACCACAATCGCCGCTGAATCCATCACCGCCGTGCCATCTGGTAATTGAATTGCCGGGACCGTGTACGGCGAGACCGGAGGGCCTGGCGCGCCCGCGGGTTTTGGAGGATTGGCTGGGATGCCGAGGGCAGACAGTGTGGGTGAAATTTCGTCGTGCGTGATGAACGTCGTGGTGTAGGGTATCTTCTTGTAGTTGAGGACCATGCGGGTCTTCCAGACGTTGGGGGACCAGCAGCCGTATTCGGGTTTCTTGGTGGGTAGGTCGTAGAGGGTTACTTTACCGTCTTGTGAGGTGGACATCGTAGCAAGATTGGAGTGTGCGAGGTGAGTGTTTTTCTGAACAACTTTAACAGTCTCGAGCTACTGTAAATGTGGAGTGTGAATATGGCCACGGCTTATGAGATATCCTTTTCTGTCCTTACACAACCCTTACCGAGCAAAGAGGATGCGGTGAACATGAACCTACTACCTATCTCTGCTACCCCTCCACACATGTACATGTACATACTCCTACCGCCAACACTAGCCCACTACTGTACACCGAACTCACCAGTGACTCAATTAACTCAACCTCAGCTGAAGAAGCCAAAAAGCTGAGCGAACGAGGCGTCGGTTCTTCGGGCAATTCCCTCCTCACTCCTTCAAAACCACAATCCTTCGAAGCCAAGTCCCGCGTCCATTGGCCAGCCCTATCGCAAAACTAGTGGGTGCGCTTCCGAGCAAAAAGTCTTGTGTTCTTGTGAGCTTTCTTGGGTTGTGTGTGTTTCTCGACGGGTAGGAGCGATTTTGGGGTCGTTTGAAAGATTGGAGGGTTGGGGTGGGGATTTTGATGGCATTGCTGGTTTTTGTTGTTGTGTTCGGGGGGAGAAGACGGGTTTTTGAGGGCGTTTTGTCGAGGAACTCCGGGAAAGCGGCAGTTTTGACGCGAGGCGGGCGAAGGTTGTGGGTTTGGCTGGACTTCTGCCTTCTGTTTCTTCGTGGACATAACAACAACAACACCAGCTATCGTGGATGCTCGATCGCTTGCCACGCGAGGACAGAGAAGTGCTGAAATGACGAGCTGGGCATCGCGACGCGCTTGTCAGGCATCCAACGTCCTCAACCTCCACGACCGAGTCTTCGTGAAGATATTGGCGTTCACTCCTTTTCCTTGACTCCCCAGCCGACTTTCAAGATCCAGGAGCTTGAGGGTCAGGCGAGCTGACCACCTCAGCGCGAAGACATGTCTTTGGGATGGTTCTGACGGCGATGCTTTGCGCCCGTCTGATGAGACCACACACGAGGATAAGATTCTCATTTCAGCTACTCCAGCACGGCTTAATGTGTTATCAAAGGCCATATCTGGTTAGACCTCACCAGGCATATCAATCTCGGGATTCGGCCAATTCTCGACGCCACAGTAACTTCCAGGATCACCAGCCTGATCAACCACAACGATGGACAACACCTCGAATTTGGCGTTGTGTTTGCGTCCGCCACTATCTGCTCAGACGCAACACACACCATCCACGTTCTATGCACGGCATGCGCAACAAACACTCACCCACAATCAGGATGGTCCCCACCGTTGCAGGAGCCCGTGCTCCCGCTCAGAGGCTTGGCCGCGTAATGCTCCCATCTCGGATAAAGGCCCTCAGAAGTGGACGACAGCGCTATCAACACCCATGCATATGCTATGTTCAGCCCGCAGAGGACTAGACGCCGAAAGGACGCGTAGCTGTGTGAAACGGCAAGATAGGTGAGTACAATGCTACATTCCCTTATACCGTGCTGCCGCCAAGGGAATGTGTAGTTGCGATTTTTGACCTCTCGTACCCTTTTCTGTGCCATGGAGGGCAAACTGTCTTTCGTATGGCTTTATCTCGCCTTCCTCTGTTCGTTCTTCTTATCGATTGAAGCTGTGGCCTCTCCACCACCTAGTCGACGTCCTTCAGGTGGACCTTGGAAAGAACAACCAGCTGGAGAAGGATTGATCCAGGATGCCGACTACGACCGTGGAGCATACGGTCGATATGTCACGCAGACGTTCAGATCTGCGAGTCTCACAGTCCCGCGACTCAACATGGATATGCCGTTCACCAATTGCAACGATGGGTCGTACCTGTTCGTAACACCTAGGGGAGAGGTCGTCAAGGAGCCGTTGGCCGCTATCTACGATGCGACGTAAGGAGTTGTTCTGCTACCAGACTGACCTTCAGCTGAATTTGCAAATAGCGGGAGCCTGATATGGACGCCGACCGATCACTCTGGGGAGGTTTACAACTTCGAAGTGCAGCAGTACAAAGGCGACTCGGTTCTGACGTTCTGGGGCGGCGACAACGGCCACGGCCATGGCAGCGGTCACTACTTTATGGCGAGTTCTCGAATGCTTTTCCATTTCACTCGTTCGAGCGCTGACTATCAATAGTATGACAAGCACTACAACCTCATCGGCAAAGTCAATGCTGTCGGTGGATATGGTGCTGATCTACACTCGTTCACGATCCTCCCAAACGACCACGCACTGGTGACCATCTACGACAAGGTTGGGACCGATTTGGCAGAGGTCTTAGGTCGACCACACCCGGGCAAATGGATGTGGGATTCCATGTTCCAGGAAATCAACCTCGAGACAAATGAGCTGGTATTCGAATGGCGAGCCTCCCACCACTTCGCGTTTAGCGAGTCTTACATTTCCACTCTACCCGCTACAGAGTCCGAACCTTGGGACTGGTTTCACATCAATACCGTGGAGAAGGATGAAGCTGGCAATTACTTGATCTCCGCGCGCCATCTTCGATGCGTCGCTTACATCTCACGCGAGACTGGTGAAGTCTTATGGAGGTTGGGCGGGAAAAGGAACTCATTCAATGATCTGTCAAACGGACAAGCTACCCACTTCGTTGGACAGCACGACACCCATTGGGACCAAGGACATCGATACATCACTATGTTCGACAACAGGGCGGACTGGCAAGACGAGCAAGAGCATGTATCGAAAGGCAAAAGGATAGAAATCGATCTGGAAAACATGACGGCCAAATTGGACACAACCTTTGTTCATCCAAAGAACATTTTCGCCTTCTCGCAGGGCTCATACCAGACCTTGCCCCACGGGAATGTCGTTCTTGGATATGGCTACACGGGTGCCATGGCCGAGTTTTCGTCGAACGGCACATTGCTCTGCGATGCGTATCTTCAACCATCTTCGAGATTCAGCTCTGGAGATGTTCAAAGCTATCGCAATCTCAAGTTCAATTGGACGGGTCTGCCTACTACGAAGCCAAGCATGGTTCTGGACAATGGCACGATCTATGTTTCCTGGCTTGGGTCTACAGAGGTCCGTAGCTGGATGCTGGAAGATGCTGTGATACCTGAAGGGCGTCTTGGACCTGTCACAACGTTTGCGAAGAGTGGGTTTGAGACAGTGTTTACCATTCCTGAAGATCTTCCCTTACGACAGTACATACGTATTGTGGCCCTGAACAAAGATAGCCAAGATCTCTCAGCGTCCGACTTCATCGACGTTGGCGACAAGGCGACCGTGTTCACAGAGCCTCCATTCGAGCCCGACGACGATCTCAATCTCGAAGAGCAACTACAAGATCTTGGAGCATTGCTTGGGTTCGGCTGCCTGGCAATGCTCGTGGTTGTGGTCCTCTTCTGGATCGCAGTGAAGCCTCGCATTATACAAAGATGGCGAAGAAGATTTGGAGAGAAACATGGCTTTGTCACGATGCTGGAGGAACATGAAGTCGCTCGACCGTGGGATCGATTCCCGCGTTGGAGTCTACCGCGCTTCAAACGCCAGGCTTCGGTATCATACGATCGATTGCCTCTCGAGGCACATTGATGATTGAAAGTTTGCCTTCAATATCAAGCCATTTTCAGACTCCCGTCGACAAGCGCCAGTACAATCTCGACGTCGACGCCCACCTACCCGACCCGATCTTATCTCTGGGAGTACTTCGGTCGTACGACCAAAATCAGACCTAATCCCACACGCTTGCGACTTCGCTCACCTCGCTTCGACTAGCCCGCGCAGCAGGGCCTTGCAAGAGATTTTCGATAGGAAGAGCCGAACTCGGTCCCGTCTCTGCTGGGATTCTTATAAGAATTCACTCAGATCACATCTGATAAGATGTTGGGAAAAGTGGACCGGCTTTCCGGCCAACAACAAAAGCAATGGCATTCAACGACGGCGGCATCAATGCCACACAGATGTCTTTGCACGATGCGCTTGCTGAAGTGCCCTCGAAAGAGGTGTTCGTCGCTAACACAGCTCCGGTCGATGATGACGCTCGATCTCAACGCAGCGAAGGCGGTCGGTCTGTCAATGTTCCTGTTACGATGAAGTTGGTGGCAGTTCTGTTGGTCTCTCTGATCGGCTTTGGGTCGCATTGGAGCGCCGGCGTAACAAGTGCGATGAAGAGCACTCTGAAGAAGGTAGGCAGTCAAGCGAGAGATGTGTCTGTCTAAGATATTGACGCCTGGTCAGGAACTCTCCATCAACAACGCCCAATACTCCCTCCTCGAAGCCTCTCAAGACTTCATGAAGACCGCCCTCATCCTCGCAACTGGCATCCTCACCGATCGCATTGGCGGCGCCGGGGCCATGGTCTGGGGCAACATAATCTACAGCCTGGGCTCCATCATCATCGCCGCCGCGACCACAATCCGCGGCTACAAGCTCATGGTCGGAGGCATGATCGTCCAATCTCTCGGTGACATTGCCACGCAAGTCGCACAGTACAGAATCTTCAGTTCCTGGTTCGCACCCTCGAATGGCTTCGCTTCCACCCTTGGATTTGAACTGGCGATTGGAAAGATCGGCTCCTTCCTCGGCCAGGCCACCGCCAACCCCATCTCCAAAGGCACAGGCGATTTCAGCTGGGTCTACTGGACCGCCGTCTTCATGAACCTCTTCACCAACCTCGCCACCTTCCTCTTCTACTACTTCCGCCGCTTCTGCGACCGCAAATACAGCACCATGTCCGACCCCGCCACCGGCGAACAACTCCGCGAGAAGACGCGCAAATTCGAATTCACCAAGATCCTCCAGCTCCCCTGGCCCTTCTGGGGTTTCATCCTCTTCACCGCCTTCCAAACTTCCACTGCCTCTGTTTTTTCCCAAAACGCCACCGAGCTCGCCGAGCAGCGCTTCGATATCTCCAGCGTCAAAGCGGGCTGGTACACCGCGACGTCCAACTACATCGGCTTCTTCCTCGTGCCCTGCCTAGGCATCTTTATCGACCTCTTCGGCAACCGTCTCACGGTCATCTTCATCTGCGGCACCGGCGTCTTCACAGCAATGTGTCTCGCGGCTTTCGGCCCTGATATCGCAGGCACGGCTGCAGCCTTTGGGGTCTACGCCTTCGCGTACAGTCTCGGCCCGACGTCCATCATCGATGGAATCCGCACGGCGATTTGGTATCAGGATACGTTCGGGGCCGGGTACGCGGTGAAAATCGCCGTCAACAACTCCATGAACATCATCATCCGAATCGTCACGGGCGTGATCCAAGACCGGGACGACAATTCCTACGACCACGTCGTTGTCGTGTACGTCATCTTAGCTTCCGGCTCGGTCCTCGTGTCAGGGGTTTTGCTGGTTTGGAGTTCGTTCTCGACGGAGCTGAAGAGATTGCAGTGGACGAAGAAGCAGAGGATGCGGAATGGGGATGTTCTCATCAAGCAGAGGGAGGCGTGCGAGAGCGGGGAGCGGAGGGAGGTGAATCGGAAGGTGAATTTGGGATTTTATGGGGCGATGGTGTTGTTGATTTTGGGGTCGTGGGCGGCGTATTTCTGGGGGGTGGGCGACGGGGAATAATGATTGAGAACAGAGGATGATCCATCCATCTAGATGCTTCCCTTTGCGGAAGACAGCCTCTCGCTCTTCGAACTATGCGTGTACACGGCGTAAGGTATGCTCCCCCTTTCTTTAGCAGCCTTCTTTAGAAGACTTCATCTTGACACGCACCTCATAGCGTAACCTGCTCTCGAAGTTTCTCATAAGCCACAACAATAGGTCGCAGGGCTTTGTACCAGTCTTTTGTAGACAGTTTGGGCAAACAAGGAGGTCCCAGTAATCTTTCCGGCGGTTGCTACACTGAGTATAATCCTAGCCCCTCAGCTACCGCACGGGTGCTGTGTATTAGACAGTACTGGATTGTCGCAGTTACAGTCCGATGGTGGCGGCATCCCCATCCTGATCTGCGTTACAGCATCATCGACTGCCTCTGCCAGATAGCGGTAGGCTTCTAGCGGGTCTCCAGACTGTTCGGCAACTTCTCGAGCCCGAGCTACAAACGGCAGCGCCCAAGAGGCATCCGTAGTGGGCATGCAAGGTGGAGGGCAAGTTCTCAATGCTAGCGGCTTGAAAATGGGACTCCTCGGCTCGAATCGAATAGTCCGCTTGTACGGCATTAGCCTGGTGCGGAACAAATCACTCCCAGGTATTGCGTGGGTCTGGTGATTTGAGAGAAATATCTTTCGACCACTTTCTTGCCTCTCGAATGGCCGTCGACGAGGTAAAGGTCCTCGAGATGTCGGACTACCCGACTCATGGCGTCGTCAATCATCTCTCCGATTGCTAGAGCGAGCAAGCAGTGAGTAGTACTTCGGATTGCTTGGAGAGCTTACGAGCATTGGGGATGGTACCAATTAGGGAGTGCATTCATGTCTATGCGAATGATGCAGTCCGGGACTTGTTTTAGCCAAGTCATCCCAATATTCCCTCCATGGATGCCTGCCACCGCAACACGAATATGGATCAACTTGGCAGTATCAAACAGATGTTAGAGAAACTCGTTTTCGACAGACGAGGGTAAGAAACCAATCGTAGACTTTTCGGGACAAAAAACCACAATCCTGCCATATGACACTATCAACCCCATCACACAAACGTCCTCCAGCCCCAACCCCCCTTACTCACCCTCGCCACCGCAATCAACCCACTCGCCACAACCGTCATCACCCCTCCAAAAACCCACACATCCGTAAAGCCGCCACTCGCATCCAGAATCGCCCCGTCAATCGGCGTCCCCACCAGAATCCCAATCGACGTGACCGCGAACCCCATCCCCATCCTCGTGCCGATCAGGCCCCGGTCTTTGGTGATGTGCACGTAGATTGTCGCGGGGAGACTGACGAATGTGCCGCTGAAGAAGCCGTATAGAGCGGCGATGGCGATTACGGGCCCGATGGAGGTTGTGGGGATGAGGCAGAGGCAGAGGACGCCTGTTAGCAGGGTGCAGGGAATGATGACGTTGAAGGGGCCTATTCTGTCGGCTATGAGGTTCGGGATCACGCGGCCGAAGGTGGAAGCTGCGTTGAGGATGGCGAGGAGGTAGAAGGCCAGATTCTCGTCCGTGAGGTGCTTGGCGAGGGCGTACGACTGGATGTAGAAGAAAGGCGTGTAAAGTCCTAAGAAACCAACGAACGTCCCTACGACGAAGAAGACGTAAGGAATCTCCTTCCAGGCGGTCAAGTCGAAGATCTTGCGGCGTCCGGCCGGGAGGACGCGGATTCGGAGGACCGCATTGGCGATGAGGAGGGTGCAAAGCATGATGAAACCGATGATACGGGTCGCCCAGGGGAAGCCGAGGGACTGCTGGAGATTGTGGAAAACAATCGGGTAAATAATCCCGCCAATGGAGGAGCCGGCTGCTGCGATGCCGACGGCCGTGGCGATGCGGGTGGAGAAGTAGGTCGAGAGGACGGCGACGCCCGGGATGAACATGGTGCCTGTTCCTAGGCCGATGCAGACGGCTTGCGAGAGGAGGACTTGGTAGTAGGTTGTGGAGAGGGAGAGCATCATTTGGCCGAAGACGCAGAGGAAGGTCCCCGTGGCGACGAGGGCGCGGACGTAACCTGCGTCGTAGATGGGGCCTGTCAGGGAGCCGACGAGGAGGAGGAGGGTCGCTTGGAGGGAGCCGATCTATGCACGGAGAAAGATGTTAGCCGTGCTCCATGTATGTCGCGTTTGCCCCCCGCGCCCACCGCCCGGGGGGGGGGGGGGGGGCTCCTCCACACTTACCCAGGAGATATCTGAGGGGGACGATGAGGCGAGAATACCAGTTTCGTAATAGGTCTGATACGTTCCAAACGTGTTCACGATTCCCCACTACAAAGGCGAAAGGTGAATGGTCAACGAATATCATGGACACGAAATGGAATACCTTCTGCCCTTGAGGATACGTACAGTGTTCATGAAGAGAAAGAAGGACATCAGCACTTGAAGCCAGGCTGTGAGGCCGCCATTGGGGACGGACTTGATGTTGTTGACGGAGGGCTTCGACGAGGCGACTTGTTCCAGATCCGCTCCAATACTATCATCTTGCTTGTGATGTTCGTCCTCGTCAATAGGAGAATCGTCCTGCGCAACAAAAGTCGGTTCCGCCGCCTCTCGTACTTCCCGTTGATACTGCGTCAAAGATTCTTCCCCTCCATACTCGAACACCTTCTCGCTCCCCACATCCTTCTCCAACTCCCCAGAAGATCGCGACATGATCATTCACTTGACAGCCCAGAAATAAGGTTCCGCTTCGGGCCCTTGACAATTGAGTTCTGACAACGGCTATCCAAACTGCCTCATCCGGCCATATCCCAATCCAGAGCGTAGAATGGAAGTTTTATGTATCCATAGTCGAAAGGTCGAGGTCGAAAGTAAAGAGGAGAGACATCCTCGGGTTATACGCTACTGTGCGAGGTCCGATCGTGCGACGCAGACGACTTAGGCGGGTGGCCTTTCGTGACGGCTGCGTGCCGGTTTGCCGGCCACGGCATCGTTCCGTCTATGAGGAAGAGCCGTCCCTCTCAAACAGTATTAGCAAGCCATCTCTGTCGAAGTCCGGACGAGGAGTTTCTGTCGCTTTCGCACCAATTGCCGATGAGACAGGTCGGTCGTTGCGAACCTTCGTGCGATGGTGGATTGGAAATAGGGTCCATTGTCTAGAAACAGTCAAAGTTGAGCTGTAGGTTGTACGCGGGAGGGGGCTGCACGGCAGTTGGTAGCCCTAGTGCGCCCTGATCGCGTGCGTGGTGAGTACATAGACATGAGACATGCGTCTTGCATGCAGCGTCCTCACGGCCATGGTTTCCTTGTACCTCACTCAGCCGAGCCAAACCCGAGATTCTTGCGAGGCGGTGTAAGTTCAGTAAACACATTTTGCTTTCAATGCCGTGAGAGGCTGGCTATCTACTGCTAATGCTTTCAATACAGCATCAACGTCGTCAAAAGGCCACATCTGCACCGCGACTTACGAATGATAGCCAAGGATCCATCATTTCCCGTCCCACGCGTTTGCCCATAACACCTAAAGCGGTGAACCAGAAGAATGGTGAAAGACGTCGAACTCGTCTTGACCGCCGCGCCGATCTTCATTCATTCAATCCTTTCCATCCGAAAATGCCATGCAGGTATCATTTTGAAAAACCCCTCGTATTCACAAAAACCCCCTGTGCCAATCGCTAAACGCCTCCCGCTTGCTATGCAAATAACATATCTCATGTCGCGTTTTTGTTAAAATCCAATGATGGATGTAGAATGTTTTGGCGTCGAACCCAAGGGTAATTGTGATCAGAAGGATCACTTTGTACGTTCAGACTCGTTACCAGAGCTGGGCGGGGTGTCAATGCCACGGCGTCTCCGCGCGAGGCGGAAGCCCGCTCGGTTTTGAGGAAAGGGTTCAACGAGTTCCTCCCAGTAGAGGTTCTGCACTGCAGTCGACTCGGCGCCATCAACAACGCGACTGTCGGTGCGAGCCTTGAGTGCCTTTTGTCGACGAACTTCACGCTCGTTGACAACTTGGCGCATGATGCTCGCAACCGTCTCGGAGCCGAGGCGAGTCGACAGGATAGGGTGCTCCAATAGGCATTTGAGTAGAGGGAAGGGGAGAGAAAGTAAAATGCTTGAAACGGTCGTAGTGGCGAAAGAAGGGCGCTGGTGGTCATCGGTGGGGACCTCGCCGAAACGGATCTTGCTCAAACGTGGATCTGAACGTGATAGCTTGCTCTCGTGCGAAGGTTGGAATGGTGGGAGACGCGGGCATGCTTCCAGCTGCGGTGCGGTCGAGTCGAGGTAGAAGTTCGGTGGCAGTTGTTGAACGGTGAAGTCAATTGCACGGTGCAAAAGACCTGAAGAGTACGGGTCATAAGTCGGCGATCCACCCGCTTCTGGCTTATTGAAGGAGTCGTCGCTCGAGCACGTACTGATCCGCTCCTCGCTCCCATCGTCGATAGGCCACATCTGCGCCAAACCACCTTCCAACGCGAAACCAAGCGCTTGTGGTATGGTTTCCCAGTTCAACAGACTCGAAGAGACCTCAACACCGCGGTGCGCGAATGGAGCAATGTTGAGCCATGCGCCGGTTGCGATGTGCTGAAGTGCCAGTTCCATACGCTCTTCGACCGGTGCTCCGCCAGCCCCAAACATGTCAAACGGTGGGAGTGGTCCGCCATAGATGTATCTGACGGCGTCCAAGAATGGTCCCACGCGAATGTAGTTACCCTTCAACTGGACGTGTACTTGGGTCTTAAGGGTGGCAGCTGCTGGTGCCTCGCTGTTTCTGATGATAGACAACAGCGTAGAGGATCGAGCGAGTATCAGCTTGTGTCCTTCCAGGTAATGACGTCCATAGCCTTCTTGCTCCGAGATCTGAAGATGGCAATCAGCAAGCTCAGGGTTCCTCAGCTGGGAAAGAACGTGGTCTCGAAGGGATTCGGCGTTCTCGAGGTTGATCGCGACCTCGGGATGGCCAAAGTTTGGAGGTGGCATGTGAGGCTGCGATTGTGGAGGGAGATGACGAGGGTGCCCGGGAAATCCAGCCTTCGACTCCGGGAAATTGTGTCTGGCAGCATCTGCAGATTGATCGGTTCCAATTGGTGATTGAAGATCCGATCCAATCTTCTGTACTTCATGCGCTGCAGAAGAAGCCTGGGAGCCCGAGCGAGACCGCAAGCCGTGACCGTTCGGCAACGGTGCCGCACCAGGCATGAAAGCCTCGCGTGGGGGGTATCGCATGGGCATGTGGGCGTGTGGGTGGTAGTAGGGCTGCGGCATGCCGGGCGCAAACCCTGGGCGCATCTGCCAGGGCGCTGGTGGCTGCTGGTAGCCGGGAGGGTATCCACGTTGGCTCTGAGGCTCTGATCCATGGTGTGCATGACCAAAAAAAGGCGCTTGTTGAGGATGTGGAGGTGCGTATGCGGAGTTGGATGACAACGGAGGAGCTGGTGACGAGCCCGCTGAGTCGTGTCCTCCAAAGATGATATTGCTGGCGCTTGGGTGGGTCCGATGGGCGTGTGGGAGGATGGGGTGTTGTTGGCGGGTCTGAGATGACGATGCGGACTGAGGAGTGTGCTGGTCGGCAGCAGGGACGAATGCGGGAGGCAGCTCGGTTCTGATCTGACGCATATCGAATCGGTCTACCGGCTTTCGGACTGGTAGATCGGCTTGTCGAGTGGCAGATTCAGATGCATCTGGTGTCACGCCGTTTGTGGGCTCCTGGGTAGCACCAGCTGCGCCAGAGGACGTACTCGAGTCGGGCGTCTGCGTCGCAGCACTGCCGGCCTGATCCTCGTGTGTTGCATGCCCGTTCTGAAGCACGTTCGACTGCGTTGCTTCAGGAGGCTGTGATGCCTTGTCCACCGCCTTCTGCACATCGACACCATTGCTCACACCAGCCAACCCTTCACCCGAGCTTGGAGTCGCAGTATTGGTTCTTGACTTGGAGTCTTGTTTCGACTGCGGCCTCGAGGCCTTGGGCATGAGCGGGATCACTGGAACCACGCGATTCGGGGTCGTCCGCCTCATCTTGCCGGCCTGCTGGACCGCTGGAGCGTCGCCATTTGGCGCTGGCATGTTCGGCTTCAGGCACGGACGTATGGAAATCTGCTGACCGAGCAGGCAGATGCTGTCGCCGGTGGGAGGTGCGCCGTCCCCAGGAGCGAGATGGGGTCGATGGCTGCGGTGGACTCCTGGGGGACACAACGCTGAAGGGGCGCTGAAGTTGCAGGCGGTGCGGCAATGAAGGGCGGCGGTGTGGTGTTGCAGAGGGAGGCAGCTTAAGTAGTCATCGAATCGATGAGCGAAGCGGAGAGACAGACTTCTTGCAGCTGGTGGGGAACGCACAGCCGAAACCGCAAAACTCTACCCGCACTTCACCTCCTCCCCTTCACTCGCCTCTGCTCCATCAATTCTTAACCAAAGTGACGGGTATTCGCTATGATTCGTTCCACGTCAAGATTCACGCTCCCTCGTCGCGTCAAGCAGTGAGGTTGACCGTCCAGTGAAAGTTCGGGGAGCGTCTGCAATCGCTGTGCTGCTTTACTCATGCGCCTTCAATGTCCCGGGGCGACGACACGAATGAAGGAAGTATAAAACAATCTATCCAGGAGAGTGGAGGATAAGACACAGAAGGCGGTCGGGATGCCGGAGGGCCAGAATCAAACGTGAAGCCGAACGGACACGCCCACCCGATGACGACCTCCTTCTCATCAAACATGACTTTTGAACGGAGACGAGGCGCCTTCAACACGGCATCAGACTTCCAGTTTGGCATACGAATACATCGATCGGCCCGTACATCGACCATCGCGCCTACCAAGATGCTCCTGCCCCGATCTTGATCGGCTTGCCGAGCGGTTCCTTCACGGTAAAGAGTGCTCTTCCTGTCTCTTCTGTCTCCTCTTCATCAAAACATTGTTTACCACGCATTTCCTGGGTCTATAATTTCCTGCCCATCTCCTCGTTGCATCGATTGTCTCCGTTATCCCTACTACCCAACAGAGCAGAACCAATCCAAAGCCCTTCTCACCTGTCGACATGATGCGGAACTTCTCTTCCTCTGCGACTCCACCTGTCGACCTGCGACGCCGCCATCAGGCTCGTCGTGACTGCAGCTTTCACTGGGACAGCGATGTTCCAGACAATAGCTTCAATTCTGGTCTCGATCTGAGCGTTCATCACACGAGCTCACCATTCAGTATGCATTTGCTGCTCTCTCAATCAAGAACCTGCTAACAGATGTTCATGCAATCGCTTCAACACCTTAGCCACTCCACCGCCAGCTGTCACTCGAGAGAGGGAATTTCACGTATCGAGCGCCCGCCGACGTCCACGCAACAGCCGGGGCACAAAGGAGGCCAAGAAGCGCCGAGATGCCAGGCGAAACAGGAGGAAGCTTGCAGCTCAATATCTGGATGAACAGCTGTCCAGGGATATTGACGATACGCTGAACAAGGCAAATATTCGTCCGCCTCAACCAGCCACCCTTCCAGCACCAACGCCTGTCTTGCCCACAAACTACTTCTGGCCACCTCAACCGCAGCAAAGCTCTTCCCCGACTCGCCGATCACCTTCGCCATTTCAACTTCCTCCTCTGGATTTCAACACCTTCGATATCCACGATTTCCCTCTGCTTGCGTCGCCAAAGCAAAGCCCTCCACTCTCGCCACAACCCTTCTTCACAGGAGTGCCAAATTGGTGCCCACGGATTCCGTCGCTCACAAGCAAGCCAAGATGGTCAAGTGGATGGCCCAAGTTCTTCGACCTATCGCATCTACCCGAACGGAAATCTTCTCCTCCAGAGACCAAATGCCAGGAGTTGCAGCTGTGGCAGGGTGATGCACATCTCAATCAGAGGAAGCAATCACGATTCTTTCCTCCTCAGCCTTCATCAAAGCCGACTGTCAAGCTGCCATCGACAGGTTGTACTCTTCATCGCTCTAAGGGAGAAGACCACGCACTTGCCGATGAGACTGTCTTGACTGAGGAAACCAACATGTCTAGGCCCCGGTCAATCTCTGACGCCGTGAGAAAGATTGTGGCAGCCGTGATGGCTGATCCGACAAACAGCCTGGACCAAGAGCCAACTGCTGTCAATCTCTGGAATATCCTGTCCGACGAAATCGAGAAGAAGCGATACACACATGCAGGTGACCGCGAATCAAGTCTGGAAGATGATTCGAATTTCCCAGGAGGAGTGCCAATCTACGCAGAGTCGTCTGAGGCACCCCTGCCAGCGGAACTGGACGGCAAGGAGATCCCATACACGCATGAGAACAGTTTGACTGGATTCGCCAATGAGGTTGCCGAGCTTCACGCTGGTAACCATCAACAAGACTTGGTCTTGTCGGACTCGGCGATCTACTTGGCCGAAGCTATCTCCCACATCGATGACGAAGCCGCCGATTGCGAGCTTGCTGCAATGCCGTGGCCACTTACGCCAGCCTTGCCAATCCCAGAAATCTTGTACCCATTCTTGTCGACTGAAGAGAGAATTGAAGCAGACACCAACACCGACAGCGACGACATTACCGGTTCCATTGCCCACTATACCAGCGAGCAACGACTTTTCGACGTCGAGCCTTCAACACCACATAGCACGGCCGAGAGCACTTGCGATCTTGAGACCTTCCTCTCCATGGGTCATGTAGAGAACTGCTGGTGCCGCGACTGCGAAGAGGAGCCTGAACTTGTCAATGACGAATGGGCCACACCCTTGACGGAATCTGATGGATGGATGATGTGGTCTGCCACCGAAGAGGAGGCCGAAGATGCAATCGAGCTGATTGTGCCGATGGATGACAATGGCAGCGATGAGTACGGCTCTTTCCAAACATGGACGACGGGATGTGACTGGGACGACTTTTACCCTTCAATGACTTCGCAGAGCCCGGCACCAGAACTCGACGACGAGTTCCTCGGATACTACGATGACGGTCCTGCGTTCTCGCATGATGGCGAGAAGCATTGGATGTGGGGTTGCTGAGCGGTGTCAGGCAGTTTGCTATGGAGGAGGATTCGTGAATGGTGCCCGAGCTTTGAGTGATATGATGCCGGCGTGAAGGTGTCGTTGGCTGCGTGGGAAAACGCAAAGGGATTTGGTCATGTTGGAGGCTCTGTTGTTCTTTGCTTTTTTACTCTCTTGACCTAGTAAACTGGGCACGCGGAATGAAACTGCTTTGTTGATTGCTGTACCGCCCTTCGATCCTGCATTATACCTCGATGTAATGCTTGGGTGTCTGCTAATATAAAAATCGTAGAATCTATTCAGTCACCAACGTCTATCCATCAACCACATCTTAACCATACCTCAAAAACGCACAACATGTCGGACGCATACCCTACCAACCTACCTTCCGCTGCGATGATCTCGCCGCCAGTCCCAGGGGGCAGCAATGCAGTCGCTCCAGCCATCTCGTCAGCTGCACCAGCTACCGACTTGCCATCTGCCGCAATGATATCGCCGCCAACCCCAGCGGCGGCCACCAATGTGGTCGATGCGCCCCTCTCGACCATGACCTTCACGTCCACTACAACGGCCTTCGTCACCGCGCCAGACGGCTATCTGGGAAAACGAGAGGCTAAGCGTTCCTCTAAACGTGATGATGATATCGAGGATTCTTCGGCGTCCGGGAGGGCTTCCAAGGCGGCGATGGGTCTGCTTGTGATGGTTGGGGTGGGCTGGGTTGCTGCTGTTGGGATGGCGGGTTGAGTGAGCTTGGGAAGGCTAGGGTTCGAAGGGTTGGTCCTTTGTGCATTTCGCTATCGCGGATGGTTTTGTTTCTGTAGCTTGTTGAAGGCGCACGGGTTCTTGGAGAGCTTGTTGGTCCAGGGGCTGTTGAATCTCTGGAAGGATAGAACGGGGTGGGGGTTTTTTGGCGTATTGACTCTTTCGAATGATGTTTCTGTCGCATTTATTGATTTCACCAATCGACCAGATTTTGCTTTTCTCTTGACTTACTAGCCTGGGCACGTGGATAGATGTTGCCTTGTTGATTGCTAGTCGCCACACCGTTGATCCTACATCATACCATAATGTCGTGCGCGTTTTCCTCCTTGTGTGAAAACCAGAACTGAACTCATCACCAACATCAATCCCTTGTACCCCATCAAGCATACCTCAAAAGCACAACATTTCAACCCCATTGCCTACCACAAGAGTGGCTCTCGCCTCAACAAATTCAGCGAGCAACTTCACCGTCGCTTTCACACTTACATCCACTACCACCGTCACGCCAACGTCCTACCAAGAAGCTACGATATTTACTCCCCAGGTTCGCCCCGATTCTTCAGCGTTCTCCCAAGGAGCTACGATATCTACTCCCCAGGTCCGTGTCGATTCTTCTGCCTCTCGGCCGACTTCTAAATCAGTTCTGGCGTTACTTGTGGTCATTGGCGGGTTGGGGTATATTGCTGCTGTTGGGCTGGCTGTTTGAGGGTTGATGGGAGGCTTTTGTGGGTGGAGATGGACTGTGTTACTGGGTGGAGGATTTAGGTGGAGGTTGTGGTTCTGAAAGGGTTGGAGCGGCTTTGATTGTGGATTCATCGTTGCGAATTTCCCTTTTGTTCTGCGAAGTAGTATTTGAAGCATTCATGAATGGATATAGCCGATTCTCTAAGCGGTCATACAGGGCAGGAATGTGAGATCACTAACATAGTGAAAGATGCCCTCAGTCCTTCAGGCGCATTATTCCACATCCAACTGAAGCCCCTGAATCAGTCACAAGCCTACGCCCTTCACCTCCCTCAACTGCCTTGATATAGACACCTTGCCCGACGGCCCAAACCCACCGCACGCACAACATGTCCAGCATCCTCGTCGCAAGCCCAACTATCATTACGATGTCCTCATTACCAACAACAACAATAGCGACAGCCTTGCCTACGAGCGGAATCCCTACGCCTAACGTTTTCCTTGTGGCTCCGCCGCATCCTCATCCTACGAACTCTGCGGCTCCGAGCAAGGTTTCGAAGTCGGCATTGGTTTTTTTTGTTGTTGGAGCGGTTGGGTATGTTTTGGCTTTTGAGTCCGGGATGTGACGGCCGATTGTAATTAGGAGAGGTGGGGGGTTGAAAGGGGTGATGAATGAACAACGTGGAATCGAGGAGTGAAGCGGTTATGCAATGCTGAAATGGAGGTCTCTGTACACACGATGCTGGGTATAGCCTCACTATTACACTATTGCACGTAGTGATCAAGTAGGCGAGCGAAGTACAAGTCAATGTCCTTCTCCTACTCTCAATGAGCTATGCGCAACCCCCATTAACAGCAACCTAAGATGTCCCTACAACTCAACACGATTATGCCTTCAACCACCACACTCTACCAATCAACATCCTATTCCACCTGGCCACACGTGCTGCAGTTCACAGCAGGGCTCTTGGACACGTTCGCAGATGCCCTGACCAAATGGATCCAGATCATCATCAACGGTCTTCTGTGGCTGCTGTTCAAACTCCGTCGTGTAAGGTTTTATCTCGATCGATTGGATCAAGGGCAGGAAGATCAGCTTTTGAGGCAGCAGCAGCGGTGGCTCGAACTTGGGGAGATCGAGTTGGAGAGGATGAGGAGCGATTTGAGGCAGTAGAAAGGTGTTGCTCGACGACCTTCAAGAGATCGGATGAAGTCCACGTGAGAATAGATGAAGTTTTTGCGACTGAAGAAGACGTGGATTGATGAGTGAAGAAAGAGTTGGAGAGATATTGAAGTTGTTCTTGCCCTCACTCGCTCACTCGCTCACTCGAAGCGATAAAGGTGCGACTTCTCTACATTGTCAGTTGAAGATACACGGCAGAGAAGGCGCATTACTTCTTCCCTGCTTGCCATGAGCCAGACCGTCTTCATCCTCAAAGTCCCATTGGTACCTTCAATACCACTGATCACACCACACCAACCCTCAGCGCCTGGCAATCTTTTGCGCGCATCGACTTACCTCTCATATCTACCTGTAAACTCCCAGCAAAAGGCACACAAAAGGTCAAGCTCGGCGCTCCTTCGCATTCCTCCAAACCATTACATCAGGTAACACTCATCCCCAAAGACGATTCTGACAGCAAGCGCACTAACATTGCACAGAAACCCTACGCAGTCCCCAAAACCACCAACGCACCTCAAATGGCCACAACGATCATAACCGCCCCGCAACACCCAAACACCTTCACCTACATCCAATACACAGTCACAACCATAACCGCGAGCCCAATCCCCTCCCTCGCCGCAACCCTCACAGTCGGCATGTCAGGCCAAGCCAACGGCACCAAGACCACGACCTCCGAGATCCTCACGTGCACGCCGTCTTGTATCCAGCTGGACTCGGAGGGAAGATGTATTCAGATGCAGGGGTGTGAATTGAAGAGTTTGAGACCGGAGGGGTTCGTGCAGCATGGGGAGGTGACGAAGAAGAGTGCGGCGGGCAGGCTTTGGAGGGATCCTGGGGCGAGGATGGCGGTTGCGGTGTTGGGCGTTAGTTGGGTTGTTGGCGCGGCGATGCTGAGTGTGTTTTGAGGGGTTTTATATCGTTGAATGGATTGGGTGACGCCTGTGGAATTGTTGAATGGTTGATATTGGAACACTGTTGCCCAAGTGGTGCTCGCCAGCGGACGATGCAGGTGGTGTGTGCTCTGAGGATCCTTTGAATATAGTATCATTGTTGGGCGCTGTCTTGCAAGAGCATAGAAAGCCATTGAGAATTTCAACAGTCCTTCCGAGTCATCAAGTCAACAGATGCAGTCAACATGAACACTCAGAATCTAAAACTTACCTCTTCAGCAACTTCCAACCAAAAGACCCCTATCCTGGCTACTCAGTTTGTCATAACCACTGCACGCCCTGTGTCCACTTCCCATGACGGGCGACCGACGATGACATGGGAGCCGGCAACATGCACTCCAACATGTCTCAAGGCAGACGAACTCTATGGCTGCGTCAAGATCATCGGCTGTGGCTGTTACGACTATGATGGCTTTCCTGTCGAGGTGGGAGACTGCTCGGTTGGAGATAACAGGAAATCTGGGAGAAACCCTCGGAGCGCAGTGGTATCGTTTCTGGTGTTGCTGCTGCTATGGTATGCTGCTTTTGTTTGTTTGCGTGGTCTTCTCGTCTGATTGGATCACGGGTATCGGTAGCACGAGTCGATGTAATGTTTGTTCCGCATCGCGTGTCTTGCTTCGTTCACCATGGTGGAGATATGCACCATCGGAGTCTGAGACATGTTAATGTGTATAATTAGGAGATTTAAGGTCAGCTATGTAGTTCATTAGCAAACTCTCAAATCATCAGCTCCCTGCCAACCTACCAACAAATCAAGTACCTCCCCAAAGCTTATCACTGCCAACATGCCAGTAGTACGAACATCTTCAGCCATGGATACCGCGACACTCCCAACGACCTCCTCAATCGAAGCTCTCACAACAGCCTACGACGCCAGAGCTGAAATCCCGTCGTGCACACCAGTATGCCTAGTCGTCGATGCTCAAGGCAACTGTATTCGGACACAAGGCTGCGGATGTGTTATAGCCGTCGGCAACACTGGCGCTGATTGTGGCCATATTCCGATATCCGCAGCAGCGAGGCAGATGGAGATGTCTTCCGAGACGATGTTGTTGGTCACGCTGTGGGTCATCTGCTCGTTGGTGTGGTTGGGTGGGGTATGGCATGCTGTGAAGTCGAGATAGGCAGTGAAGGGCGAGCGGGCGGATATCCATCAACGAATGTTGTATTATTGGGCGACGGTTGAAGCGCAGTGAAGGCTCTGTTGCTGCTGTATATGATTCTTTCTGCTCTGCACATCAACATATGAACACTTCAAAACACTAACAATGACCCACGAACTTCTCGTAACGATCGTCACACTCAAACTAAGATCCTCTGCAAATGGCGAACAACCTCACCATGCTTCTGACACCTCTGAGCATCTCGCCACAGCCGACGGCCTCGATGGCCACGTTACAGTCTCAAGCGGCCCCAACACCAGCACTTCTCGCCCATCTAGCGATCACGAGGGGTCATCTCGTCCAGACGAAGCGAGCAGAGCCAGTTCACGCTGGGACTTGTACTCCCTATTGCAGTGAGCTGAACGATAAGGGCCAATGCATCAGCATTCAGGGCTGTGGTTGTAACTGGGGAGGAGATCTGAGCTGCATGGTTTCCGACGGGAATCGGTTGGCGCTGTCGAATTTGAAGGGTGTTGTGGTGGTGGCTGTCTTGCTGGTTGCTTTTGCTGCACGGTAGTCCTAGGATTTAGCAGTGCAATTCACTTCGTTCGGGGGCGTGTCTCGAGGCTTTCCATTGGCATTCTCTAGTTGGTGGGATAGATCCCACGATACTTGGAAGGACATTCGTACGTTTCTTTGAGATCTTGTGCAAACGTAGAAGAGTAGAGTGATCATCTGTTGGACGACGTGAAGTTGTGTCGAATCTCCGTGTTGCTACGGAGGACTAGACATTCACTTGGTGCTTCGCGGCGATGGTCCAAGCTCCAGTCAGTGACGTACGGCTTTCACGTGCCAGGCACCATTCAGGTACCGTAGGCGTGGTGAGATGAAAGGACCGCCCTTCAAACCAAGTCTCGCAAAAGTCCTCAACAACATTCAACGCCGCGACGATGTCGTTCGCACGCGTACCGCTTCTCCTCGCCCTGCTACATTCCGCCCTCGCCGAACAGCCATCCGCACCTTCGCCCATCGCAGCGCCGCTCAGAGAGCTACCATGGGGACAGCTTAACTTCCTCCACACAACCGATACACACGGCTGGCACGGTGGTCATTTGCAAGAGGCGCAATACTCTGCGGATTGGGGCGATTACATCTCCTTCGCGCACCATCTCCATAAAAGAGCAGACAGTGATGGCAGTGACCTGTTGGTAGTCGACACCGGGGATCGAGTCGAAGGCAACGGACTATACGACGCTAGCAATCCCAAGGGGAAATACGATTTGGACATCGTTAAACAGCAAAGCATCGATGTGCTCACCGTTGGCAACCACGAGCTGTACCAGCGGAATACCAGTAACCGGGAATTCAGCAAGGTCGTGCCGGACTTCAAGAACTCGTACATCGCGAGCAACTTGGACATTTACAACCCAAAGAATGGTGAACGTACGCCTCTTGCGCAACGATTCCGGAAATTTACCACCAAAAATCAGGGCATAAGAGTAATTGCATTCGGGTTCCTGTTCAACTTCCAGGGCAATGCGAACAACACGGTTGTGCAGCCGGTAGAGGAAGCTATCAAAGAGCAGTGGTTCAAGGATGCCATCGATGACAAGGAGGTGGATCTGTTCCTAGTAGCTGGACATGTCCCGGTCAGAGATAGCCCGGAGTTCGATGCAGTGTATAAAGCAATTCGAGATTCGAACTGGGACACTCCGATCGTCTTCTTTGGGGGCCATACACATATCCGGGATTACCGCAAGTTTGAGAAGAAAGCCTGGGCGTTGGAGAGTGGACGATACATGGAGACGCTGGGCTTTCTCTCCATATCTGGGCTGAGTACGGGCAAAAAAGATGAGATCGCACCTGCAGCGTCGCCCGATTACAAGAGGCTCTACATCGACAACAATCTCTACTCATTATACCACCACTCGGGCAAGAACGCATCCAACTTTGACACTGAGCTTGGCAAGAATGTCACCAATGCGATCCACGAAGCACGCAAGAAGCTCAAACTCGACCACGCATTTGGATGTGCTCCCCACGACTACTGGCTTAGTCGTACACCTTACCCATCTGATGACAGCATCTTGACCTGGCTAGAGAACGAAGTCATCCCCGACACATTCAACTTTACCAAGACCCCGAGCATGGTCATCACCAACAGCGGCGCAATCCGTTTCGACATCTTCAAAGGCCCCTTCACCATCGACTCCACATTTCTAGTATCCCCCTTCACGAGCGGGTTCCGCACCATCAAAGACATCCCCTACACAGCCGCAAGCAAAGTCCTGCAACTCCTAAACAACGAAGGCCAAATCCTCCTCTCCGACCTCGCAGCCGTCACGCCAACACAAAGAGTCGACCTCGAACAACTCCGTGCGCCTCCAGCCCCTGTCAACCCAGATAGCTTCATGCACGCCCACACCGACTACGCCCACCAGCAAGCCAACGAACACCATCAAACTTTCCTCGGCAGCAAAGACGGCGACCAAGACCAACCCCAAGTCCCAGGCTACACAACCAAAGACGACGCAGGCTCAGACGGCGACGACACGATCCACCAACCCATCAAATTCTACAGTGTCCCCAACTGCATCGGCAGCAACGTCAGTTTTCCAGCCCCTGAATACGCAGCCGCTTACGGTCCCGTTAACTTCCGGCCCGTGCACATTTCGACGCCGGAGAAGGTGGATTTGATCTACAACGAGTTTATTGAGAATTGGATCTTGCTGGCGCTGGAGTATCTCGGTGAGAAGCGGGAGGAGAAGGATACGAGTGCTGTGCTGGAGGGGAAGAGTATGACTGATGTTATTAGTGATTGGGTCAAGAAGAGTCCTGAGTGGGCTTGTGAGAAGGAGAAGGATGTTTGAGTGGCTTTGTGTAGCTTGCTGGCGTTTGGGGGACGGATATGACGGATGGAAGTGCTCTGGGTATAGATTGAGTATTTACCGATTATGACATCCACACGATGCATCCCACCGGTTCTCTACCTCACTGTCGAAGCAGTAGAGCCAATGCCTCAATGCGCTCATTGCCGACCAGCCTTGCTCACTTTGAAACCCCCTGGCACAAGCTTCTGGAAAGCCTCATCAGGGTCATACTTCTTCGCGACCTCTTGGAGAAACTTCAAGTTGTCGTCACCGTAGAATTCCAGGGGATCTTGGAATGGCGCTGCGTAGGGAAGAAGCTCCAATGGCGATGACTTGCCGTGGACATTGGTCCACTCCTGAATCCGGTCGACCCAGTCGTTGGCTGCTTTAGCCACCTGATCGTCTTGTGTAGCGTCAAGCCAGGTCGGGTTTAGGACGAGAGCTGTCGTAAGTTAGTGAACGGCTGTCTTGACATATGATGGCGTACGTACCAATGCGGTCTGTGGTGGAGTAGTTGAGGCCAATTGGATTGGGGCCAAAGTTCTGGTAGTCCAGCGGAAGAGACTCGTAAACGAGATTCCAGGTGACGTCTTTGACATCCTTGTAGTCTTCGAAGACAGCCAGCGAGATGTTGTGGACTTGCTTCAGCGCGTCAAGGTCGCTTTGAAAGGTGACGGTTGCGAAGGCGTACCTGGTAGCAACTCTTAGTTCAAGCATCGAAGTATAAGGAGGGTGAAAACTCACCGCTGGCCAGCAGGAAGCCGACCCTGGAGCTCTTCAGACAAGTCGCTCATCGAAGTCTTGCGAGAGGTGTCTGCAACCTTAGGGAGGCTTTGGAAGGGCTTCAAGAGCGAGCTGTCTGCATTGCCTGCAGTGTCGGCAACAATGCTGATAATACGCTGCTCGCCATTCGTCGTATTGAGATTGAACACCACCTCGACAGCTGTGTTGACATCTGTGTTACTGTTGGTCACGAAGTCGTTGAGATGATGAAGAGCATCCTCGGTGGCGTTGATGGGCGAGACGATTTCACCTCCCCAGATCTCTCCATTCTGAAAAGCTTTCACGTCCATGCGGGTGACGATACCGAAGTTGGACGATCCACCCTTGAGAGAGTAGAAGAGATCAGTGTTGTCCGAGTCAGTGGCATGTACAACCTCGCCGGAGGCAAGGACCACCTCGAAGTCGACAACATTGTCTGCCGTGAGTCCAACGCGAGGCGTGAAGTAGGAGAGGCCACCACCGAGCGTCATGCCACCAACACCAACTCCAGAAGCACGAGCTCCAGGAACCATCATGCCTTGTGGCTCCAGCGCCTTGTACACGTCGCCCCAGTTGCCGCCAGCACCAAGCTTGACTGATGTCCGGTCGTAGCTTAGGGAGACTTCATTGATCTTGCTGAGGTCCACCACGACACCCTCGTCGATGTCATTCACTCCAGCCCATGGGTTGTGACCTCCCGATTTGATGGCAAAGGGACACTCGCCTTGGACGAGAGTCTTGACGAAGCCGGATAGGACGTCTGCCGAGGAGGGCTGGACGATGCATGTGGGATGGAGCTCGGCGGTTTCTGACCATCTCTGGTTGGCGGCAGAGTAGCTTGAGCCATCTTTCAGGACGACGAGGTCGGAGAACTGCTCATGCATTTGGCTGCACTGAGGCATGTGAGCTCGACTGTGGTTTCCAGGCAAGGGAAGCTGAACTTACACAGTCGCCGACGAGATCAGAGGCTCTAACATCACCAGCGATGACACTCGCCGCGAAGAGCAGACCTGCTGCTACTACGGTGCTGGAGAAGCCCATGTTGTGAGAGGGAGTGAAGGGTGAGGGTCGAGTCTATCGAAGGTCAAGGTTCCGTGTTGAAGGAAGAGTTCGAGAGGTTGTTTGAAGGTGGATGGAGGATGAGGATGAGGTTGGCGAATCGGTCAAAGTGAAGGAGAAGTAGCAAGTGCGAAATTCTCATTTCGTCACCGTTTCGATGTGCGAAGAAGGGGCGGGAGCACGCTTGCCAGTTTCACATGCTTGCCAAAACCATCGTCCACACTCAGGGTCTTCGTAGTAACAGCCACTTGCTCGCGATACCACCTTTTCACCAAGACCTTAGCGGGTATTATTCACCACCTTGTCGATGGAGTTGGCGACGATATCGCGTTCATGGCCGAAACGACTTGCATGCTGCTCAGCCTTGTTCTTTGTTCGTGCGGACTCCACGGCTGCCGCGGGTCTGTACTTGAGAGTGTAGTGTGGCTCGGTGGTAAACACAAAAGGGCAATATTGGATTCACGCTTGCCTCTTACACAGGTGCGCTGCGGACACTTGTACTGGGTTCAATATCTGCAGAAGAATCCAGCTCATGATCAGTCTCAGAAGGATTTCCAGCGGCGACACACATTTGATACTGACTATTTGTGCGACTGGCATTGCTTTTCGCACCATGCCCAGAGATCTCCTCCTTTCTTGCTGTTCTTCAAGCTCTCCGATAGCACCCCAAACCTTCCCCAAGGCACAACAAATTGCTCTCCGTTTCCAGCTTCACCAACCTCATCTGCCCAGCCTGCAAACAACTCCACATAAGCCCCGTAGACAGCTTCGTAGGCAAAAATCCGTGTTGCAAGCTTCAGCGTCCAAGAGTCGTCTGGCGATAGCTGAGTCGCAAGTTGCCCTGGGTTGAAAGGTACAGAAACGATCCCATCCGCATGTAGTCGCTTGGAGAATTCGCGAGCGAGCACGTAGTTCGCTGCTTTGCTTTGCGCGTAGTCGCTGACAGGGTCGCCGAGCACCTTTGGGTTACCGTCGGCGTCGAAGTCAATACCTCCCTCTGGTGCTTTCATGCTGGCAATGATTGAAGAAGCCCACGTCACTCGCACACTGCCGGATGGTGCTTTTTGAGCTGTTCGACGAAGTACTGGCTCAAGGTGTCTGGTGAGAAGAAAATGTCCTACTACGTTGGTCCCCATGTGAAGTTCAATCCCTTGATCTGTATGTGACCCAACAGGCGCTTGGATCTGTGGAAGATGTCAGAACCGTGGTCTCAAGCGCGGGCTATATTTGTACTTACTGCACCAGCATTGTTCGTCAGCACGTGTAGTTGCTGTTCTTGTTTCATGAATGCCTCTGCCGCCGGCTTGATGGTTGTGAGATCCGACAGATCGAGTTTCAAGAACTCGAGCCGACCTTTGCTCCGTGGGCAAGCTTTTTTGATTGATGCGACCGCCTCGTCGTATTTTGCTGTCGAACGGCCGGCAATATAGATCGTGGCATTGTGTTTGTAGAGAATGCCACAGAGCTCTTTGCCTGCACCTGAATAGCCACCAGTAACAATCGCAATTCGGCCTGTTTGGTCGGGAAGATTCGTTTCAGTAAGTGTCGGCTTGGGGACGAAGAAGCACTGGCGGAAGAGGTCCCAGGTGTAAGCCATTGTGAAGATACGATGCTAGAGTCAGCTGGCACGGGTTCTTTGACTCGAATGGTGCTATGCAATGCATTGCTACAGGCTATGCGCGGGAGTTAAGAAGACACACGTACGGCACAACGCTGTGTCCATCGATGCCCGCTCCCGTTGATGCAGTGCTACGTTGGGCCAGGTAATCTGTGCAGCCCATGTCGCATTTAAAATCAACTCTCACATTGATGGAGGCACAGTGCACCATTTTCGCGCACCGTGTTCCATACGGGCTATCTTACCCTTTGTAGAAGAAGGAATGATTCGACTAGAATTAGAAGTGCAACCCTAGTCGGCAGCATACATTCGAGGCAGCATCAAAGATGGCAGTGTGACGTCTCAAGTAACGGCGGATAGCAGTGCGTGAGTCGTGAGATGTGGTGATGGCTTTCAGTAGAGCAAGGAGGGAAGAAGAAGTGGCACTGAGATGGTAGGATCTGTCTCGTTTGACCTGACCCAAGCGGCGGCTCCCGGAGCTAGTCTATATATGGCACGCAAATGCCCAGACCCCCACGCTTTGCTGCGCTTACTTTGCCCAAATTCCTCCTGTTTCCTCCCGACTTTCTTCTGCTCTGCACACATACATCACACTACCCGACATCGCCTGAGGTGGCATCAGATACACTTTTGCCACAGCCTGGATGGTGGATGTCATCACAATGTCACGACTGACCAGCACCAATCACCGATCCGATCTCAGCGGAGACTCATTCGATCATAGGCAACAGAATTATCAGATGATTGCAGCGTTCGGTCTTGTTGACTGATCCTCTTGATGAGGCTTGACCTTGAAGACAAGATACAAGACAAGATTCAGCTGAGATCATGAGGCAAAATGCAGACGGCCGGATGAGTGTCCAGTCACCTTTCATGTGCACATGATGAACTGATCCTCTGATCCACCATCATCCTCCAAAGGTCTTCCCATCACCGTCGTTCGAGCAGTAAACAACGCCCCATACGTCGGTCGAGCGAATGCTACAGCCTACGACTTGGGCTAGTTCATGCAACGACGGATGAACATCAAGCCCCTTTGAGGAAGCGTGAGGTACTTATCTACCGAGGCCTCGGTATTCGCCGGACGCATGTGAACCCCAGATTCTCCCCTCGACCAGATTTAACTGTTTTGGGTCTTGCACGTCTATCCTTACAACTCGAAATCGACATGCCGAAGCTCACAACAGACGCTGCACTATACCTAGTGCTCCAATAAGGGAGCGAGACGAACATCAAGTTGGGCTTAGCGATGCAGGATAAGATTAAAAGTTCTGCCTGACAGAACTCCTAAAGCGATGCCTTCGGCAAGCCTGCGTGGGGGTGAGAATTCATTGGACGAGGGGGTCGCGGCAACGATCAACGCGAGGACGAGCGGGAGCGAGGCTCCCCATGCACTCTTCTATCGCTTTCTTGGCATATCCGTCCCTTTGCGATCGTGCATGTGGCGACAGGCGGGCGAAGCATAGAAATATAGCGCTCCCTTGCCCCTCCTGAAATCCGGGGTATCGTCAACGACTGTACACATTCTCACACCATGGCGACGACCACCACCACCGCTGTGCCTTTGGCGGAAGCAACCAACCCAACTCCCAAGCCTGAATATGGACGTCGACCTCAGGATTCTATGAAGTCCAGTTGGCGCACCGCCAGCCGCAGCTCATGGAATCTGTGGCACTGGCTGATTCACATCACAAACATCTATCCAGTTCGGCTGGACAAGGAAATTCCAGTGTTCAAGAAGGACGATCCTTTGCCCTACTTTTCTCACCGGTATGGACATCGCTGGATCTTGACACACGCAGCATGGCCGATGCTTATCCAATTCCTCGCGCAACAATACACCGGCAAACCCTGGTCCGCTATCGGCACCTTTTTCTTCTACACCTTCGCGATGCAGTTCAACTCCATCCATCAGATCTGGGTCATTCGGCGCATGTCACATCAATACGGCTTTCTCGACGGCGACAAGCATGCACGAGACCAGGTTCCGGACATCGGCGTCATGAAGACAGTTCTCTCGCTACTCAATACCACCACCTTCCGACCAATGATTGCAGTCATTGCCTCGTACCAGCGCAGCACTGAGCTGCAGCTGAACCCGAAGTGGTTGCCCCTTGAGCTTGCACTCTACGGAGTGGTACTGGACCTGTTCTTCTACACCTACCACCGATCTTGCCACGAGCTCGACGGTCTCTGGAAGTACCACCGCACCCACCACCTTACCAAGCACCCTAACGTTCTGCTCTCCTCCTACGCCGACGAAGAGCAAGAATTCCTCGAAATCGCTCTTATTCCCTTCCTCACCTGGGCGACAATGAAGTTTATCCTCCGACTGCCTATGGGCTTCCACGATTGGTGGATCTGTCATCAGTACGTGATCTTCGTCGAGGCATTCGGCCACAGCGGTCTTCGCATGTGGAGCACTACAATCACCTTCGCGTCGCCCATCCTTTCATTCTTCGGCATGGACTTGCAGCTGGAGGATCATGACCTGCATCACCGCAAGGGCTGGAGAAAGAGCCACAACTATGGAAAGCAGACTCGCGTTTGGGACAAGATCTTTGGAACTATGGGCCCGCGCATTGAGGCTGTTGAAGGAAATGTTGACTTCAACAATGTTATCGTCATGCCGTGGTACTAAGAAGCGAAACGATGGATGCAGGACACAACGGATATTGGAGTGTCAGCGAGTCCGGTCCCTCGTTTGTCCCGGGTCTGCGCACGCCGCCGGCCTAGGTTGGTCACCCGATGCTGCAACGTTTCGACGACAAACACAAAGGTTTGAGCTGCGGCTCACTCAGTGGGTTGGTTCTGATTGCGAAGGAATGGGAGTTAGGCGGGCACTGGTGTGATGGCTAGACGTCAGGTTTTTGGTGATGGTATGGAAGATTACTTCGAAGCAAGATACCCAGGTGTGAAGAAGCATGTTTGGAAAGAGTGTTGGAGTAAGATGGTATTGCACCGCATGACTGGATCTCGATCTTAGCACGCTCAGCCTCATAGTTTAGAAAGAATAAAGCCGATCAAAATACACCCTACTGCACTGCCATTCACTTTACTACATCGTCTCGGCACAGGGTGTCTGGTCTGCTGAGTTCATACATGACCGTACATTTGATTGGAATGACCAGTGGTCATGCGCACAAAGCACCACCACCACACTGTCAAGACACCTGGCGCACGCTGGCTTTGTCTCGAAGGCTGGCAATGAAACCCAAAATGATGACAGTCAAATGCCAATAAAGCTCTCGAGACTTTGCCCAGCAGGTAGGTGGGTTTAAAGTTGCGGCTGATCCCGCATGCCGCGTCACTAGCGCGCTTTCCCTCCACTTCACATGTTAATCTTGTCTCTTCTTCCTGCTTCAACAAAACGCGACCATGGAGGCCACATACGACGAGATATCCGAGGCGGAGATGTCGAAGAAGATGCGCAAACGGCTGAAAAAAACATTCAACGAAGCCCTCGACGCCCACCACGGAGCTTTGAAATCGCAGTCGGCGATTGCCAAGTACAATTCAGGCATTCTAAGAGATTTGGAAGCCGCATTCATTGCGAGTCCGAATGTGGATTTGTTATCGAGAATCCCACCAAGCTACTCCTCTTCAATGGCAGAGTTGTTGAAAGAGAACCTTGATGGCCAAGGTTGGTAGTGAACATTGTCACATTTGCCTCATGTCCCTCTGACAACGCACAGATCCTCTCGAGTCAGAACTCCCACCATCCAAGCGATTGAAGGTGCATGATTGCAACGAGACTGAAGAAACGGTAGAAGATATACCAAAGCATCTTCGCACTCTGCATGGCCCCGGAGAAGCTGTTGTGAAGGCACCGCTTGCGGTCACCATTGAGCGATCATTTGGAGACGACCTGTCTGCATCCAACATCATCAGTGCCCTCAGTCGAAGCCAAATTGTTTTCCGCGATACTACGGGCGGCGAGAGAATGATATTGAAGATCAGTGACGAATCGGTGGTCAAGATCGTACCTGACTCGACTGACACCAGGGAGTACGACGCTTTAATTTACCTCTCACAAAAGTGTCCAGAGGTTCCGGCGCCGAGACCAGAAGGATTGATTCAGCTCAATGGACAGAGCCTGATGTTCATGTCATACATTCCTGGCGAGTCTCTGGCCGAGGTGTGGGATTCCATGAGCCAAGGACAGAAAGCCACTGTGTCAGGAGAACTGAACACTGTTTTCTCGGAACTTCGATCGCACCAATGTCCCCCATCGATTCCATGGGGTGCCATTGATGGAGCGGGATGTATTGACCAGCGGAGGACCGTACGACGAAGCGACCGGGACATTTTGAGCGCCAAAGACTTCGAAGAGTTCTTTTTCTCTAACCCCAAATATGGGAGTGAAGTCTGGATCGCGTTTCTACGTAAGCTTTACGATTCGGCAGAAGGCGAGCAGGATAGCCAGGATACCTGCGTTTTCACGCACGGAGACTTGCGACAGGCGAATGTTCTGGTGCGACGTACATTAGAGGGTGAATTGAGCGTGTCTGGCATCATCGATTGGGAGTTCAGTGGCTTCTATCCAGCATATTGGGAGTCAATAAAGCTCACGAATTGCATGGGTACGCGAGAGACGTCTGACTGGTTTCTGCATTTGCCAGAGTCCATATCACCACTGAGATACCCAAAGCGATGGCTCCTCAACCTCGTATGGGATTCCCACGTTGATTAATTGAGAAATGGTTGGACTAAGATCATGGCCGCACGGCTCAGTGCAGAAGACGAGGAGCAATTTTGAGGATGGCGTTTTGGCTAGTCTTGAGCTGCAGAAATGTAGTGGAGAAACAAGTTGGCTGAAACAAAAGAAGCACCTCATGTGCGTCTTTCCACCTCTATCTACCTGTGCATTGTCCAAGCGGAGGAAAACACTTCTCTATCCCCACAACTCGTCACCTGTCTCAACAACTTTAAGAGTAGTCATGAGCTTGGAGGTCCATCTTTCCCGAGTATTCCAGTTGCTACGCTTCCAGCGGAACGTCTGGAAAGACCCGAGATGCAGGTCACTCGTCGTCGCTGCTGTCCTGTACCTTGTCCGCAGACCGAAACTGCCTCGGCTGGACGTCGTTTTCGTCGTCTTCATCGTCATCAAGGCCATCATCGTCGTCAGTTTCCTCTGACTCCTCATCATCATCGTCGTCCTCATCATCATCCTCATGAAGCCTTGCATAATCGTAGTTGACAACAGCCAAGTGCGTAGAATCCATGTCCCCTCTCATGTTCTTGATCGCCTTCTTAACCGCCGAATATTTCCGCATGCCACCAAGAAGTCCTCGTTGCTCGAGCGAGTCCATGATGTCGATCACGTATTCCTGGCAATCCCATGTTGGTATATCGTTCTGCACCTCGATGGCCCGAATTGCTTGCTCCATGACACTAAAATCGGAGTCGCGGAGGTGACCAATGACAACCGTCTGAAGGAGTCGACTGGATGAATATGGCTTGACGTCGCGGCGCATGGGCTCCAGCTCATGCTGTGGACCTTCGACTTGGAAGACGTGGTGTGCATTGGATATCCGGTTCCGCACATGCAAACCCCAATGGTAGAAGTTGCCTTTCTGTGGCTTGTAGATGACTACGGCGAGCTCCAAAGCTGCGGCAGAAGTAGACATCGTTCGCCAGCAGCTGATGGCGTGCGTTCAAAGCACTCAGCAATGGCGTGATGCGGAGGGTATTGGTGGGGATACAAGCGTAGAGTGTGGTGATGTCGAAGAGGTTGGGAGTGTATGTCCTTTGTGGTGTAATGTCTTGAAGGCAAGCACTGAATAGAAATAGGAAGAAATTATCTCACGCTGCGCTTGGAACTTGAACATATGTCTGCGATACGCCGCTCACATGAGTACTAGCCGCTTTACAATCTCGTGAACTCTGCTCCTCGGCAAAGCTGGCCTCCGTGCCACGCACATGTAGCGTTCACGAAAGCCTTTGGCAGAGCCACGAATGCTAGGAGCCACAAGCTTGGCCAGACGGCCATGTAAGGAAGGGGGCTTGGAATGGCAGGCCACGGTTTGAAGCTTGATTTAGATCCAACCTGCCAGAAGCCGGAAAACTGCTTACTACAAGTCATGGGAATCCGCCATCCAATCGAATATTGTGTTTCGGGCTGCATCTGTACTGGGCCGGCGGCAAGACGTGAGGCTATGCCAGAAGAGCCAATTTTGATTGACAGCCAGTAGCAAGTGGTTCGAATCGAGGAACTTTAGGTGCCACAGTAATACAGTACAAAAGACAGAGAGAGACGGTATTACAAGTGAGGACAGAAAGACGACATCTCACGAAAGACGATGGAGAGAGGACAGTTAGGGGGCAGATGTACATCGCCATGACGTCACCTTCCATCTGCCAAACTAACGGCGGTATGGTTGTTTTCAAATCCTCCCGATCACTGTCTTCCCGCGCAGAAGCTCACACTCATAATGAGGTTGAGGTCGGCGTCGGCGGGATGATGTCTAGCTCGACCGTTTGCATGGTGCGGCGTGCATCGGCTGCAGCGTGGACTGGTTGGAAGGAAATGTTTGCGCGTACTTCGTGAGCCCGTCTTGAGGTATATGGGTTCGATGACATGAACGTTTCGCAGTCAGAATGTGGAAAAGCACTCTCGACCGCCTGCTGCAAACCCGGAGGGGGGTGGAAAGGAAAGGCTCAAGCCCGCCGTATGAGCCTGTGCCTTCATCTTTCTTTCCCAATTGGCAACGTTCGCACTTGCGCGTTGTGGGTGTCAACACGAACGAGCGAGAAAGAAGTGCAGGCAATCTGGGTTCAACAACACCCAGATCACTTCAGTCGAAAGCATCCACAGCACAATTCTCGGCCATCAGTTCAGAATACACAGCATAGCCTCTCTTGCGAGAAATGTCGCAATAGCAGCATGCTTCACCCATCTATACGCCCAGTCAACACATGCTGCGCACTTCGCCCGCACAGACAAGCTCGAAAGCACTGGACCGACAAACTTCACGTCCATATCGCCAAGTTTCTCATGGACCCATGTCAGAGTCATCGCTCTCCAGAAAAGATGGTACTCGCTAACGCTTCAACCAGATCAAACCGACACCCGAGCTACCATATTTCTCGTGTTATGATGGCTTCCAGTGTGCAAGGCTTGAGTTGCCCTTGAACTGGAACGCTACTGGCCCTCAAGATCCTACATACAACGAAAGGTACAACATGGCCATCATTCGACTGCCAGCCCAAGTCCCTGTCAACGATCCCCGGTACGGAGGGCCGATCTTGATCAACCCAGGCGGACCAGGAGCATCAGGCATTGATACCGTAGAGTCCGGCGGGAAAATCCTCCAGACCGTCGTGGACGCTGCCTACTTCAATGGCAGCGCTGACTATGTCAGCCAAAGGTCCGGCGCCAAGTATTTCGACATCATCGGATTCGATCCGCGTGGAGTTGGCGAGAGTACGCCTTTCTTTACTGGCTGTGCTTCTCCCGCCCAGCTACGATCCTGGAACACGGAATACTTGAACGAGCGGCTCAACTGGCCCAATGGAAATCTTGACGAGATATGGAAGGCCTGGTCAGTCAATGTCGTCTGGCGAAACGGGCATCGCGAGACTCATGTGCTAACGACGCTTTCTTTCACTCTAGGTCAGCACTCGCAGTCGACTGCTCATGGGATCCCAAGCATAACCCCAAGGGCTCCAAGATCTTGAAATATGCATCCACCGCAATGAATGCACGAGACATTGTCGGATTCGTCGAGTGACACGGAGAGTGGCGAGAAAAGCAGGGAAGCAGCAATACCCAAGCGAAGCAACACCTACAGTGGCGGAAAGGCGAAGAGCCAATCCAATATATGGGCTTCTCCTATGGAACCGTCCTGGGTACAACTCTCGCAGCGATGCAACCGCATCGTGTGAAACGATTGCGCTTGGATGGAGTCTCGTCGTCTCCAGAGTACTACAGCGGAGAACTCACTCTAGACTCCGCAGACGGCGATGTCGCAATGGAGAGGTTCTTCGATTTTTGCGCCGCTGCTGGCCCAAATGCGTGTGCTCTCTGGGCCGGCAACACCTCCGCCGACACCCGCCACCGCCTGCGCTCGATCCTCCTCGATCTTGAACAGAACGGCTCCATCCCTGTGCCAGTGGACTCCAGGACTGGTGAGATGAAAGTGGTCTCCCTTGGAAACGTCAGAATGCTTCTCAATAGCGCGCTCTACAAACCCCTCAGAGATTGGCCTGACGCCGCTGAATATCTCGCCCCGCTCACATACCGTAATGGCACACTCATGCCAATATTGAATGTAGGTGGCCCCGGACACGATCAGGACCTACCCGCTGCTTTTGACCAGGACGACCCCTCCACTGCCAGTGGAAGCATTTTCGAGGAACTCAACCTGGGCCTCATCAATGGCGGTGACTCCAGCCTGCGCTTCAAGACAGAAAAGGGGTTCGCCGACCACACGTCGGCCTCACTCCGAGGGGCCACAGAATGGATCGGTGATTCAGAGAGTACAACCTGGATGGTCGACACTCTCTGGCCCATAAATTTCGACTGGCGCTTTGGAGACAAGAACGTCGTGGGCTCCAACGTGACCGCCCATCCTCTCCTTTTTTTCAGCAACATCACGGACGGGGCAACCTCCTTGCAGTCCGCACGCCAAATGACGGGCATGTTCAAAGAATCTCGACTTCTCATTGTCGATGGGGACGTTCACACGACACATAAAGCGCCTAGTCTCTGTGCTGGCAAGGCATGGAGGAACTACTTCCAAACAGGAGATGCCCGACACGTCGAAGCACTGTTTGCCGGCGATGGGGCCTTTCGAGCTGAGGCGGCAGACAGAGGTGCACGGGCATTTGACGAAGGAGGATCATGTCCTTTTCAAGGCACAGAAGTCGCTTGCTGGCGTATTCTGGGAGTAGTCATTGGATTGAAAGTGGTCCAGCTGCTGATGGGGTGGAAGAAGGAGTCGGTCTCTGTACACGGCGGAAGGCATTATTATTTCGTGCATCGGGCTATACATATCCTGAAAGCGTGTAATCATAACTAAGTTCTCAAACTTTTGTCGCCACCTTCTCTTCTTGATCATGACTCGACTCTAGACTTTCGTCGTCGGACCCTTCCGGCTTCACCTCAATAGGCACATGGTGCTTTTGCGCATACCAAGTCGGGACCACAGCGAGACCTGGCAATATGAGTTAGCAACGTGGTAGTACGAGCAAGGACGAGTTGAGAACTCACCTAACAAAATAGTATTAACAGCAAGCGGAACCCTCCCCCCATACCACTCCTTAACATTAATCCCATACGACACCGCCTGGGCAAAACTCTCCTGTCCGCGCAGAACACCCGCATACCTCGTCAACTCAGAAATATTATCCGTGCTCGTCGCCAGGAGGTAGTACATCCAATTCTGCAAAGCCTGCTGCGAGAAGGACCAGAGCATGATGACGAAGAAGCCCTCGGTGAAGCCGGGACTGCTCCAGTCGAAGAGGGGTTGCTCGCGGGTGTACTTTTCTTGGATGACCCAGGCGTAGACCCAGGTGGCGATGTGCACGGCTACGCAGTAGTAGAAGCCGACGGTGATGCGGGTTTTGACGGTGAAGCGTGACCAGTCCAGCCACATGGACATTATTTGGGAGGAGAGGAGGGTCGCGAAGTTGCCGACGAAGCCGATGAGGGCGCGGGCGCGGACGCCAAAGTAGTATACTTCGAAGCTTTTGCGCGGTTAGCGTTGTTGGTCTCTCTTCATGTGCCAGGGGTATGGGTGGGGGTGGGCTTGTGACTTACTTTCCGGAGTATTGGTTGAAGTACGCAGCCCAGAAGACGGGGAGGAGCATCAGAATCTTCTTCTGCTTGCAGACTCTCCATAACGCTAGCAGTTCTGCCTTGAAGCTCTTCTCGCCTTTGACAATCACCTTGGTTCCGTCGGCCCTCTGCACTTTAGATGGTGGTGTCAGAAGCATGCCAATGGGGATGGATAAGCACTGCAACGCCACAAAGACCAGATAGGTCGAAACATCAACGTGGCCCTTCTTGGAGATGTTATGGTTCAAGGCCAGCACAATCGCACCTCCAACTAGGGGGCCAGCGGTTCGGAACCAGAGCCAGATGTTCATGTAGCGTCCACGTTTGGATGGTTCTGGATATCCCAGTGCGATGGCGCCCTCAGATGCCCAGAACAGGCCTGCAGACAGACCGCAGGTCACCGCACCAAACAACACGAGCCACTCGGTGCCATTCTTGCTGTTCAGATAGAGACCTGCTGAGTATACCGGATAGCCCACAGCTCCGAGGACCAAAGTGTATTTCAAGCCAATGCGATTGGCGATTGGTCCACCGAATAGACACAGGAAGCCCATGAGTCCGAAGACCTAGAGCCATTGTAAGTCGAGACACTATGTGCCATCGAAGCATGTCCAAGCCTTACCAAGGCGTTTGCGGCGTTGACAAGCTCTGGGCTCTCTTGACCGCCTGCACCCAACGAATTCATGGCATTCCATAATCCAGGAGCAGTAAAGCCGACACCACCAATCACAAATGCATTGAACAACGTTGTGCGATACCACTGTCGCTTTTGTGGTCTGATCGAGTCCGATAGAGAGTCTCCGGCAGCGTCGTTGGCAGTGACCTCCGCGGTCACCTTTGGATCGGCGACGATGGTCTGTGAGACTCCCGCCATGGTGGAGGTCGTGAATCGATTGAAGGTCTTCGAATCTGGTGGGCGGCCAAACAGTAGTACAAAAATGGTAGAGAACGTTCTTCATGGCTTTATATCCATCAGTTCGCCACATCGGGAGGGCACCGACATGCCGATTTTAGCCGCCAACGAATACTACAGTCGTACTGGCGAAGGAGCATCGCCTGCATTTTGCGTGGCTTCTTGTGTGCCATTTGGCAGAAGCTTGAGTGACATTGGAAAAGTCTTCTGCACCGCATGGCGCGAGCGATGTCGTGATCGACCAAGTGGGCCCTCAGGCCGGCGAACATGCGTGCGAGGATCAGCGAACACACGGCTTGACACATACATAGTCGGACGATGCCTCAATTCGCATGTCACCTCATCGCTCGAGCTTGAGCTGGTCGGCGGTTGGCAGTCTTGCTATGTGGTTGAGATATACGATGCCGGAATTCCGTTGTTGAGCTCGTGTAAATCCTGAGGTCCTTTGCAGGCGAATACAATCTGGCCCAGAAGACGTGTCTAGACTTCTCGGAGGGACACAGTCTGGAATCGATCGCGTCTGTGTCGTTCAAGACTCAACCTCTTTCACGTGCTTTCTCATCCAGCCCGATCGTTGTCATCGCGTTGTCGAAATCATGCTGTGCATCTTGGTGACAGTCTTACCAGGTCCATCATCATTCCTGTGGCCACCGATGGTTAGTAATCTGTAAAATCGAGTCTCCTGTGCAAATGTCTGCCCGGAACGTCAACTATTGGAGGTTCGATGCAGCAGGATTCGAATGGTATTCAGATGGGAGCATCCAACCTCGAGAAAACCAGATGCACACAGCGAAAGCCTTGATTGATCTCGACGACAAGAGCGAGCAGTCGATATGCACACTGAACTTCTCCTCGTGATGGAGTTGCTTGTGCGTGCGTCCTCTGATCAACTGCTGGTTTCTCCTAATGCACAGAAGCCTTAGGTACCCATCCCAGACTGATGCTCTGCGCGTATTGTCAATAGCCGGAGATCCATATATCAGAGCAATGAGATGACTGACGCTCTGTGCATCGCATCCCGTTGTTATTGGTGCCGACAACTAAAAAGGGCGGTGTTTCTTAGACCTGAAAGACACATTGAGCGACGACGTCGAGACAGACTCGAGATTTAAACTTTGTCGCCGAGCGACGCGACCCTTGGTGGCAGTGACGTCACCGCCAACCTCGAAAACGAAAGCTCACAGTCACACTTCCACTCCTCTCCCTTGACAACGATGCGGCCTGCGCTTCGCGTTCTTCCCAGACCTGCGAGCAGACAATCGCTGCTCACGAGCGGCCACCGTGCAGGCCCATGGAGTTCCGCCAGGACGCTCGCGGGCACCGCCAGGCGCAACGACGATAACCACGACAAGACACATTCTCTAAACGGCTACGTCGCCGACCTCCTTGACGCCCCTCTACACTCTGTCGAACATGCCACGCGAACAGCTCCTGAAGCCCCTCCAAAGGAAAACCTCCCCATGACCCAGCGGGAAGAGACGCTCGCCAAAGCCCGCGTTGTCTTCGGCGGCTCCCGCCTCTCCAGTGCTGAAGAACGTAAACACGAGCTCGAAAGCAAATCGCAATGGATTGCGGGAGTCCTCGTGCCTCCGAAACCTGAAGAGCCCGACAATTGCTGCATGTCCGGGTGCGTCAACTGCGTGTGGGAACTCTTTCGCGAAGAGCTTGAAGAATGGGCGGCGAAAAGCACCGAGGCGAAACAGAAGATGATCGAGCAGCGCACAAAGGGCACCGCGACAGGTATGATGGCTCAGGAATCGGGAATGCCGAAGCATGCGGCTGTGAGTATGGATGATGATGGGGGAGGGAGCGAGACGAATTGGTCGACAGCGCCGGAGACGGAGGTCTACGATGGGACGGAGGGGAGCGTGGATCCGCTGGCGGGGATTCCGGTTGGGATCAGGGAGTTTATGAAGACGGAGAAGAAGTTGAAGGCCAGGCATAAAGCTGCTGGGGAGGTGATGGATACGGCGCTGGATAAGGATTTGAGGGCGAGTGTTTGGCGGTCGGGGGCGAGGACGTGAGGAAGTTGAAGTTTGGGTTGAGAGTCAACTATCTACCGAGACCTACGGATTGGACTTTCCAGCCTGGTCCTGATGCATAGGGATTCACAGGAACGGCGCCCTGAGGCCAAGCTGGACGTGGTTTTGAGGAGGCGAAGCAGAAAGAGGACCACACCCTTCAGCTGCAGAACCTGGGGAGTGAGAGGAGGGAAAACACACATCAGGAATTTCGGCAAAGCGCACAAATGCTACCGGCCGTCCATGCGGATCAGCGTCGTGGCCAGAATCAAGGAGAAAGTATCCAAGGACGACTTCCGCACACACCTCACTACCCGGATAAGCAAATGCCCCTCTCAACCGCAATCATCGCGCCCCTGCAAAAGCAGCACCATCATCGCGAACATCCCAGAGAGAAAAATTATATCCGAAAGAACGCAATCTGCGAACCCACCTCCAGCGAGCCCTGATCCCAGTTCAAAGCTGTACAGAAACAGAAAGACCTCTACGCTACAGCCTTTATACGGCACGGACGGTCACGTCACGTCACCTGAGCGAAACCTCATATGCCAAGAACCATCCCATCAAATCGCACGTCCCTTCCTGACCAACGCATCGGAAAGAAATCATCAATAAAACCAGGTTTTCCGTGGAACACAGGCCAGAAAGGAAAGGGGCGAATTTATCGAAAGCATTGTCCCTTTTCGTATCCTCATTCCACGAACTTTGGAGATGATTCAATATTGATGAAGTGACGCACCGACCACGAAGGAGGGAGAAGAAGTTCAGATCGCCAGCTTGTGCCCATGGCTACAAGACCTCAGCTCGAGAATTCCCTGCTCTGCTGGCAAGCGACATGGCACACCTACGACAAACAGTCGTCAAGATCTGCATGGAGGAGCAGACCTGATAGACATAAACATAGACATAGACCATGCCCAAAGAAGACAACATCATCACCAGAACTTCTGAATCACATAGCTTAACAAAAGGAAGGAATTTATCGGCTTGGTTTGATTTCATCGTTTTTCCTTTCTTTTCCCCTTCTCTACACACTTAAACGTAGCAGCAGCAAAGGCATCTTTTCCCATAGTAACGTGCGATTGGTGGTATCGTGCAGCGCTAAATCGAAGAAAAACACACCACGACGCGAAGATGCCAGCAGCACACAAAACGCGCAGCATCGCAACCACAAGAACTGGTAGTAGCAGCAGTACACCTCTCCTCTCCTTCCCCTTTTGATTCTTTCCTCCTTTCCGCGAAATACAAGTACAGCAGCCATTGCTCCTTTTCCAGGCCGTCCGAGTCGTATGTCTACGTGAAGAGAAAGCAGCATATTTCTTGCTTGTTGGTGTTGTGCGTTTTGGTCTCCTTTCCCTCCCTCCGCGCCGATGGTCCATAGTCGTACAGGGACGCGCTGAAATTCGAATACGCCATCACATTGCAGGCGATGCCAAGGACGCCGTTTTATCCCCTTTCCCGTTGGCTGATCTCAGATCAAAGCCTTTTTGTAGTATCATCATATTCATCAAAACATGCCGCCTTCCATAGGCGCGGTGACGGCACGTTGGGGTCCGTTGGCAGAGCGAAGGGGCAGTCGCTCGGGGGATGCCGCTGGGTTGAAGCCGTGCTGTTGGACAGCAGGGCTGGTTTCGTAGTCGCGCAGTGAAGGCACGGCCGGCGTGGTCGGCATGCGGACGACAGCACTTGGGGGGAAGTGGAAGTCGCGTTTGGGTGAGGTGTTGAGGGCAGGGTCAGAAGCTGTAGCCCTGACTTCGCTTCCATCGCTAGTCGACTCTGAACGATTCCTGCTAAATAGCTTGCGGGTAGCTCGCCGACGTGGGTTGATTGGCGGTATCGGTGGTGGTTCGTCCATACCGTTCTTCAGTGACGCTCCTGGGGGCAGAGGAACAGTGTCGACGTTCGAGGTGGACGACAGCAACGTAATCGGCTCAGAGATGTCAGACTTGGAGATCGTCTTCTTGCGCAAGCCAGGTCCACTAGTGCGTGCGTTCGACTGCATGATCTGAGTGAAGTCGGCCTGAGTGATGGACGGGCTTGATCCAGTGAGAGGTGGTGTCGGGTTTTGGGAGTACGGGTTGGCCACTGGGGCGGGACGACCAGGTGTGTAAACATTAGACGTGAGCGTCACTGGAGATGGACCATTGTGAGCCAGTCTCGGGGCGTTCCTCTGGTCGAAGTAGTTGGACTTCTTGCTCTCCTCGCTATCACGTCCGAAATTGTTCATGACATCTGGCGATGCACCAGGAAATGGTGACATGTCAGGAGTGTGAGAGATTGCCGAAGAACCATGACCTTCAACCATTGCTTTCTCCAGATCATCGCGATAAGGTCCAGTGCGACTGCGCGAGCGTCCAGTAGTGGCAGCTGAATTGGAGCGACTGCGAGCACGTCCTGCACTAGAGGCTGGTGAGCGACCTGCAGATGCGAGTGCACGCTCTGCTTGTTGTGGGTCAATTTCCATTGCCCGAGATGGCCCAGGTCCATCGTGCTTGAAGGCTGGGTGTTGAGCAGTGGGCATTGGTGGGCGAGGCGAAGAGTTGCCACGAGGGCGTGCAACGTCAGTGCTGTAGCCCGCTCTCTCCAGTGCTAATCCATTCGCCGGGCCAAGGATCTTCTGAGCTTTGGGTGGCTGCTCCTGCGTGTTGACGAACGATTCTCTGCTAGTCTTCGATCTCAACATGGCGAAAGCACGCATGGGGCCAACCGGTGCGCCAGGTGTCGGGACTGGACTGGTGCCTCGAGAATATGGATCCCGCTCCAACACGCTCCTACTCTGGATTCTCTCCTGAATGAGTTGACGTCGGGCCGCCAGTTCGTTTGCAAAAGCGTCACGCTCTTGCTGCGTCGCCGTGCTTGCATCACGTGTGTGTTGCTTGCGCAGCTCCTGCTGCCAGGACGGAATGTCGTGGTCTTGAACGAGAGAGATCTCAGACGTTTCGCGATGGAAGGGAGGACGGCTAGGAACGCCCTCTTGTACCAACGATATCTCAGACGCGCGGTTGGAAGGGAAGCGAGTGCCGGTCACCTCATCAATTGGGCTCACAGTCATTCGACTTGCTCGTGGTTCATTGACAAAGCTCTGCTCGTCCAAATCCCAGGGGTTCGAGGTGGCATAGCTGGATTCGCGGGCCGAGTGGGTGTCCAAGGTGTTTCCGATGAAGCCATGGGAGTTTGACTTGCTCGCGTTCCATGGCACCTCAGGTACATCAGGCACGTCTCCCTCAGGCAGAGCAAAGTCGTCTCCAGGGTACAGGGACGATTGGTTGCTTCTCTGGCGCAGATGGTGGACCATGCCGTTCAAAGCCTGAGCTTGTGGGCCCAATGTTGGTGAGTCGACATCCTGAGGCACTTTTGGTGTGATGTTGATGGTGAGATCGTTTCGTAGAGACCGTGACGAAGACTGCGTGTTCAGTGGCTTAACCTCCATCTCATCAACCTCCTCGGCGAGGGTTGACCGGGACTTTTCACTTCTAAGTGCTGGATGTTCTGAGACTGGCTGCAACGGCGTTGGCTGCCACTTGTTCTGGTACGCACCATAGCCATACTCCGGCTGATTGAAGGACTGCGCAAGATCGTCCTCCTCATCTTCGTCTTCGCTTGCGCTGATGTTGCCGAAAAAGGTGCGGTGGGTGTCTGGAAGTGGCGACTTCGAAGATGCTGGTGAAGGATCTGGAGCGACCTGAGTATAATTTGCGTTTGCTGCATTCTGGAAGACGTTGTATGCCTTGGTCGGCTCATGCTTCTTGGGTGTGTCGGATTGAGATTGATCCAGGGATGGGATATCGGGCACCGGCTGCTGCTCTGGCTCAAACTCGAAACGATGGTTACGCTGTTGGATATTGGGCTGCGGCTGAGGTTTCTTCTTCAGCGCCGCGGTCGAAGCTGATCGTTGCAGCGCCTTTTGGCGTTCGAGATACTGCTGCTCGTCGAACGCGTGGGCCGGCTTGTTGAACGCACCCATTGCAGTAGCTTTGCCTCGATCGGCGGGTTCCAGTGCTTGAGTGAGAACCCTATTCTCGTCGAAGTGAGTATCTATTGGAGAGTGTGGTCCACTCAGAGCTGGGCTGGAGCAGTTCGAATTTGCATGTCGAACTGAGCCAAAAGAAGCGGGATTGGGTGAGGTCAAGGGTGGGGATTGTGGACGTAGCGCGTAGACTGGCTGTGGGTTCCGGTCGTGAAGGTTGCCAGCGCTCTTAACGTTGTGTAATAACGGCGGAGACTTCTTTCCACTTAATGCTCGTTGCCGCTGAATCGAGTTTAGACGGGACATGGCCGAATTTTGCTGGTCGTGCATGTGCTGGTCCAGACCCTGCTCGTAAAGTCGGCGTGTTTTGGTATTTGAGCGATCGAGGAATGGTGCAGACATTGGCGCAGCTGGTATCGAAGCGTTTATGGTGGTGGCAACGATGTTGGTGGAAACAGGAGCTTGTGCAGGTGAAGGCTGAGCGCTTGTTGCTGCAGGCTGTGAAGCGATCGAAGTGGCCGCAGTCGAGGAACGAGCGTCTGAGCGGGCAGTAGATGATGTCGTGGACCTCTTCTTGTCATACGACGAAAGGGATGGCGAATGTGAGAGGTCCTTTGCAGAATCGTTAGGCAGGGTTTCCAGTGCATCTTCATCCTGGGAGCCGGGTTCAGCCTGCTCGAGGCCGAAGTCAAATCCTTGGCTATCGTCTGATGGACGCGGAAACTGGCTTTCGTCGACTTCCCGTTCCTTCATCCTGTATTTTTGGAAGGCGGACATGCCTACATCATCGTCGTAATAGACTTTGCCCAGGCTTCGAGTTGGTTGTGCCCCACTCGTTGGGATCTTGTATACCTTCTGTCGACCTCCAAAGAGCACGTTGCCCTCGCCTGGTCGAGATCGGCTCATCACGCTGCTCAGCGCCGCATCAGCTTCGCTGCCGTATCCTTCTTCTGACACGTAAGACTGTTCGCGGTAATTCTGAGCGAATGACGGTCTGACTGATCCGCTGATGGATGAAACTTCAGCAATATCAGAGAGACCCGTGTTGCCGAAGCCAAAGTCCGCCATGCGTGACTTCCTCCTAGGTTGTAGCACGCTGTCGTCGCTGGCTTTGCCAAGCATTGACGCAGGATCGTCTTGTTCTCGAAGCATGCTGAAACGTGTGGAAAGACTGGGCATGATGAGGCTGGTTCGGAAGTCATCTGTCGATGGCAGTGCTGCTGATAGATCGAGTTGGGGCTTCGGCTCGGGCTGTCGTTTGGCGGTCTTCTTCCATCTGCTATTCGAAGACTTCTTCATGACGGGCGAGGGCGGTTGAGAGAGGGCGTGGAGGGCATCGTCGTTGGCGGTCGGCCCATCGGCCTTCTTCTTCAGGAATTTGTTCATGGTGACGCTGAGCAGGTCAGTACAGCTGCCCGAGAAGTGGGTGTACGGAGAGAGAAATGGAGCGTCCATGGCGTGCAGCAGGCAGGCGCAGGCGCAGGGCAGGGCAGCATAGAGGGAAGGAGCGGTACATACAAAACGAGTGTGGGTCGAGGAGCAGTCCTCGTCGAGGCAGTCGGGTCTTATGACGCCGGTAAGCCGGTGCGACGTCTGCGCACGCGGCGGGCTCCAGCGATCTCTTGTCGTTTGCAGGCCAGCGGTCGTGGGTGCTCCCTCGCCAGACGGCGCGATGCGTCTAGAGGGACTGGGTGATGGGTGATGTTGCGAGCTTCCAAATGGCAGGCGCGCGCGCGAGCATTGCCAATGGCGAGGTGCAGCAGACGAGGGCGAATGTCGTCGGGTGCGAGGTGAGCCAGTGCGTGCGGCGGCGGAGGGTCGTGGACTCGCTCTCGAGGGTGTGCGTGTGTGGTGGTGTCACGCTGCAGGTACACGGCGGGAGCAGTGCAGCGCGGAATGAAGGCAACACAAACAATTGGCCGGGGAGGGCAGCGAGGGCTCGTGTGGTCGCTCGCCGGCGGAGATGGCAGTGGTTATCGTCGTTGGAGGGCGGAAGGTGGGTGATGATGGTGAAGAACGCAGGCAAAGCGGGAGGCAGCCCTTGGAACTTGGTGAAGCGAGCGGCGCGCGCGTTGACTCCAGATCCGCTCGTAGAAAATAGTGGCACTAGCAATCTCCCGGAGGCGACGCGGTGGCTGTATGTATGGCGATGTATGATCAGAGACAGCTCTGGGCGGCGAGGTGAAAGATATCACCAGCGCACTGCCACGCGTGTCAATCGGTACAGTAGACGACGATGATGGGCAGCTACTTTCCTGCGCTACGGGGGCGGCCAAGTAGTTCTACTAGCAGTCAAGTAGCCTCGTCTTCGAGCCACCGCGAATTTCTGAGACACCCCTGAGAAACAAGCTGCAAGGGCAGTCTGCTAGCGCCGGGCCTAAACTGGGGACCCGGCTGCTCCCGTGAAGCCTACCCTTTTCACAGCATCTCCATGGATATCAGGGAGGGGCATTGGCAGGAGCAAGACCAAGTATTGATGGAGTCAGACTGGATTGGCCAACTCAACCATCCGCCCTAACTCTGTGGCGACGGCATGTTTAATATATTTACGGCTGAGTTGATATTTGAGTGGCGCTTCCTGCTTCGGCATTGGATGCAGGTACACATCCGCCGGCATGGATCCCTAAGCGAGTCGAATCACGGCCGGGCATGCCAACCCGACGACGCAGTAGCGACCGTGGCGAGCAGCTCTAGTCCGTCACCCGCTGCGACACATCAATCACCACGAGCCTGGCACTTCGCCGTTTGATCGTTGATGCGTTCGCCGGCCTCATCGGACATGGGCTGCGGCGGCGACGGTGAGCTCGACCGCCGGGCGTCGCAACGACCGTGCCGCTGAGCAGGCATGGTGATGAAGACGACGGAGGGGCTGGCTTCCCTCATCACACACCCGGGCAGATGGTGAAACGAGGTGCCGCCGACGTACCTTACATACATAGAGCAACCACGCCTCCCACTCGTGCCCCTGCGCAAGGATATCTCTGCCCGCCTGAATCGCCGCCAAGGGGTCGCTCTTGAAGGCGGCCAGCTGCAAACCAGCAACGCTCGCATACACCTTCGATCCGCCGTTTCATCCACCCACTGGTCCACTCCAGTTCGCAGTCTCGTCAAACCGTTCAAACAAACGCAATCAAAAGATTCACCTATTTGGAGTCGCCCGCAACTTTGCAGAACCATCTCGCCGCGCAACAGACCCAGCGCTGCGACTTGCCGACGCTTTCCCACATGAAAACGTTCCACTTCCGGTGCCTCACATATCCAACGCAATCCCAATCAGACGGGCCTCGTCCTCGATCTCACACAACCGGGCAAGGATTTGAGCATCTCAACTGAACCATCCATTGTTTTGTGCTTGATGAACATGTTCACCTGACCTGCAGATCAATAATCTCCAACGTCAACCGGCGATGCTCGTTGAACCAAAAACGAATCAACTGCGCATTTTGCGGCTCAGAAAGCTCGTCCGGCTGTCATCGCGATTCTGCTCATGGATACCGAAGTCGTCGTCCGAACTTGTTGATACCGATTTGCTGACTCTGCCGGTTTGCCGGGCAACGCACAGGATGGTGTCTTGCGGAGTTTCGGAAGGCTTCTGCAAGCGCGCAATGGTCGCGTTTGATGCCAACGTCTGCCATCACGGCCCGGAAGTCCTGACGAGATGACCGTCTGCCTCAGACACGAAAGCACCACGCTAATCGATGGAGCTGACTCCTAGCCTCACCACAAGGCTGAAATAAGACGGCGCACGAAATCATTCCCAATTGTCCGCAAACGGAACTTGCAAGAAAGAGAAACATAAAACGTCGACATTATTGAGACTGTACTTCCCTGCTACTGGCCGACCCGACTTTCCCAAAACGACTATATTTTATCAATTTACAGTCGTACCAACAAAGATTTCACATCACGCGGGTGAAAATACCTGAACGAACGACCGCTACACCAACTCAACGGCCCCTAAATCGAACCACATCGTCGCGAAGTGCATGATTCATCAAAGATTACAGTTCGCCGCGGCCAAACACTGGTCTTATGGTTGGTTATTCGCAGGTCTCTCGTCTTCACTACAACACGACGTTGAAGAGCGAGACGCACCCCGCCATGTCTTCACAGACAACCAGAAACTCTGAGGATGAATATAGCACACTTTCATACCGGCTCTCCAAATTCCCACCACATCATGAGTCGAATGGCTTTCTCGTGTTCGAGCCTACGCTATACTTTTGCCAAGAATACCGCGAAGTGAACGCACGTCATACTAAATGTTCACACCTCGAGGAGAATGCATCCACCCTCATATGAGCGTCGCTACGAGCTTGCGCGCTGCAATCCTGAAATCTCGAGAGTGGTCCGCTACTCAAGACGGATCCATATCCTCTCGATCGATATACAGAGAACTCATACTAACCTCCAGATCTAAACGATATCTCCAAGCGCCTTGATCCGAAACCATGAAACTAACACGCCGAGAGATCTCAAACGCAAACCCACTTTAAGCTAGGGATGAGTCGATACACTCATCGTCTCAAGATCCGGAGTCTAAAAGATGATTTTCGGGTTGTTCGCAGAGCCGAACACACAACGTGGCTTCCACGCACCTTCCTTGCAGAATCGCACGAGGGTGCAAGGTTATCGATGTCTTGCATGACTCCCCTCGAAGACAGCTACCCTCCTTGCTTGCCCAGCACCAACACCCAAGCCTTGCGAGATGTGAGACACCAACCTTGCGTGTGATGGAGTGACCGCTCGTCACTCGTAGAGGCCCTGCACTCCAAGACGTCTAGAACTGAGAGGCTTGGCGAAAATGTTGAAGCTGCTCTCGCAATCCTCAGCCTTGCCACCAGAGCTCCCTACTAAGCTTCCCGTCGACCTTTCATCCCACTTGGGTGTCCCCTCGACAGCTTCTTCCTCTCCTCGATGCCGTCCGCTACCTCTCGATTGGCCTTCTCGATCTCCTGCAAGGCTTGCGGCCAGGCCTTTCTACGACCAGTCTCGAACAACCTCAGCGCATGAGGACTATTCAAGCCGTCCATCAACAGTGAGTACGTCTTCCGCTCGTACCACCAAAACTTCCACGCCTCCCATCCCCACCTATCGACTCTCTCGGGCAGACCAGTCCCAGCAACTTTGTGCAACCAAGCATTAAAGTCCGAGTCGGCCAAAATGCCGGTGTTTCCAATCTCGCCCTGCTTAAGCTTCGTAGCGATCCACTGGAAGTGTTCATCACATTCCTGCTGCATCTCCAAGGACGACGGCATCGGGTAGGAGCCTTTCCAGAGCTGTGCCAAAGCCATAGAGACCAGATCCCACATGGCGAAGGAACTCTGCACCAAGTACGCGTGCCCAAAGAAAGCGAGCGAATGCGGCTCCTGGAGCGAGATCATTTGGCGGTACGCACGGCACACGACGAGATCGTCTCGCCAGTGCTTGGTCTTTGCCAGTCTCTCAAACTGCTCTGGCGCCAGGTCGGGATTCGTTGGACAATACTCTGGAGGCACGAGGACCTCGAAATCAAATTCGCTTCCGAAACAGCAGATGATGGCATAGACATTGTCAATTTCTCGACCATCTTCTAGTTCGACCGATCGGGGACCTGTGACACGCTTCACCGCACGCACCGATTCGACGTTACCGGGGATGAGATTCTGCGCCAGGTTTTCAGAGATACACGGGTTTCCAGTGCCGATGTCTGGTTTCCCCCGAGAGCCATCGAAAGCAGGGTGAGTTGCCAGCTCCGGCCACGTCTCGTTGCGCAGCTGCACGAATTGCTTTTCCGTCAGGCTTGTTGCGAGAGCGGGCGAAATCGCTTTGATGGTGGCGCCCATGTTCACCAGACGTCGACTCAGCAACGTATCGAGCGGTTTGCCATTCGGGAGGATCCTAGGAAGCTGGGTTGAAGAAAAAGTCAGGAACGGAAATTGTTCTATAACACACTCGATCGATCAATCCACTCACCAACCGAAACTCCCGTCGATGGCTCAAATACACCCTCTCAGCACCACGATCGAGACAAAACTCCTGCACGTCCGCGGCCGTCGCATGAGATCCCACCACCATGACCGTTTTGCCTCGATACTTCTCCGGGTCCCTAAAAGCGTGCGAATGGATCATCTCGCCCTGGAATCCATCGGCGCCTTCTATGCGTGGCGTCACGGATTTCTGCTGCCGCCCTGTCGCGATGATGACTCGGTCGAACTCCCTCGTTTCGGTAGGACCGTCCTCTGCATCCGCAGAAACGCTCCTAATGAGCCACTTCCGCCTTTTCTCATCCCTGTCGACCTTGACGACTTTGGTCGAAAACTTGATATACTTCTTCACATCAAACACCTCCGCATACCTCTCCAGATACGCCGCGATATCCTTCGCAGGCGCATACGCAGGGACATCTATTCATTCACATCGAATCAGCAAAATAACACACACAAACCCACACCCCCACCAAACCCCCTCTAACCACACCACCTACCCTCACGATGCGGCAAATCAGAATAACAACTCTACTCCCTCTCTCTCCGTTAGCCCCTTCGCCAAGCCCACCACTTCCCGCATCGGGACAAACGAACGACACTGTACGTACAAGCCACTTGGACCCATTCGTCACCGTCCCGCTCAGAACAGAGGCCTGGGTTTCGTTGGTGGTGAAGTGCCAGAGTCCGCCGACGTAGGCGTGGCGTTCGTAGGCGGTGACGGTGAAGCCTTCTTCCTGGGGGGTGCGTTAGCTGTGTTCCGCGAGAGGGAGTCGAAGTGGGACTGTGAGAGAGGGACAGGTGGTGGTGGGAGAGCGAGAGTGTGTGAGTGTTAGTGAGAGGACATACAACAAAGTTCTTGACAGCAATCAGCCCCATAACGCCCGTGCCGACGACGCAGACGGTTTTGCCTAGGTTGTCGGAGCCGGAGCCGGACATGTTGGCTGCTGTGGAGGTTTGGTCAACGAGAGAGACAAGGGCTGCGTATGTATGAGAGTGAGAGAAAAGACCGCTACGAGGAGATACAAAATGACCAGCTGCTCAAGGATTTGTATTTGTATGTATTAGCAAAGCCCGACGAGCGAGCGAGTCGTCATCGCATCTTCCCACCGCATGGAAATGGAAGGATAGGGATTCGAGCGTATGATCCTTTTGAATCGTTTAGGAATCCTCCAAAAGTCTGATTTGATCTGACTGCAGTACGCATACCTCGAGGTCCTCATGTGCTAGGATTTGCGGGAACAGAAGGAAGGCATTACTCCGATCACCTGCCTCTTGACCTAAGGTAGGATGGATGTACCAAAAGCTTAAGGTAACGTCTTTCCCGCCGTCCCGAGACGCACCCTGTAGCGAGACACCTTCTGCGCCGTGTGCGTATACTCCTATATATAGGCTGAATAAAGCTCAACTTTGTAGTAGTGTTAAAGATAGGATACTTCCCGAGCTAGGAGATATATCTTTATACTTCTAGCTATAGAGTACAAAGAGCGGCTTAGATATTCGTTAATACTATTAGTTTCGTCTAAGTCTCTAATTTTATCTCCGCTACGCCTCTCTAACAATTATTCTATTATTTTAGTACTTTAGGCTTACTATAGATATATTTAAGCTATACTAAGACTATCGAGCGGAAAAGGCCTAGTTATAATATAATCTCGTTTAAATCGTTAAATTATATAAGTAGTAAAGTAGCGTACGTAGATAGGGCTCTAGGAGAAGTAGCGTATAAAGCTCTAGAAGATTCTATAGTTACGTAGTTTTAGCTCGTTACCTCTAGACTAAGGTTTACTCCTATAATAGGAAGTTATAGTAATATATAGAACTCTAATTAACCTAGTACTAGGTTAAGCGTAGAATAAACTTCTACTTTCTCTATCCTCGTATACGGCGAGTATAAAATACGTACTAGGGAATTACGTATACTATTACGTAGAGAAGGTTTACCTCGGTCCCTTTTAGGTTTCTAAATATCTTTTAGTATTCTTTTATAATTACCTCTCTCTCTAGGGAGAGCTAACTCTAGCTCGTTTCCGAATCGCCTATATACCGTATTATTATCGTAGGGAAAAGAGTCGCTTAGTTCGTTTAGAGTCGTTCTAGGTTAGGGCGATAAATACCTATTTTCGGGTTTCCGTTCGACCGCGTATACGTATACTTTACGCGTCG